GATCACCATTATATTTAGTCCATTTATGATTCTTTCTAAACCACTGGTCACGTTCTCACGTTTTGCACACGATCACCATTATATTTAGTCCATTTATGATTCTTTCTAAACCACTGGTCACGTTCTCACGTTTTGCACACGATCACCATTATATTTAGTCCATTTATGATTCTCCACTGGTCACGTTCTCACGTTTTGAACACGATCACCATTATATTTAGTCCATTTATGATTCTTTCTAAACCACTGGTCACGTTCTCACGTTTTGTACACGATCACCATTATATTTAGTCCATTTATGATTCTTTCTAAACCACTGGTCACGTTCTCACGTTTTGTACACGATCACCATTATATTTAGTCCATTTATGATTCTTTCTAAACCACTTGTCACGTTCTCGTTTTGTACACGATCACCATTATATTTAGTCCATTTCATTCTTTCTAAACCATTTGTCACGTTCTCACGTTTTGTACACGATCACCATTATATTTAGTCCATTTATGATTCTTTCTAAACCACTGGTCACGTTCTCACGTTTTGTACACGATCACCATTATATTTAGTCCATTTATGATTCTTTCTAAACCACTGGTCACGTTCTCACGTTTTGTACACGATCACCATTATATTTAGTCCATTTATGATTCTTTCTAAACCACTGGTCACGTTCTCACGTTTTGTACACGATCACCATTATATTTAGTCCATTTATGATTCTTTCTAAACCACTGGTCACGTTCTCACGTTTTGTACACGATCACCATTATATTTAGTCCATTTATGATTCTAAAACATATCTTAACAGAAACCAAACGTTTTTAAACGCTTTCTTGGATCCGTGTCACGAAGTATACATCAAAAACGAACGCCAACAAGTGAAGATGGTCCTCGTCGTCGTCATCACAGGTACATCAAGCAAACATAATGCGCTATACGTTCTAAAATATGACCCTGGTACCGAGTATAATATTTCCCATAATTCCTTAAAGCTATTTAGGCTACGAGTGTTGGAAACTTGGCTATTGTATTTTAAAGCGATTTTTGATGAGTTAAAAATAGATTGTATAATATTTGACGAAATATTTTTACTGTAATGCAATGTATGTAGATTAAGCTTTGCTTGAAGAAATTATTTCTCTAATTGCATGACTAATTACGAAAATAGAAATTCTAATTAGTCATGCAGAACTCATATTTTGCTTCTATTATCATGATTAATTTAATAAGCAAAAATGGTTAAAGTTAATTTGTAGTTATCCAATCAAATTACATCGTTTCAAAACTCATTAATTCTAAATGAATAAATTTTATCTAAGAAATATGATGTTTCCATTGTACGTATCACACGCATACTCATAATAAACATGTAGCTAAAAGTTGTAAAACGTTATAAATTTTCAAAATGCCGCATGCGACACCAACAAAAATAGGGAATTGTGACGTGTGATAATTTTTCATGAAATATTGTTCACTAAAATACTTAAATTACTTTTCATATTGTCAACCAAACACGTTAAACATTTATGATGCAACGGCTCATAACAATTAAAGTCATCAGACAAACGGTCAGCAGATGTTTTAAATCTCGAAGCAAAAATTAGTTCAACTAAAAAATACGGAAAGTATGCAGACATTGACTGTCTAAATTCTACATAATCGTAATGTGTCTGTCATCAGCGAAAAGGAAATTTTTCAAAATGTACCCTATGTCCATATTATAAATCTAACCAATGGCAAAAATGATGAGTTCGTGCAGCAAACTAAGCTATCAAGTCAGTTTCTTTATAGCATGAAATCACACATAAAATGTTGTTTTTTTCTTTATTTAGCTATACCGTAACGTCCGAAGATTTCAGAAGAAGTAACTCATACGATGATATTATGGCAAAAAAGGTTTGAATTTCAATTGAATTATAAAATTTAAACAAAATTTTTAAAGGAAAATGATTAAATTATAAGTCATCATTCTTTTTTACACCTGTTAAAAATTTAAATTTCTCATAACGTATTTTCAGAAAAATGAGCCACCTTATCCTTAAATTGATGCAAGCTCAGTATTAACTATGACCTCGTGTGTATTTTTATAAATTGAGCAAATAAACTTTGTTTCAGGGCCAACGATCACAGGACAATAATTTCATTTCGTTAAAAAATTTCGCTGAGACAAACTTTATCAGCGTCCTCCTCTCCTCAACCATCGTTTCGTAAACATAAAATAGCTATTGCATTGAGTCTACCTTCGTCAAGCTACCAGATGAAGGAAAATGAAAAGAAAAAATTGAATGGATATGGTAATAAAAAAACATCATATTAAAACGTAATTTTCTTTAAATGACAACCTAGGGTCAAACTAATTTTTAATAAAAAACGAGAAAATTATCTTATATCAAAGTCCTGCTAACAGTAAATGATAAATAAGACAATATAATTGTTTAAAGAAATGTTTTAACTTCCTCGCTAAGCTTGGATAAAATTAATTAATTTTAATAGTAAAACATGTGAAATTTAAAATACGCTAAAGTACCTACATAACCAGTCATCGTCAACTGGTTTAATTTCTACACTCATTTATTCAATTGTTTTGCAGCCAATACTTGCCAAAGTAAAGAAGACAACGCGCTCAATCTCGGCGTACGAAATGAAAAGTCCCGCCGAAATCAGTCTGGCTTTGGCAGGCAAAAAGAACAACAAACCGCAAGAAATATGACAGAGTCTTACTTGATCAATTGCAACTCAACTATAGTTGACGTTCAAGACATTATTTTTCAAGAGAAGGGAAGTTCTGAAGCGACAAGTAAAAATATTTGTTTTGATTCAAAAGATCCGAAGACATTAGAAGATAGCATGCCCTTTCAAGATTCCAATTCGCCCCAATTTAGTAAAAATGCTCAATTTATTTTTCAAAGAGAGAGAGAAAAAGCGATAAATCATAGAAATGAAAGTAAACAATCTTACGACAATTATCTTTGGAGTGATCACGCACAAATACAAAATAACAGTTACGTAGAGAACAGTACAACAAGCTTAAGAACACATAGGAATAACATTGAAAGATGCACAAGCGACATAATGGACCGCCGAGATGTTACATCACGTGAAAGACATCGATTAATGAGGTTAAGTAGCTCGCATAAAAAATTAGGAGATTTTAGTCTGGAAGAGAAGATGCAACAACTTTCTGACGCAGATGAGAATGATTCAAAAGGAAAAAAACAGTTAACGAGAGCATATTCAAATGTCTCTAATGATACAAAGCATAATGGAGGATTAAGTATAAGGAAATTGAGTGACTGCACAGGACATCAACGACAACGTAGCATACCACAAAAAAAAAGTGATCACTCTATTCTTGAGCGATTGGATCATCTTGAAGACAATTGTTCTACTGTGCCATTCTTTAAATCATACCCAGATCCTACGAGTAACGAAGATTACTTGAGAAATAAGAACCATATCTATAAGCGAATCATTTCTCCAGAATTCACTGTTGAGAAGTCAACTTTTCAAAGATCATCTTCATTTAAGGGACATGAAAATGACAAAACAGAAAAAGATAATCCAGGTGGAGATTCACATTTTACTCATTACCACGAAATGGAACGAGAAAAAGAAAAAAAGACCGAATATTCTCCTTGTCACACCAAGAACGAGATGTTGAAGGATGACTTTGGCAGAGTAAAATCTACTTCACTTAAAAATTCGGAGCAGTTAAGTAAAGCAACAGATGACTGTGAACAAGTTTTAAAACGAGATAAGAAACCAAGAAATGAAACTTACGATGGACGTTTCGGTCATGAGAGACACCACACACCAGAATACTATGATCGTATGATACAAAAAATTAATGAACATATATATCTTGCTGTTGGTCGTAGCAAAAATTCATATACTCTTAACGGTTCTGGTACTGACGACGACAATTGGTGTTAAATATTATTTTGTTATATTACTATGAAACATTTTAAAACACTTGTTTTGTTTTAATATTTCAATACTGTACTGGTGCGGTTAAGTTAGTGTGTTGTCGTCTTTAAAGGGTAAGAACATCCAAGTATCTTAACGTTTGGCAAATGTAAAAATAATTTCTAAAAATATTTTTATTTTATGTAAAGAATATAAAGTTTAGGGAAATGGGGACGTTTGTGTTCTACTCATTTTTACATATGCGTCAATCACTTCTGTTTTTTGTTCAATTGTGATCTTGTTAAGTCAAAACGAAATCTCCGTTAATCTACTTCAATAAGCTCGCCCCAGTCTTTCTCCTTATGAACGTGATATGAAAATTAGCGCGAAAGTTGTTTTGCTCGCAAAAAATATAAAACTCCTCCGTACCATATTTAAATATTTTTATGTCATGTAAAATTTAAACGTCAAAAGGAACCCATAGGTAGTACTTGCCTTACCTTAACATTCTTTTACTTTCCTTTAAACAACAGTACTGACGTTTATTTCTTTTTTGCGTTAAAGCTTTAAACTCGTGGTGGCAGAAAGTTCGTGTCTGAAACGAGATGATTGACAAAATTTGTACTTCAACATTCTTCAATTATATTTTTCTTCGAAGCATTTTCTAACCATCAATACGCAAAACAGCAGTGTTTCATGGAGAAAATATAACAACGAAACACTAAGTACATCTCACATAAGTAAGAGAACCAACGCGACACAACTTAAAACGCAGAAAGAAGAACATAATTACAAAGAAGTACAAACACATATTTTCAAGTAAATTCAGATACGTACATTACCTCTTCTTTACTGATGTACATTCATACTTAAAATAACATGTTTGTTTCAGTCTGCTTCCTTTATAAGTTTCAAAAAGCAAGCATTTCCAAGAGCAATATCTCAAACACGAAGCCAAAGCATTGAAAGCAGTGAAGCGGTAAATGAAGAACTGAAAATTGTGCTATTTTTGTTTTGATGTCATTGGCTGGTTTTGGAGCCGGTGCTTCGTTGCTATTGGCTACACTTTTATGAGCTTTGATACAACATTAGATATGGTATTTCCGTTGAATAGAATATATAATTAGATATTTACACATTCTTTTCTTTTGAACAAGGGAGATTAATTGGTGGAATTATTTTCTAGAGTTAATCGTTCAAAAGAAATAACGGTTTCACAAAAAACAATAGGTAGCTTAGATGTTTAGATTCTTTAGGAAATCATTAGAAAGTCACCAATAAGTACTGTGTTGATGAAGATTACAGTCTTATTTAAAAAACATTGGCATTAATTTTTGTCTAAAACTTTGACGGCACAGTGCCTCTAGTAATTACAATACATTGGTGTTGATCTGTAAACTTTTCAAGCAAAATCAAATCCTTGACTGCCACAACGTAATGCGACAAGTAATCTTTCTTTCAATTGTTCCTCTGATCTGTACTCAGGAAGTCTTAACATATTGAAACTACAAATTAGAAGACAAAATTTAGCTAATGATGAACACTGCACTCCATTTCCTAGCTTCAGAAAAGACAACACAAAGGTAAAGTACATAATAAGAAACAAACATATACTATAGCAGTTTTTAACTGTTACAGTAAGTTTACCAAGTACTAGCGCTGGGTAATAGGTTAGGTTTGAATTCCACTTTTGAAATACAGAACTGATGTGGACCACTGGTTCCAGAAAGATTAGAGAATCCACCAAGAGGTACACGAGAGCTAATTAACGACAACAAAATGAATCAGAAAACCTTTTCAACTTCCAATAAACTTATTATGATTTTAGATACCTTCCTGTGGCGAACTGTAGCAATAATACAACATCTGTTTTCGATAAAGAACGTAAAACCTTCCAAAACCACTAAATAAAGAAATGGAAGTTAATTTCGGGGAAGTTGTCATAAGAAAGGGAAAGTCGCGTAGGAAAACAAAGTAAGTTGGATGCAATATTTTAAAGAATCCATAGGACATGGGGAGAATACAAAGATTACATACCAAAATAACTGGAGATTCAGCATCATAACCATTAGCATAAGTAGTGTTTTTCTCCCAATCTTTTATGTCAACTTCGGGTAAACCAGACATTAGCAATTCCTACGTGAAGATAAAGATAACCATGTAGTTTAGGAACAATAATAAAATAAAAAGTACATAGAAACACATAAAAATTACCAGTTCGTATTCATCGAAGAGGGAAACCAGAAAATGAGGGATAAATTCATGAAATCCATCAAGAAAACTACATATTTGTGGACGTATAGCACGTGTCAACTTGAGATCAGCGACTAACTGGACATACTCAGGCTTGAAAATATCAACATAAATGATGATATAGCATATGTAAACAAACACCTTCATGAAAACCAACACCTACGACACAGATAATCATTGTAAACATATTCAAAAGTGAAGTTAAATACAGAGTACCATAGTACCACACAGATAATCATTGTAAACATATTCAAAAGTGAAGTTAAATACAGAGTACCATAGTACCACACAGATAATCATTGTAAACATATTCAAAAGTGAAGTTAAACACAGAGTACCATAGCACCAGACAGATAATCAATGTGAACATATTCAAAAGTGAAGTTAAATACAGAGTAGCATAGTACCAGACAGATAATTAATGTGAACATATTCAAAAGTGAAGTTAAACACAGATTACCATAGTACCAGACAGACAATTATTGTAAACATAGACTTACTTTATTTTCTTCAGTAACCATTAGTTGACTTCCACCAGTTTTTAATTCAACTTCTTTCATTGTACCAAATACATCAGTCTCAACAGCAAACGTAAGGTCAAAACCAAGATCAGTTATATCGTTGTCTAGTATCCACTAAACACGAAACTTTGAAATTACTAACTTTCAAGTCTTTCAAGTAAGTCTATCATAAATATTTTAAATACCTGCAAGTTCTTGGCATACTCAGGATCAATTGATGACACATCTTGATAGCTAACAGGTACACCTGTGGATATGTAAGTATATGAATAACAATCAGTCAGCAGTAATAGGAAAATCCATGAATTCCTAAAGGAAGACACATGAAACATTACCCAAGATATGTTTATAAAAGGATCTTGTAAAATAAACGTTGAGATGTAAACGATTGTACAAACTCAGGCCAATAATCCGACCGGCAAAACGAAAATAGTTTAGATGATCCGGATTAATGTCGGAGTTACTACACGGCTGGAACGTTGTGCCTAGGAATTGAAAATATATATAATACAAACAGTGAAACACGGTGGTGCCCAGGTATGTCCACCATCACATTCTACAGTTTCGATACATCGTTTGATTCCTGATAAATGATCTTTCAAGTTATCAATAACATTTCATAATGTGAACAGTAGTCAAGTTTTTTATGTTTTGTATTTTAAATGGTTATTCGTAATGAGAAACTATATAAAAATACCATTAACGTACCATCAACGGATTGAGTAAATAACGCATAGTCCGGATTAAGAATTTCCTTAGATAACAAATCCAACCATTCCTTGGTAACACCACGACCCTGAGCAATGAAAACGATGTATTACTAAAAAAATGTCCATTTTTAAAAATGAATTGTCCAATGGTTAATCTCACCACACCAGGCTCTCCTAGAAAGCGTACGACAACATATTTCTTCAGTATTTCCGTGTTAATTTTTGACAATACCTCACAGCTCGTGTTGAACAATGTGTCACCTGCAGTAAAAACGCCATTTTGAATTATCTTAGCTTTTAAATGTTGAAGGAACAACACTTTACCTCTTTCTACTTCGATAACATTTCTTTCATCAACGTTAAAAGCACCGGGACCATCTTGATTGTTTTGCTTGAATAGATTGTCATAAAACCATTTCTGTCTTTCTTGAAATGGCTAAAGAAAGCATAAGATTGCCCGTAAATACATGAAGCATTCGTTACTTTTCTCCATAAACACCAGAAGCTCAGTCGGGACAAAAACAATAATTTTGATATGTGTACAAAATATACCTGAGCAAGGACAACATGCAAAAATTTCTGCATCAAAACAGGACTATCCAGAAGAAAATGAAAATGGGAAAATAAAATTTTCGGATTTCTAGATGAAAAGGCAAACAGATCAACTTAACTTAAAGATAGGACAGTGTAAAAGACCATTGCATTTCATACCTCGCAACAAGAGCTTGCAAAATTGCCTCGTGTCTATTGATGAAATCTACGAATCTTGGAGGAGCACCTTCGCTTATAATATGATATAAGAGTATCACTTAGATGAGCAGGGTACTGGCTATAATTTCATCAACTTTTCACACCTTACCGTCTGTCCCAATGTGATTGGTTACAACAAACGAGGTAAAAACCATGAGTAATAACACACAGACGGTCAGCGGTCATTGTAATGACGTCACTATCGACGGAAGGCAAAGCAGAACTTATGATTCGTGAGTCAAAGCGAGGCTCACAATGGTCTTGGTTATCATTTGAACCCAGTCCACTCATATGATTTTCATGTCTGTCATAATCATCACGTGATCGGACGTCAACATGAGTTATTGACGTCAAATCTCTACCTTCTTCTGGTTGATAGAAATGTACATTTACATTACGGTCAGACGAAAAGAAACGATTACCAGGGGATTGCTCGGGTGTACCAGGACTATTTATGGATCGTTGATTAAACACATGACTATCATTGGGATTATTAAAGCCATGACTAACATCATCATTGAATGAATTGGCAAGGTTCATCTCGATTGCAGGTTGACTGAGTCTAAAAGTCGTATCACTACCCATTCGCAGGAGTTTATTTCGTTCACTGCATAAGCGATAAGGTACTAAAGCAGCAGCAACATTTCGTGATACGTCACCCCCAAGACGACCTGAAGCAGATACACTTCGTGATAATGAACATTTAGGATCACACAATAAATCATCTCGTTTAGATGAGAATGAATTTCTTGGAAATAATGGTTGCGACATGTGATGGGTTACAAAAGATTTCTCTGAAAGAAAAATGATAAAAAATATATTGTTTATGAGTTGGTAACACACAAACTGAGGATGACACATATGGTGTGTTACAGTGTGTATACAATTCCTAAATATACACGTAAGTACAATCAATTCATGCTTACCTACACCACTGTGTACACCTTTATCCTGCTCGTTACAATCTTCTATCGTTACTCCAATATCCTCCATTTCATTGAACAACAAAAGAAACCATTCATCAAGTGCCTGCCACACCTCCTCAAGTGGCTCAAAAACATTTTTATGCACAGAATCTGTTTCATCGCCATGATTAGAAGAACTGCTAATGGAACGACCAGTAAATGCTGCACGAATACGACTGCTGGTACTGTCTGCACGACCATTATAATTAACGCCAGAATTATAAACACTAGAGCGTGGGTTGTTAATCAAGATAGGGTTGACAAAAAGTTTGCAGGCAATTCTAATGACTCTCAAGAACTTGGGTACTGCAGCTTCAAAGTCACTGGATAAGCTGAAATAAAAAAGAAATTAAAACTAAAGATTTTCTTTTTATTAGCTCTTTGCTTTAGATCTAAAACCTTAGCAACTCCAATCCAGCGTTTGCTGCATGGCTGCCAAGATCAGATAAGATTTGGTTATGTAAAGATGTTTTACAATGGCAGAGATATTGAAGAACTTTTTGAATCTAAAGAATGAAAAAATCAACAGCAATGACGTATGTAATTGATCTTGATAATATGAATAATGTATAAGCACACTGGTGAAAACAGTTGACACAATATACCTCTAATGTATAATCTCCAATACCTTAGATTCCTCAACATGCTTTGCTTGAGCCATGGACAGTAATGATGAAAGGAGTTGTGGATAATACTCAAGAATGAGGGCACACACACTCTCATAACCATTCTACAAAATGTCCAAAGGATAATTAATGATGTTTAATGATAAAAAAAACAAATAAAAATGACATATATAAAACATTGAAATAAGACATTACAATCATTAAACCTTCACAGCAATTTCAAGAGGACTTTCATTGTCATGGGTACATAACATTTGTGCACCTCTACTAAGTAATAATCTTACGCAATCTTCGTGACCATGTCTATATGAAACAAAATATTTAAGAAGCTCAGATGCATAAAAGATCAAAATATTAATGACCAAAAGAGTAAAACCTGCAAGCATAGTATAGAGGTGTACATCCTTTGCGGTCTGCTTTTGAAACATCAGCTTTTCTTTCCAACAACAAAAGAACACTCTACGAAAAAAACATCACAAAATTATTAAGAGCATATTGATGAATTCATTAACACAAAGTCAAATATTGGCATACAGATGTGTGTCCTGAAAGACATGCATTATGAAGAGCTGTTTGTCCTTGAGAGTCCTGAAATAAATTGTCAATAATCACTTCTAAATATCAGAGAAAACAATGGAAGTCAACACCAACAAGTGGGACCACCTCAATATCAACATCAACAATATGTCTCAGAAGCTCCCCCAGGAGTTCTGTTCTACCATTTGATGCAAGCCAATGAACCTATAAACATATTGGTTTGCAATAAGTCCATTATATCCATTGTACACAAAAGAAATGACAGCTTGAAACTGCTGTTAAGGTTTTATGATGCATCATTAAGTTTCGTTAGGTTTTCAATTCATCATGAGGTTTCCATTATCAAAGTTTAAGCACAAATTTACTTTCATAATCGATTTCTTTTGAAATTTGTGTAGAAAACAACAAACAAACACATAAATTAACAATTGATTCAAACAAACATATTTTAGTGAAATATTAACGACAATTAGGAAAGGTATAAATACATACTGCTGTCATTCCCTCGTTGTTATGTATATGAATATCAGCCTTATACTCGAGCAGTTTTTGAATGCACTTTGTATGGCTATAAAATTGATACAACCCTTCAATATTATCAATACCAGCATAATGAAGTAGGATTTACTAAAATAAATCCCCTCTATAGTTTATACATCACACAGTTCATACATCCAGATAAAAATTTACCCGTTTCTTGCAGACAATTGAAGTGGTGTAACTCCACCAATATCTTGACAATTTACGTCTGCTCCTTTTCTCAGCAAGAATGCAAGACAGTCATAAGCTCCAACGCTACAAAAATATCACAAATTGACACAAAGAAAAGGATGCAACAATGATATTAAATTATCTCTTACTTGGCAGCAACATGGAGAAGGCTTCGTTTAGCCCTGCTACCTTTATGGGACACATCATAGGAAGAAGATGAAACAAGCTCTGACACAGCTCTGTAATTTTCGAGAAATGAAGATGAAACCATGAGACACCATATTTGTAAAGTTAGACAATGTTGAGATCTCTTGAAAAATTGTCTTCATGAAAAACAACATATTTCTATCTCCATCATGCATTGCAAGGTGCAGTGCTCTATATGACAAACCTGTGTTGGTTTTGCATGACCATTTGCATTAAGATACAGAAAGCTGAATCATTATCTAAAAATAAAATGTAAACATACATAATTTTGAGAATTCATGCAGCGAAAATTTCAGCGTACTTGTACCTTCAGGTAAATCAGAGGCTCTTGCTGTACGAAGCGATCGGGCCAGTTTCTGAAGAGTTTCCATTTTTGCTGTCACACCTCCAAAGTTTCAACTGAATAGACAAATATAATATACATTGAACAATTAAAGTTTTAAGGTCTACTACAATATGTATATGCCAACATTGTTTTGTCATAAAACAAACGTTACAAAATCAAAGTACACAATTCCATGTAAAATTTGCGAAACGCTAACCCATGCTATTCGTATTATTCTTCATAGAGCGGGCCTATATTGCATTATTAGTTCGGTATGCAACGGATCACCTTGATAATAAAGTAGAAATATAGTAAAATCTACACTTACTCTCCGTCGTTTGATGCTGAAATTCGTATGTACTTAACATACCCAGAATTGCTAACCATATACAAAACCATTCGACATAAATTGAAGCATAAAATATGGGCAAAATAAAGAGGGAAGTACCCTGTTATGCAATTATAAACACAACTACACAAATGATGTTGAACTGACTGTGATTGACTTGGATTGGCTTTAAAATTTCAACCAATCAGAAGCTGTTATGTTTGTTGGCGGGAAATTCTTCATTTTTGTCTCTTATGGTTTCTGCCATTGTTTTGCTTCTGCATTTTCATATCATCGAGATTTCAAACATTGAACAACAAACTGAAAAGTAGTTTTCGGCACGTAATTGTATTCATTGTTGTTCATTTCACATAAAGGTCTTTATTTTTCCGTTTTCCGTACAGTAGTTTCATGTAGCAAGGTCAGCCGGAAACTCGCTGAAATATGGATTTGAAGCATGAAAAACAAACCAAAGAATTTGGTGTAATTAAGCAAAGCAATGAAGAATCGTTCAACTTGGAAAATGCACCCTCCAAAAGCCAACCAACAACACCAAACAGGTACTAAAGCTAAACATGCAGACAAACGTTAGGTCAGATAAATACTTTGGGTCATTATCTCGCTATTTATCCATTGCAGAAACGAATCCCATAAGCATAAAAACGCGAAAACAATACATGCTGCATTTTCATCCAAAAGCCCAGCACCATTGCTCTACAGTCACAGCAATCTTCAAAGAAACACACAACAATTTGTGGACGATATAAATGCGAAAAGAAAACGGGATGCTGATACACTGGCAGGTCTTTACCGTAAAAGGACTTTTCAAACATCATAAAAATAACAAAAATTTACGATAAGTCAATATTTATAATTGTCATTCAGATGTGCGAAAGGCTTTAGAAGTACAAGCAGCAAATACAGGAAACATTATCGAAGAGACTTTGGTAGGCATCTATGAGGAAAATAGCAAAACGATCCAAGACAAGCTCCAGGAAATATTCGCTGTACTAGACAGAATATGTAAGTCAAAAATAACGCGTAATTTTTCTTCATACAAACAGATTTTGTCATCATTTTTTACATTTTCAGCAAATCTTGAAAGAGAATTGAACGAATTCAAGCAAGCGTTGGGCCTGTTTTATCAAGATGTTCAACCACTGCATCAAATGCAAAATCATTGACGTGAAAGACAATGGTGGAAATGGAATGAATATTTACATAAAAATTACATAGATACCATAATCTTTCATTCACTGAAACTGTTCTAGCATATCTTAATACAACGAACGACGTTTTTCTTTGTGTGTTCAACTTTTTCTTTTTTCTCTAAAGTAGAAATGATATAACTTTAAAACCCAAATCTAAAAGAGTTCCGGCCTTTTTTAAAACATTATCACAAAGGGTATACTCTCACTTTGATTTTATTAGGATTTGGAAACTGTGGATTTTCTATAACACCTTTTCCAAACTTCATTTCCAAAAATTCACGATAATTATTCGGTACTGAAGCTTGAATACCTGCAAATTCTGTATTTGTGGAAACAATATACCTAAAGATATCAATGGGTCTGTTTCCTAAAACAATAGTAAGAATTATTTTACTACCTAAAGTTTCCAAAGGTTTTAGAAAATGTGCAGGAAATTCGGCATCTTGACGATGTGTTTCAAACCAAGTATCCTTGGTCATAGTACCATTTCTTTCATAAAATGGAAAAATATCTAAACAAAAAATGTTCGGTATTTTTAAAGAAAAATATGTTATTCTGATTTCTTGCACACAAATGTTTTGTGAATTAGAAGATTAAAAAATATGAGAAAATAACACTTACCAACATGCAAATGATTCATATCGCTAAACTGAACTCTGTAAAATTCTCCTTCGTTGGCTTTCTCCCAAAGAAAACCTTCATTGTCTAAGTATTTCTTATGAGATGATTCTTCAATTTTCTGGAGTTGCTTACACTAAATAAATTTCCTATATAGTCAGTGCTCATAACTAAGAGTACAATTTATAGAATGAAACAAGAATAACACCTTGATAACATCATGTTTATAAATACCAACATCAACATCATAGTCCCATGGTATTATATCTTTACTACGTACAGCACCAAGCAAGCTACCACCCTACACAAAGAGGAAAGTTAGATAGCTATAGTAGAAGAACGAAAGAGATACAGAAGACGATACACCTCCAGCCAATAGCTAATGCCACATTCGTTAAAAATTTTAAAAACATAACGCATCGTTTCCTTTAAATGTCCTAGGTAAGAAAATAATGAAAGAGCAATGGTTGAAACTAACGTTAGCACAATGAAGGTAATGATCTTTAACTTACTCATACAACAAGGTGGTGTCCATTGTCCATTGTAAATATATTCTGGCATATCATCAACAACAGTTCCAAAACAACGCGACGTTTCCTATATTACACACACGCAATCAAATTTAAAAGTAAAACTATGATTCAAAATCTACAAAACATTACAACCTAATCAATCATTTACCTTCCTACAGCCATACCACTTTTCAACACCATTATGAGATACAAGTTTCACACCAAGTCTAATAAATTATAAAATTCCTAAATATAACTGATTGAAATCAATGCCATGGGAAAATTGACAGTTTTGCCACCTTTTATAGGAATACAATAATCTTTCTTCTTTCTTTTGTTCATATTTCCATCTAGAAAGAAAAGAGATTCAATAAACGTGTTGAAGTTGAAGTTGTAGAAATATTTAAAAACATAAACTCATAACAAATAAATCAGGTTGCACAAAAGACGAAGAGTATTCTGGTAAGAAAGGAAGTATGCCATACAAATGAATAATATATGTACAAAGAGTACCTTTGATGTGGATTGCTGAATAAATCTTTGCCAATTTTGAAAATGTCTTCTCTTATAACAAGTGTTTTCCATCCTCTAACAGCAAATTGTATGAACAGTGCTATGAACATTATGTAAAATTTAGCTAGTACTAAGATAACTAGAGAGGTTTAGAAAATTAAATGAAACAAGTAAATATGAAGATTGTACCTTGAGGAAAAGGCCTAAGAAATGGTTCACTTAGTTTCATAAAGTAAAAAGTTGATAGGAGCAATGCAATTTTAGAAGAGCCTGTTAAAGCATCACAAACACGATTATCTATATAAGATATGGAATTAATGTAAAAGGAAATCAAAAAAAAAAAGACTTCAAATTACTGGATGAATGAACTTACGTGGTATGTCTTCAAATGAAAGTGTCCATTTTCTATCAACACATTTGCAGGAAAATGTTTTAACTTTAGAAATTGCAATATCAATGGAATGAGGACCAAAAATCTACCTCAAATCAGCGGTAAGTTGTGCACACTTTGATTGTCTATCAAGAGGAAAAGCTAGAATCTTTGGATTATCTCCTCTCTCCAAAATATCCTTGATAATATTATCCAGTTTTTTAGCATTTCCTATTCGTGTAGCATCAGGTAAAATCAGTACATACTTTGTCTTTATATAGCTTAATTAAAACAAATAGAAATATCAACATTTATGGTAAAGATTACGTTTAAAACATACCTTAAATAGAAACACAGATCAACATCTCAAGAAATTTTAAAGAAAGTGGAATAACTTTCTCAGTAATAATATTGTATTGGGGGCAAGATGCAGTTGACAGTTGCAACAGGTCTGTTTTAACTTGTTAGAAATAGTGAAAAATACACACAAAAGTATTTGCATAGCAGTACTAAATAAGAAGATGGCTAACCCACTGATAAAAACATAATTTCCTCTACAACTTTAACAGATATAACAACGACAGGTTAAAGTAAATGGTTTGAACCCGGGAGTATTGTTACATGTTTGTAAATGATGATCGTCCAGGTTAATAACTCTGAAGATGACTACCGCTAAGGTTGTCAAAATGTCAGTCAACAACAACAAAAACAGTCCTTCTCAGGACCTTATTAACCTGGACAATCATCATTTACAAACATGTAATGACAGGTTAACAAACATAAAAAAAACAACATTCCACTTACAGCGATGGTTCACCCCATTCTTTAGGACTGCCAGCTGGCTGCTCTTGAACAATTATCTAAAGTTTTTTGTCATTTCTTTCAACATGTTTATTGACTAAAATGACTACAGCAAAAAGGTTTTATCAAAGTAGTAAAATACATTTACATTTTCATCAGGAATGTTTAATGGAGGATAAGGTAACTTTTTAGTGACAACAAATGTAACTTGATGAGGTAATTTTTTTGATATTGAAGTAAGAGTACCATAAATATCATTCTCAAATTCCTCTAAAATAAGATAAATATGTTATTATTCAGTTTTATATATGTACATTTGCTGTCAACAATATAAAACACACTCACCAAATTCATAGATCAATATTGTCAGAGATATTTCACTAACTGGATAGTTAACACTATCTAAAAATAGCAGAAGAAATATTAAATGTGGAGAAAGCTATCAGTTGCATAACATATGACACAAACACAATATTTTCATAACTAAAATGAGAACTGGTTTCATATATATTCACTTACTTACTTTGCACTGGTTGGTGCTCTCCAGGTTTGTAGAGAAATAGTAGAAGAAGCACCAGAATATTTATGAAAAGAAAAACTAAAACTATCTTGAAACGTACACAAAATTTCATCAAATATCATTAATGTAAATCATTTAATTTTTAAACTAATTATTAAAGCAGTTGTTCTTGACATTGTTCAACGCTGTCCGAAGAGATATCTCGCGAAAAACTCGCATGTTGCGAGTAAATGTATTAACACGCGTGGACAACACGCGTGAAATGATTCATAATGCAGCTGCAAGTTGCTGCAAGGGCAAGACCCTCCACATCGAAGTTTGGTGGTGTAAACAAAATCTTGTTGCGTAGGAAATACTTTCTCTTTTTTTATTGGTGTATAACTTAAGTATGAACACGAAAGACATCGAAAGTATAAACCCAGCTAAAGGTAAACGTAATACATGTGTTTTTATTGAAGAATTTGACATACTTGACCACCTGTCACATACATTGTCTTTCCTCCGAAGTGGCAAGTGCTCAATTATAAAATCCTTGGAGTTTGTATTTGTACTGTACACATAGATTTTAAATATTTGTTTTTATTGCTACGCTAAATTTGTACATTTGAATTATTATCTAGCTTCAATCTTTGCGTTTTCATATTCAAAGATTTCCTGCGCAAACATGAACGTCAGATGATGTTTTCAAAGTCTATCGTTTTGTGACTTTTATCGCGAAAATATTCTTATAAATAACATTTTCATAGCTATGCTATCTAAAGTAGTTAACGTTGCATTTCACAAACATTTTTACGACATCATTCACATAAGTATGAGTTAATCATTTATAGGACTAACCCCCCTGGAGGGAGAGGCTGGGTGTGAATAATATTGCGCAATAAATGTTCGAATATTGTTCTTGTACTTAAAACTGCAAAATGGAAATGAAAAATGCTGGAGGTTATAAGCAATTGCAAAGTATTTAAAATTGACATAGAATGAAAGATTTAAAATATTTTAATTATGTCTGACATTTAAATTATTAATATTTCAGATCGGCCAGACGAAGGCTTCTGCAGTGGAATATGTGCTGTTATACTCACAGTTCTTTCATTCATTCTTGTCATATGTACCTTCCCTTTATCTTTGCTGTTTTGTCTCAAAGTAAGTTCATAAAGGAATTGTAATTCCTAGCATAGTTTTGATTTTGATCTGGCTGATTACATTTATTTAAACTTTTGCATTATTTATGATTTCTTTGTATGTGTTTCAAAAAGTATTGCATCTCCATAAATATCTGACTTAAATTAAAATAAGATAATTTCCTAAAAGAACTCAAACTTAGTAAAATAGCTCACACATTATTTCATTGGTGTACATATTCAACGTGCTGTTATTTTTTATATGCTTAATATTTATCATTTTCATACCCAAAACAGATTGTTCAAGAATATGAGAGGGCTGTCATATTTCGTCTCGGTCGATTGATGTCTGGTGGAGCAAAGGGCCCTGGTAACAAGTTTTTACTATTCACATACATATCAAGGGCTTATACAGTTACATTATTTTTCATCTCAGTATATGTTTTATGATTTAATGTATGAACTTTACCTTAATTTAGGCATTGAAAAAATCACTTTTATTGTTTATTTCAAGGTCTATTTTTCATCTTGCCTTGCATTGATTCGTATAAAAAGGTTGATCTTAGAGTTGTTTCATTTGATGTACCTCCACAGGAAGTAAGTATCTAGTTGTAGCAGTCTTCATCCTTTAAAAGACAAATGTGTTGTTTATTATCAATTGATATTTTAAGATCTTAACCAAAGATAGCGTGACAGTTGCTGTGGATGCAGTTGTTTACTACAAGATCTATAATGCCACAATGTCTGTTACCAATGTTGAGAATGCCAGTAACTCTACTCGTTTGTTGGCTCAAACAACTTTACGTAATGTTCTTGGCACACGAAGCTTGAGTGAAATTCTCTCAGAGCGAGAGACTATCAGTCATGCTATCCAAGCAAACCTTGATGAGCCCACTGACCCATGGGGTGTAAGAGTAGAAAGAGTTGAGGTGTAAGTAGATTGGTTCTACTGTAACTAGAATTTGGGTATTATTTTGACATTTTCACTTTAATGCTTCCAGTAAAGATGTACGCCTGCCTCAGAATCTCCAAAGAGCAATGGCTGCTGAGGCTGAGGCAGCAAGAGAAGCTAGAGCAAAGGTATGTGAAATGATCTATTGAAGGTTATAGAATGAATGTTTAGTCCATGAATTAGAAAACACTCAATGTAATGTTCACTTTAAAGGTGATTGCTGCTGAAGGAGAAATGAATGCATCACGAGCTCTAAAAGAAGCAGCAGAAGTGATTGCAGAGTCTCCTCAGGCTCTTCAATTGAGATATCTTCAAACATTGAGTGCTATTTCTGCTGAGAAAAATTCAACCATAATCTTCCCTCTTCCACTAGATATGCTCAGTTCCCTAAAGAATTCTGCATCGTAAAATGTGCTGAAATGTTTTCCTTCATCTTTGTTATATGACATTTCAAAATATATGAAATATGTTGTATCCGATTGTTTTTCAATTGCAATGTCACACATTGTTTGTGATAAATCCAATGTAATCTTGCTATACATTTTATAAAACTACATTTGTATAACTAGCTTTAATGTAGGTTGGCATTACCTGGGTCACAAAATACAAGTCTTTGATGTGTTTAATTTTGCATATTTTTCATATTAATTTGCATATTAATTATGTTTAATGTTCAAAATATTCCCCTTTAATGTGCAATATCTGCAACATTATCATCAATAAAAAATAAATTTGCAATATGTTAGATAGAAAATAAGGTCTATGGACCAGTTTCTGGGTGAATTTCACACAATTTGTTGCATAAAAAATTGATGCATTAACTCCTTTATCCCATGAAAGTTTGAAACTGCTTTAACTCTTCAAAGTTTTTCATGAAGTTGAGTGAGGCAGTTGACAATGAAGTTTATGTGATTGTTGATATTTTGAGAACCAAAAGTGTGTGTAGCTCTGTCAAATATTTTAAGATCTTCAGCTATGTCTTCATCAGGTTCTTCAAGTGATTTTCTTAAGTTCTGCAACATTGTACTGCGTAAGAGATAAAACAAATCAATACAACGAAAGAATTCTTACAAATAAAAACATAAAAAAATGAAAAACACTCACATGGTACTATTGACTGTTTTCTTCCTATCTTCACACTCTACATCAACTATCACATTTTTTTCATCCACTTTTTTATCTTCCATTTTATTTTTCATCTTTTCAACAACGAAATCAGTGGGGAAGTACTCGCAGTTGATGTCGTGAATGCCACTGGCTAAAGTTTGTGCTTCTCTCTCGCACAATCGTGACAGGACATTGACTTTGCTTCCTTTCTTTTTTGTCTTAAGATCATAACGTGACACAAGATCGTTTCCAGTCGTTTTTGAATGACGTAGATAGGCAACCATCTCCGACCGGCCAAAGTACTCAGGATGCTGGCTTCTTCTACGAAGCTCGCCAAGCGTCAACGGTATTGCTTGTAACTTGTTCACAGGGCTGAATAGGTTGTTAACATATGTAACAGTTTCGCTGTCGTCAAGGTTTTCTGTTGCAGCTTTTCCAATATTACCACCAAGGACATCTTGAGATGACTCAGTTAAAGTACTCATTTTTTCTTGTGCATGATTACTGGTTACATCTGAGAGCGGTTTCTTGTAAGTTTGAGACATTCTATGATTTTTCTCATCGCGTACATTTTCAACTTTTCTTCTTTTCCCCGAGTCTATTTTTATTTCATTACTTTCTCTTTTTAGTTTCCAATTTCTACTATCACCCAAACACATAACAACACAAGACGCCATCGTGATACAAGTTGATTCAAACTACGAACAACAGATAAAAAACTGAGTCAGTTCCACTTTGCTAAGATAACAACTTTCTCAGTTGAGAAAGAAAGCGTTTTAAAATAAGAACATTTCAATTTCATTCTAAGCATAATAATTTCACAAATAATAGGTCCTGAACAAATGCATTTATTACAATGAGTTGCTTTGATTAATTTGGGAATACAATCACAATCTTCATCAACCAGAGTAACAAGAAACATTGTAAGTTTAACATGACAATTTTGGCTTCAAATAATTAGAAATTTTCAATATGTTCCAGATGTACTATGAATGGAGTACACAACTTATACTAAAGTCAGTCAACTGTAATGACACGATCAACAATGTTCATCAGGCTCTTAATAATCTCTAGTCATAAAACATCTTGTGAACGTCTCTTCATGCTCAGTTTGACAACGCAACTTGGAACACATGAAACAACAACTAAAATATTCAATGTATCATGCATAGAAAGACATTATCTACAAATATCAACCAATTCTGATAATGATATATCGGCCCGTTAAGGACTTACCTTTAAATCTTGCCTTCCTTAAGTGAACTATGTAAACTTGTAGATTTATTTATCCAGATAACAATTTCAGATTTGATCACAAGGTCATGATGATTCGGCCACGAAGAGAAGACAAACAATAAACTCAACATGCAAGCTTTGTTAATATAATAACCAGAAATTTCAATAGCTCCCTATCGCATTCGATGTATTCAATGCAACTAAACTCCCGTGACGTTCATTATCTAATTATGTTTGCTTGAGCGCGTACCACATATCATAATTAAATATAGCACCATACAACACGTAGCCTTCTTTGAATGTTTCCGTTCTTCAGTCGTCACTAAACTAAAAAAAATGCACTAGTTTGGCATAAAGGTGGAATCAATTCCTGTTTCGTTTCATTTAAATGGTACACAAGATCATTTTATGTCTTAGGGGTAATGATTTAAATATCTTTCATCAATGTGGTCATCAATGCATAACAATGACTTTACTCTTGAATGCGTTTAGAAGGTCGGCAATGATAAAAATTTTCCAATATGTGTTTTATGGGAAGTTTTAAATCGTAACAAAACGAGACATTATCATTGAACTATCTGAAAATTACATTGATTCATATTTATGACAATTAGAATGTCGCAGGCTCCCAGCTGTCCCACTTAACCCTTCACAGATGATTAACCACTAAAAGATAAAGCTGTCTGGAAACACGAACATTACGCAGTAGGCTCTCTTGTGTACTACAACCACTAATTGCAAAAAACAACATAGACAGATAATGAAAAGCTATAAAAGCCAATACAGGATTTGGTCAACTATAAGAAAATGAAAAGTTAAACAGAACGAAAAACATTTTGTAAACATTATTTTGAATGGCAGCAATGTCAGTAAAATACCACAAAAGATGGAAATTGTGTCAAATATGCTATAAACCTAATAGCTATACAGTTAACATTAATGGAAAAATCTCTGGTACAGATGTACCCAACGAAGCATTAAAGATAATATATAATAGATACTATTAAAAAGAAGTTCGTCAAGCTTTTCGTTGGCTAAAATTGTAGTAGAACTTTAAAAAAGCTGTTTGATTTTTACAACTTGTAACTTTATCATGCATAGAGTTTGATATAAAACAAAAACAGCACATCAACAACGAATCTTCTCGTATATTTGCATATTTAAGACCAAAGCATTGTACAATACCTTTTGTTGGCCTCATCATATAACACTTCGTCGGATATATATTTAACATGTTGTAGGTTCAAACATAGTGACTGTTTCTTTGTAAGGAGAGCAAATGAATGCTTGAAAATCATTACAATCATATTAACATGATATTTAAAAAATCTTGATCTGATGACTAAATTTTCAAGCAATTTATTCTATACGCAAACAAAATAGGCTATTTAATGTACTTTAAGTTTCTTGTAGACATATAGCAGGAACAACAAACCAACAACTTCGACGAAAGTTAGTGTCCAAGCCATTGCTATTTTTTCTGTATACAAACTACTCCCAAACAAAGGTCCTGTCAAACCTGCAATTCGATTAAAAGATGTAAGTATTGCGTGTACAAGTCCCTGATTGGCTGCTTCAGTATGTTTGGAGACCAATGATCGTCCTACAACAACAGTGACTGAGATTCCTATACCGGCGAGAAATATAGTTATGAGAAAACTACATAAACAGAGTTTGCTTCCAGGGATGGAGTAACTGAGGATGATAAAGGATAGAGTTGATAAACAACCACATACGACGGCAGACAGCAAGATGACACGGTCGGAAATTTTAGGAGAAATCCACCAAAGAATAACAAGAACTAAGATAATCTCCATTCCCCATACGGTATATAAAATACTGACTTGGTTTACACTCCATGACAGCTCATTTTCCGCAATCAAAGGGGTGATACCTTGAAGGCAAGTATGAAGTACATACATAAAGAAAAGAAGATAAATCAAAGCTACAACGTGACTTTTCGAAAACATATCATAAATAGCGACTTTGAATGATACTTTGGCGGCAATTTCTACAGCTTCTTCTGGTTCACTATCAGATGACGTCAGACTATTCTCCGAAAGCGAGCCGAATGTTGATTTATTAGATTCAACAATTACTTCATCACCATGTGATGTATGATGGGATGCAATGGAATCTTTTCGAAATTGGACATTACTTATGTCTCCTATATCATCATTTTCCACACCATATTTTGCAGCACCATCACTTCCTATAGTTTTCAAGGCAAGAGCATCTTCGACAAAAGACAACAGAGTCTTTTTTGGTTCCTGAGGAGGATGAGAGTCTGCTAATGAACGGACATATTTCTTCTTACTCGTCCGTTTTTCAGGCTGATTGATTGGTTGCGTCTTCGGAGATTTCCGGTGATCTTTCGATCTCTTTTTCTTGAGTTGTTTTGCTTGAGAAGATTCTAGATTGACGGGAGGCTCTTCGTGAAGCAGATGATAATTGTTTTGTAGTTCTAGCGATAAGTCAAAAACACAGAAGATCATAAGTAAAGAGACAACAATCCAAATAAAACCCATCACAAAACCTGGTGATGTTCTGTAGTCAATAAACCACGAACCAATACTGAAATCAATATTGCGTAAAACAAGATTAAAAGCAGGTCCAACTGCAGCACCAAGGAGATTGCATCCTTTCAAAATGGCGAAGAAGCGTGTACGTTGTTCATTTGTCGTGACTCTAGTCATTTCACCCCACATTGCAGAGATGAAACCTTCTCCAAAACCAGCTATCATGCGACCAAGCAGAGGAAAGCCCACCCAAAATGGCAAGGAATACATGAAGTTTCCCACAATTTCAGCAATGTTCCATAAAAAGCAAATCCATTTTACTTTACGGGTGATATCAGCTAACCGTCCGACTATAGCTGTACTTAAAATACCCACCATGTTATAAGCAGACAGCACCAATCCAAGATACCAATATTGTACATGGAATATTTTCAAATACAGCCATACAGAAGGAAATATTACGGCATATTCAACACCCATAAAAAACATGCGGGTTGAAAATGCAATCATTGTCAAATTGCGTTTTTCGATGAACTTTAGCTTTCTCATGATATGAAATTGTAATACCTGAAAGTAAATAACATTTAAAACATTGGCAAGTTGTAGAACTTTTGGAGCGTGTCAAATTACGTTTAATTGTGCAATGTTTGTATGGAAGCGAAATCTTTCATATTCCGCAATCGTTATGTTGATGGTACAAGAAAAGTAAAGGTTCAACCATAGAACGAATTATTCCTTATGAAATGAGCAGGATATACGACACACAGCGATTAATAAAAAGCGACCGATTATAGTAACATTATTCAGTGAGCGAGCGCAACTCATCCTTCCTCAAACGACAAATGAAGCGCAACATATGCAATCTCTTGTGATGTAATTTGAGATCCTCTCCATTATATAGAACATTCAGTAAAGAATTTCAAAGATCTTACCTTCGATTTATAAATTTTACCACACAAACACACACATCACGCCTTACCAATTATCAATGTTCACTTATATTTTCAGGGGGAGGGTACAGGTATTTTCAAGGGTTAGAGGAATGATTAACGATGTTGCACTTGGTACAGGTCAGCTCTTCTATTGGTGGATTTAATATCCGTTGAACGCAAAAAAAGGTTAAAAAGGTGAATGAAGAGTTATCTAAAATGCTGTTATCGCAAGACTGCCAAAATATTTCTATTAAGTTCAGTGAGAAAAGATCAAGTTAAAATATCTCAAATGTTTGCTAAGGATGATGATTTTGAAAAGAAGAAACGACAGGAAATATATATTTCAAACCAATATCGCCTCATTTAACTCATATTACTGGATGTAACTATTATCTGAGGTGTTGCTAAAGTGGAAGAATACATTTAATCTGAGAATGTCGTTTGGCCACAAGAGAAGAAAAGAAGCACCAAACACATTGAAATGAAAGAATTTTCTCTCTGTTGAGCGGAAGATAATATTCTCTATAGCAAAACCAATATGGAAACATGATGCACGTGTTTCCTCATGACTGATAAAGAAGAATGAATAGTTCATTAAATATTCATTTCCATCGGACGAGAAAACATTGATGCATGACTCTAGCTTCGTATAATGTGGCCACAAATGACAGAAATATTTACTGGGATACGAGTATACTTATGGTAAAGTATGCACTGCAGTAAAGAACATTACATAGAGATTATGGTGAACAGTACAATTTTTGGCAAAGTAAAAGCAAAGCGCCTCAAGATTTAGGGGGGAAATATGGTAAGGAACTAAGGTTTGATAATGTCTGCAAATTTGTAATGTCATTTTAACCCAACGCAAGTAGATCCATAACATTATATATGCTCAAATGTAACTTAGTTGAATTTTTTGAAAGATAAATATGTATATATTTGTTCTACGTTGTTAGACATGCTATTTTTAGGAAGATCATCTCGATTTATTTGATGAAGACATTCAATTTTCTAAGAAAAAGATCGTGACAAGTAAAAGCTAGAGACACGAGGGAAAGTTTGTAAGTTTATTTACTGATTTCACCGAGTTTTTACGGTGGAATCACTAAATAAACCACATAGTTTCTCAAATATTCAACGACGACGGACAAATGAAAGGCCAAGGTCGTTTTGAAAAAATATTGTCAATTATATCGACTTTGCAATTGCTGTACAAGAAGACTACCAAATAATTCATTAGATATCTGAAGGGAAAAGTTATCGTACACTTCGGCTTAAGTATTTTCTTATAAGAATAGTAAATTACACTGAGAATACAATGCACGCTGTAGATGTTAAATTATAGAATCATTTTATAAAACGAGTCCGAGTTAATATGAGTATATGAACTTTGTGTTGCTAATGAAGATAGTTTAGATGGAATGATATGATTTTGCACAGCTTTGTAAAAATACTAGAAGATTGCGCTTTGATGTGAAGAATGAGTAGAAACAATAAATTTCGTGCAAACTGCAAAGCATAGATGTTGTTGTTATACGAATTTAAACATGAAATTCATTGTTTTTATGGTTTATGAAAACTTGAGCGTTTTTATTCATCATTCGAACGGAATGACCAAAGACACGCCCCATATAAACGAGCATTTAGATTCGGTTTATTTTGTCATGCGATTGGAAAAGAAGTCAACGAGGTTTGTTGGATAATAACGAGCATCAGGGCGAGCATAGTATCGTACAAATGTAAAAGTACTGAAGTTTACTATTCTTTTTTTAAAGAAAACATTAATTTATGGTGTCTCCAAGACCAAACAAGTTCCTGAAGACATCAGACATAAATTAAATCAGGGAGAAAATATTGTTTAAAGTTATATTCTAAATTGTACGAGCTACAAAAGGAACTTTGCTTATGGAAGACGATAAAAATTGAATGTAAAACGTGAAAAAAAATGTAACGAATGAATGGAATGGACTATTGACCTTGGTAAAGAATACTGAACAACAACAGCCTACATTGGTCGACTTCAAACTCTGCAATGCCATTTTAATATCAAGTATAAAGAACACTTGGTAGTCATAAGATCATAGACAGTCAAGCGGTAAAATATCTCAAATCTGGGTAATGGAGCATTCATGCAAGGCAAACATCTTGACTAAACAAACAATTACTAATTTGCGGCTGTACCATTGGTTGTTAGTACACGGATACTAACCAATCAGATAGCAGATGTTTCATGGTTAGTATTCAAATAAAGAATATTCATACAGGCGTAAAATATGCAACAATTTGTACATCACAACGAACAGACTCAAATGAAGAGTTGACAAAAGAAACTATTGTGAAAGATTCTGGACTCAGTACAAAAAAAAAACAAGTAAAGGTATAAAATTTTTGAACAATTTTTCAGGATAATAAAACAGTGATGAGAAGAGGTGGATGTGTTATACAATGAAGTTAAGGTCTGCAATGTCGGTCATTGTTCAGTACAAGCCCCCTGCTTCGAGAAAGCATTGCAAAAAAGCGTTTTTTAAGTTATATAATATTTATCGTGTAATGTTGGACAAAATAGCAAATACAATAGACATATTTATATCGTGTTGTGTGTTTGGCAATCTTTATGCCAAATAACAATACAGAACGTTCCCTTTAAATCAATGAAGGAGAGAGTACATTCTTTAAACTTGGAGGTCAATCGATATGCAAATCACGCAAAGCTTAATGATCATGTTTACTGTCACTCGTTAAGGTATATAATCACAAAACAATAACTCTTCATAAATGTGCTAGAATGTTGACATTCAACGTGAGTATGAAAAAACATGTTGAAGCAAAAGATGTAAGAAAGTTAAATTGTATATTGCACAATTTTTAAATAACTTGTGGTTTTAATGCTTCGGTAATTTCTCATTTTAAATCATTTGAATTTACAAAACAAGTACTGCTAGAGACGGGGGGGAGGAGATTTCATCGTCAATCGTCATCGTATTGAAATAACTAAAAATATCCCAGAATAAAATATTAACTGAAACGTCACGACCAGTGGAGGTTCGTTCATTATAAAACTTAGTAGTTAAGATAATAGTTATCACAGGTATGATTTCTTTTAGTAGTTACTTATCACGAATAATGTCAGACAGACTGACAACCTGCCATTACTACATGTAGAGACCAAACATTGTTCTAGACTCAAGCACCGTTAAAAAGCTCTCACTAGTAAAAACACACATCATTTTTGATGGAAACGAAACTTGAGAAAAAGCAGTAGCGAATATTTCTGGTAAATAACACATGACGGGTCTATAAAGAGTCGGTAAAGATGTGAGTCCAAAGGACCTGCCAGTTGATGTAATCACGAGGTAAAAAAAGGGTAAACAAATAACATGATAGAGATAAGAGACTTAGCGAAGTGATGTTGAATGAAAGGTGGGAGAATGCATCAAAAACAACACATGAAACCACATTTATATTTCATTTCTCGAAATATCTACTTGCGTTAAGAAGTTCTCATCATTTAGTTAATTACCACAATTTAACCACAAAAGTTGCATTTTTCTATTTCAATCTTAAGCGAAATGACTAGAAACATTTCAATATAAAATGGAGTTGGTTAATGCTTTTAAACAAAACCCTTGATCAAATGGATTGTTGAACGGAAAGAGCGTTTACAACACGAAAATTATTATTCATATAAAAATTGACCTTCGCTGAAATGAATAGTAAACGCCTTGAAGACGCCAGGGCCAATATTTTAAATTAGTTTCAATTCATATGAATAGAAGTAATAATACGTGACTAGCACTGGAACTCACTAATGTTAATTTGCCGACCCGACAGTGAGCGAAGATACAAACACGACATTTAATGCAATTTTCTCCTCTTAGAAATTGAAAATGAACCCTTCTAAAAGATCACTTCCAGTAGAGTGGCCACTGACCAGATGTACTGCAGACGATATAGAAAGGGTCGCATCAGCCTGCAAAGAGTCCATTCTCGTCAAATCAAAACGACGAAAAACAGAAGATTGTAGTCCCACGAAGAAATTGGAGATTTTACCATTAACGCACCAGGAAACCAGTTGCCATCAAATTTTCAAATCTTTGGATCAAGAAGAGACAAGCTGGTTGTTAAAGGATGTACACAACGCAAACAAAAATTTTATTTCTGTTGAAAGGATGGCCGAGAAATTAAAAGAGAAAGATGACGTTGGGACGACTAAAGAATCACTAAAATCTTTAAAGTAATGTGGCTTAATTTGTTGTGTGTTTAAACTACGTTCATTTTGTCTAAAACACCACGTCACATTATAAGGTGCTACTGAAGCATTGAAGCACTACAAACGTCATTTGATTTCCTTTAGATTTCTTTTGGAGGACTTAAAGAAAAGCATCAGTCAACCTGATGATGACATTGCAAACGATCTCGACAAGTTTGACGAAGTTTCGTCCAACTTTGGTGTAAAAAACATACTCAACAGCCTCACGTTATTTGACCTGTGTTTCTCTCAATTACAGGTAGAACTCGAGAATTAGAGAAGAGCTTTTGTATAATTAATATCCTGCACGTACGAAAATAATTGCATAGTAATATTTGTAGATCAGATTGTGATAGATTATTCGTGAAATCAGTAAATAAACTTGTATCAAAGCAATCAAAGTTTTAGCTTCATTGATTTAAAATCCCATCTTTAATATGATAAATAGCAGGTAATCTTTACAATATAACAAAGGCATGCAAACTCTCATGCTAACAATTATGTAGCTTCTTATGACTTTCTAAACTTGTTTTTATCTTTAATCATCTTCAGCTAAACGGTTTTAGACAACAGCATGACTTTCAAGAAACAGGCCGTCGCAAACGCAAGGTTTTACACTATCTCAGAGACCCCATGAAGAGAGGTGTAACACCTTCCTAAGGACGTTGTGAAGGGAGTGTATGACACCTTCCTAAGGACGCTGTGAAGGGAGGGTATAACACCTTCCTAAGGACGTTGTGAAGGGAGTGTATGACACCTTCCTAAGGACGCTGTGAAGGGAGGGTATAACACCTTCCTAAGGACGTTGTGAAGGGAGTGTATGACACCTTCCTAAGGACGCTGTGAAGGGAGGGTATAACACCTTCCTAAGGACGTTGTGAAGGGAGTGTATGACACCTTCCTAAGGACGTTGTGAAGGGAGTGTATGACACCTTCCTAAGGACGTTGTGAAGGGAGGGTATAACACCTTCCTAAGGACGTTGTGAAGGGAGGGTATAACACCTTCCTAAGGACGTTGTGAAGGGAGGGTATAACACCTTCCTAAGGACGTTGTGAAGGGAGGGTATAACACCTTCCTAAGGACGTTGTGAAGGGAGGGTATAACACCTTCCTAAGGACGTTGATTTGGGAGGGTATGATCCATTCCCAAGGACGTTGTGAAGGGAGGGTACGACACCTTCCTAAGGACGTTGATTTGAGAGTGTATGATCCATTCCTAAGGACGTTGTGAAGGGAGGGTATGACACCTTCCTAAGGACGTTGATTTGGGAGGGTACGACACCTTCCTAAGGACGTTGATTTGGGAGTGTATGAACCATTCCTAAGGACGTTGTGAAGGGAGTGTATGATCCATTCCTAAGGACGTTGTGAAGGGAGGGTATGATCCATTCCTAAGGACGTTGTGAAGGGAGTGTATGATCCATTCCTAAGGACGTTGTGAAGGGAGGGTATGACAAGCTTCCAAGGGACTTTAAAAAGTGAGAGTATAACACTTTCCTAAAAATATCGTTAATGGAGGGAAAAACATCTTCCAAGGGATAAATTTGTCAGCAAAATTTAAATTTGTCGGCGTTTATGCTTCTTAACGCCAAAACATTAATCAAATAAATCACTCCAAATAATCACATTCATTTCAAGAGATTTGAATTTCAACCACTCCTAAGTCAACTCCCTACCTTCACGACGGCGCTGTCAAGAAAATCGCGTAAAAGCACACAATATTTTGAGCTGCAATCTTCGACGAAAACCAAACTTGCCTTTTAAACAGTTCAAACGAAGATTTGTTATAATCTACTTATTTTTTACTAAACTACTAATCAGCTCTATCGGCAACGGAAATATAATTGTTGAATTTTTCTCAGCCGAAATCGCAGTGAGGGTCTGTAAATAACGTAGTTGTAGAGCCTGCGGTGATTCAGAGATCACTTCAGCGGCTTCTTTTAGAGCCCGTGATGCATTCATTTCACCTTCAGCGGCAATTACCTAAAAAATAAATGTAGAAGTGTTTGATAAAACAAGTTAAAAATTATTCACACAACAAAATTTGACGCAACAAAATTTCACTAAACGAAATTTGACTCAACGAGATAATTAAAGCATAGCAACGAACATTTGTAAACCTTACCTCAAAATCTTGTATAACATAAATAAGGGTAAAAACAGCTTTGGCTAAAATTTGCATTCTTTCCATGAATGTAAAAATGCAGTTTCATAAAACCTCTCCAGTAATATATTCAAAAACCTCGACAAATTCGAAAATCTCAATGTAGCCGAAAGCAGTTAAAACGCATCTCCCAATGAAAGTAAGCATTTAAGTCAAGAGTAAAACGTTATCAATGATTAAAGAGAATCATTTCAATACGCAGTTTCCGAACATCGACATGTGAAAAGACTACATGACGGACGTAATAAATGTTGACTTTAAGTTAAAAAAAAGTATATGAATAAATACCTTTGCTCTTGCTTCTCTCGCTGCCTCAGCTTCGGCTGCCATTGCTCTCTGGAGTTGCTGTGGTAGACGAGCATCTTTACTGTAAAAGAAAAAGAAAAATTATAAAACCTGGAAACGACATTAATTATTTCTAAGATCATCAAAAGATCAAAGTTGACACTATTACATTTGTTTATTATGCATTTCAACTTGACGGAAATATTATCTACGTATATCTAAATCATATTTCTTATTTAAACCACTCATGAAGACGGGGGGAGGGAACAAACGCAGTACTACTAAATTATCTACGTATCTAAATCATATTTCTTATTTAAACCACTCAAGAAGACGGGGGGAGGGAACAAACGCAGTACTACTAAATTATCTACGTATCTGAATCATATTTCTTATTTAAACCACTCAAGAAGACGGGGGGAGGGAACAAACGCAGTACTACTAAATTATCTACGTATCTAAATCATATTTCTTATTTAAACCACTCAAGAAGACGGGGGGAGGGAACAAACGCAGTACTACTAATGACACATTGTACATGTCTGAAAAAGAGAAGGAAATAATAAAGCTAAGGTTACATAAAATATCTATTATACAATGTTTTAAAGACAGAGGCTTAAAATCTAAAAGCAATTATATGAATGGAAAACAAAAAAAGTTAACGTAGTCTGATGGTTTTGAAATAAAACTGAAATATTACACTTTTAATTGTCTCGTTTAATAACGTGAATCTAAGTTGGCCAGTTGTCCTTTTTTGGATTATGTTTTATTTTATATCTTATGAAATTGTTGTCTGGTCTAGGATTAATGTAGTTCGACACAAATCTTTCTCATTCTAATCATTTCAAACCTAACAATTCTGCAAACTAAAAATAGAAGAAATTTATTTTAAATTATTATAAATATTTTCATTTCTTACACTTCCACACGTTCAACTTTGACACCCCAACCATCTGTTGCTTCATCAAGTGTTGTCTAGTGAAATAATCACATTCAAATTATAAATGAAAAATTTTATGAATTGTATTCTTTCTGTAGCATATAAAATGTTTTGTTCAGAACACTACATACATACAACCAGCTGATCTTAAAAACATCACACACCTGAATGCTGTGACTGATGGTTTCTCGTTCTGAGAGAATCTCACTTAAGCTTCTTGTACCAAGGACATTACGAAGTGTTGTTTGAGCCAATAGACGAGTAGATCTACTAGCATTCTCCACATTTATAATGGCCATTGTGGCATTATAAATTTTGTAGTAAACAACTGCATCCACAGAAACTGTTACACTATCTTTTGATAAAATCTACAAGAAAATGATGAATCATGTAAAATATTGACACAACTTTTATAATCTGAACATAAAGAAATATACATGATTGACTACCTAATGTTGTGGGCATATTTCCATACTTACTTCCTGTGGGGGTACATCAAAAGACACAACACGAAGATCAACATTTTGATAAGAATCAATGCAAGGCAAGATGAAAAATAGCCCTAGCAAAAACAAACATGTATTATCCACAAATGTTGGATTTTCAGGGATATTGATGATGTATTAAGAAGGACCTATAAATAGGAAACTACACTACAGTGAGAGCCCAAACATGACATTAGATATTAACTATTAAAGACGGATCAGGTTGTTGTCAATGGATCAAGGTAAAAGAAGGCGTTTACAATTGATAAGAGGTGTTATAATGGACGTTTTTGAAAAGAATTATAAAAAAAATGAAATACATTACCTGGACCTTTAGCCCCACCAGGAAGAAGTTGTCCAAGACGAAAAATAACGACACGTTCATATTCTTGAACTATCTATTTAAAATACAACATCATCCATTATTCATCACCATCATATTCATATAAATGCAAAACCACGCAACAAAACTTACTCGAATGCAAAAGAAAAGAGAAAATGGAAAGGTGATGATGACAAGAATGTACGACAGAATTGTTAAGATCAAGTCACACAATTCAAGACCTTTATTTGTTTTCTCAACATCAGTTAAAGGATTTTCTGTTAAACACATAAAATAATTATTAAAAGTACAACAACCAATTATTAAGTTGTATTTCTGAATAAAAATCATTGGACAGATATAATTTTTTAAGAATAGCAAAGAGTACAGCCAAAATAAACGACATGCAATGCCATTATAAATCACCGCAATAAAAACATGACCTGTATTAAGTATACACATCTGGGACGTGTTGCACAAAGCCTGGAGGATAGCGTTATCCATTGGATAGCAATATTTTTCAAGCTTTTATAAAACCTTTTAACATGCAAAAAATATAAGATTTGAACTGAGCAATCACTGAAATAAAATATTGTTTCAAAGATTACGAAATTTCTTTGTCGTAAGAAAAATATAAACACCTTTTTTAAATATTTGAAAACTTTCGCTATCCAAGCTCCGTGCAACTGGTCCCTGAGATAAAAGGACAAACAGTCAGGACATAAAATCAGGCATTTATATAATTATGTTGACTTAACAGCAAAACAGCAAAATTTATTTCCAATGTTGACTTCTGGCAAAGCAATCAATCGCACCTTTGGCATGCGTTCAAGGATACGAATAAATTTATAGCAGTATTGTTATTTGACTTTCAAGTATTCACAGAGAAAATGAACATCTTACCTTCCGGGGCAACAGACTTATGCAAAACCCGACTGGCCATGTTTTAAAATAAAGAATATGCTGAAAGTGCAAAAATGACTAACTGATCTCAAAGACAGCTGACAAATGGAGTGTGATATATAATTTGTATAAATACATAAATTTGAAAGTTATCTTCTTTACAAAAATTCCAGATGGCCCTCGATAATATTTGAGCCATGAAAGTGCGCATATCTGGCAAGCGTGTATTCTGAAAATACTCAAAATTTTCACAGATGTTTATGTATGGTCGAAGGTAGCGTCCTTTTTCAAATTCCCCAAACGCAAAATTCACTTTAATTTACATTATCATTGCAATAATTTCAATCAATCATTATTATAAAAAATTCCCGAAAGCATTTTATTAAAGAAATGATTAACGAGAACTTTAGCACAAGATGTAAGCAACATAAACACAAACATCTACACTCGTTGTTTCAAATAGTTGAAAATATGAAACAGTAAAATACTGAAGATGAATGGTCAACGAACTGAACCAAATGAAGAATGGCAAAGATGAAATTTCCCATTAAATGCAAAACAGCATTTTTTTAATGAAGTTTAAGTTGTAAATTTAGTTAAATGACTGTTATTTAGTTTGACACTGAAATACACTTTAAAATTTTACTAACAGTAAATTCACCTGAAATTTCATTAATAGGAAGACCTTCGTCAATAGACCTGTCCGGAATTTCGATTGCTTCCATATCTTCTTCCGTTGACATGATTGAACGTCTCCTCTTTGTCCTTCTGTTCACAGGATGACTGACAGATAACTTTAACAGCACTGCTGATATATAATGATATTCAACGTTCTCCAGCTGAACTAAAGTGAAATTGTCATGAATTAATTATGGCTGGCTGTTAGAGAGCCTAAAATTTTTTAAATTTGATACACATGTCACGATTTTAAAGTCCAACGTGTAATATTATACCCAAATCAAGGATTATTTTGAACAAAACAAAATACAATGTACTTTAACTTATTTAAAACTGCTGCAAACTATTTTGATGCCATCACAACCATATGTAAAATGCAAATAAACTTTATACGCAATATTGATAAGATGTTAAGACAAGATATTATATATACAAAAAGGTGTTAAATTACTACTAATGGAAGCGGTGTCGAATGGATACATGATAAGGAAGTTAGGAAGTAAAATAAAGAGAAATTAAGAGGTTAAGTGGAATGGAGTTTCCTTGCACATTAAGTGAAGGCTTGTGTTTATTGATTAGAAGGCTTTCATGAATGGATAGTTCATAAGTATCGTTGGAAGAGGAGATTATTTTAAAGTCGTCTAAGTTGGGGTGTGTCCAGTTGCGTTAATGTGAGCAAGAATGCTTGATGATGCAGGGTGGGAAACTTGGTTGCCTGTAAGGGGGGATATTCCCAAGTGCTCCGAAAATCTGGTGTGTAGATGACGTGTGGTTTGACCCACGTACGAGGCGTTGCAGCTTCGACACTTGAATAAATAGACTACACCAGATCTCAGAGGTTTGGGAATTTTGTCCTTAAAGGGGAAGAAAGAAGAGATACGTTGAGAAGGGCGGAAAACAAATTTAATGGATATATGTGGGAAGGCTGCAGCACAAAGGCTATTGATTTGTGTGCGAATTTGAAGGGAGTGTCTGCCGGTGAAAGGAAGACAGAAATAGATGGGCATTTTATGAGCAGTCAAGACAGGTGGTTTAGGGGCAAAGGTGTTGTTAAGGAAGCGACGTGTGATTTGGTCAATTATGCGTGAAGGAAAACCGTTTTTGGTGAGTGACTTTCTGGTAAATTCGAGTTGTGTATGAAAATTTTCGTAAGTAGAGCAAAGATTGAAGATGCGGTGAAGTAAGCAGGAGACTAATGAAAGTTTGTAAGTAAGTGGGATGAAGCTGTGGAAGTTATTGAAAAGGCCAGTGAAAGTAGGTTTGCGGGAGACGGAAGTGGTGAATTTTCCATTAGTACGAGAGATATCAATGTCAAGAAATGAGAGGTTTCTGTTTTGTTCGACTTCAGCTGTGAATGTGATGTTAGGGTGTTGTCGGTTCAGATAGTCAAGAAAGAGAGGGACGTGATCGGAGGAATGAAAAAGTAAAAAACAGTCGTCAACGTAGCGTCGGTAAAGTAGTGGTTTGAATGAAGAAGGACATTTATTGAGCCAGGATTTTTCGTGAAAGGACACAAATCAATAGCCTTTGTGCTGCAGCCTTCCCACATATATCAATTAAATTTGTTTTCCGCCCTTCTCAACGTATCTCTTCTTTCTTCCCCTTTAAGGACAAAATTCCCAAACCTCTGAGATCTGGTGTAGTCTACTTATTCAAGTGTCGAAGCTGCAACGCCTCGTATGTGGGTCAAACCACACGTCATCTACACACCAGATTTTCGGAGCGCGGGAATATCCCCTTACAGGCAACCAAGTTTCCCCTGCATCATCAAGCATTCTTGCTCACATTAACGCAACTGGACACACCCCCAACTTAGACGACTTTAAAATAATCTCCTCTTCCAACGATATTTATGAACTCTCCATTCATGAAAGCCTTCTAATCAATAAATACAAACCTCCACTTAATGTGCAAGGAAACTCCATTCCATTCCTCTTTTAATTTCTTATTATTTTACTTCCTAACTTCCTTACAATATTGATAAGTTTATAGTTTTGTACGTTTCTAAATATTCTTTAGCAGCAGTAAACATACTTATTACTCACAGGAAAAACATGTCATCTCTCTATTTCGCCTTTCATTTATACAAAAAACCAAAAAAAAATCATAAATAAACGTTATTAACACGCACACTGTCAACAGTGGCAGATCTAGTGTATGTCAAAACAAATTTCAGCTCCTCCATTTTAAATTCAAATTACTTTCAGAAAAGCAGTATTGGGATGGCCATATGATAGTCATTATTCCAAGAGACAGTATAGAAGTTATATAGGATTGTCAGTTTGTAGCAACAACGAAATAAGCAGAGTTGTACGAAAAGAAAACACTTACAAGTCACACCAGCATCCTCCTCAAAAGCACGGAGTGAATTCATATCATCTTCAGCAATGATCACACATGTAAAAGATAATTTACCATACATTACAAAAGCATTCAACGTAACGCAAACTTTTCTCTTAATAATACAGCCGAAGCTGCCATTGTTTATCAATGAGATAGAAAATAAGTGTTTACAAGCTTATACTTAATCTTTTCATATTTACGTAGAACCACAATTGAGATTATAAACTGAATGTATAAAACAAACGTTTTTATTGCCGAAACATGTTTGCAGTAAAGAAGTTTATTTTGTACATTCAGTTTATACTTAATCATGATGAAACAATACACCACAGCCTTTGTCGCTTTTTCTATTGCTTTATTATGTTTATAATCAGAAAAAGACTGAGCAGAAGGAATGATGTTGGCCAGAGAAGAGAATGATGATAGCTGAGAAAAGAATGATGGTGCCCAGAGAAAAGCATGATGGTGCCCAGAGAAAAGAATGATGGTGCCCAGAGAAAAGCATATTGTTGCCTAGAGAAAAGCATGGTGATGCCCAGAGAAAAGCATGGTGTTGCCCAGAGAAGAGCATGGTGGTGCACAGAGAAAAGCATGGTGTTGCCCAGAGAAGAGCATGGTGGTGCCCAGAAAAAACACGGTAGTACCCAGAGAAAAGAATGATGGTGCCCAGAGAAAAGCATATTGTTGCCCAGAGAAAAGCATGGTGGTGCAGAGAAAGAATGATGGTGCCAGAAAAGATGATGGTGCTGAGAAAAGCATGATGGTTAGCAGAGAAAAGAATGATGGTGCCCAGAGAAAAGAATGATGGTGCCCAGAGAAATATTGCAGAGAAAAGCATTGTTGCAGAAAAGCATGGTGGTGCTATAGAGAAAAAGCATGTGTTGCAGAGAAAAGCATGTTGGTGCCAGAGAAGCATGTTGTTGGAGAAAAACATGGTGGTGCACAGAGCATATTGTTGCTGGAGAAACATGGTGGTGAGAGAAAAGCATATTGTTGCTTAGAGAAAACATAGTTAGAGAGAAAACATATGTTGTTAGAGAAAAGCATGGTGGTGCACAGAGAAAAGCATATTGTTGCCCAGAGAAAGCATGGTTAGAGAAAACATGTGTTGCTTAGAGAAAAAGCATGGTGGTGCTGGAGAAAACATATTGTTGCCCAGAAAAGCATGGTGAGTGACAGAGAAAAGCATGTGTTGCTGAAAGCATGATGGTGCCCAGAGAAAAGCATATTGTTGCCCAGAGAAAAGCATGATGGTGGTAGCAGGAGAAAGAAAGCGTGTGCTTGAGAAAAGCCTGGTGGTTACAGAGAAACATGGTGCCAGAGAATGATGGTGGTGCCAGAGAAAAGCATGGTGGTTAGAGAAAAGCAGTGGTGGAAAATGTGAAGAAAAATATGGTTGCGAGAAAAGCAAATGGTGCTGCAGAAAAGAATGATTGCAGAAAAGCATGGTGCCAGAGAAAAGCATGGTGCCCAGAAGCATGGTGTTGCCCAGAGAAAAGCATGGTGGTGCACAGAGAAAGCATGGTGTTGCAGAGAAAGCATGGTGGTGCCCAGAAAACAGGTAGTGCAGAGAAAAGAATGGTGGTGCCCAGAGAAAAGCATATTGTTGCCCAGAGAAAAGCATGGTGGTGCACAGAGAAAAGAATGATGGTGCCCAGAGAAAAGAATGATGGTGCCCAGAGAAGAGCATGGTGTTGCCAAAAGAAAATTCTGGAAAAAATTGTAAATTTCTCGTGAAAACTCTACTGAATTCATCCATTTCGTGATGTAGAAAACATTTCGTTTAAAAAAATATAACGTTCATTGTCACTTGCCTTTCTTTCATTAACATTCATGTTTAACTTCATCATTCTTCTTCTACACAAACAAACAACTTGAAAAAACATTTCACAGTCACAATTTCAACAGGATTGAACAATATGTGGGATAATTTCGTCCTACATTATTGTTCGTGTAACGACTTAAGACTAAAAAACTGATGACAATATAAATATCCGCTGAGATAACAGTAGCACAATGTAGGAAAAATATCCACGAAGATAAGCAAATTATTCAATAAAATTATCATAATAGCAATAGATCACTTAAATGCATAAAAATAGTGAAAGTACGCGCGTGCATCTCAATTCTACTTTAAATTAAATTTTGACTCTAAACAATTGTCTTAATGGTAAAATACTATAAGGGCAGTGTACCAGCCACAAATTTGCACCATCACTATAAAGAGAAAAAATTCTACACAATACTTCATGTTTTCACAAATCAAATGTCTTCATGATGACGTAAGTTAAGTCGTACTTTCTCCACCATTAATGTAACAATCCTCATGAACTCTTCGACATTAAATGCAAAATTTCTAAACTTCAAATTATCGCCATATTTTTCGTGCTTATTCTGTTTAAAAAGTAGAAAAATAAACATTGAAAATGAGAAGACGGATGACGAAGATAAATGTTTCAGCAACTTTATACCCACGTACCTCCGTTTTTTCCACGAGCTTATCTTCGTTTTCCCAAGTGTAATAGTTTAGGCCCCTTAGGAAATACATAGTAGTGATTGGTTATCTGTCAATACTTTGAACGAGAAAAGAAAAATTTACCTTAATCTTGCAAGATCTTTATAACAATTTGGATCGCCACAGTTATATCTTTGTAATAGAAAGTAGAAATTATCTTAAATAAAAAATCAATAAAACAAGTTCACAAGGCAGAGATTTACACTTACATCTCAAAGACAGCTGCCCAATCTGGCATGAACAACAAGTGAGTAAGACCTGCTCCGTGCAGGCCAATAAATATGTCCAAATTATGACTGTTCTAGGAGATGGTTAGATGAAGCTCAGATTTTTTCAAACATGTTTTCATAAAAATTCAATGGTAAATTTCACCTTTATTTGATCAATAAAAGGCATCTTCCTGCAAACGAATAAACGAACATACTTTAAATAAATGAACGATCGATGTATGGCAATATAGCTAACTCAAGTTTCAAAGGTCGCAAAATTACCAATTGTAATTGAGAACTTCAAAGCGAGTGCCCACAAGACCTCCAAGAGCTTTCTCAATCTATTTAATAAACATGAAGATTTCGTCATTACACACGTAAAGGTATGTGTTCTGTGCAACGTGTGTTTCCATGTAATATTCCATTACTTCGTTTTGATTTAAAATTTTTCGATATGCAGTTCCTCTTGATAATAAGCCAATACGAATTGGTTGATCAAGATTCTACAAGACAAATTGAAAGTTTTAAGTAAGTCATTTTATGAGAAATTACACAAAAATCTAGTGTAAGAACCGTGACGTTTCTCTCTTGCGTTATCTGAAGTCGTTCCATTAAAAAGCGATTGAAAGCTTTAAAAACACCGGTCTTGAAGCAGCCAGGTACCTAAAGGCACATAACAGACGCTAAACAACACACAAAAATGATATAACAATAAATATAGCAACACTCACCAGAGGCGTGTTATAAAACAGTCCAAATACCATTCTTGGCAGTAAAGCAAATATTGCATCTTTAAAACACACCTATATTGCCATTAAATTGCCAAAAACACAGCATTCAAAGCATGAAACTACAAACCTTTTCATAATCGTCACTTTAGCTATATACAGACCTTTTTATTTCGAAATGCATCGCCCAAATAGAGAACTTCATTGTCAGTAAATGCTTTCCAAGTTACTCCAAAATTTCCCAAGCTACGTCTTTTGTTCTATTGAATAAAGAAACTACATTAATGACACAGGAGTGCATAAAGAAGGTGAAATGTGCTTCTTACTTCTTCCCATAGTACAATGTTAATATCTTTGCTAAAAGATCCATTGACATGTAAAGTCAGATAAAGGTTGAAAAAATCACAAAAATGATGATACATGTTCACAACTAAATTAAAACAACAAAAATATTACATGAAGTATCAGTGGAAACAGTAAGTGTCAACAAACACGGTGTGTATACATATATATATATATCAAGAGGTTTGGTCAAGGTTTTGTTAATGCAGGGAGAAAATATAAGCTTGGGTGTAGCCTCAAATTCTGAATGTTGCTTAGTGATAACAACGTATATTGTGATAGGTTAACGTACATATAGAGAAAATGGTTGTTTTCTGAAAGAAGACAAATAAATGGCATTAAGTGTACCCATAAGACAGTTCAATAAATTCCAACTAAGTTTATCTTAGATAACCTTAAACATAGAGAATTAAACTCATTTGGGTGCTGCTTGGAATATGAAAACTAGGCTAGATCTTGGTTTTGGCTCAGAGAAAAAATTATGCTTGGTTTCGGCTCAGAGAATATGAAAGAAAAAATTGTTGACATACCTGCATCAAGTTTCATAAAATATGTTGGCTTTTCAACAATCACATCACAATGGTTATCATTTGTAGGTTGGAAAGGTAATGACGAATAATTCTCAATGTCACTGATCCTAAAGATATATATAATTTACCATATATTGTGACAACACATTACACCAACACAATAATGACAATAACATTTCATGATAACCAACCAAGATGAAAGAGTCATCCGATGAGCATCCTTATTTTCTGTCGGTGAGGGTAAATAATTGTATTGACAATGACCGCCAATTTCTCCTTTCTTTAATTTATTATCTCTTAGCCTAAAATAACAAAAATACAACTACATGAATCATTAAATATTACAGTATAAACAAGTATTTGATATTACCATCCATGACTATTTTGCATACTTCGTAAATCCAAAAACAAATGTTTTGCATGACAGTACGTAATGTCTTTTGAGCAAACAAATGAGGAGTCATTCTGCAAAGAATAACATTATTAAATTAGCAATTGTTACATCTTCCAAATCTTAAATTACATAGGTTATCTTCATTTTTTAATAAAGAAAAATTCTTTTCTTCGTATCCTGAAATATTCATTACATAAACAAATGAAATACCTCTTTTTGCCAAACAAATTGGTACAAGACTATCTTGAACATTTTTCACAAAACCAAAATCAGCTTGTCTCCACCATGCATTTCTCTTGTCTTCCATACTAACAAAAATATTGACAATGAAACACATAAAAATGTCACCTTAGTAAATAGCCATAAATTAGAAATAATTACGTTTCAAATCTTCGATAGCCTTGCTCATCATTACAATTTGGTTTTAAATACCATTGTTGTGGCTTTGTACAACCATTCTCATACCCCCAGCAATGGCGCTATAGAAAAGAAACAAAAAGTACATACAAATAAAATGACTGTTTTTCTTTTTTATGTTCCATATCACAAAGAAATAAATGAACAAACCTTGGTATTGCAAGAACTTTCATCGGAATTATCGCAAACTTCTGCACCAAAATGTTTACCAAACATCGATACACCAGAATGAGAGTGCACATTTCTGCACAACAGAGATAACCAGAGACCAACATGCAGTGACAAAATATGGTTTGAAAGAATAATCAATTTAAACATTTAAAAAATCGTTGCGCTAGTAAAAAGAGAATCATAGACAAAATATTTATTTAAACAAACTGGACGACACTGTATAACAAGTATTAAAATATATACAGTTTGTCGTAAACCTAGACCAGGACCCAGGACCTGGGCCACTCGGCCATCGCCACCCCACCAGGATTTCTGCTCGCAGTGGCAACAACTCTTGTACAATACACAAACACAAATAGAAGTACACAAACACAAATAGAAGTACACAAACACAAATAGAAGTACACAAACACAAATAGAAGTACACAAACACAAATAGAAGTACACAAACACAAATAGAAGTACACAAACACAAATAGAAGTACACAAACACAAATAGAAGTACACAAACACAAATAGAAGTACACAAACACAAATAGAAGTACACGAACACAAATAGAAGTACACGAACACAAATAGAAGTACACAAACACAAATAGAAGTACACGAACACAAATAGAAGTACACAAACACAAATAGAAGTACACAAACACAAATAGAAGTACACAAACACAAATAGAAGTACACAAACACAAATAGAAGTACACAAACACAAATAGAAGTACACAAACACAAATAGAAGTACACAAACACAAATAGAAGTACACAAACATTAGTAAACCAACACGTCGTCTACATTTCCTTTACACCATATTACATAAAAGTAATCTATTTCACATATTTCTCAACTTCTTTTAATTGTTATGTAAAGGAATGTCTTATACCTAATGAGGGGGGGGGGCAAAAATCCAACAGTGGGGGCGGAATGTAAGGCTAAGGGGGCCTCTGCCTTCCAGTTATATAGTTAAAAAAGGCCCTGTTTGGAGTGTCGTATAATATAATTAATATTTAGCTGCAAAAATATGACTTTAACGTCACCACTAGATAATATTGAACGTCCATAAACTTTCTCGTAAAGAATGGATGAAAACTCTTAAACTAGTTCATTGTATCACCGACATGTGCTTGGAGCTTCAATTCAAGCTTCGTTGTCATTTTGCAGATGCATCAAGCAATTTAGTGACTTAATTCTGTGTAGGCTTCTCTCATCATAAAACAAGAAAATGTTTGAAGTATTCTGGAATTCTGTATCTTTCATCTTGAACGATTGTAGTATCGAATTCCAGCAGTTGCAATTACTTGGTAATATTGGATTCAGGGCTAGGAAACTACTTCGTCATATAGCACTAAAATTCCAAATCGTGAAAAAGTTCGAAGTAAATAATACAAAATAAGTAATTTTATTTTAACTATGTTGATCAGATATACTTCATTCAGTAGCTCTACACGTGCCGGCGACAAACATGTACGCATTACGTACCTATTTTTCTAAAACGTATGCTCTTTGTTTTTAATAAACGCAGTGTTTTGGGAGATATACCCAAAGGCCAAGAGATAAAAAGAAACGTGAATATTCATGATAGCTACAATAAATAATGTTATGACAAATGACATCGCTTGGCCCCAAATTTGGACACTGTTTTTTTTCAAAACAAAACGAAATGGGAGGGAAAACCGTTTTTTTTCAGGTAAAAAACCCTCCAATAAAAGAAAAGATCAAAAATTTAGAAAAATTTTCTTAAATTTTTGTAGTTTTTGAATTTTTCATATTTTTGTTGTTTCCAATGATCCCGATGATCTACTTTAACATGCAGCGTATTCAAATCGTGCGTTACAGTCGTATAGAAATTTAAATTTACAGAGAGACTATTGACACAGCAAATATTTTGTGTTCGAACAAAAGAAACGCAAACTTTGGTAGAGAACAAAATATGAAAGAACGCAGAGTATTAACAAAAATTTTTAAATAAACGAAAATTGACTTGCATAAAAATCATTTTTGATGTTTTCTAGACTTCATTCGATTGAAAATTGCCATGTTGCTTTATTAAGCCTTTCATTAATAGCTGGCTTTCACTCGTGTGTTTCGTCAGAAAATTCAACAATTGTGAAAATTTAGTTTTACGGAAATTTCTAACGGTTGAATTTGAAAATGCGTTACTGTTGAAACTTCTAAAAATTCGCAGTTGCAACTTTTGTTATGCTTTCAATAAAGACGCTTGCTTCTTGGTGCTTCTTTTGGTCGTTTATTCATTGTCGAGTTAGTAGGCCCACAGACATAGCTACTCTATAAAAAACATGTTATAAACGTCAGTCTAATTAATTAATGAATAAAAACAGAAATTAAATATATTGAAAAGAAAAAACTTTAAATACCTGATTTTCAAGCGTTGTCCTGGTCCGTTTGATCCAGGCGACTTAGTAAGTCTCTTCCCTTATTTTTTTTATCGCGCAATTTTTTCGTGGATATAATTAAAATTTATTGTAAATTTTTTTTTGTAAACGTTAAATAAAATAAGTAAAAAGTAGCGAGTGAAAGCCAGCTTTTTTTCACAGCAAGTGACATCTTTTGTTAACATTTTTTTTTGGTTGTTTTCTATGTTTTAGGTTCAAACAATAAAAATAGACCATCAGGATCTTTTTTAACTATCTCATGCAGTTACGCATACAACACTTATCTACTCAACTTACAAACCACAAGACATAGATCGTGTATTTCCACTCGCTTGTTTTCCATCTTCGTAGAGCATAGTCCGTTTATACAGTCATAACACTTCAATGCTAATCTTCATACAGTACATATGCCGTTATGCGATGTTCATTCAATTCTTGGATTGCAACCAATCACCAGGGAATTATGAAGCAGTTTGAAACGCCCACGTCGTCTGGTGCCAACAATGGCATTAATAAAATATTCTACCGTGACAGCCATGTTGGTGGTCAGATATAAAAATTTTAGTCATGACGTCAATCAAAGAGATGTCAACTCATTCGAAGGAAAGCCCAACGAAGGAAAAGGGATCACTTTAATACCCCAGTTATATCATCACTCAAAGAATGTTTAGTGCAGAGTTGATCTTCTATGAATATCAGTTGGCCACCTTTAAGTGGGCTCATATAACAATGGGGCCCATCATCATTATATGAACAAACAACTGACATCCACAAAAAATCTAAACTACAAATGAACATTCTTGGCCATGAATCACCATGACACATGAGTAATGACAAACTAGTAAGAGTAATAAAATGAATGACAGGTGGTAAAGGGACTTTCACAACTCCATCCATGTGGGATCTACAATATAAGAAAATATAAAACACATGTTACGAAATTTCATAATGAATAACTGTGAATATGACGTTAGTTGGCGTTTTTTAATTCTTAAACAGATATAATGAGAATAAGCAAATTACAATTTATTTTCTGTCTGACTATCCAAATGGTAGAACATTCACCTACATTGCACGAATAACTTTAGTCAGTTGAGTTCGAAAGATGCAACAAGTTTCCAACGATCAAAGGCTTAACATCATGATCAAAACGTTTTACAGTGAACGTTTATATAGCACGAGGCCTATCCTAAAACCAGTCGATTATTCCATGTAGCTCATACCTCAGCACTTCGTCAGTAAAGAGACAGATTATGACTTTCTTTCACCTTAAATTGACTAATTTTCCGTTGTCGACATTTCCTTAATTGACGTCATGACTAAAATTTTATATTGTGATTGGCTCCTTAGGAGCATGTCAACTTTCACAAAGACAATAAGTAATCCTTAAATGCGTTTGATTAAAAAAATTTAATTAGAATCTTCAGATTATATTGCGTTTTAATGTCGTTATGCAAAGCAACAATGCATGATGCTGTAAGATTAAGATTCACGAGACTATGAAGAAATTAGATACTAGACTTTAATTTTGTCCAAATATTCATTGAATCTTGCAGTCATATCTTGCTATGTTAACTTCACGAGAGGATTTTGCTAACTTCAGGAGAGGATTTTGTTAACGTCAGGAGAGGATCTTGCTAGGTTAACGTCAGGAGAGGATTTTGCAAACGCAAAATAATCTGAAGATTCTAATTAATTTTTTTAATCAAACGCATTGAAGGATTACATATTGTCTTTGTGAAAGGTGACATGCTCCTAAGGAGCCAATCACACTAAAAAATTTTAGTCATGACGTCAATTAAAGAAATGTTAACAACGGAATATTAGTCAATTTAAGGTGAAAGAAAGTTAAATTCTGTCTATTTACTGACGAAGTGCTGAGGTATGAGCTACATGGAATAATCGACTGGTTTTAGGATAGACCTCCTGCTATAAAAACGTTCACTGTAAAACGCTTTGATCATGATGTTAAGCCTTTGATCGTTGGAAACTTGTTGCATCCTTCGAACTCAACTGACTAAAGTTATTCGTGCAATATAGGTGAATGTTCTACAATTTGGATAGTCAAACGGAACATAAATTGTAATTTGCTCATTCTCATTATACTAGATTAAGAATTTAATCGCAAGCTAACGTCATATGCACAATTATTATCATGAAATCTCGTAACATGTGTTTCATATTTTCTTATATTGTAGATCCCACATGGATGGTGTTGTGAAAGTCCCTTTACCACCTGTGTCATTCACTTAAATTACTCTTACTAGTTTGTCATTACTCATGTGTCATGGTGATTCATGGCCAAGAATGTTCATTTGTAGTTTGGATTCTTTGTTGATATCAGTTGTTTGTTCATATAATGATGATGGGCCCCATTGTTATATGAGCCCACTTAAAGGTGGTCAACTGATATTCATAGAAGATCAACTCTGCACTAAGCATTCTTTGAGTAATTATAAAACTAGGGTATTAAAGTGATCCCTTCTCCTTCGCTGGGCTTCCTTTGGTGATTGGTTGCAATCCAAGAATTGAATGGACATCGCATAACGACATATGTACGAATGAAGATTAGCATTGGAGTTTTATGACTGTATAAACGGACTACGCTCTACGAAGATGGAAAACAAGCGAGTGGAAATACACAATCTATGTCTTGTGGTTTGTAAGTTGAGTAGATAAGTGTTTTATGCGTAACTGCATGAGATAGTTAAAAAGCATACTGATGATCTATTTTTATTGTTTGAACCTAAATCATAGAAAACAACCAAAAAAAAATGTTAACAAAAGATGTCCCTTGCTGCGAAAAAAATAGCTGGCTTTCACTCGCTGCTTTTTACTTATTTTATTTAACGTTTACAAAAAAAAGTTTGCAATAAATTTTAATGATAAACACGTAAAAACTGCGCGATAAAAACATAAGGGAAGAGACTTACTAAGTCGTCTGGATCAGACGGACCAGGACAACGCTTGAAAATCAGGTATTTAAAGTTTTTTCTTTTCAATATATTTAATTTCTGTTTTTATTCATGAATTAATTAGGCTGACGTTTATAACATGTTTTTTATAGAGTAGCTGTCTGTGGGCCTACTAACTGGACAATGAATGAAGGACCAACAGAAGCACCAAGAAACAAGCGTCCTTATTGAAAGCATAACAAAAGTTGCAACTGCGAATTTTTAGCAGTTTCAACAGTAACGCATTTTCAAATTCAACCGTTAGAAATTTCCGTAAAACTAAATTTTCACAATTGTTGAATTTTCTGACGAAACAAACGAGTGAAAGCCAGCTATTAATGAAAGGCTTAATGAAGCAACATGGAAATTTTCAATCGAATGAAGTCTAGAAAACATCAAAAATAATTTTCATGCAAGTCAATTTTCGTTTATTTAAAAATTTTTGTTAATACTCTGCGTTCTTTCATATTTTGTTCTCTACCAAAGTTTGCGTTTCTTTTGTTCGAACACAAAATATTTGCTGTGTCAATAGTCTCTCTGTAAATTTAAATTTCTATACGACTGTAACGCACGATTTGAATACGCTGCATATTAAAGTAGATCATCGGGATCATTGGAAACAACAAAAAACATGAAAAATTCAAAAGCTACAAAATTTTGAGGAAATTTTTCTAAATTTTTGATCTTTTCTTTTATTGGAGGGTTTTTTACCGGATCTATCGGTTTTCCCTCCCATTTGGTTTTGTTTTGGAAAAAAAAACAGTGTCCACATTTGGGGCCAAGTGATGTCATTTGTCATAACATTATTTATTGTAGCTATCATGAATATTCACGTTTCTTTTTCATTTCTTGGCCTTTGGGTATACCTCCCAAAACACTGCGTTCATGAAAAAAGCATACATTAAAAAAATAGGTACGCAATTCGTACATGTTGGTAGCCTGCAAGTATATAGCTACTGAACGAATTAGATTTAATCAACCTGGTTTAAAATAAAATTATATATTTAATGTAATTTACGTCATTTGAAAAGGCTCTTTAGTGTTATATGACCAAATAATTTCCTAACCATGGAATCCAATGCTACAAAGTATTTGCAAATACTGGAATCCGATACTTCAATTGTTGAAATCGCAAAATGACAACGAATACACAGCGTTACGCCTTTCACTCTTAAAAAGAAAAACAGAATGAAATCTTTCTTCAATCATTTGTTTCTTCGTGGACATGCGTTAGTCATATTTTAATATCAGGAGGTTTGCCTTACGTTGCAAAATTATTTGCTTTTGAATGGTTTTCAGTGGAAATGTGAGCAAAAAAAAAGCTTAGGACTATTTTAGACTGAAAGATATAAGTAACAGGACTTGTTTTTGTTTGATTTTATTATCATGTTTTCAACTTTGACAACTATGCAATAAAAGTTTAATTTTGCTGAGTTTAATTAGTTAGTTTTACGCTGTTGTGTTATTTAGTTTGATTTGTATTTTGGTCATATCTTAATTTTCGAATACAAATGCCTAGTTTTGATACTTCAAGGTATAATTTCACTTAACTGAAGAAAAATATTGGTTAATTTTGCACTTTTTATTGCTTTTGTTTTTTGTTTAGACAATGAAGCGTTGTCACAGACAACGACCTTTACCGTAATCATCTATAAAGGTATAATTCATTGTGGATAAAAACGCAAGTGACAAAAAACTTTGCATAAAAACCCACCTTGTACAACGAAAAGCGAAAACGAAAAGTTCCGCTGTGGCGTTAGTAGGTATTTCTTTACTGGGTCCTCTACGTCTTTTCCGAGTTCGTGAACGTCTTTTTTCGTCAGCTTTAAAAAATAATCGTGCATGAAGGTATAAATTTTTGACTTGGAAATACGCAGCTATTATTTGAGGGTAAATTGACAAAATTTTGGTAAAAATACCCTACCATGTACGTTGAAAAAGTTCCACAATGCCTTAACTCTTTGCCGGTCGTCTGCGTCTTTTCTGACTTCTTGAACGCCTTTTTTCAACAGCTTCAAAGAAATGAACCTGTTGTTAAACAAGTTAAATGCATTGTGATGTTATAAATCCTACTAGTTCGGCAAAAAATAGGAATTTGGTGCAATACTTACAAATACGACTGTATTCCATCGCGCTTCTTCTCTGACTGAAGGGAAAATGAATTCAACCGTCAATCAAATGTGAAGAGCGGGAACGCTAATTATGTCCTTTTAAGGTCATCAAAACGCCATTGGTCAGATATGGTCATGTGTAACCTAGGATCGTATTTATTCGTAAACATTCGTAAGCGACTCGAACTTCCGATTGTAGAGCATCATTGTTATTATGATATTCAATGCAACAATAAACTTATTATTACATCTCTCAAAAGATGTTATTATTTATAGACTTTAATGCCTTTACCCACCTGCCTAACACATTGCTATGAATTAGAAGCTGCCTTGAAGTTAGGCCCAGGGTAGGCCTATCTATATCACTATCTCAGCCACAGGTCTGAAATCTCGCCACTTGACCACACTGCACAAAATGGCAACGCTACCAACAACCGTTGTTCAAGAATTATATGGCCATGAAGGACCTGTTAGGGCTGTTCGTTTTAATGTTAACGGTAATTATTGCATCACTTGTGGTAGCGACAAACTGTTGAAATTATGGAATCCTTACACTGGTACTGTTCTGAGCACTTATACTGGACATGGTTATGAGGTTCTAGATGCAACAGCATCAAATGATAGCAGCAAAATTGCATCGTGTAGTAGCGACAGAACTGTTGTACTTTGGGATGTATCAACAGGTCAAATTGTTCGTAAATTTCGTGGTCATATCAGTGTAAGAGTAATTTTTGTTTAAATAAGTTTTACTCAGCTGAGATATCAACTTACTTTACCCCTCACCCCCCTCCTTTTTTTTTCAAGCGAATAAACTGTGTTCAGTTCAATCGTCCTGACTGCTCATTGATTTTATCTGGATCTTACGATTCAACTGTACGTGTATGGGACACAAAATCCCGGAACATGGAACCAATTCAGGTTTTAGAAGAAGCTAAAGACAGCATTACTTCTTTACATGTTTCCCAGCAAGAAATCTTTACTGGGTAAGTGAGATGTAGAAGACTCGGTTATTAATGCAACTAATTTATTTATGCATCAATACCACAGGTCGGTGGATTGTAATTTACGTTGCTATGACATCAGAATTGGAAAGATGAGAGTGGATCATATTGGGCAACCTGTGACATCAGTAAGATTATCTAGTGATGGTCAGTGTGTACTGGTGTCCTCTTTGGATAGTACAATACGACTGATGGATAAGGAGACGGAGAAATGCTTAATGAGTATGTCATAGTTTTTCTTTTAAGTTGCACGTATTTCTAACATTATCATTATTTGACTTAAATACTTCATTTTAGATTCACTGGACATGAAAATACAAAATACAAACTAGATTCATGTCTTTCCCACACAGATAGTGAAGTTATCAGTGGTAGTGAAGATGGTCGAATTTGTTTTTGGGATTTAATTGAAGGAAAACTTTGTCATACAATAAATAAAGCACACAAGACAACTGTATATTCACTATCATTTCATCCTGAAAAATCAAACATGTTGTCAGCTTCATCAGATGGAACTGTAAAATTATGGGGAGATAAGCCAGGTCATTGTCTTTGAGTTTTGTTTAGATTCTGTTAATGCAGTATTTTTGTTATTCAAAAGATTTATCAAAGTTATTTGAAAAGTTTATAAAAAATATTTTGTGTCTTTTAATGCAACATTTGTTCTTTGAGAAATGTGTTGTTCCAAACGATATTGATGTATGTATTTTTTTGGTGTAATAACAATGTTCCATATGTATTTTCATGACAATCGCTGCAGGAATGGCAAGATTGAAGTAATTACTCATAATTCATTGAAATAATTTTTATAGTTTGAGAAAAAATTCTCACGAAATGATTAATTATTGAATATGGCATCGCACGTGAATGGTGTGTTTTCCTTGTCTCGTGAAAGGCTTTCTTGCAAGAACTTGCGCTTCCTTTTCAATGATTAATATCCATCGTAAAAGAAAGAACTTCCATATAAATGTAAATTGCAAAAATGCGACTTCCGACTACACTCATGTTAGCACTCGAAAGCTGCGGCGAATTTATGGCGTGGGATGGACACCATTCTCAATAAAACTGTAACACGCACATTAAGTTTTCGCTGTGAAAACGTATTTTTCACAGCGTACAACTTACAGAAGAATGTTGAACATAAGCACATTAGAAGAGGACGCGATGATGGTACAGAATCATAGCACATCACAACCGACGACTAAACACCTGCCTGAGAAAGTTTGGAGAGCACATTGGATCGTGTTTAGTATATTATTTCTATTAACTGGATGTTTATCGTGTATATTACTCTTCAAGTCAATCCGTTTTGCTTCAAATGTAACTAGAAGTTATCGTTTGTCTGTATTCATAATGATTCTTGTTTTATGCGTGTCTCGTGCAATCTATCTTGTCTTGAATCCTTATGAAGTTAACATGGCTCTGGCTTGTAACACTCCTATGATTATTTTGAGGTTAATCTATGCTGTTGGACAACCATCCATAGCCACTGGTTTTGGTTTAATTCATGCTTCATTTCTTCGTGTTGTAAAGGCCAAACATTACAATCATGAACCTTTACTTAAAACATCCATAATTTTGATCATAGTGGCGTTTTACTTTACTTTTGGTGTAATATCCCAAATTATTTCTACTTTAATACCGGGAACGATCAATATGTTTCTAGCATCGGCCTTTGTAGCTGTTGTTGGCTGTTCTATTGTCACAATTACTGTATTGTACAGTGGGTTAAGCATCTTGTTCACTGTTTCAAAGAATCAACGAATGTTAAAGTCGTCTGGCCCTTCTATTACAGGTTCGTTAGTGCTATCGTGTTTTATGAGTTTAAAGGTGTTTGAATCTTTTTCATTTGAACAGTTTTGTGGGATTACTTGAGAGACAACGACTAATAACCGCTCTAATACTATGATGTGATTATAAAGAGCCACCTTTTATCTTGCCGCGTTTAGGTAATGATCAATTATTTTTAACGAAGGTGAATTTAGCAGTTGGTATTTCAAGTACATCTTTGTAAGATGATCTTTGTTAGTATTTGTCATGATTATTAAATATATTTCAATACAGTTTGCATCCTGATTATCAATATTTTATTTACTAATTTTTTTACACCGCTTACTGAGAGTTAACTCATAAAATCCCTTTAATTAAAACTCGTGTGTACAACAAATTAAAAATCTTTTTTAGTAAATTGTCTTTGATCTTTTTAGCATCGAAGGAAGACCTACGTAAAGCAAAATCTGTGGCAAAAGTTGCGCGAATTACCTTGGCAGCGTCAATGTTTTGCGTCGGCTTAACAGTCATGAACAGCGTGGCGTTTGTTCATATGTTCAAAACTATGAGCACTGTCGTCTTTTGGGCGAAACACTGGCAGTTTATTACATTTGTCACATGTGCTCGCTCGCTTGAAATTGCAATGGCACTGACACTTCTTTACGCTTCGACTTACATAAAATTAAATGTTCGTGCTTTCGCTACGTTAAGGTTCCATCGATTTACAAAGAAAATGCGTGCGACACGCCCTATTTCAATTGGTACAAATTCTACCTCAAGAACTTCAGAATGTGTGGAAAAAGATGTGTGGAAGACGACGGTTTCTTCTTCAAGCAATAGACCACAATTTATACAATCATGAAAACTATTAGATGCTCAGATTCGACTTTATGAATCAAAAAGTGTGTTTGAGATGTCTGTTACGTATACGTAGGCATGCGCAGTAGAAAACCACTAATCACTTTAATTATTCTCGAGTTCTTTCGCGAATTCTCGTATTGTCCTCGGGATATAAACATTAAATCGCGCAGGAGTTAACAGTTAAAATAATTTCTTGCCATTTTCACATCTTGTCATTTTTTTCATGGCAACGAAGTTAATGAAGAAATGAACTTTAACTACTTATGGTAAATTTTTGTTTAACTGCTTCCAATTGTTATGATTTGATCTTTCATAAACTTGTTGTCATGCGTAACAAAGTACAAGTATAAACACTGAGACCTATATTGTAGACATACATTGATTGTTTTGATAACGTTCATAAAGAATTCTCTGAATTTTATGGTATTTTCTGTTTATTATTGCCTTTACATTTTCTCACGGTTTCTATTTGGTACGATTCTTAAATTTGAATGATTACACAAAGCAAGGTGAAATTTGTTGAGTACAATTGCCTTGTAGCAATTTTAAAACGCTACAAGGAAGAGATTAATTTTTCATTATATTTTTGTACACGATTTGTTTATTTAAAATAGTATATTGAAGACTTATAACCTCATAGCTTTTGAGTTTTGTGCGTTTAAGAGTGCGGTATACGAGTGTCTTGAGCTTCGAGTTGTTCTTTGTCATTTATATAAATATAGTAAAGTGAGACAAAGAAAAATAGAATGGGATGAATTTGCGTTTTAATGATTGTAAACCTTTTGTATAGAAAGAAATATAGAAAAAATAATCATGGCAACTATTGATGATGATTCAGTATACAGCACTTTGTCAAACTTCGTGGTTGAGAAAAAAATTGGTCGTGGACAGTTTAGTGTTGTCTATCGAGGAAGATGTGTTGCAAATGATCAGATTGTTGCTCTCAAGAAGGTTCAGGTAGAGAATTTATGAATTTTTTACTTTATGCAATATATTGAATTGCAACAAGCTTTCTATGATAAATATAATTGTAGATCTTTGAAATGCTTGATGCTAAAGCAAGACAGGATTGTATAAAAGAAATAGAGTTGTTAAAGGTACTGATGAAGTAATCTTTTGGGTTTTTGAATTTTAAGCAATTTTTTGTCATCAGTAATTATTTTAAGAAGTATTCTACATGTTTTTGTCACTGCAATAATGATTTCTTTAGCAACTAAACCATCCCAACGTAATCAAATATTTGGCATCTTTTATTGAAAATAATGAAGTATGTGTTTGCGTTATTATTTAACCTTTGGGAGTTTTTTGAGTTTTTCTCATCTAAACAAAGTTTCTCTTCATTCAGCTAAACATTGTTCTCGAGTTAGCAGATGCTGGTGATTTGTCACGAATGATAAAGGTTTTGACACAATAAATAATTTATATCTTGTGTTTGTCTGCATGTCTTCATTTTATTCGTGGGCATTTCTTACAGCATTTCAAGAAAAATAACAAACTTATTCCCGAGAAAACAATATGGTATTAAATACTTTTTAAACAGTACTTATTCATTGCAACTATGACTATTTATTAGCTGCCACACAGTTTGTGTAAACTTTTAAAGTGATTTCATTTAGGAAATATTTTGTTCAACTGACTGCTGCATTGCAACACATGCATTCAAGACGAGTAATGCATCGAGGTACATTATTTTGAATAGGTTTTACAAATTTCAGTGATTTTATGAAAAAGTTTAAGATATGAAGTTTTTTTATTAGATATCAAGCCAGCCAATGTTTTTATTACTGCCTCTGGTGTTGTAAAATTGGGTGATCTTGGTCTTGGAAGATATTTTAGTTCTAAGACAACTGCTGCTCATTCTTTAGGTTCTCAATCATTTACGATAATTTATCTTTAATGTAAATGATTCATAATTTGACACCCATGATGTGTAATTTCAGTGGGAACGCCATACTATATGTCTCCAGAAAGAATTCATGAAACTGGTTATAATTTTCGTTCCGATATTTGGTCCTTAGGATGTTTACTATATGAGGTATTGGAATGAAACTTTTATTTATTTTTTTGCAAAACTGACCTAGCCTTAATTTGATGCAATATTATTCTGGATTGTTTCAGATGGCTGCTTTGCAGTCGCCTTTCTACGGTGATAAAATGAATCTTTACTCACTGTGCAAGAAAATTGAAAAATGTGACTATCCACCATTGCCATCAGATATTTATTCCAAAGAGGTAAATAATTGAAAGAATTCTATGACACTAAAACCATTCTAAATTGTTTGATTTTTTAATTACAGTTGCGTGATCTTGTTCAAGCTTGCATCACACCAGACCCTGATCACAGACCTGATGTTGAGTATGTCAATGAGGTAGCAAATCGAGCTTTTCAAGCATTTTTGACTTGAACTGATAGAAAAAATATAGAGGCACAACAATTGAATTTAAAATGAATTAGTATGATGATGTGGTGTGGAGGCTAAATTTTATTTCTCAACAATTTATTTGTACATGTTAAATATTACCATGTTTAGTTTTGTGATTACAAAACTTGATGAGATCCTCATGGTTTTTAACAACTTCCACCACACTTGTCTGCCTTGTCCATAGCAATACTAATATATTTCTTTTTATACAATGTGTAATAATAATGGTATTAATTATAGTAGGCTTAAAGTACTTTGTACAACCAATAAATTTTTATCGCTTTCAAAATTTAATGAGTCAGTCAAATTGTAACTAGACAACAAACTTTTTTGAGGTTGTTTTAACTTGGTGGAAAAAATGAAAAAATAATCTATGTTGAGGTCAAAAAAATGAAGGGTCAAGTCAATAATTTTAAAATGGTTTTAATGAATGAAGCTGACAGCACATAAAACATATTTATCATTTCACAACAAGACATAGCGAAATACTTGCATCATTAGATAATTCATAGCTTCTCTACACAACTTCACTTGTCTCCATAGCTTCATCAGTGGTTGAAGCAACTGTCGTTTGAATAATGTCCCATTTGATTGGCTTCACATCTTTACTGAGCACAGCTAAAAACACAATTATTTTTAATAATTTTTCACTCAAGTTTTTGTAAGGTAAAAAATCTACCTGTTGTCCCACGGGGATACTTGTATTTCCCTTGACGTACACCTTTTTGATTGGCAACATCATAAGGACGAAGATATTCAACACCTTCTCTTGTTATAACGCAAATATCAATATTGCTGCCCGATCCCTAAAATATTGAAGCATCAGGTCATAAATAGCAAAGAAAATGTTCTAACACTATGTATATTAATAAACTACCAAATCATTAAATATTCCAGCAGCTATAGCATCACGCACAAGTGCTTTTCCATCATCTAACTGCAAAAAATTAAAGACTTTACGTGGACAAAAATGAAAATTGATGTTCTAAGGAAATTAGCAAAGATTACCTCCATATTTGGTTTATATCTTGACTCAAATACAGACATTGCAGCAAGAGATCCAGAACCTTAAATAACAACAAACTTTATAGACTAGAGCAATGATGTTAATAAACTTTGAAAGACAAGGCTGACATGTCTTACCCATAGTAACAAATGGTAGTTTATCAGTACTGCCATGAGGATAGATAGTATAAAGATGTGGCCCATTATAATCAACTCCACCAAGAACTAACGCAGCACTGATATAACCTTGATATCTGAAGAAAATATTGTGGATCATGGAACTGAAGAATACAGAGAGAATTTATTAAACCAAATATTCACCTGAAGAGAAGCTGTTTCAACATTCGACATGCTGACACAACAGGTGCCTGGTTAAGGGAATGCGTACAAATGAATGAATGTGAAAAATATCCAACTATGCAGAAACATTGATACTAACCTGTCGACCAGTGTTTAGACTATGCAATTCAAGATTGGAAGAAATAAGATTTGTCACATATTCTGTATCTGCAGCAGTTCCAGCTCCACAACAACTAAAATAACATGAATATAGTGATATTAAATGATGCAGGTATTTTAAGTCACTGCTTTTAATGGCTATTTATGTAAAGTACATACTACATATTTGGAGCAATGTAATGGATTTTCGAACAGTTTTTATCCGCAACAATTGTATCCTAATACGAAAAAACAAATTGTGAAAATTTATGTTTAATATACGTTCTTATACCAATAAATTAATACATAAAAGAACCTCAGTTGCTCGTGTGTCGGCTCCAAGAATGACACCATCCTAAACAAAATTTAAACATTAATTAAAATTTGCGTTGTAGCCCTTGGTTGTCATGAACTATGTCTGTCCAGGGTCTAATTTTTAATTTACTTACTTTGTAGACTATTCCACAAATTGTTGTGCCTGTTTTGAGAGCTTTCGGTGTCTTTAATCCATTTTTTCAAGAAGGAAGTTTCTGCAACATCAATGCAATAGAGGAATCAAGATAGATGTAAAGAAGAGCATAAAGACAAAGAAGAAACAGTTCACCTTCTGCAGTTTTCAAAATTAAAACCACTTTCGTTCGCCATCTTGAGTTTCGCGAAGCTTCCACTTATGTAGAATATGAAATGTTGTTACCCTAAATGGAAGCATTTTAAAGATGGCAGAAAATTTTAATAAACTTTGTTCTTTTCAATTTTTACATAGTCTAACAGTAGAGAAATACCAGTCAAGGAGAACTGGAATTACAGTATGTTTTGTAGATGTACCTGGTCCTTTAGTTAATGGATATTTCACTCTCGGTAATTCACCTATACTCCTTTATAATTAACAATACCAACCACCAATATAGTGAAGGAAGTGAACCATTAAACACATGTGACGTGTTCCCAGCTTACAAGTACTACACTTCTGTAGTTCTTGTTTATTACTCTTGCTCATGTTTTTATTTTTGTATGGTAACAATAAAAACCAAGCCTTAATTATTGAACTTTATGTTATAAATTTATTTTAGCTACAGAAGCTCATGATGACGATGGCTTGCCTCATACATTGGAACATTTGGTCTTCATGGGAAGTGAAAATTATCCATTTAAGGTTCTATTAAATAAACTTTGTTTAAATGCACTTAAAAATGCTTTCAAATGTTCATTATGAATGTCTAAAAGCTGATAACGACACTATGAAAATTGAAAATGTGCCCCCAAATAGTCAACGATACTTTAATGAAAGTAGTTTACTGTACTTTTGAATGTCTTTCTCAAAAACACTAAAATTTTTGATTATGTTAGGGGATTCTGGATCTGTTTGCAAATCGTTGTTTGGCTCAAGGAACAAATGCATGGACTGACACAGATCATACCTGTTACACAATGACAACTGCTGGTAGTGAAGGATTTTTAAATCTTTTTCCTATCTATCTTGATCATATTCTCTACCCTACTTTAACTGTAAGTATATTCAATATATTTAACATTAGTTTTGGTAAATAAGCAAGAGTTTTGTAGCATACCATGTTTTTAGGAGTCCGCATATTTAACTGAGGTTCATCATATTAATGATGAAGGAGAAGATGCTGGTGTTGTTTATTGTGAAATGCAGGCACGAGAAAACACAGGAAAAAGTCGAACTCATCTCGCATTTCTTCGTAATATGTACCCTGGTTATTGTGGTTATAAGGTAAACGACAAGTGTATCTTTAAATTTTTCTTTAACCAAAAGTGACACTTCGATGCTTCAATTAGTCAGAGACTGGAGGTATAATGGGTAATCTTCGCACATCATGCAGTCATAAAAAGGTTGGGAATATTATTTACTGCATAAGATATTAGTAATTGATCTTGACAATGAATATGATAACATTTCTTTGAAGTATTTTTTTATTTTTACAGGTAGTTGACTATCATGATAAATTCTACCGCCCTGAGAATTTATGTCTTCTGATCACAGGTCAAGTACAGTCATCTGATGTGTTTGAAATAATACAAGCATTTGAGGAAAAAATACTTTCTAAAGTTAGTTGAATTTTTTTCTCGTTCATTATTCTATTAGCAACGAAGACCTTCAATCTTATCTTTGTTTTACGTAGAATACACGACCTCAACATGTTCGCCCTTGGCAAAGTTCTGTGCCTGAATTAAAGGAATCTGCTACAATAAACATTCAGTTTCCTTCTGATGATGAAGAATCAGGTCTTGCTCTTGTCGGCTACCGTGGACCTACAGCAACGGTAAGTCCGGGATGATGTTTATTGTGTGGGACCTGGGGATAATGTTGATGATGTGAATCTATTGGTTGATTTTTGATTTAGGATGATTTCGAAATTGCAGCACTCAAAGTATTAATGACTTACCTCACGGATTCTCCTGTAGCAACTTTACAACAAGTTTTGGTTGAATGTGACGATCCATACTGTAGTGATGTTGATTTTGATTTCATTGAAAATTCTGAAGGATGTGTTTTATATCATGGCGGAAAATGTTCCAATGGACAAACTAAATGATGTTATACCAAAGTATACATCTTCTTTACTTTATGTGAAACTCTAAAATGTGAAACTCAAAATTACACAAATATAAATATCTTGTGTACAAGCACCTCTAACAAAATTTTACAATTAAATTCATTTTGTAAATGGTGTTAGAAATTTGTTCACATATTTTGTCTTTTTTATTTTTGTAGAATTATTGAGGCTATTTGCGATCTTTCTGAAAACATTAATAAACTCGATATGAAGAGAATGTTGTCAATAATTCATCGAGAGATCTTAGATGCAATGGATAAGGTAAGTGAACTTTGGATATGTGTGGATCTTTGTGGATATGTGTGGATATATGTGGATATTTCATACTAATATCATGAAATAAATTCCATCAAAGAATTTCTCATTTTTTTAGATTGAAGATGACCCTCATGGTACATTTGCTGGATTTTTCATAGGAGATTTTCTTTATTCTAAACAATCTGACCAGGTATTCATTGCTGTTAGTTTGCTGTTTGTAAATTTTACCATTTATTGATTGATGTTGAAGTTAAATTAGTTGCTTTTTTCCGGTTATCATTACTGACGATAATGTAACTTTTTAGCTTTTAGAAAAAGTTGATACAATTAAACATTTAAAGAGTTTGGCTAAAGAAGATAATAAATTTTGGATTGAATTTTTACAAAGATATTTCGTCCATGCGCCATCAGTTACGGTAATTGTGTCCATGTTTTTGTCAAAATACATTAAACATTCCGTGGAGTTTAACGACTTGATCTTTAAAGGTGATTGGTGAACCAAGTTCAAAACTTATGAACGATATGTCTGAGTCAGAAAAACGTCGCGTGAAGGAACAAAAGGAGAGTCTGGGACCTAGTGGCTTAAAGGAACGTGGTGAAAGATTGATGAAGGCAAACGAGGAAAACGATGTGAGTTAAAGTTGATTTTTCTCTTTGTATAAAATTATTGCAGAGAATTCTAGCTATGTTTTGCTGTTTATTATTTAGGTTGAGCCTCCATCATCAATGATCGCTTCACTTCCAATACCTTCCATTTCCAGTATCAATTTTCATCAAGTAAAGAGCGCTAATAATTCGGGGACATTATCTGATCACATCATCGAGTCAAAATTTCAAGTTGCAAATATTCCTTATTCCTTTCAACTAGATCATATTTCTTCTTTATTTATTGAAGTGAGAGATGGACTAACTTTGTGTATTTCTGAAATAGATATTGTAGAATATTGTTTTCTTGTAAACTGTTAATGTTTAGATTACTGTGATGCTAGATACCACTCCTCTTCCTGGTCGTCTGATGGATTATCTAAGTCTCTATACAGCCGTGATTCTAGAATCTCCTGTATTGAAGAACGGAGGTGATTTTCAAACTTCTTTTAGTTCACAATGTTCATTTACTTTTTTAAGATATAATGAACTGTTTTGCGCTCTTTAGTTTTAATAACACACAAAGAGATTGTTGCTCAACTTACTGAGCATGCGCTTAATTACGATGCTTCAATTGGCCTTAATGGAAGAAGGTTCAAACCAGGCAGATTTCCACAATTTGTTGTCCTGAAGTTTAAGGTAGGTTGTTCTCCCGCGGGGGTGAGTTTTTGTTGTACGGGAGATTGATAAAGAATGTGGAAGAAAGATAACGTTGATAATGGCGTAATCGTAGCTTCCTTTTAACCAATGATTTGATCTTAATTAGATTGAAGTTGAAAAATATTTTGTGGCTGTTAACCTCCTTCGCGATCTCTTGTACAACACACAGTTTACAGAAGAAAGAATTAAAGTTATTGCTAAAAAGATGATAAAAGAAGCTACTCAGTATGTATTAATGCTGGAAGAAATAATATTTATTTGAACAATAAAACGTGTTCTTGTGTTATGTTTTGTAGATTGAAACGGAACGGAAGAGTTATAGTGAACGCCTTAACAAAAGATAGCAATTTTTCTCATCGTATGAAACACAAATGTTTTCATGATTTTTCAATTTTTCACTCCATTTAAAGTGAGGTATTATTTATCGACTGCTGTTTTTCTTCAGAAAGCCCTTACAGATATACTAATTTCATTCATCAAAAGAACTTTCTCACCAAAATACTGAATGATTTAAAAAGTGATTCTAACGAGGTAAAGACATTAAAAATACTCTCAGTAATCTTTTTATTCGCCATATTTAAAGTCTATCTTTTCCAGGTCATTAAAGATTTGTTTTCATTACGTGAAAAATTAACTCACCATAATAACATTCGTGTTCACATGGCCTGTAATGTAAATACTTTACCAGAGAAGGCGAGCGAGATATGGGAGACTGAATTCATTCCTAACTCTTGTCCATATAAAACGCAACTACAGTGTGTATTACCAGAGGATACTTTTTAAATTCCGTTTAAATCACCATTTATCCATGTTGATTCCTATGTACCCATTATGTTTGTATCAGGTTGGAGAATGTGCAAAATGTGTGCGTGTTTTTACGAGAAAATGTTGGAAGTAAAATCATTGGAGTTGGTTCTGTGGAATCATCATTTCTCATTCAATGTTGTCGTTGTATTCAAAGTTACACAGATCCAGATTTTCCCGCTATTTTAGTCTTCATTGAGTGTTTGACTGCTTTGGAGGTATGCTTTGGATGAAAAATTTATTGAGGTTTTTGCACGTTTTCATACATGGACTGCATATTTTATTACAAAGGGTCCAATGTGGCGTACTATCCGTGGGCTTGGACTCTCCTATCACTACAGGTATTTTTCACTTCATCTAAAACTCTTATAGTCCTGTTGTGTACCTCATTGTTCATCTACATCTTTGTACCCAGTATGCATTGCGATCCTGAACAAGGTCTGATGTACTTCATATTGTTTAAATCAAGTCATCCAGTTAAAGCTTATGAGAAAGCCAAAGAGATTATGGTATATAGTGTTCATAATTCTAAACGTTTATATTCCCTTGTGCCGAACTTAACTAAATTGGACACATGGAAAGCTTGAAGTTTACAAATGCAAGCAGTGAATAAATTGTTTTGTTTTTCATGTTAATTTTCCATACTTAGGACGGATATGTCACTGGTGCTGTTTCATTTGAGATAGTCCAGTTAGAAGTCTGCGATCAGTAGCGTTATATTTGAAGTCATAGGTCAAGAAGAATCAGTTGGCAATGCTGCGTATGAGGTGACGTAATGTTTTAACACGGTGACGTCATTCAACGTAGTCATACTAATGATCGACTATTCTGTGTTTAGAATCTTTTATCGCAACTGCGAAATGTTGGTCAAGATTATAACAAGTAATCTTTTCTTTTGACTTTTATGTTTTTTTTTTCACATTCACTGATTTCAGTAACTTTCTCCAGAACACTTCTTCAGAGAGTTTCCAAGGTAACACTTGATGATTTGAAAAGAGTCGGTGAAAAATATTTTAGTCGTCTGTTTAGTATGGAGAGTTCAAACTGTGCCATTTGTTGTCATCCGTCAAAAGTTGAAGAAATCCGAGCTTCATTTACACGACAGTATGTGTGTTGAGGTGTAACGTCTTGTCCAATGATGATTTCTACCAAATTTTTGTCATTTTCTGTAGGTTTGGTCGACAAATGACCGTGATTACGTCAATGGATAACGAAATGAAATAACTTTATGAGAATTTCTTCTTCAATGAAATATTTAATACAATCTAATATTTTATTATTTATTGTTCAATAATAAAGCCTCCATACGGTCAACATCAAAAATAAATAAATAATCACAATTTTTATACAAACTATAAACCTTTTGCTCAAAACCAGCTTTTTTTTCTCAGGCTGTATACTTGCTTTGAATATATTAGTGTCATATTACAACTTCGTATATTGTTACGAATAATCATTTTAATGTCGACATGGGTGAATTTCTACCATTACAACTAAATCAAAGTTATACAAGGAATTATAATTTGTTTTTTTAATAAACTGTCCTTAAGCTGAAATTATCATATGAAAAGAAAGGTATTAATTAAAATAAATAGTTACGTTGCTAAGTAAACTTACACTAATATCTTTGTTGAGAAAATAACAAAGATTAAATAATTGGTTTTCAGTGATCGTCCATAGTTCATACATATTTGAACGAGGAGAGTTTCTTTGCCAAAAGTAGACTAGATATGATAATACACCATTTGAATATAAACAGTTATACTGCTTGCCATGTGTGTAATGTATTATATCGCTTCATTACAATGTAATTATACGTTGATAAATTGTTTCTTTACGACTATTGTGTTTGAAAACTGTACTTATATTTTTTGCATGACTTATTCCAGGCAACACAACATCGACACGATACAGAGAGAAAAGAAAAAAAGTATGAAATGTGCTTCAGTCGAATTTTCTTTTTCTGCATTTAATTACGACTTATTTTAGATATGAATACGAAGGGTCATGAATTTGCGACTCTTGAACTTGGAAATCCTTCCCCTGCCGCTTATAACCCCCCAGTCAACCCTCCCAATATGACCACCCCTCCTGCATACACGATGAGACCGAAGACGTATCCCGAGAAAGGCAAGTTAATGTTTATAGCACTAAAAATATTTACTCTCTCATTACGATGTTATGGAGTGTTGGGCAAATTGACTAAAGCGCTTTACACAAGGAAAATCAAACGCTAACACATTTTTTATTTAAGAATATTTTGGATTCAAAACTTCCACGACACCAATGTTTTTTCCCTGTAAATTAGGGGGAGGGGACAGAGTTTCATGGGGAAAAGAATGGTTTGCTACAGATGATCGCTGGACAATAAGAGCGAATTTCTGCAAAGACAGTAAATGGCCTTCGCCATCTGATTACGCAACAACTTCAACGATTGGTCAATCGCTGATGACGTGTCCAACGTTTCCTTCATACAGCATTGGCAAAAGGAAAGAATTTTCACTTGTGTCTAAAGGTAACAATGGAATGTTCAGATGAAAAATTGAAGTGTAAAAAATGCATTGGGTTAATTAAACAATAGCATCTTCCTTTTTTCATCAGATGCGAAAAATTTTCCAAGTCCGCTTCGGTACAATCGTGTTCAAAGCCAGAATGCAGTGTTGACAAAATCTCCAAGTTTTACTATTGAACGTGGTCGTCGAAAAGGAACATTGCCATTTTTAACAAAGACAGGTTGATGTAATGAATAATACAGATTGTTTTAGATACACCGTAATTTCACTTACACAAATGAATCGTTTTTCAGAATAAAAAATTCCTAAACTTATCATCAATGCATTTTATATTGACAGATCATTCTCCTGGACCTGGACGCTACAATCCTAACGCATATAAGTCGAGTTCGAAGATTCGAAGACCAGCCTTTACAATTCCTAAGTCACCTAGATTGCTCGAAATTAATCGTAACTGCTCGTATTAACATCAACAACGACCTGAGGTACGGAAGAGTGAAAAATGAAATCCTTTTAAAACCTTAAAGAAGGTTGTTGGATTTTGTTTAAACTGATCTGGACATTGATAAAACATTAGCTTAATCCAATTGATCTCATCTGGTCATTAGCTTGTACATTTATTGGTCGTAAAATTATTTTACTAGTGAATTTTACTGATGTTTTTGCATGCAATGTTTTAATGTTCTCACCAAGATGTCGATTATCTATAAGTTTTCAGTTTTATTAAACTTTAACCTCGCCGATGCACGTAAGAATTATAATGAAACTGAACGGGAAAAATCAACAATAATTTCATTTCTATTACAACATTTCGTTCTGAAAGATACTGAAAATATTGAAAAGTTGTTCAAGCTGAAATTCAACTTGGTCAATGTTAACTGGCTGAAATTACCTTCATGGAAACATTTTAGTGCTAGTACAAACGGGGGCTGAAAACAATCACCTTTTAACGATATGCTTTGGTAATCATGCATTTAAACTCAAGTGTGTGCATTGAAAGGAGTTTTTTACTCTGTGGTTGTTGGTTTGTTTGATGCAAGAACTTTTCAGAGAAGAACTGATAGTCTTTATCGTGTAAACATTTTGATCATGACATAAAAGAACAATGTTTGAGGACTGCCTTGTGAGGAACAAGACCAATTTCATTATATCGTAAGTAAGTTATTTATTTGTCAAGATGGGACGCTCATAAAGAAACTCGATTCAAACAGGCAAGATAAATAGTGTATATGCTAAAATATGTTGATTTGGGATCTCCTTCATAAACAAGTTAAAGTTTCACATAAAGTATTTTATTCTTCAACAAATTATTGATGGTAAAAGTTTTTACTTCGTACATGTGTCGAAATGAATTATTCGCTATCTTAAATTTCATCACCTAAATCACATCAAAACTTATTTCCGTTACGTGTCTAGCAAGTATATGATTGTTGCTGTATTATTTAAAACAATACAATTCATTCCATGTAATTACCCTATTTTAATAATTCCAAACACATTTCGCTTTCATAAAACTTTCAGTATGTCCAAAATGTATAGGCAAACATTGAGTATAATAAAACAAGTCATGTTGTCCCAGCCAACCGTTTTAAAAATCTAACGACATGAAATTTAATTACATTATCCTTTTATTTTTATCATTTTTTCGACTTGCATACTCGGGACACCTTGCTTTGTACCATATTGTATGGATTTAGGTTTGATAAACACGATGTAAACGTAATTCTATGTTTCAATTCTCAATTATTTTTTATTAAAAATTTACATAAGCTCTGTTCACCATAAACTTACAAGGGCTGATATCCGGTGTTGCTAGGCATTACTAGTCTTTAGTTTTGAGTGATGACGATGGTAAATGAAGGGAAGCATGCAAATTTATTGTTTTAGATCATCTTATTTAAAATTAGAAAATTACGTTTCCTAACGTATGCAGGCTTTATTTTTTCACCATGTTTTTTTAACGTTCGATGTTCTAATTTTAGGGTGGAAAAATAATGACAACTTTGATCATTTTATGCGTCACGATCGTTTCTGCTGTCCTTATTGTCGTAGTTCTTATTTCATTTTTCCTGTATCGACAAAGTGGCAAATACGATGTAAAAAAGGAAAAGTTTATACCAAGTTATGACATCATTAGCGCACACTCCAATAAACTTCCTGTTGACGTTGTGGAAACAAGTGTAGGACAGGCCATTTCCCCTGCAGCTCCTACACCAACAGAATTCTTTGGTTCAAGTAATAGCTACATACATCATCGTGATATATTTTATGAAATAAATTTGTTTTCATTATAATTATTTTGTCAAATAATTTAGATACATTATCCTCTCCATCAATCAGACCTCGTCTTACAACTCTTGTGTCTCGAACATCATTAACGTCATCATGTGACGAAATTGATCCATCAATGTACGAGGTACTATAAAATTGAAAATTTGTATCCTCCATTATAAGATTTATAAACTTTAAATCCTTTCAATGATCATTTTCCATTTTTTATTTAGATCGAAACCATCGATGATAATCCATTGGAACCAGTTAAGCTAGGATCAATTCAATTCTCCTTACTTTACGATTCATTTCGAAACATTTTGACTGTGACATTACTGTCTGCCAATGATCTTGTTAAACCTAGAGATACAGAGTCTAAATATCTTGATCCATATGTGACATTGTCACTTCAGCCAGAGTACCATCATCTTTTGCAGTCTAAAGTTCAACAGAAAACAAGATCTCCAGTTTTTAATGAGAATTTCGAATTTGAAATTATGTTGTCAAATCTCGAGTCACAAACTTTGTGTTTCAGTGTGTTTAACTTTTTGACTGGTTCCCGCCATTCTGTGGTAGGTCAGGTCTCCTTGCCTTTAGCCGACTTACAGGCGTCAGTAGAACGGACATTTTCCCTGGATCTGCAGCCAACGAATCAGGTACGAATTGCCGCATTCACTTCATAATTATTGTTTCCATACTTTAATAACTTCATCATGAAACAGTTCTTCTTCTTCTCTTCACCAAAACAGCGTATGCAGCTCGGTGAAATTTTGTTTTCTCTTGGTTACTTGCGAATAGCTGGACGGTTGACGTTGATTGTGATGAAAGCTCGTAATCTACCTTCCGCAAGCGAGTGTTAAAGGAACAGGTATTTATCTATAAAGTGAATGGTTTGAACCCTGGAGTATCGTTAAATGTTTGTAGATGTTCATCGTCCACGTTAGTAGAGTTCCGAGAAGGACTGATCAACATCAACAATCCTTTCTCAGGATTCTACTAACCTGGACGATCTACATCAACAAACATGTATTTATCTTTACTTATTAATGAATCAGCTGTAGAATATGCTAATTTACTCTTCTTTTAGATGCTTATGTTAAAGTAACCCTTATTCAAAACGGACGTCGAACAAAAAAGAAAAAAACCTCGACAAAGAAAAATAAACTTAATCCTGTTTTCAACGAGGCCGTGTCATTTGACATTGCGAGCGAAAGCCTGGATACCACTGATATTTTATTGACAGTCATTCATGATTGTAAGATTATTGGTTGTGTTCTTGTTGGTGCAAACACGAACGGCAAGGAATCGGATCATTGGAGAAGAATGAAAGTTTCAGATAAACCAGTTGCAGAATGGCATGTCTTACAAGATGGAAGAAAGTATTACTGAGGTACGAGAGAAAAATGTGTGTGTGTATGATCAGAAAGAATGCCCAGGGATTTGAAACAATATGTTTTAAAACTATGAAAACCATAGTCTTCTAAAGTTTATGGTTTGAACAAAACGATAGTTAGATAGAAATTGATGGCATGAATTAACAAAAAATAATACATTATCGAATATATAAATTAAATTAGCTCTTATCGTGGATTGTAAAATTTCAAATTTCGTTGTTGCTTGTTGATTAATTAAAATATATATACTTTATATTGTTAGTTTAAAGAAAACATTAATTAGTGGTAATGCACTTACAAAGTAATCATAAATATTGGGTATCATAATTGAAAACTTTTAGTTCTTTTTATTTTTCGTGTGCATGAAAGATTAGTACTGATGATCGAGCTTTTCACCGACTCCTATAAGATCAACTATCATCCCCGGTCGAAAAACTTTTCATTGATATAGACTACTATTGAAGTGTAAGTCATGCCCTGACTTATCACCTGTCGTATGTAAAAGAGAACTTCAACACCGTTACTTTAAACATTCATCGCGCCTCTTAAGATAATTATAGACGATTTGACAAAGTAATTTATGGAGGAATGTTGAATTTTTTGAGAATTCTATTATTGGTCCCTCGTTGTTGGTTAAAATTCTTTATGTACAATGCTTAGGAAGCGGTCAGATTCTTTTCTGACCACAAAAATGTGACACACTCTCCTGCAGAGAAATTGCACGGTACAGCTAGAAGTTTCAGCTTTCCCATCAAAAATAAAACAAGTTAAATTGATATGTGTAAATGATATTATTTAAGAAACGAATTTGATCCAAACTTGTTAGTTTAAACTGAGTTAATTTGCACTCTCCGAATTAAATAAAGGACATGTACTATTAATTATTTAATGGTATTTGTAAAAGACTTTCAATTTAACATGATCTGTTACAATGTAATCAGTATGCAAGTCCCATTTGTTGTCAGAGTTAAAAAAGTAAGCCGATCTAATAATGAGTACTGACATTCAACAAAAATAGCTCAAACCGCGAACTATTTATGTGGTTACATGCCTCATTGGGTTGTATTGTAACCATGTATTCTGATTGGCTAAGAGAAGTGCTACATTTCATATCAACCAATCAAATGAGGGATATTCAATTGCCTTCATCTTTATTTAAATGATCGAGTTTGTATCATTAGTGATTCTAAACATTATCGTAAATTGTACGAATGTTTTGGAAATGTGATTGCACTTTCGTATTTCAAATATCTCCATAGGCTAAATAAAATGGCTCACTTCTCTATTCAAAATCGTCGACGAGGTAAATTAAAATGCAATTTTACTTTTGGGAAAAGAGAGAAACGGAAAAATAAAACTGAATGTGAAGAATGGAAAGGATTTGATGTCAATGAAAGATTTGCTTGCCAAAGTTCTTCATCTGATTTAACGCGACGTCTTTCAGGAGAAAGTTCTTTTAAAAATGAAAGGACTAGCAAACACACACCACAATTTGAGACATTGCCTAAGTCGAGGAAGTACGAAATTGCTCCACCTAAACCGCCACGATCGATGGAGAAAAAGATATTTATTTGTGAAAATCCCGAATGTCAGAGAAAAGAAGAATTGTTGGGAATGATTGCTGTCAATTTTAAAGCTTGTCCTGCTTGTTTTACACATTATTGTTCAACAAAATGTCGTGTTGATCATTGGCCATCGCATAAAATCATTTGTCATTATGGACGAATGAAGAGTTACATGAACGTGGTTGCAGAACTTTGTCTAAGTGAAGTATTAGTTCAAACTCAGTTATCTAGTTTGGCTTTTACTGGGTTTTATAGCAAAGGTCGTGGTTGTGTCATGTTGGTGTTTGCAAGTGTTGAAGATGCTAGATTATTTATTGACGATAAAATCAGTCAAAAACCAACATACTCTTCTTTAGATGATATAGAAAAATCAGGAGTGAGAAGTAATCATCAGAGAAATTTAGTCCGTTTAATAAAACATTACAATCCTGAGAATGAATTCATTTTGAACGTTGCTATAGTTGCAGAACGTCATTTTATTTCAACGCAAGTGGTACCAAGAAATAAAGATCCTTCTTTAATAGAACAGTTTGTGATTCCTCTCTTTGGACAGAAAGAAGGGAGCTTGAGCAAGGCTTCTCGTAGACTTACGCTATAGAAGGATTCTCGCATTTGACGGAGGTAAGTATTCCCTATTTCTAAGGAAAGAAAATGTTTTCTCTTGTACATAGTCGATCATAAATGACGTTTCTTGCAAAGGATAGTAGAAACTCGCTCTATAATGGAAAGATTTGGAAGATCATTTTAATGTCAATTTACGGATGTCTTGTTAGCCAAACCACTATCTCCCTTGAGATATTGTATACAGAATATTGATGGTCGTGAAAATTAATGACAAATATTCCTATTGATATTGTGTTTGTTTCATGTTCTCTATCGTTAACGAAAATTGTGTTTATTTATTTGCATATTTTTTGATGAATTAATATTTAATACATGTATCCTCTCATTTACATACATAAAAACGACATACGACAATGTTTCATCAATATTGCATTTGATATTAAATATCGCAGTTATAAAATTGTACAAAGTTCAGTAATAATTAACTTTCGGGAATAACTGTGTTCAAGTGCTTGAACCATTGTGCAAAAAGTTAACGGGGCAGTTAGTATACTTATTTATGTACATCCACATACCTACATTGTTCTCTAAAGTGTTCTGGTAAATCCTGTTTAAACATTTCCCTAAGGAAAATTATACGACAAATTTCTTCAATTATAAAGTCTTATAAACTCATGCTAACGAGTTTCTTCGTGATCAATTTCCTAGGGTTGCCTGGCAACAATAATGCCTTCACGATGTTCCACGAAACTATACGTTAGTTTCATATCCCAGCACGATTGAAGAATGTTTGTTAAAAATTCCCCTACCAACATCTCCAATTAAAACATCTTTTAAATTGCAAAGTAGAATTTCACACATGTGGAGATTGCATTCACGGCAGTCGATGGAGGTTTTATAATGTACAACTAAAGATAAAAACCTTGAGACGTCACCACATACTGCTGAGAAAATTAATTTCCATTTTTTTCAAGCAGATTAAATTTTGTTCTCCCAGGAGACACCTGCTCGTAGACATCAACGTCCTTCTTGGAGTAAACTCATCAGACTAAAATAATTTTACAACAGTATCTTTACGTGATTTTTTCACAGTAATCTCATTCTTTTTCTTTACTTTGGTTAAAATCTCCAAACTTTGAGAAAAGATTTCTGTAACCAGATGAACTCACGCTTCTCTCATCTTCGATTATATTCTTTGATCTTCCAGTATCACTTAAACGTCGTCGTGGACTGTCTGGATCCGATGAAGAATCAGAATACAACCGACGTGTTGTTGGACGAAAATATCGTTTTCCTTTGGATGGTGGTGGTGAGGGGATGTTGTAGGACATTTCCGAATCAGCGTCACTACTGTAATCGTGATCACTGATTATCCCACTCTTGACAGCGACAACCTTACCATTGTGACGATTACTTATGTTATTTTTATAACCAGAGCGTGATTGTTTACCATGTGACGGTTTGTCGACATTCATATTGTCTTTAACATGGTCCGTTGAAATCGCTTGCTTTCCACCGACATATTCATCATCAGAAATATGGAATTTTTCCGACAACTTTATGCCGTGTCGAGGATTTTTCAAGGGACTGGGCAACTCGGAGTCATCATGAGTTGGAGTCAATAAAGGAGTTGATAATGTATCACGTGACACTACTGTGGTGTCATAAGTTGAAAAGCTATGATGAAACTGGGCTTTAGTTGTGCCAATTTTTGATGTGTCCGGTATTTCTTTGCATTCACGGTCCTCTGTTTGGTGAGCAACATTTCGTTTGTTGCCTATAAATTCATGGTTTATATGACCATTGATTGATCGTCCACAGTCCGTCTTATTTTGCCTTACATTAAATACGTTAGACGGACTTTTTATTTTATTCATTGTTTGTGTATCGCTTGATAATGATTTTGAAACGTCAGACAATGGAGGGTTACGAACGTCGTCTTGTTGTTGATCGATGACGTCATCTTGCTGATGACTGATGACGTCATTTTGCCGGTAATTGGTGACGTCATATGACCGTTGAGGATTGCCGACTTCAGTATTTGGAGAGTTATCAAAAATTTCAAAGTCATCAGAAAAATTTTTACTTCGTCTCTTTATTTTCCCTGTTATTGGTAAATTCCCTTTATGAACAAATAAATCCTCTTCGGCATTGTCATAATCTGATGGCATTTCTAGGAATTTCACTTGAATGATTTTAATCTTGGTGACCTTTTTCATCTTGGAATTTAATTTTGGTGATGAGAAGGAAAGTTGTTTTTCAAAATTTTTCTTAGGACAATTTCTAGAAGTGTCTTCATGACAAGTTGTGAAGATATTTGGAACAGATGTTGATTTGATGTTCACCATGTTGACATTGTCCAAATGGGAATATGAAGATGAAACTTTATCAAGATCTGTGTTAGACTTGGATTTCTTTTGATCTCTAGGTTCATGAGAATTAATGTCAATTTCACTAGGAGTACCAGGGTTAACTTCTTTCTCACATGACAAGTGAATCATTGAAGAATCTTCTTGCATAGAAACAAATTTATCTTTAAAAGTCTCTGGATTTGATTTGTGTGGGATGATGTTGTGGACTTGATTATATCAGATGATAACACAGGCACAACATTTCTGGTATCTGTACAATCTTCTGTGTCGGTTTTTTTATCATTCTGTTCTAGTAGAGATTTATCTGAATGTCTATTGAGTAATATGGAATCCTTCAAGTCAACACTATTTCTGCTCATTGAACTAATATTTTGTGTAATTAAAGCATCAGGATGAGAATCATACATATTTTCCTTGAAGTCTGGACTATGTGAATCTAATTCCTCATCAAAATCATCAATGTGCACATTAGGTATTGACTCATTTTCCTCAGTTGTAACAACTTTTGCAGTTATATTGTTCTCTTTTCTTTCAACTGCTGTTTGCAACTGAGTATGTTTGCCTTCATTTTCAAACATTCCAGGTTGTTGTGCAGATAACACGCCATCTACATGGATCAAACAATTAACTCAATGTTATTTTTATAAATATAGATTTCTTTCATAAAAAAATAAATGAAAAGTCTGCCAATATGGTGTATTTTATGTATAGAGTATAGAGTTGATGTGCTTTTAAGATTATGATATAATTGTAATAAATTATTAACTGGAGCTAGTGAAAAGACATATTTTCTGCTCACCAAATGTTGTATTGGTAAATGAACAGTTTCATCCCGTTGAACAATCTTTTTATCCTTAATATCTTCATCACGAACAAGCAATGCTTTGTTGTAGTCATGAGACCCTTCATCAAATATGGCACCTTCCACTTGCTTGAAAAGGCCTTCATCTTTCAAAGCACTTGTTACGACATTGATGTCAAAGTTCCTTTTCCCTGTGAATTGCTTCTCTTCAGACTTGTGATTATTAGTCAATTGATGAAGTGCATAAGAATTTGCAGTCTCTGGCCTAGATTCTTCATGATGTATATTATTTTTGTATTATTTCCAACTTGATCATCACCTTCACTACATGCACTTCCATATTTTTGGAATTGACTTTTTCTTTGCTGACTAGTTTTAATGGTATTGGCATCATTAATGATATTGATAGGAATGATAGTTTCTTGTGAAGTAGTTGAAAATTTTGCCTCATTCTCACTCTTCTTTTGCTCTACTCTATTTGATACGAAGTTGTGATGATTGATTGATTTTTCTATTTTCTTTTCACAAGTACCATAATTTGTGTAAGATTTTTCTTCAAACAATTCATTGCAATTTTCTGTTTCAACTTTCAATGTTTCCTCATCAGGAAATTCTTCACCTTCTTCAATAATCAATGGCAGTTTTTTAGTTAAGATCTCAACATCATCAAAATTTGAGCTTTTTGGTGGAATACTATCAACCTCAGTCTTTATTGATACGTTTGTCTTTTCAACAAGTGAATCGTCAAGCATTGAGACATCGTAATGGATCCGGACTTCGCCATCAATAATCTCATAGCTCGTTTGACTGCGAAAGTTAGGCTTCTTCAATGAATCTGTATTCGTGATTTTTTTCCGAAATGTTCTAGCAATTCTTGCATTATTTCTTGTTCCAACATGTTCAACAGATTTTTTCTCTTTCTCCTTGTTTAACTTATAATAAACAAAACCAGCAAACACAGCCAACAACGTCCATAAAAATATCCAAAACGGTAGTGAAATGACATCCCTTTCCTTTTCGGAACCATCAGTTCCTGCTTGACCACTTTCACGAGTCATGTTTCTTGTTTTTAAGCCTGCGTTATTTGAGAGTCGGATTCCTCCATGTAATTTACTTTAAAATTTTGTATATTGATATGGCGATTGAAATTCCGCATTTAATTTGCAATGCGACAAAATAGTTTTTTCTAAATTCAAAATAATTCACGAACTTTGGAGTTGCTACAAATATTTTGCCATGTTACGGATATAAAAAACATACGAACAAAGTTTGTAAACGCCACATCGCATTTCTTCGCTCTATCGTCACTTGGAATGTTTACATTAACAACTGCCAATCAAATAATGGCTTCACCTCTAAAATGAATATTTCATCTCCATTATAGACGTTCGCTTTGTTATTTAATGTTGAAAAACGTAGGCTTCAATATTAGATTGATTTTCAAAAGAAAATATTTGCAATTGTCAAAATAAACGAAGCGTTTTGCTGCACTGAGAAAAAACAATATTCAACGTTTTCCATGTCAAAGTAGGTCAATTTTACACATCTTAATAATTATTGACTTTTGTACTTCTTTACATGTTGATTAGCGACTTTTCAAAACTCTTTTTTGTGTTATTTTAACTTTCACTAGTTATTAATCAAAAACACTTACATATTTTCATCAATTATGCATAAACTCTTCTTTGCAGGTGTTCAAATTAATGTACTTTTTTCGTCAAGCACCAGCAACTAAATTGCTCCAATAAATTGCTTAATAATCCTTCATCTTCCACGCTCAAACTCAAAGACTTTCTTCAGACGCGATGAGGTCTCGTAGTCGTAGAATAATTTTTGTGCAAATATCTTGCCAAAAGTGTGCATAAAATAATTGTTGCTACCATAACAATTAAAAAATAAATATAAAAAGTAGTTTCATCGCGGAATGGATTTGGTAACATTTTTCTTTCTTTCTCGAGCTCAAATACTTTCTTTTAAAACTTTTTACCCATATCTGCAGTAATTATATTAAACATGTCTGACTCTGAATGCATAATTAATAATAATTATCTACGCACTTATATTATTTCAATGTGTAGTCACGTGACGTATGTGACCTAAGAAATAGACAAAATTTTGCAAATGGCTTGTCTTTTTTGTCATTTTATTACAAAATGCGTCGGTTTTTTTCTCCTCTTTCGTTTTACATTATGTCGAATTCACAATATACAACTTGAGGTTTGTAATTTTCTTACAAATTAAAGCAAATCAAAACGTTTTTGTTGTTTTGAAAGCAAACGACTTGAATTTCTATTACTGCCTTTTGTCATATATAAATATATGTTATTGACTTGCAAGTCATTTTGAATTTCCTATTTAGCTCGCTGTGTATTGTATGGGTATTTTGTCTCAGTTATATTTTACATTTGTTGAATTTGTTCGTTCTATTTTTTGATGGTAAAATTTATTTGCATGTTTAGTTTGCCATTTTGTTTTATTATTGAAGTGTAGTTTCATGATTACCTCGTAGGTATTTATATTAAGACGTTGCACTGCACGAATGAAGCTATTGAACAGTAAATGAAATAAATCGTTTTTAAATAGAAAGATGGCCGTGGTCATGTAAAGATATCAACATTTGGTATTGTAAAGGAAGGGGAAATTTCGGTTGATGTGAAAAATTTGACATTCACTGATGATGCAGAAATGAAGGTTGGCGTTGTTTTTTATATTGTATTATTGGATTAATGTGGGATGGTGGTATCCTCAAGTTGTGTGATAGATGCAACAACAAATTGTTCTTGATATGACCAAATCACCCACTACACCAATTAATAATCAGACTCCCAGGTGTGTGTATTCTTCCAAAAATTTTTCTTTTATCAAGCTTGGATTCAGTATTCAAAAAACATCAAGTAGTGGTATGGCTACTTATATGGTATTAAATTTTTAATTTTTTTGCCTCATTGCATTCATGTGTTTCATCTAATATGTTTGAAATTCTGTAGGAAGGTCACACGGATAAGTGTCTACTGAAGTCCTCAAACATCGATAAAAATATTGCCATTGATCTCTTCATATTCAACTGGAATCGTAAAGCTGGAAAAAGACATATAGATGTCATTCGCTGTGGTAAAATCTTACCAGTTATTGAGAGTGAGGTTGGATCTTCAATAAAGTCAATGAACACAATAATGGATGAAAATCGGGAATGTGTAAAAATTGAAGAGTTGCCTTTGCTGGTGTTTGAACATGGAAGAAAAAGAATCAGTGTTAATGGCAGCGTGAGTGATGCTTTTATTTCAATATACACTCTAGGTAGATATTGTATGTATCATTATGGTAGAATATTGAGATTTGTGATGTATAATAGATTTTTTTCCTAGTTTACTCTTCATGTTCAAAACAACACAAATAAAGGTTTATACAATACATTTTTTCACAACTGCCACTTCGGCAAGAATCAAAATCCTGTTGATATGAGGGTATGTTAGGTATCATTACTAAGATATTCTGAGTGTTCATTATTGTCCTTCTTTACACTGTCAATATGAATTTAATGGCAAAATATTTTCTTTAGGTGACAGTTGTTGAAAAAAATGATGGTAGTTTTCTATCAGCTGGAGAGGTATATTTCTTTGGCTCATCAAAAATTGGATTTCTAAATCTCAATGCTATTTTTTTGTTTTTTCCTCTTGAAGGCTCCATTACCCATGGTGTTAGGCTTTTTTGCTGTTGTCTTTTGGATTTTATCATGTGTTTGGTTTTATGTTCTTAGACAATATTGGTGTGTTTGTTCATGATTTGAACTTTCAAAATGGTTGTTTAAAATTTCATTAAAAATTACATTTTTTGTTTTGCAGGTCTGAAACATTCAAAGTTCATTATTTGATGTTTTTGTTGGTCTTGTTGAAAGCACTTGATGCATTGTTAAATGCTGTAAATATTGAAATATTCAATTGTTATCACACACTAAAAAATTATTATGAGTCTATTTTTTTAAATTATCTTTTTTTAAGGTCAATTACTACTACATTGGACGAGATGGCACAAAAGCTGAATCATGGGCTGTTCTTCATTATATTGCACATTTGTATGAACTATATTTAAATGATTTTATTAATGTAGTTACAGAAATAATAGTTTTGTTAATAAACACCTCATTTTCATTTTAGGTTCAAAGGGGGCCTTCTTTTTACTACAATAATTCTTCTTGGAACTGGATACTTCTTCATTAAACATGTTTTTTCTGGAAGAGATAAAAAGATTTTTCTGATTGTTATTCCACTGCAGGTAATATTCTCTTTTACTCGTTTGTAAAGTAGTTTACTAGAAGTATGTAATGTACTACAATGTACTACAATGTACTACAATGCACTGCATGATATTTATTGTAGTGTACCAATGGTTTTTATTATTTAAAATTTATGATTTGAATCATTACAATCATCTTCAAACACAAGCCAACCTCAAATAACTTTGACCAGATAGAATACCTCTACAGTTTCTCCTCTGTAAACATAGACACACTGTTAATATTTTATTTCTTATAGATATTTGACAATATTGCTTTGATCATAATGGAATCCACTGAGGAAGCTCAAGCTGATTATGTTACATGGATATCCTTATAAATCAAACAAAATATATTTTTCAGCTTCTTCTAATGTTTCAAATGAAACATCAAATAAAATTGTCAAATGGAGCAGGACCTTAAATATATTTTCCTTGACATTTCTTACAAACAAATTTTCATCCTTGTGGATCTATTATGTTGTGGGGCCGTTCTTTTTCCTGTAATATGGTAAGTAAGATTGCTTGCAAAACTATTTCCTGTACAATGTATTTAGATAGTAAGTAATTTTTAGGGCAATCAGACATCTTAGAGAAGCTTCACAGACAGATGGCAAAGGTTGTAAGAAGACATTTCTTGGTTTGTTTTTATAAATATTTTTATCAATATATTTTATTTCATTTCTATAGCTGCTGTGAACCTTGCCAAACTAAAACTTTTCAGACAGTTTTATATCATGGTAAATAATCTTATATTGAAAGATCTCTCTCTGTAATGTTTGAGTAAATAACGTATCCAATGCAATTTTCATGCAGGTTTTTTAACCCCATTCTATATTCAATCCTCTACATATGTTTCTCTATTTATAGTATTTTATTTTTGAAAACAACTTTTTTTGATCTCCTTACCTCTAGTTTCTTCCACATATTCTTTGATCATCCTCTCCTTCTCTTGCCTTTCATCTTAAACTGCAATGTTTTTCTTAGAACATATTGTTGTCCCTTTCTAAGCACATTCTCGACGTATCATCATATCTCGCATTTGTTTTTTTCATCTTAGTAGTACTCCTTTACTTTCAATTTCCTACATTTAAAACATTCTACATCAAACTCTAAATTTCCATTTACATGCTTTTTACAATTAACACAAGAATCACTTTACTCATACACTTCTCTCTTTCTGTCACTTTTATAACCCCCTTTTGTTTTCTCATGGTTTATCTTTAAGTTTAACTCCTTGTGCTTGAATACCTTAGAACTTTTTAGTCGTTTCATCATAAAATGTAAAATGTTTTGTTTCATCTTGTAGATTGTCTGCTACATCTACTTCACACGAATTATTGTTCAGATTGTCAAGGTACGTAGCTTAATTTACAGAAATGCCTTAATTTGTAAACATACACAATTGTTTTATTTCATTTTATATTTCTATGTAGATCACTGTTCCCTTTCAATACTTGTGGCTTGACGAGGTACACCTAGGTATAGTGAAAAATTGTTTCTGTTTAATTGAAATGAAACATGAATGATTTTTTTGCAGTTTTTTATGAACCTTTCCACGATGACGTTGTTCATTCTTACTGGGTAAGTTTGATTATTCTCATAGCTAAATTTCCTTTCATATCTATGTTTCACTTATGTAAAACTTTCATTATAATCTTTTTATTTTAATCCTCAACAGCTATAAATTCCGCCCTGGGTCTGACAATCCTTATCTTCACGTCTCTCAAGAGTCAGATAGTGAAGAAATGGATGAAATGTATGTTGGAAAATTATCATCAATATTCTTTGTTGTTGTTGAGAAATGTATTGATTATGGTCGTCAACTATATTGATCATGGTCGTCAATAATAGTGATCATGGTCGTCAATAATAGTGATCATGGTCGTCAATAATATTGATCATGGTCGTCAATAATAGTGATCATGCTCGTCAATAATAGTGATCATGGTCGTCAATGTGATCATGGTCGTCAATAATAGTGATCATGGTCGTCAATGATCATGGTCGTCAATATAGTGATCATGCTCGTCAATAGTGATCATGCTCGTCAATAATAGTGATCATGCTCGTCAGTGATCATCGTCAATAATAGTGATCAATAGTGATCATGCTCGTCAATAATAGTGATCATGCTCGTCAATAATAGTAATCATTAGCGTCAATAATAGTGATCATGCTCGTCTCATGCTCGTCAATAGTGATCATGCTCGTCAATAATAGTGATCATGCTCGTCAATAATAGTGATCATGCTCGTCAATAATAGTGATCATGCTCGTCAATAATAGTAATCATTAGCGTCAAATCTATGGTTTGTTGAATGAAGTATGTATTATGTCATGTTTTTGTCATTTCAGTGTAACTCAGACAGGATTAACAGAAAATATAACCAGAGTGTCTACAAATATCGACACAAATACCACAACAAGAGTAAAGATATCTGCAGCTTGATTAAAATCAAGAATGTTTGGATACAGACAGAGATGAATTGTGTGTTCATAGCTAATCTTCAAGATAAAATCCTTCGTTTTCCCGTCTTATTCTATTGTTTTTCCTTGGAAAGTACAATAAGAAATATTTCATGATTTGTTGGGATATTTAATTACTATAAAGATAACTTTTGTCTTTTTCCCATTTTTTTCTCAAAAAAAACATTTGCAATTATAGATAGTACTTTCGTTTTTACCTTAACACTGATCTCATAAACATTGGATAGCTTAAAAAACATGGTGGTGTCACTGGAATGTTGTGATTTGACGATATTTTTTTTATAAAGACGTTATTTGTAAGCATTGCTATGCTAAAGGAACAGAAAACAATATATTCTGTTTGGAAGTATAAAAGTTTGTTGATAAGTGAATAACGACAATTTGTGTAAAAAATGGGCTCTGAACTTAGTTTATCTTACGCCTATAAGTTGGGAGAGCAGTTAGACTTTGAGTCCGATATTTGGGAAATTTATCCAGCTTAAGAATAGATGATGATGAGGAATTTACTGTTTTCGTACACCAGAAAGACAGTGATGACAACAAGGGAGTTGATCTGACAATTAAGGTTGGAATTTTTTTTGAGCAATTTGAATTGATTGACTTCATGACTTCATTGACTTAAAGTTAATATATAATACTTTTAATACGTTGCATTTAATGATTATAAGTTATAATAATTAAATTTACAAAATAAATTTAACGACATGAAACATGAAAGCTCTATTGTGATTGTAACTTCATGTTTTATAAAATTAATAATTGCCAATTTTCAGTATATGCAAATGATCCGCCATCCAGGAGTGTTGAGATGTCACAAAGTATTTGATAATACATATGAGGTTTCTATGGTAACTGAACCTGTTATACCATTATCAAAAGTTATTGTTGATCTTGAGATTGTTGAAGTTATTGCTGGTATACAACATGTGATTATGACAATCGTATTTTTACACAAGAAAGTAAGTTAAAGTTGAGAATGAAAAATTTTTAACAAATCACAGGAGTTAAGAATGATATCTTGATTCTCTAGTGTGGGCTGTCACATAACAACTTGTCTTTATCATCAATATTTGTTGGTCAATATGATTCCTGTTGGAAAATTGCTGGATTTGAAAATATGTCAACATTTGCAGAGATTACTAAAGAGGTATTGATTAAAGAATAGTCTGTGTTTCTTTTCATTATTTTATTTAATTGTTCATTAATTTTCACATTATTTTTTATAGAAACTCATGAATGAAAGTTTGGCTCATGCAAGGGATGTTTTGCAATTGGGAGAGTTGATTTGTGATATCTTTGAGCTTGTTGAATTTTCTGGTGAGTTAGAATGTGCATAATTTCCCTTTTATTCTTTTGCTGACCATTTTTTTGTGTTGTGGAAGTTGATGAAATATCAATAAATCAGTTTTTGCAAAGAATACAAACTGATTTTGTGGAGTCAAGTGTTGAGGTAAGTACATAGAAAATTCTCTGTTTCATTGAATATTTTTATCTTCATCTTAAAACTTTTGCAACTTCATTTTTTCTATGCAGGATAGACCAGAAGCTCAAGTTCTGTTAAATGATGAAATTTTTCAGTATGTTTAACTTTTTTGCTACTTCAACCAATTGTTCTTCGTGTCATGATGTGAAAAATCTTCAATGAATATGCTGTCTTTCACAGGATGGAATATTGTCAAATCTTGCTTTTCTTGAAAAGCATCACAATAAAAACAAAAGAAGAAAAATCATCATTTTTTCAAACACTTCATGTTAGATTGCATGAAGTGCCTCCACATGTTGTAGCAAAACGTCTTCTTCATCTTTTATTATCTCGTTTTGTTCTTCTTGATCCAACTGCAGTAGAGATATTTTTACCACATTTACTGACTCCACAGTCATCAGGTAGGATTCATCATAATCACTTGGGGATATTTTGTTTTATGTATGATAAGTTTTTGGCAAACTTTTTTAGTTGATCAAAATGTGCATTGTAATGTACAACCAATATTACCTGAAGATTTATTCAAGTGAGTTTAATACTTCACAAATCTTCGTGAACAATATTTCTCTATAGAAATATTTTGTCATATATGTTTTTCTGTAGAGAATGTTGCATTCCTATTGTCATAAAATTATTTCAAGTCAAAGATCGACATGTTCGTCTGATATTGCTGAAATATATTGCAAATTATGCCTCAATGTTTGAGAAAGATGTTTTAAAGTTAGAAATTTTACCCCAGGTGAGTCATTATTCATATATTTACTAACAATTTATACTTTGATACCTATGTATTATCTATATCAATGACATTGTTACATATTCTTGCTTCTAGTTAAGACTTGGTCTTATTGATAGTGATAATGAAATGGTATCTGTAACATTTAATGCGATGCAACATTTGGTTCCTTTGTTGGGAGCAAATATTATTGTTGGTGGAGGTAGACAATCACAGTTTGTTGAACGTGGCTTAAAGGTATTAAATAATACTTTAGTAACGGAATTTCTATATTGTAATCTCAATATTAGTTAGTGTTGCGTTGAGAAATTTGAATGAAATGACTTGACGAACGAATGTTAAAGATTTGATTTGTATTCTTAGATTGACGGAGAAACAAAAATTACCAGCGTAGTAGCACAGCCCACCTTGCTTACGTCGCAAGTAAAGTCAAACGTCACTTTTGATGGCAAGAAACTGGAGCGTGAGAAAAGGAAAGAGGAAAGTCGACGGAGGAACGAAGAGAGGAGAAAAGAAAGAGAACGGTTGAAACTAGAAAGAAAAGCTGTTGTTAAAGGTGATTGTTTTTTTTTGTAATTATAACTACAAGTCATTGGAAATTACTATATCATTTTCTGACCTATCCACACCAGGTGGTTTTGTTGAGAAAAAAGAAGCGATGGAGTCTGGAGACAATATTGAACCATGGGAAGATTTTGGTCTTCAAGCAACGGCAGAAGTTTATGAAGAGGTTACGAATACATCCATTTTTATCAACAAAGATTTTAAATGCTTTAAAATTTTCAATTGTTTATAGATATCTGACGATTCTGATACAGGACGTCCCAGTTCAAGCGAAATATCAATTGACTCTGGTTTTAGTGAGAAAACACGAAAAATTAACGTTAAACCGCCAGACTTAGGCGTTGAAGAGAGGAAGGAGAGTGGTTTTGGAATGAAGATAAAGAAAGCTGCGAAAACTGCACTTGACGATAAGAGAATACCGTTGAAAGATTTAGTCAAATTACACAAAGAAAAGAGTAATGTGGAAGAAGATATTTCTAAGTCAAGCAAATCTATTTTAAAACCAAAGTCAAGCAGTTTGCTTTCCAAGTCAAGAAACAGTGCTACTCCCAATGAAAATAATATTGGTGAAACGAAAAAAGAAATGAAAAAAGAGAAACTTTCTGCTGTGAGAAGTAATGAAAAAGATTTTATTGAAAAGAATAAAATTAAAGATAAACCTTGGGAAGAGTTTGATATGAAGATAAAAACCAATAATAAGAATAATGTAGATGATATCTTTGCTGATATGATGCCAACATTGTCAGATACACGTAAAATACCAGTAAAAGGATTATCAATGTATAGTCAAACTTTAGCTGTTGTTGATGATGATGAACTAAAGGTTAGCATATCGTAACATTACATTGTTGGAAAATTTTATCTCTGACTGTCGTTTTTTTCCCCAGAATGTTGATGGATGGGAAGATGATTGGTGAAAATAGAGAGGAGAGTTATTGGTTAGTTGAAAAAATTATTTATATAATGTTCTTGGATTTTTTTTGCACAATCAAATGAAAATAATTTTATTCCGATTTTCAATCCTCGGAATAATCCTCGCAATTCATTAAAATTTGACGATTTTTAAGAAATCAAATAACTTATCTGATTACAAAAATATTACAGCTATTTTACAAAAATGATTCACTAAGTTGCGGTTCTATTTAAAATATAATAATGGGAGATATACTGACTAATATTTAAACTGAAAGATATCGCCAATCATAGTTGTATCTGAGTAAAATCATTATCTGTATTTGTCTTCTTTCTTTATCTTAATGTTGCAAAAATGTTTATTCTAAATATTTAGGCTTTGTTTGAGGAACTGAGGAAACATCCTTTGTTTCATGATGAGCTTTATTCTTTCTATGTTAGCCGTCCCTTCTTGTCTCTTCAGTTCGTGACAGGCTTGTTCAAATAATCTTTCAAAAGTGTCGCTTTGATTTAAAATTGATGACGATGTTGTATGATGGGATTGTGCTTCAAATTGATCGTTAACAACGTCATCAACGTCATGTTGTGACGGTGAAAGAAACGAGACTAAACCGTAGGAAATATTGTGAAGATCATGCGCAGAACTACTTCTCTTTACTGGTGTACGATAATGAATTGAAGGTCGTGCAGGACTAGGAGGTTGAGAGCGAATGCTTGGGGAATAAGATTCAAGAGGACGACGTGAGTTGTGCTCGATGAATTTAAGTTTAGAACCAAATGTAGCTCGTTCATATCCTGAGATTTTTGCCTTCAGTCGTGTAATCTATAAGAAATAGAGAAGAAATAAAAGATAATTTTCTTTTTCTCTACAATCCAAGTTGATGATCCGAAACATGATCCTTATGTTTACCTCAGATTCCTTTATCATAATAGTTTCATGGGCTACTTTAGCTTCATCATATTGTTGATCAATCTCGTCTTGAAGATTTAATATATTATCATGACACTTCTTAATTTCTTGTTCCAATTGTTTCACTTCGTTTTCGTAAGATTTTTCTTTTTCTTTGTAATTCTGAAGATTAAATCGATACGTTGCATCCGCTTCTTCCTTCTGAGAAAATAATTTGCTGTGATTTCCACGCAGTTTCTCCACCTGTCATTGTCAATTTACCATGTAAAGTCCATAAACATTGCAACCTGAAGGTCTTAATAAAAATTTAACCTTACCTCGCTCTCTAAGTTGCTTATTTTCATGGAAAATTCCTGCTCAACTCGTCTTGCTTCCTGGATACCTTTGGCTTCAGCTTGAGCTTCACGAACTTGACTAGCAGCCAGGTTTTTAGAAAGACGCGCACAATCTGTTTCCTTAGCTGTTATGAGAGCATGAACGTCTTTGAGTTCGTCCAAATATTCATGTTCCTTCTGCTCACATCGTAGCAATTTACGACGAGCGTCAAGAAGCTCAGCATGCTAGTAATGTGCAAGAAAATTTTATATTTCCCGAGAAAATGGGAAAACTTCACATCATCAACATCACATGAGGAGTTCACTTTACCATAGTTTGTGTTTGTTCCTTAGCCAAACGAAGCTCCTTTGTTATCTCGCTTTTTTCATCTGCCTCCATTTTAATTTTCGTGAACTCCTGTGAATGATACAAAATTCTTTGGTTTTAATTATCTATGAGCGCTACAACATAACACACTATAGATGAACCTTTTCAAACTCAGCGACTTGTTCAAGACGCTTTCTTAGTTCTTCTTGTTGTTGTTTTATCGTATTTTCCATGTATTCCAGACGAACTGTCTTCTGTTGAACTTGCTCCTCGCTCTTTGCACATTTTGCTCTAAGTTCATTCAACTAAAATAAAAGCAACAGCATTACATTCTTCTTTACAAAACCAAACATATGTCATACATCCAATTATGTTGTCATACATCCAACAATGTTGTCATACATCCAATTATGTTGTCATACATCCAATTATGTTGTCATACGTACCTCTAGAGTTTTCTCGTTCAGTTGATACTGACAATGACTTAATGTTTGTTCTAAAATATTCGTCTTTTGTTTCATATCACTTTGTTGTTCCTTTATCGATATATCCAGTTTACTCATCTAAAGGATATCAAAGGATGGGAAGTCGCACATTAACTACAACTCCTTGTGTATATACGTGTGCCTAATTATACCTCAGATACTCGTTGTTTCAGTTCCCATTGACATTCCCTGACAGTCTGATCTAATTCTTGAACTTTTGCGTTTTTCTCTGTAACTTCGAACTCTTTTTTCTCCAGTAATTCTTCGCTTCTATTCAATTTTTCTTCTATAAAATCCATCTGTTTGTCTTTTTGTTTCAACTCTTTCATGTTTTCTTCTAAAACAATCTTCAATTTCTCCAATTGTTTCGTAGTCTCAACTAACTCATTTTGTGCTTTGCACAACTCCATGTCCATTGTTAAAACCTGACTTTCTTTTTCTTCATATCTAGTTTTCATGTCGTTGAAACTTTCTTTACAATCGACGAGAGTTTTTTTTGTTTCAATGATTATATCCTCTAACTCTTTCATGTTTTCATCTTTGTTGCAAAGCGCCTCAGATTTTTCCTTCAGAATCGAAGACAACTCTTTAACCTCGTTGGATTTCTTTTCTAAAACAGCTTTAGTTTGTTGTAACATTCTTTCTAGATCAACAACATGAGATGAACTTTGTTTCATATCTTTGTGCACATCAACAAGTGAATTATTCATTTCATTAAGTTGGTTTGTTCGTTCATCTAAATCATTTTTGGCTTTTTCCAATGATAATTTTAGTTTTCTTGTTTCTTCCTTATTGTTTTCTTTCTCTCGACTCAACTCCAATTCTAAAACATTCGCTTCCTGCTTCAGTCTTTCTAAACTTTGTTCTCGATCGTTTATTTCTTGCTGATTTTGCTTCAAAACCTGGTTTTGTTCTGATAAAGTTCGCTCAAGCTCTTCGATTTCCTTGCATTTTAACATGTATACCTTCTGTCGTTCTTTTACTATCTCTTCAAGATCAGAAATCTAAAATAATGATTGAACAAGTGCTTTAAATGCTTGATATACAAATGGATTAATTCTTCATAATAACAGAACTTTTCTTTCATATATTTTCTTTACCTCAGTCAATTTATCATTTATCTCTTCTTCGTGTCTTTTCTTTGTTGTTTCATGTTCTTCAACATATTTTGTTAAATCTTGTCGACATTCAAGTAATGCTTCATCGAGACTAAGTCCTCGGTCATTTTCTAATTTTACCCGTTCTTGTAATTTTAACAACCTTTCCTCATATTCTCGACTTTGTTCTTGTTGATCGTTTAATTCGCGTTGTCGTTCGTTCAAAAGACGCTCCATTTCATTAACACGTGAACTTTTTAACCCCAAATCTTGACGAGAAGCTAGAAGACGCAAACATTATCAGTCTGAGAGATATTGATGGCATTGTACAACTGAGTTGGGGGTATTGATTGAGAAGATAGTCAAGCGGACATTAGTTACCTTTCAAGAGTGCATCAAGATGAGAAACCTGGTTATTTTTACTTTCATAATCTTTCTGCAACTGTAATATTGACTATAGTTCAAATTCACAGATCATTTGCTATGTTTGTCGTGTACTTTTTTTGCAACAAACCTGTTCAATTTGCCGCTCCAGTTCACGACAATGCTCAGAATGAAGGCTTCTTGTTCTTTCTAACAAACCATATTGTTCATTCAATTCTTCTTCCTTTCTTTTCAAGCATAACTCCAGTTCTTCTATGTAGTTTTGCTGCTCGTCAATTTTCTGTTCTAGATCGTGTAGTCTTTCTGCACAAGTACCAAGTTCGTGGACTTTCTCTACAACTTCGCCTTCTAGATTTTCAATCTCTGATTTCTTCTTTCGAATCTAAGGTAGTGGGAATTACAGTAACAAGTCCATCTCAAGAGACAAAGACAAAACAAGTACATTTACAATGTAAATTTTTATTTTAAATAACCTCACCTCTTTCTCAAATTCTCTGTTTCTTTCTTTGGTTTCATCTACTTCAGTCTTTATTTCAATCAAATCGACATTTTTATCATTAAGTTTTGTCTCTAAACTCTTTATTGTCTTGTCTTTTTCTCCGTTTGTCTCCTCCATTTGTATCAACTTTGTAGAATATGTTTCTATCTGATCTTCCAGCTCTGAGATAATTTCCTCTAAGTGTTGTTGTTTACGATCGTTAATTCTGTTTCTCTCCGCAATGAAGGATAATTCTAATCTCAAGCCAGTCATTGTACCTGCATCTGACATAAAAAAAAGACATTTCTATACAAACAATAATTGTAGAAAGCAAAGTAGACATAAGTGTACCTTTGCTTGATCTACTTTCATTTGTCATGTCCTAAATAAGAAAACAAGAAGAATTCTGCTAACTTTATTCCAAAAGTTTTTGATCAATGCTTTACAAATTATTCACAGTCACAAAATCATACTTCAGACATATCTTGGAGGTTTTTTCTTTCATTATTCTTTTCCACCACTTGATGTAGTAATGCCTCTAGTCTCAACATATCCTTTTTACTCCTTTCTATCTCTTGTTGATAATATGCAATCTTTTCATGCTGCATACTGATGATCTCATGTAATCTTGATGTATCACTATCATTTCCAAAGGCAGATCTTCTCTGCAGCTGACCGACTTTCTGACTTTGACGTGTCACGGTTTGTCGAAGGTCCGCATTATCCTGCTCAAGTGAGCTCTTGTACTCTGCATTTGCAACACATTCTGACTGAAGCAAGCTAAAACAATATTATATTTTCATTTCTAAATAATGAATTTATAAACAATATTGAATGATATTTCCACGCTCACTCAATTCTGACAAACCTTATCTCTTCTTTAAGCTCTATGACCTGTCCCTCAAGTGTCGTGTTCTGTTCTAATAATTCATTTTTTTCATTCGTTAGATCATTTAACTCTTGACTTATTTGTTCCATCTCTTCACAACTCTACAATAAAACCACGGCTACATTAATATAACTGATTTATATCTTAAACTTTCTTTAATTGTCCATGCTTAAATACTTGTTTTGTTTGCTGTTTTTCCTTTTCTTTCTCTTCTTTCATTTTATTTGTCATTTGTTCCATCTTTTCTAAACTTTCTTCTAACTTTGATTGCAAGCTGCACAAGTCAATAAGGTAACTACAAGTTTTGTTTTTATCTTCGGAGAAACAGTAGAAACTTACCGTTTACATAGAATTTGTTCCTCATTGTACTTTCTTTGAAAGTCTTTAGATGTTTTCTGAACTTTATTGAATTGAATTATTTGATTTTCTAGCTCATCATTCTTCTGAAGAAGTTTCTCCTCTATATGTCTACATATGTACATGCATAAACAAAAATATTTTCAATAAAACCTCTCATAAACTGAAAAAAGATTGCAAGATTATAATACTTGAAGGCTTGAGCTTGTGATGAAATCTCTTTTTCTAAACATACAATTCGATCCTCGCACTCCTGTACTCCCTCTTTTTCTCTTGCTAAATCTATTTGTAGAATTTTTACCTAAAATAATCACAGAAACATCAAGTGTATTTGATTTATGAGAGAGGGTCAAAATTTTTTTAAAAAACTCACCTTGTTACATTCTTGTTGAAATGTTAATCCCATAACCTCAAGTTCACTCATTAATTTGTGATTTTGGCTTACTAAGGCTGTGTTTTTATCACGAAGAATTTGTGATTTTGACCACATACTCTCACTAATGTGTTCGTAACTGTCTTCATTGGAATACCTCATGCTGAGTTTCTAAACAAAAAACTCAATAAATTTTTGTACCACCCAATGTACAGCAACACAAACAAGCTACCACAAGTCCATTGTGCTTGACATGTTGGGAAATCGTGTTTGAATCGCCAGTACTAGATGATTCAATGGTACTTGGTAAATTGTAAGGAAAACTTGCAGACTCTTTAGGAAGATCTGATAATGAAGGACTAAGATCAGCCAATGTCAATAATGGAAGCTGATCAGAAGAAGTAGATGTAGGTCTTGATGTGCGTGTACTACATAAAATTTATGATTCAAATCATTATCTTTGTCAATTCACTTTTAAACAAGCATTTCTGACAAAATCTTACTTTGAATTACCCAATAAGTGGGCATTTCCATTAGAGCCTGACTTTCTTGGGCTGTTTACGTCTGGAAAACTATCATGAATCATAAAACAAAATAAATATGATTGAGAACAAATGTTGGTTGCTGTAATAAGCTACTTGTATTATCCATAACATTTGTTCCCCAGCCCTTGATCTGCTTTAATTTTCCCTCACTCAACTTTCAACTTCCAAGATGTAATATAATAAATTTTATTTTTGTGCGACAATATTTCCTATCAATAGCTAGAAAAAGGTACAAATTGACAAACCTTTTACATTTTATTGGAGGGCTTAAATTTTGTATTGACTGTTCAGTTTGCCATAATCTTTGTCTAAGTTCATGACAATCACGCATTAAAGGATCGTCTGTAGAAGATAAAGATGTGAAACTCGTTGAACTTGATTTTCGACTCATCTTCAGTTTCTAACTACACATGGCGTCCTTAGTTTTTTGACAACTTCTCGTTTTTCAACACATTTTATCCTCAAATTTTCAATCTTTACAAGCCGAAAACAAATGAAATGAACCAGAAATACTTTTCATAACTCATAAAATATCCATTTTTGTCTTAAAATACATCATAAGACTGTTTCAGGAGGAAATAATTAAAATTTGAAAACATCTGAACAAATTGTTTGTTTATTTTCGGCTTAAAAAATCGTAAATAGCCGCATTTATTTTATTGGTCAATTTCTGTCACGTGACTGTGTTAGCTAAAATTGAAAACCCCTACGAAGTTGCAGCAGAGAAAAAAAGAATTATTTTTCGGATTTAGCCATTATGCTGAAGAGATATTTTACGAGAAAAACGGGATGTTATACTTTAATGAGTATTTCAGATAACATTTTAAAGCAATATAATTTGCAAAGCAAAATGCCCCGAATTATCAAAGACATCAAGACACTTAATTCAGAAAGTGGAAACACGGGATTTCGAATTTATCAAGTCTTTCCCAGGACGTTCCTTTTGTCTTGTGTTCTCATGGTTGTTCCACAAGTACAGCTATCTGAGCAGATTTACGGACGAAAATCATGGTAGGATTGTAAGAAATTACAAAAATATGTACCACATCTCATGGAAAAACATCTGCAGATTTATTAGTTTTTGAGAACTTTTACTTAAATGTTTTGATCTCTCAGTTTCGTAATGGATTGAATTGTTATTTGTGGTAATTGGGATGTATTGAAATTACATAGGGTTTCGTTAAAGTTATCAAAAACAAGGCGTATTACAAAAGATTCCAGGTGAAGTACCGTCGTCGACGAGGTTGGTACTGTTTCACATTATTGTGTTGAAATTACAGCTGTTGAAGCTCTTTTGCTGAGTTTTGTAATAACCATTATTTATAAACTTGTCTTACAACAGAGGGTAAAACTGACTATAGAGCTCGTCAACGTCTGATCACCCAGGATAAAAACAAGTACAATACACCAAAATATCGGTTGATAGTTCGCTTTACCAACAAAGATATTGTCTGTCAGGTAAAATGGTTAAGTACCAAATATTTTCCTTTAATAGTATAGTTGCTCACTGTTATAAAATATGATGTTATATTTGAAAATTTAGATAGCATATGCTAAGATTGAAGGAGATGTTATAATATGTGCAGCGTATGCTCATGAGTTGCCTCGTTATGGTGTAAAACTTGGTCTCACTAATTATGCTGCTGCTTATTGTACTGGCCTACTGATTGCTAGACGGGTGAGGAAAGTATGTAAATTTTATATACTTTGAAAATATTAGATTGTGGAAACTGTTTTAGTTGTTGAAAAAATTGAATCTGGATGAAATATACACTGGTAATGATGATATCAATGGTGAAGATTATAATGTGGAAGATGCTGATGGATCTCCAGGAGCGTTTAGGTGCTTTTTAGATGTAGGTTTAGCAAGAACAAGTACAGGTGCTCGAGTGTTTGGAGCTTTGAAAGGAGCTTTAGATGGAGGTCTTGATATTCCACACACGTAAGTGATGTTTATATGGTTGTCATGTCATTGATGAAAATATTGCTAGTTTATATTTAAAATATTTTAAGGATATTTATAATTTATTCAGTGTGAAGCGCTTCCCTGGCTATGACAGTGAAAGTCAAGAATACAGTGCCGATGTTCATCGTAGACATATTTTTGGTCAACATGTTGCTGACTACATGAAAATGTTGCAAGATGATGATGAGGATGCATTTAAACGTCAGTTTTCTCGATTCGTTAAGGAAGGAATTGATGCAGACAATGTAAGTTATTAATGTATGATTTGTGCATGTTTGAGATATTTTTATATTTAGCCATTGTTTATTTAGCTTGAGGAGATTTACAAGAAAGCCCATGAAGCTATAAGAGCAGATCCCTCACCTAAACCTTCATCAGCTCCTCGTGAGGGCAAATCCAAAAGGTAATTAAAGTATCAGAAGTTAAAAGCAAGATGTCTTTTTATTTGCACTTTGATGAATGATTTCTAATTTTATGATTGTTTTTATCAGTTTTGGCCGCTCTCGTCTTTCATTGCAACAACGTAAAGATCGTGTTAACCAGAAGAAAAAAGCTTGGTTGAGGAAAATCCAAGAAGATTAAATCAATTTGTAATGTTTGAAAAATAAATAAATTACAAATGTTTCTTTACAGTGAACAGTTTGTGTAAAAACCAATAATATACTGTAAACTGGTGAGAAAATTTCCCACCCTCCTGATGTTAATAAACCGAAGTTCGATTTCCGGGGAATAGATTTATGTTATGCATATTTACTACTGGCATTTTACAATCTATATTACGCAAGAACTATGGCGACTGAGGTTATGACGTAAGCGGGGAATCCCCTTATTTTTGCGATGTCATCTACAAGCAATAAATACGTTCAAATATATATTTCAGATTATATATCAAATTGAAGTAAGTTATTTGTGTTTACAAGATAGAAAGAAGAGATATGAAGGTAGGTAACTGCAACTTTTGTCGCGTAGAAATTATTCAAACAATGGCGTCACGTTGACAACATACAAATATTGACTCATTTATGGACTTTAAAAGGGCTATTGATGGTTAAATTCCTAGACCACGTAAAAATTCTCATGTTTCCACCCCGATAGCATGACATCCATTAAGACTTCACTCAAAAGAATATTAGAAATACTACTGAGTCTTAAAGATGGATTTCCATCATGCAATCGCTCTTTAAATACCTACTACTAAAAGTAATATATAAATCGCGTTACGTTTTTGACACGATGTTCATCCCAGTTTTACACGTCTGGTCTAGTGTATAGGGGGCTTCAATATTATTATCACTGGTGTGTAATTTGTTGCAGTGTAGCGCTACTTTGGTCTCGTTAAAAGTTGAAACATAATTGAACATCGCTTTTCTTCGTTGGTTATCTCAATTTCTACTAAACCACGTATGCATATTACAGTTCATACAAGATGAATTCTTTAACAACTATCATTTTCATCTTTCAGGCTTGTTTGCCTTTTGTGTTCATTAACACTGTTTTGGCAAAACAGATTTGTAATTTGACATTACAACATTCTGTAATTGATAAATCATCTGACCCAGGCAAAGTGTTGACTTGTGTTCCATGTGCTGTCTGTGGTGCTGGGTCAGAGCCAAAGATTAAATGTGGAATTACGATAGATGTCAATCAAACTATTGGTGATTGTGAAGCTTGCCGAGGAAATACTTTTTCACCATCAAAAGATGTCAACGAATGTCAGTCGTGTGACAGGAATGCATCATATATTGTAAATGGAGATAAAACTGCATGTCTCCTGGTCAATACTAACCTAAATAGTACCATTGCTCCACCCGTGAAGTCTAAACGACAAAATGAAAAAACCTTGATTTATGTTGGAATTGTTATTGGTGTTCTTTGTCTCATTGGCATTGCTGTGCTTATTCTTTATGTCACAATCCGTTATTTTAGAAGACAAGAACAACAACAAGGTGTTACAGTTAAGCTTTTTCAATTTGATCCTACTTTAATACTTTCAAATTTTTATAATTTGTTATTCACAAAATTTATTTGTAGCTTAATGTTGCAACATTATTCTAAACCTTGTTGCTGTTGATTTGAATTCTAGTCATTTTTTCCAATTCATCAAACAATATACATTGTCAAGGTAAAACCTGACCTTGCTGTGTTCTTTTTTTAAACTCATGTGGACTTTTTTAATTTGTCATTTGTTATTTTAGAGGAAGCCAAAGATGCAGGAACGGAAATCGACAGACAAGAATCATGTTATGGTAAATGTAGTGTTCACATATCAGACACATTAGCTTGCTTTTAGACTTTTGACGATTTTTTAAACTCTTTTTTATTTCAGATTACACCAAAGTGTAAGGTGTAAAAACATAAAAAAATCATGATCAAAAGGTAGAGTGATTTATTAATTTAGTTTGAAAATTTCCTTCCACTTTCAACCATCTGTTTGTATTTATATATTTTATGGAAATAGGTTCTAAAGTTGTCCATTATTAAGTTTATTGGAGAAGGTTATTATTCTGCTTACATTTGCTGGACTTATGGAATAATGTATTTATTTTTTTAAAAACAGATACACTACGTTCATTTTTGACGAGCAAATTGAAGATGAAGATAATTTGACGAAGGATCTTGATTTGTTCAAGACGAACTTTTCATTTTTATTTATTAGTTATTGCACTACAACCTTTCAGGTGCCAAATAGTAAATAATCATCCTCACCTTTTTAGAAAATATTATCACTTTAGAAAAATATCATCAAAGTGTGTAGAATGAGAATTTACATTGTAAAATGATCATGACTGTATGTATTTCGAATATTGTCCATTAGATATGTTTTTATTTTAACCATATATTTGTCAGAAACACTAGAATTTCTATTTTCTATGGTCTTTTTTTATAATTATTCATTGTTCAATTTATACTTTACCTGAGGAATTCCCAAAGAAACAGAAAAATGCAAGTCATGGTGTCGTCATATTTCAGTTGATTATTATAAATCACTGTAATGGAACAATAAGCTTTATTCTCCTTCTTTTGCATAAAAATGTACATATATTGGTATGTTTGGATCAGTGTATTCTTCCTCACGGTAGGCGAAATTTTAGGTCTTTTGTGAGTAATGAATTGTGTTTATTGTTTGCTGATAAATGTGAATTCAGCAAAACCAAATAAAACGAACAAGAAGTGTATTTGACACTTGACACGCAGGCAGCACTAAATAATACATTGTTCTTACAATAGTTTTAAATTAATGATGATTATTATGGTTTTGATGAACGAAAGCTTTCTGTACTTGTTAAGTTTGACTGTTTACTTGTTTTCTACAGGTAAATTTTGTGTCAATTTTCTCAGCTCCTGTGAATCTCAGTGAGTGCAAGAAAAATGAGTTTGGAATTGTCAGCAAAAATGGGAAATTAACATGTAGAAACTGCTCATACTTGCCTAAATGTCCAAAAGGTCAAGGTTTGAGTATTGATTGTGGTGACCTAGTGCCTTCCTCGACACGCATTCAGTGTTTAAAATGTATTCCTGGAGAAACGTATTCTGAAAATTATGACAGAAAATCTTGTCGTCCATGCAAAAGTGTTGATTGTCATTTAAACGAGAAAATTAATGGCAAATGTGAGATGAATAGAGACACATCAAGTTGTGGTGGAGTCTGTAAAACAGGATATTATCCTGAAAAAATAAATTCCTTGGACAATTGTAAACCATGTTCATTATGTCCAGATAGTCACACAACACGGATAAAAAAATGTGAAAATGATGGTGAACCTTGGGACAGACAATGTCATGTAAGGGTTAATGGCACCATTCATCGCTTTCAGGTTAATAGCATTTATTTGTACTGTTGATTGAGGCATCTTAGAAAAATGGTTATTCAAAGCTAACCGTCAATATGTTTTGATGTACAGTTTTTGTTAATATATGCAACATGTGGCTTACATATTAATAGAATCATCCAGAAATGAGGAAGAAGGGTTGTTTCATGTTCTATTGTAATCTTGGCTGGTTTGTTTCAACACTAGCGCTTATTGTGGTTGGCTTTGTTTGCATTCTCATAATCATTCATAAGAGATGCCGGATGCCTCGTAAAAGTAAGTCATATCTCTTGGCATTTTATTAATTTATGGCTGTATCACTTAGCTCATGTCTAATTTAGATAATTTTCCTGTGGTAGTCACTGGTTTTGGAGAGCCAGATGTAGAAGGTAGACCCTCACCTGCTATTGGTCTGAATTCTATGTCAGATTCCCCTGACAGTAGTAAGTTACGACAATTTTGTATCTGTTGATTTGAAATTGTTTATACATGACAATTGAATATGTGGTATACAATAATTTAGCTTTGCTGATAATGGTTTTGCTTTTTTTGCTGTTGTTAGTATCAAACAATAATGCTAAAGATATTCAAGTACAAGTGTATCCTCAAAGTAAGATGACACCAACTCAAAATTCAGATCAAAAAGATATGTCATCTACAGGTTTTATGTGTTAATATAAAGTGTTGAGAATTACTAACTCTCAAAATATAAACTCGAATCAACTTTTTGATTGTGTATATAGGTAGGAAAAGTAGTGCTTCAAGAAAAGTAAGTAACACCTCTGTGTTGCCTGGAGTTCCAGAACGAGGTAAACAACAAACTTTCTTTGTGTAGTCAATGGGTACCACAGCTACCTACAAATATTGGTGCTGTTTGTTTCATAATATTTTGCCCTTATTTCTTTTTTTCTGATGTTAGAACCTGTCAATTTGACTTCTGGTGACACCTCTTCATCCATGGGTAATGCAAACTGAGGAAATTGATTCTGTTGTTTTCTTTATTTAATCTTGTTTGTTTTTCAGGTCAGACAAGAAATACAAAATTGACAAGACAACATTCCTATCCAACAACACATGATGAAGGAAAAGGTATAAACATGTAGGTGAAGTTTTGCCATTTTATATTACCTCAAGTTTACTGTCTTTTTAGAGCCAAAATCTACGCGAAGATTTAGTTTTGACTTTGCTCAAAGAAGAACTCGAAAAGAAAGTAAAGGTATATTTGCTCAAGGAAAATATTGTGTTCTTGCTGCAAGGTTTTATAGTTCTTTTATCATGTTGTAGTGTTGTAATGTAATGTGATTTCATTTTTCAGCCTCCGAAGACAGTGTACCTTTGATAAATGAATTTGATGAGAAGCATCGTGAGGAACACCATGATCAGTCATATTTAAATCTAAATACATGTTAGTATTAACATTGTTGGCCGCATATAAACAAAAAAGATACTTGGCAAGTCTGAAATCAACACTTTCATAGTTTGCTTGCAAAACTTGCAAGGGTGCAATGTCATGTAGTTAAGAGAAATGACTGTAAATTGTAAGGTTAAAAGTTCAAATCCCTGTGAGTACCAAGCGCAATCATAGAAAGAATCATGAGTTACTCCTGGGTGGAAGGGGGGTGTATGCATGAAGACTGACGTTAGAAAAAGTTGGAGCAACTTAGTATAAAGGTTGCAGGATTGCTTGGAGTACAAATTTTTTTTTGTGATTTTCCCATTCTTCATTTTTTCTAAGCATTCCTCCTCCTTAAAGAATGCTCCTGTTTGCCATTCAAACATTAAAACTGCTTTTTTAATTGATAAGAAAAAAGCTTTTATAGATTGTTAAAAGTTGCCTAAAGTGCATTTTTTCTAATGTGTTGTTCATGTAACTTTCCTCTTTCTTTGTGTATGATTTTAGTATCTCGCAGATTATCAATCAACCAATTAAACTGTGAGGCTTATCGCAAGCTATGTAATAAACTAAACGATGATATGGGAAACAAAGACTGGAGAACATTAGCAGGTAATATAGGATATTCAGCTGGTGAGGTTAGAGACTTCTCAAGAGAAAAGAGTCCTGCTGATGCATTGCTGCAAAGCTGGAAGACGACAAGCCATGAACATGATATTCCCGCTTTGATAGAATTATTGAAGAAAATGGAAAGAAATGATCTTGTGAAATTACTTGAGTCACAACCAGATAAACCATCAGTAACTTGAAATATCAGTAAACATTCATAATTCACTTAAATAATATATACATGAACAATTTATAGCATTAGGTGTTAAATTATACAACCATTTTTAATAAGTTTAGCATTGACTGTCTATCATCTAGCAATACAATCATTCATTGCTTAGGTCTATAAAGTATTGTTCTAGTTTAATGATCCACTCTAGTTTCATTTTCAAACTAGCTGTCGCATGTGTTTGAAAGTATTTAAAAAATTTCTCACCAAACAGATTCTTAATGGGCACAACACTGTAAATGTCTTCTCCTGATGGTTTAACCTTTAGTTTCCACAAAATCTCATTAAAATATCCAAGAACGATAGCAGATTGCGGTGACATGATAAAGTCTCTACAAACAAGGAACTGTTTAGACTTGGTGCTTAATGCTGGTGACACAAGTGTTAAATGAAGAAAGAGATGTTGGAGGAGGTAAATGACTCCAACAGTAAATTGTGTAAGAGTATCTGAAATTTCTAGAACAAACCAATCATGTTGTTGAAGAAGTTGTAGTGAAATACAACATTGATTGATAAGCATCATCTTTGTTGACAATTCATCATCATGATCACTTGAAGAATGGTTGAATACAGAACCAAAGATAACTCCATATTTTGATGAAGATGTTTTGCTTTTTCTTTCAATAAGTTCAGCTGAGAAATCCTCCTTACTACCGCTGGTACCTAACACTTTGTAACTTTCACTTGTCTCCATGGTTCTTGTAGTTTCAATCAAACTTTTAATCTTCTTCATTTCTTCATCTCCATGATTAAAACATGTCTTTGTTGACACTCTCTTTCGTTCTAACATCAATCGAACATCAACTGCACAATTTTCATGTAACAAAGCTAGACATGGCTGTGATAGTAAACAATGGTCATTAATCAACAGTGTAGAGAGAAAACGACCATTTCCTGTAATGTCCAATAAATAAAACAATCCATCATTCATCACACCAGTTAAATGTAGAACATGAAGAACATTGAAAGGATTATTTAACTGGTCTTTCTGGCACTTTTCTTCTGTGTATATGCAAAGTTTTTCAACAAAATCTTGTCCTTCTTTAGTGTTCAATATTTTAGCATTACATTTGGCTTCCTTGAACTCATCTATCAATGACGCTGGACAAAATCTTGAGCTACAAACTTCTTCAATTGTTTTACCATATATAACATTCCAGTTTTGTATATCATCAGTGGCAATCTCCTCACGTGATGGTTCCAACCAGGAAACAGAAGAGACTAAGGAGAGAAAAGTAAATAAAACAATTAAGACAACCACAGGCCAATTGGATGGGGAAACATAGGGATAAAATAGGATACCTGAGTTAATTATTTCATTCACCAAAGATTCTACATTATATGAGTGATATGATGTTGCAATAACTCTTTGATACCATTTCATTTGTGATGCTGCAACTCTTTCACTGTATGATCCTGTATGATGACTAACTGAGTTATGATAACTGTCATTTGAGCCTTCAGGCCAATAGCTCAGCTGCATTCCATTCAGGTACGTATGAGACACTATAAAGAACTCTTGTGAAATCTTTACAACATGAAATCTTGCAACATAATCCTTCGCAAGATAATTTCGTAGTTTTGTTAAGAATTTCCATTTTCCTTTTGTGAAATTGTCGAACAGTTCTAAGTTCTTATTTATTGCAGTTTTTTGAAAGTCCGAGAACATATGGGCACATTCAACAATCTTGTCCACAAAGCACTTTGGTATAGATTCGTAAGGAAGTAATGTATTTTCAGGTCTTGTAGAAAGATATTGTGACTGCAGTATTCTCATTAGGTCACAAGGAATGAACTCTTGACCATAAAATAATGTACAAACACAATAGACTTCAGAGTTTCCTGGTTTACTTGTTCCTAATAAATAAAAAAAATCACTTAACCACAAAGTATTGTAGTAATGGAGTGATGCAGAGAATTGTTTGATAATGTGAAGATGATTTATACAATACCTGGTTTAATTATTTCAATATCTTGAAAGAAACACGACAAAAGAGAGAGAATAGAAATAGTTTGATGCTCAAACATAGTGAACATTTTCACCACAAAACTTCCTCCCTTGGCCAGATTCATGAGTCCTGCAACTACCTCACAATACAACAATTGAACAACGATAAGTTCTTGTTTATCTGGTTCGTCTGCACAATTTATGCTACCATCTGCCGTTACCTACACAAAAAGTATAGGATCTACTAAGTTCTATACACTTAAGCTTGATCATATCATTTTAAACATACTAACAAGATGTGCTTTTCCAGGGCCTGACAATGCTTGAATCAGGCATTCCAGATTACTCAACTCCATGAGATCACCATCTTGTCTTTTTCCAAAACTCCAATGATCTAAGGTTTCAATGATAAATTTTTCACCTGAAATCATTTGCTTTGTATTATTGCCTTCATAGAAAGGATTGAGAGTTGTTGCAAGCCATTTCCAAGACATGTCAGGGTATTTGGACTGTATATAATGATTCAAACTGGTAATAAACGCTCCCGGAGCTTCACAGAGGTGAAGACTAATTAACTTCTTGTTTTCTAGACAAATCTGTGGAATTATGTTACACGATGAAACGATTTCATGGAATTTCGCCCATGCTTGAGTGCAGAGCTCAGGTTTTATTGAATCACGTAAATATTTTACTACCAAACCACATGGATTTGTTCTTCTTGTGTGGCTTCTCCATTTCACAATATCTTTATCGTTTAGCAAGTTTTTTGTGTTATTTAAGTCCTCTTTGATGCTATTTAATGGTTCAATGATGATTGATGTTGTTGAAAATATACTGCTTATATCTGGAAGAAAATATCTTTCATTTTTTGATTTTAGCTTGAATCTTTTATTGAAAATTTCCTCAGCTTTTTTGTGAAGAACGTTTACGCCAGCCATCTTGACATTTTAATTCTAGTCTCCCCTCCTGTCATTGCTCTTGACACATTTAATTATATATTAAATTATTGGGTTGTAAGGGGGGAGAGTATATTGACAGTGCATAATAATGGAGTTTCAGGAGAACTTCTCAAAAGCCTTACAACTTGAATTTCCCACTGTACATTTTGAAACAACGGAATTTATTGAAGATATTTCATGTTTTAAGTCAAAATGTGGAGATATGTTGATTTATCTTCTCGATGAGTCGTGTCAAAGAATTCAACAACATGGCTACAGCTTAGATGAAATGTCTTCAGTTCAGGCGGTTATTGATTTGACTTGGGAGAAAATCAATACAGGATATTGGAAGGATGTTGACATCTCATGGAGAAAATTATATAGTTATGCAAGTATAGTGAAGGTGATGGTCCTTGTTCAAAATAATCAATTGTTGGAAGCTACTAAATCATGTGACCTAGGCTTACTTCTAGGAAGTCCTGTCCTTGATAATATTTTAACAAAAATTGTTTCTGAAATTCAACAACGTCAAAACTGTTCTGAAATCACTAAAGATAAAATTGTTTTGCAGACAGCAAACGAGCAATCTTCACTAAAAAATACAAATAATGACATTCAAAATATCTTTGATATTCCTTTGATAAAACGAGCAAAGGTCACTGACTGTTGTATAGAGCGTATAACATGCCCTTCACTCAATCTCTTTCAAAAGAAATTCATGAATGAAGAGAGAACAGTTATAATCCAAGATGCTATAAACCACTGGCCTGCTTTTACCGCACATAGATGGAACCTTACTTATCTTCAAAATATTGCTGGACATCGAACTGTACCTGTTGAAATTGGTTCTCGTTACACAGATGAATCATGGACACAAAAACTAATGAGCATTAATGAGTTCATCAGTGGTTTTATGTTGAAAGATAATGGTGAACAAAATGTTGCATATTTAGCTCAACATCAGCTGTTTGATCAAATTCCAGAACTTGCTAAGGACATTACAACACCAGATTATTGTTGCCTTGGTGACAGTAATGGTCAAGATGTAATAATAAATGCATGGTTTGGACCCAAAGGAACAGTATCACCTTTACATCATGATCCATACAATAATTTGTTAGCACAAGTTGTTGGAGAGAAATATATACGTCTTTATTCAAGTACTGAGAGCGATAAACTTTATCCTCATGAATCCTTTCTACTTTCAAACACAAGCCAAGTAAATTAAGAATTTTAAAATGTCTTTTTGTTTCATATTTTAATTCTGGTCTTGCTTTCCTAGGTTGACATTGAGGATCCTGATGTCTCAACATTTCCTCTGTTTGAGACAGCTGACTACAAAGAATGCATACTCAAGGAAGGTGAAATGCTTTATATACCCAAGAAACATTGGCATTTTGTCAAATCACTATCTGTAAGTTTTTCTGTAAGTTTTTGGTGGTAATTCTTCTTGATGTTTTTTTATAAATTTCTCTCTCTCTCTTATCATTAAAACCATTTATAAATAAAATACAACACATATATTTTATCATTTTCTTTTCTTTATTATCAATGTTGGCAGTGAAAACATTTTGTCATAGTCCATTTGACGTATAAAAGTTATTTCATGCTTTGCTCTTGATTACTATCACATGTAAGCTTCCCAATATGTACCAAAAAGGAAATAATAAAAAAGAGTCACACTTTCTGTGTTGATGATTCATAATCGTCACTGCTATCCTTCAATAATGGTGAAGCATCTTTCTCCATATTACTCTCTATTACCTTGGCTCTAGCTGCATCCCACTTTAACACAAACAGTGTAAACAAAAATAATACAGAACTAAGAAGATATAGACCTGGGTAAAGTATGTAGAGAGCCACACGAAGACTTCCAGTTGTTTCCTTCAATGGTGGAACAGCTAGAGGCATATTACCACCAATAATGCTAATTATAAAGAGGTAAAATGCAACAACTGATGTACGTAGTGCCTTGGGAACAAGTTCAACAACAACCGTCAATGCAACACCAATCCACATTTCACCAATAATGTTGGCAGCAATAAGACTTATAAAGCAATATGGAGGGTGAAAAAAGAGAGCTCCAGCAGCGAATGGTGCACCAATAAGCTAAAAAGTTCAATAAGTATCAGTTCACAAATGATTCTAAAAAACAAGAAACATTCATATCTTTACCTGACTAAATACCAACACCCAAACACGAGCATACAACCCTCGATTCTTTATCACTTGATCTGATATTACACCTCCAAAAAGTACTCCCATTGATCCCCCAACCAGAGGAATCCATGACATCCAATAACCAAGATTTACGTTCGGATAATATTTGTCAAAGTATGGTTGAGTATTGTAAGCCCAAACATATCCCCCCGCATTCCTAATTGATCCTGCTAGACAAAGGACCAGAATTGATGGACTGAAGAATATCTTGAGGATGAAAGAAAAGCCACCTAGTTTCCATGGAGTCTGAAACAGGATTAAAACCTCGCTCAAATTTCATCTGAATGCACATAGTTTGCAAAAGAACAACTTTAAATTCATCAGCTTACCAAAATGTTTATTGATCTATCATTTTTAACCTTGCCAACAGGTTCTTTCACAGTAAAGAAAATCATAGGAGCTAAAATGAATCCTGGGATAGCAGCTATCCAGTAGACCCATCTCCATCCTTTACCGTCAATGTTTGCATCAACAATAAAATTGCCCAAGGCATACGATAAGCTATATCCAATGTAAATTCCCCAATTGTAAACTCCCATTGCTGAAGCTCGTAAAGTCTAAAAAGGAAACCTTTCATTAAATTAGAATAGAGAAAAAAATAGTAAAATACGAACCTCATCAAAGTAGTCGGCGATTAAACTGCTTGCAAATGGTGTGCAACCTGCCTCTCTAGAAATTTTAAAATAATCATGTGAACAACTAATTTATATTTCATTTTGTGTTGCGTATATGACATAATTTACATACCCCATGCCAAGTATGAACCTGGTGACTACCAGTTGCCAATATTTCGTTGAAAAACCTGTCAATAATGTCATTGTACTCCATAATAGCAGGCACAAGGATAGTATGATACACCTCTTGTTACTACCCCCTAAAAACCCCAGTGGTACCCCAGTTATAGTGTACACCACAATAAAGACTGGACCAGCAAGTATTTGGTACTCTTCCCCAGTCCCATCATAGTCCCAGCGACATACATGACTTTCATTGTATTTGCCAGAACCAAGTTTTGCCACACACCTAAAAAGAGATAGCACTCATAGCATTATAACATGAAAATTATGTTGAAATCACTGTACTTGGTGTTATGTGATGGATTGTACTTTAATTTTGCATAATTTCAATGGATGATGCAATGATCGAGATTATTGTGACTTTTCAGTATTAATATTTATTACACTGAGCCTAAGGTGCAAGTGTGTATTTCACAATCCACTGACCAGATTTTGTGCGATCATAATTTTAAATTGCAATCAGAAAAAATGGCCAAGTCAAGATACTAGGTTAATAGTAAATGTTAATTTGAATCCTATGTCACAAAAATAATAACGCTAATTGGCAATATGTTCTTCTTAAGTATTTATTGCAATTTATCTACCTGGTTTTGTTATTCTCTATTTTGTTCGTGCCAGGCTTTTTCTGGCACAGTTTAGTTTGACCAGAAAAAGAGACATTCTTCATACGAACACATCCTTTGTCTCCAAACTTGATATCCTGAGACATTGGCATCGATGTAACTGCCAAAGCATATCTATCAAGTTGGTTCAATAAATATGCGACCAGTAAACATACAAGAACGTAAAGAGAGTATGCATTAGCTCTGCGCAATAAAGTTAACACTCCACGAGCCATCTTTTCAAAGATAAATGCAGCAAGCTTGAGGTGAACGTTAGTTGTGGTTAGAGGAAGTCACGAGATTCTTATGTCGACAATTATGTATAAGTGCTATGTTATGCAAAAACCTATTTACGTAATAAGCTACGGAGAAGAGACTCCAGCTGTGATATTTTGATTTGTTTATTACATTGTCTTACGTTGGTGGATTTTCATTCCTTCAAGGCAAAAGAAATCATTTGGTGAATTTTGCTTAATTGTTTGGTTACGTTGGTATATTAGTATTTTGTAGGAAAATTGGCTCCCCTCCTGCACACACCCACCCATCTAGGGTAAGTGCACAACCTCGACACCCCATTCCTTAACCATCCCAGGTCACTGTTAAAGTCTTCCAGACGTTCTGTATAGTTCGTCATAACCGTGTGACGTACGCAACAATGGAAAAATAGCTGTGACCAGTGGTTATGACAAACAGGACAGTTGGGTTGTGTGCTGTTTCTCTTGCTACACGAAATTCATTTTGAAAGAAACGAGTAGGTGACTAGTCTACCTCTACCATCTTTATAAGTTGTGTCACCTTAACGCAACCATTGGTCACCACCATTGTTACCACCACACCACCTTATATGACATATGCTTATGACCATATTAAAATTGAGAGGAGACTGGATCTAGTAAAATGGTGGAAATCAACTGAATTCATAAAGCAACAAATTTTATCATGAAAATCATTCATCATATTCTTCAAAAATGACGAGAGAATATTCCAAACAAATAATTCAACTACCTTAGACACTTTTTTGAAACGAAGATAAATCATCATGATATCTGCATTAAAAAAGTTCTCTCGCAAAAATGATGGCCCCAAGTCTCGACCTTCAATGCCAAGTGGAATCTCATCTATGGGACAGTCATTACAACGAAAGTTTGGACGTGGTATCCATTATAATAGTATGTACATTACACTGCATGCGCACTTTCTCTTATAATAACTTCATTGTATATACATGATACAATGGCGTAATTTGAATTTGTTATTTTTTGTGAAGGGAATTTCATTTTTGAATCAATACTTTTATTCCTAGTGAAAATAGTTGTTAAAGGAGATCGAAACACAGGAAAAAGTACTTTATTGGCAAGATTTCAAGGAAAACCATTCAGAGAAGAATATTTACCCACTAATCAAATACAGGTGTTTTCACACAATTTAACAACATCCTTAATATGACACCTTATTTCACATCTTTGTTGTTAATTATTCTTTCATAGGTTTGCAGCATTAACTGGAGTTATAAAGGTATCAATTTCAATAAAATCCTCTCAATGTTTGAGTTTCATATCAAAATAATTTACTATTACAGTTGCAGATGATGTTGTGAAGGTTGAAGTATGGGATGTAGTTGATAAAGGTACTCAAGTTCTTTATAATTTGGATGAACACGATGAAAGTTTAAAAAGAGCACTAGTTTATTGTCATGTTGTGTGGGAAATTGTAATTTATAGGAAAAAGGAAGAAATCAACTGGTGATGGATTGAAATTTCATAATGATGCTTCAAATGAAGTATGTATGATGATCCATTGTTCCCTAAATGTACTCTGATATCCATATTTGTATGTCAATTGTATTGCTATATATTTTTATAGAGTGAAATTTCAGATGTTCTAGATGCTCAGTTTCTTGATGTTTACAAAGGAGCTCATGGCTGCATAATTTTATTGGACATAACCAAACAATGGTTAGTGATTACTTAAATTGTCATAATTTTTGTATTTTTCTTAAGACATGACCAAACAATGCTTTGTAATGTTTACAATTCATTGTACAGGACATTTCAATATGTTGAGAGAGAGTTACCTAAAGTTCCTGGTAATATTCCTGTCTTAATCTTAGTAAGTGAAAGATACATATATACGTAATTCTACTATCGTACGTACCTTCATTTGTCTAAAATATCACATTTTGTATTTTAGGCCAATTTTTTGGACATGCAAGAGCACAGAGTTGTGCAACGTGAAGTTATTGAATCATATGCGAAATATTTTGATCGAGGAAAAGATTCAGCCATGATACATTGTGGAGAGTGTTCAATGAAAAATGGTTTTGGTCTCAAGTATATTCATAAATTCTTCAACATTCCATTTCTAAATCTTCAGGTTTGTATGTAAACTTACGAAATTGAAGAATTATGATGACGATTCTTACACAGTTATTTTGGTGATTTAGCGAGAAACATTGACCCAACAATTGGAAACTAATAAAGAAGATATGGAGGTACATTAGAAAATTTAAAAATATATTTTAGAAAAATGACTTCAAGGCAGCATAATAATCCAAATTTATTGCTTTAAGGCAACTCTTGAAGAATTATCATTTCAACGTGAAAGCGAAGAACAAAATTATGACAAGTAATTATACTAAAATGACGTCATTGTTACGACTGACGTCATTTTTACTACTGACGTCATTTTTACTTCTGACGTTTGTTACTACGACTTCATCGTCACTACTGACGGCAATGTGAATTATGACGTCATCATGAGCTGTGATGTCAAAGTTAATGACGTAACTGTGTTTAACAATTACAACTAATCAAAATTATGCTTTAGATTTTTGAATTACATGGCCAACAAAAGTGCAGAGAAGCAGCAGCCAACATCAAATAGTTTAGGTATTTTTCTCAGTTATTTATGGAAACTAAAGATTCTCGACTGGGATAGTAATTATAGTAAAACGATGATCAATCTTTGTAGAAAATAACGTGAGCTCACGACGAACAACGACATCAGTCACCACCAAGAATACAGATAGCAACAAGATAACTGTTAGTAATACAAAAGGAAAGACTAATAGCCAGACTTTAGATGATTTTATACCTGAAGACACGATAGAATCTGGCTTTCTAGACGAAAAAGGACAATCTGTGAAAACTGACAATATGAGCGCGGACAGTTCAAGTGAAGACAACGATAGGTAATCACAACAGATATTTTTTGTTTGAATGGAAGCTTTTTAATGGTATTGAAGATTTTTGTCTACATTAAAGAACTTTTTTACTTTGCTATGCAGAGCTCATTAACTTACGATGTTGTTTTTTAATGACCAATGACTATTTTAGCGAAGATGGTGTTAATCCCATGGTCTCAGGCTTTAAAGATTTTAGTTCTGATGAAAATGATATTGACCAAGATCATAAAACACAGCAACCAACCCAGATACCATTGACCTCTAGTCTAAATGCTGACGTTCAATTAACTTCTGAAGAGTCAGACAACAGTGATGATAAAACTGTCCAAGTCAGCAAAATCAACGATAATGACATCTTCTCTCCTGAGATTGAATCTGACAAAGATGAGCCTGAGTCGAAAATTGAGCCCGCAGTAGAATCGGTAATTGCTCGTGTTTGCTTTGCTGCAATATAAACTCGTTTGATATTTATAAACGTATTTAATGCTACTTTCCTACTGTCTTTAGTCAAAGATAAAGAGTGATGTAGTATTGAATGATGACGATGTAAACTTTATGGATGCTTGGCTTGATTCTCCAAGTACAGACCCCAGGGTAAAGATTAATGATATAATCCCCTTTTTCACGCAGGTTTTTAATTGAAATATGATTTATTTTTAGGAAATAAGTGTCAAGCCAAGGTTTGATTGAACTTTTATTCTAAACAATTAATATCTTTATGTTATCTTACGCTAAATAAGTTTAATTTTTAGAAAAACTGTAAGAAGCAATGAAAATGCAATTGGTGTAAATGAGCTTGACATGTTTGAAGCCAGTCAGTTGTCGTCAAAAACTTCTCGTTCCACACAAGGCAAGTTATGATGTAAAAACTTGCTAAAATTATTACACAATTAAATCACAAGAACTTTATCGTAATTTTAGACGTCGTTAAAGATGACAAGCTAAATAGTCATTCTGATGATAATAGCGGTAAGTTGTACTTAATTTAAACTTGCTATACTCTATTTGAGCAAGAGAACTATTTTATTAGTTCAACAATGAGTTTCATTCTTTCTTGTGTAGAAGAAATAAAAAAGAAACGTTCAGAAACGCTTTCAAAAGACGTCGAAGAGGTTTGTCATCTTTTTATGACCAATTTCTTTTCTCGTAAAAGTAATACATTCATCATATTCCATGATTATTAAGAGTAAACACAAGCATCGTTCGAAACATAAACACAAGAAAAAGTCAAGAACGAAAGACACACAAGAAGATGATAAAAAACATAAATCAAAGAAAAAAGGACGGCACAAGGAAAATAAAGATCGCCAAGATAATGGGGCTGATTATGAATTATTTTAATTTTTGTACTTGAAACGGCTATGACTAATTGACAACCATGACTTATTAAGCTGTATTAGCTTTCAACTCCTAGAAATATGAATTTTTACGACGAGATCCTTGTCCGACATCATTATTTCTTAACACTCTTTCATTTCTCATTAGACGAAATATTTACTGTAATATTTCGTTATAAAAACCCTCCTTGGTAGATAGATAATTGTAAAAGTTTGTAATTATAAAAGAATGATAATTTATCATAGGTACATTGCAAAGAATTTCTAAAGTAACTCAGTAATTTATCTTTTTCACGTATAATTCAGATACGTTATTCTTGGGTAAGCTGTGTTCATGGTGACCGCGCCTGTGACGTAATTTATGGCGGGAAACTGTTGTTGATTTTAAAAAACATTAGATTTTGTAAAATCATTGTGCTTCTTTTCATCTATAACCTGCAATATTTGTTTGTTTTTATGGTAAGTCATGTTGTTTATGTTATGCATTTCGTATTTTCTGTATACTTAAATTGTATTTCTTCGCCAAACATGTATTTAGGTGAAATGCAGTTAAGAGTTGAGCGATGATGTCAGCTTTCCGTGATGGATAACGACTTGCTTTGTAATTATAGAAAATGCCGAAAACGTCTTAACTCTTTTTCTTGGGTAAATATCTTCATTTTTCCAGGTCTAATGTATAGCAAAAATTATATTTACTAGATTTGTGAGATTATTTTTTGCCGTTCGTTTTTAGGTTACATCTTGTTCTCGTATCTTTTCAAATTGTTTATGCACAAACAATGGATGTCATTTTTAATAAAGTCAACGTTTAGATCTTAAAATACCTTTACTTAATTTACAAAGATATTTTCTGTGATGAAGATGGTACGAGAGAGTTCAATAAAGCATATGTTTGTCCCGCTTGTAAGTTATTTTTCTAGGTACATCATTTGAAAACTTTTTCGTTACAGATTATACATTCCTAAATTTAAATCATTTAGGTGAGACTGATTTGTCTGGGAAATTCGACATTGTCAGAATTGATCTGCATCCTTCTGAGCAATATAAATCAGTAAGTTGGTTCACATTGCCTTCAGTAGAAGTTGAACAAACGTAGTTTGTATGTTGATGTTTGTACAGATGATCTTAGCTGGACAAAAACCTGAAACGATTATGGAGATTTGCTCAAGAGCATTGTCATTTTGGACGTACCAGGTAGCTTTATATTCTCCAAAATAATTTCCGATTATATAATGTATGAGACATTTTTTGATGCAGACTCATCAAGAGAGAACCTATCAAGAATACGTCTCAAGCAAAACTAAAGAAAAAAATGTTCAATTGGAAAATTACTATGAACAATTGATTGCAAAGTCTCACCAAGAAATATCTTGTATCTTTTAAAATTATTTCGTTTTTCTGAAGCATTAAGTTAAATTTTTGTTGTATTTCTTAACTTATGATTAAAGCACTAAAGTCAGAAATATCTAGTAAGTTGTTTGAGATTGTTGCATGTTGTGGTAAGGGATCTGTGATTACAATACGAGTTTGTTGTTTTTGAATCTTGAAGTTAAAGTGAAGGAACTGGAAGAGACAAAAAAGAGATTACACGAAGCTTCAGAAAAACTACAAGAAAGAAGTAGACAACATCAAAAACTTCAGGTTTAAATTTTTAATATTTTTTTTTGTTGTGGAGTTGAACGACTTAAATTTCCCCTCATTTTCTATCCCAAGGTCATGTATGACTCCTTAAGACGGTAAGATATTAAATCTTTGCTTGTTTGCAGTAAAAAATATCCCACATTATCTCTAAGTCTAAAGTAACTTTTTTGTAGAAAATCTATCAGCAGTTCAGTATTTAATCATGGCGATAGTAGGAATGACGTCACAAGAAGAAGGAGTGCTTTTGATTTGACTTTAGGAACTGCATCTGGTAAGTTAAACTCTATAAATGGTAAATGATGGGTAGATGACACGTTGTTGTAAATGGTAGGTAGATGACACGTTGCTGTAAATGTAGATAATATTGATGTAGTAAGTGACTCAAAGTTTCCATTTTACATTAATTCAGAATTATTATCACGCAACGCTCATTCAAACAGTCTCGTTGATCTCAGTCGTATAACTGGTACGAATACAATAGTCAATATTCCAGAAAGTAAGTGTAGATTTTTTTTGTCTCTTTAAATCTTTTTTCTCTACATTTCTGATATTTGGTCTGGCAATATTCATGCATCCTCTTCTACCTTTGATAACCACTTTTATTTCTTGACCTCAAGTCATATAGACGGTGTAATAGTTTATGATTTAATATAATCTGTAAGTAGTAATTAAACGGCTTCTTGTAAAAAAACGTGTCTTCGAGCGCCCAAAGGGCTACCGTAGTGAAATATTTTGGAGTAAAAGTAAAATAATATTAATAAAAGTTATCCTTGGAAATTAATGATTGTAAAATTATTCTTATTTTGAATTTCCAGAAGAGTTTGTATGGAAACCAATGTCAACTATGGAAGAGCATTATGAAGGAGCACACACCCCCCTGATGAGCGACTCTCAAGGATTAGAAAACAGAACACATTTGGAGATCCCAGGGTCAGGTATCAAACGACGTCTGGGAATGAGAAAAATTGCCCCATAACATTTTCTATGAATGTCCAATTCTTTAATCATCATTTTTTATATAATTTTCGAGGTACAGTCATGCTAGAACTATCTAGAAGCATTTAATTATCTTTTTCTACGTGTTTATTGATATAAAAAAGCTTTTTTTCCCTCAAACTACAAATTACAAGTTCATTGTAACGTTGTAGAACTAAATGAACTATTTCGTCTTCCGATCAATCCAGTCCAAATAAGCCGAGACCTTGGTGTAAAAGCCAACTTCGTCAACCTGAGAGCAACCGACTCCCCAACTTATGATTCCTACTTGAAACCAACTCCATTCACCTGTTTTGGGGTGTTTACGATTCACCATACTGGGTCCACCGCTGTCGCCATGGCAGGTATCTTTCTTACCACTAACATCACCAGCACAGAATTGGGTTCTTTTGTTAAAATACCACTTATCATTCTTTTCTTTTTGTCTTTTTTCCTTTATCTTATCTTCACAAAATTTGTTCGATTTAAAAGGCAAACTTACTTGCTTGAATGGATTTTCTTCTATATTATCGTTAGTTTTCTCTTTGGGTTTCACAGGAGTTGTACGTCCCCAACCAACTGCATACATCCTGCTGTCATTCTTTGTCAATGTCTTTATGTCCATATCACGTGGTAGGCATACTGCTTGCTTCTTCCGTGTGAAGCGTTTTAGTTTTTTAATCTTTATCAACGCAATGTCATGTCGGTAATCGTTGTTGCGATAGTTTTGGTGAACATGGAGTTCAGTAATTGTGAGCGGTACCATATCTTGGAACATCACCATGACACTTGTACGAAAAAACAATAAACGATTAGTGAGTTTAGAACTTAAAGATACTTGTATGGATATCTGTGGTACCTAAGATGGAAGGATATATGTGATGTAAAAGGATATCTGTGGTATCTAAGATGGAAGGATAATGTGATGTAAAAGGATATCTGTGGTATCTAAGATGGAAGGATATTTGTGATGTAAAAGGATATCTGTTGTACATAAGATGGAAGGATATTTGTGATGTAAAAGGATATCTGTTGTACATAAGATGGAAGGATATTTGTGATGTAAAAGGGTATCTGTTGTACATAAGATGGAAGGATATTTGTGATGTAAAAGGTATCTGTTGTACATAAGATGGAAGAATATTTGTGATGTAAAAGGATATCTGTTGTACATAAGATGGAAGGATATTTGTGATGTAAAAGGGTATCTGTTGTACATAAGATGGAAGGATATTTGTGATGTAAAAGGTATCTGTTGTACATAAGATGGAAGGATATTTGTGATGTAAAAGGGTATCTGTTGTACATAAGATGGAAGGATATTTGTGATGTGTAACAATATCTAAAAAGTAAAATTTATCTTCATATGGTCGACATGGGTATCATTATCTACACTAAGTATTGTAAACTCACTCAGATGATTTTGTGTTGTCATGAAAACAGTGAGCAGCAGTTAAAACAAATTCTTTGTTAATCAATGTTCCTCCACATACTTGTTTGCCTATATTAATCAGAATCGTAAAATTGGTGTTACAATTATAAAAGTTTTTTTAGATTTTTTTTTTCTCAGAAACTTTCATATTACCTTTAACGAAAATTCTTGCAATCCATGGCCAGTCTTTTTCCTTTGCTTTATGACCACCAACAATACGAGCTCGTGAGTCAATTCCCGCGAAATAAGATTTTCCACAGGCAGAATAATCTGTAAATTATAATTGCTTCTGTTATCTTGACAGTGATGTCTCGTTAGTCTTCCCAAACCATTACTAACAATAATATCCACATGTATTCTCTTGCTGTAATATACATATGTTTTTTCTTAAGTTTACACTATACGCTACTTTTAGCCCTATTAAAATTTATACCACATCTAATCATTCCTGTAACTCTCGTAGTATTTGAGTTGAAATTGGAATTTAGGAAAAGGACATCTTTTTTCTGCATTTACCTTTTGTTATGATCTTTCTCTTCACTTTATTCAAGTCGTCATAATCTTTTATTGCAAAAACATATTTACGATCAGAAGCAAGTTCTTCCAATGACTTATCACGGACTTTTTTCCCAATTCCCACAACATATATCTCCACTTTGTCTTTATCTTTAAGATCATCTGCTAATTTCTTAGGAGATCCACCAATGTTTGATTCACCGTCAGTAATGAGAAATAACGCCTTCTTGCTGCCTTTTCTCGCTGAAGGTAAAATGAGTCTACGTACAAGATCTAAAGCCAATGTGGTTGCTGTACCACCTCCTAAATAATACAACCAAAACAGATGTGATGGTTGTGTCCATATTCACATGGAGAAATGTTTTCCTGAATATGTTTACTTGTGTAGGGAATTTTGTCAATTTCTTTTTTTGCTTTATCCACTGTGTTCACTGACGCGTCATTGAATGAGAATTGTTTCTCAGCACGTGAACCAAACGTGACGCATGCTATATGTGTTCCATCACCTTTTTGACTGAATTGAAAATTTAAGAGCAATTATCATAGGTAGCAAAGTTTTTCAAAGAAACGTGACATTGAACTTTACCGTGCGTCAATACCAAACTTTTTTACCATATCTTTGATAAATTCGCGAGCAATATCAAAGTTCTGTTCTCGTATACTACTTGACGTATCAAGAACAAAAATGAGATCCAATCCTTCTTTGTATTTGAGATTGAGTGCCCGCGCTCTTGTATCCCTCTTTGGACACGTGACATTAGCACCTGAGCACGTGGTCTGTAGCAGGTTGTTGACGAAATTTTCACTTAGTAGGTCTGCTGTCTCGTTGATTGACGGAAATACTTTGAAATATTCATCTTGTAAAAAATAAAATATATGTTTCACAGTTAAGTGAGAAAGTTTGAACATCCTTAAGAAAACATAGAAATATTATTGTGAAGTTAAACTTACCAACACATTTCGGTGGCTCACCGCTCCATGTTCTGTTCTTCAAACAAATCCTTTTTAAAGATCCTTTATAAAGTTTTAAACTATGTTCGCAACGATATTGAATAATGTCCCCCAAATTGTATGATCTTCCTGTTTTTATTGCTCCTTCTGGTGTCCCAGGATCTACACAATAAGATCCTACAAATAGAAAAGATATCATGTATTTCCTTATCATAAAGAATGCATTCTCATGCAAATGGTTGTGGTCATTTTATGTGGTGTTATGTGGACAGCAATTTAACATGCTTCAAAAAAATTTAAGATTTGCGTGAAAAGACAATGCTCATTTACTTCCATCATCACAGACTACGCTTGTTCCATTCCATGTTTTATCTTCTTGACAAGTTCGTCGTTTTGATCCATGCAAATTGAAACCGGAAGCACAGAAAAATTCAACGGTGGAGCCAACAAAATAATCACTACCAAAATATCGACCATTATCAGGAATATCTGGTTTGGGACAACGTTTTCCTGGAATCAAAGATCATTTTCTCAAACTGAAATCACTATAAATAATGTTCAAAAGGAGTCTGTCCTTCTTACTTTTACATAAAGGCAAACGTTGTGATGACCAATGTCCATTTAGACAAACTATATCTTCATCACCAATCAACTCATAATCATTGTCACATTCAAAGGAAATCGTCGTAAATTCTTCAAACAATTTGTCGCTAAATGTGACGTTTCCATTGTTTATGGTTATGTTTCCTGGATTGTGACATCTGTTTTCTGTAAGTAGTAAATAAGTGGTTATATTTTGATGTATAAAATGTTCATCAAGATGACTGTATCTGTCTCTGAAATATCGTCGACATTTGAGGCGATAATTAAGAAATATTTTAGTCGACTTACTAATACACTTTATTTTTCTTTTGCCTCCACTCCAACGTAAATTTCGTCGACATTTTCTCTGTTTTCTTGATCCTTTGATTCTGTATCCAATGTTACATGAATAGACCGCAACAGATCCCACGGCATCACTTATGTACCTAACTGATCCGTTTTTTGGTGGCGTCAGATCACCACATCCTGTATGCCGTAAATATTTATAAAGAATGAAGATTATTCGTTACAAGCCTTCATGATTATTTTCTCTTTAGAACGCTCATTTTAAAAATTCAATGAGATAAACAGGCATACAACCTTTACATTTGGGAATTTTATTAAATGCTAATCTTCTAAATTTACTGCAACGTATATCTTTCTTGTTGCCTGCCTTTCCAAAGTAGTAACCTTTATCACACAGCAATGTCACGTGATTTACTTTTCGAGATCGTCGCAAAGATTTTGTGTGAGGTGGTAGAGAGATTTTCTTTCCACAAAGTCGCCTACTGCTCTCGATTGTCACTGGTAGAAAGAAATTACAGCAAATTTACTTCTCCTATCTCATGAAAGAATTATTCAATATATTTACTTACCAAAGCAAAGATACAAACCAACAATCAAAAGCCAAACATTCCATGTTTTTTGCTTTGCACCATTCATATTTCTAAAAATTATTGAAACGATTTTTGATGAAAAAATATAAGACATAAGACTTTATTTTGTGATGTAATAACAAATGAGTTATAGAACCACGGCACAAAAATTTATCTTTGTACAAGAGCTTTGCGCTTACAAACTCTAAAACAATAACGCAACTTTCTGTGCTTTGCCAAACTGCATATTCATGCATTTAGCTTAAAATTCAAAAGTTCCATTTGCTCCAATTCTTTATAATATTTTCAAAAAGATTGCATCAATTTAGGACAGCAATCGTAAAACATCGTGATGATAGCTCATGAATGGTTTAATTTATAGACAGTTTATGACTGCCTGATGTCATTCTGTTTTATCATCCGTCTACTTTTACTTACGTGAAAAATGTACTTTTGTATACTGCAGATGTGCCACAACAATATGACCTGATTTACAATAAAAAGGAACAAATATATCTCGTCTACTTCCTGTAATTTAACCTTGCAACTCGCTGCAGCATTCTGTCAACACATTATTCATTTCACAAGGTTTTCTTTTGAATGAAATTGTTATATTTGAATCCTTGATGCTGTTTGAGAGAAGAAACTGGTGTGTTACATGTTATATCGACCATGTGAATAAGAGAAAACAATTTATTTGATGAAATAACCATTAGAAATATAAAACAGGTGACAAGTTGTGGAATGTCGATTGTTTGTCAGCTAGGAAATAGCTCTGAAATGAGGTCACAATGTCAAGAAAAAAATTTTACACGTTTTTGTCTAACAGTGAGTCCCCGTGACACTCAAATAATTTTTAATCAGTTAGCGGCAGATTTTTGAACTGTAAATGGTTGCTTCACTTGGTTATAAGAATAAATAGTCATACACAAGTGACCTTAAAGTTGATGCAGTGATATCCCATCTAGCTGTTCATCTGACTTTCCTTATCTATTCGAGGATTTTTTATAAAAGGAAAGTACTTTTCAATCTTAGGGATGTTTAATGTATGGAATCGTGAATCAAGATTCAAGAGGCTACAATAACGTCATTAATAGTGTAGGTTTACATTTTAAAATTAGTGAAAGATTAGTTAATTTCAAAGTTTCGTTTGTATTCAGTTCGTGAGGCAGGTCAGGAAGATGATGTATATTACATTCGTCGTGTTGGCCACAATTCACAGCATACTCTGTTTAGATCCTCATCGTGTCATTCATCAAGGTAAGATGCTCTTAAATATTCTTAAAGACGACATTTGGCTCGATAGAGCTCACGTTATCAATATTTTCAAAATACCACTGCCGATAAATTATACCAAAGCAAGCTTTTTTGTCCGTTTAACTTTTTGCTGTCTTCAGTCTTGTTTTAGTCATTGAATATTTCGATAAATATTTCAGTTGAAAATGGAACCACCTGTAACGATCCCGGTATTCCTCAACATGCTCAAAGAGAAGAGAAAATGTCCAAGTTTAATGTTGGAATGACCATAAGCTTTCATTGTGATGAAAAATATACATTGATTGGTGAACGCAATCGAACCTGTCTGCCTAATGGTACTTGGTCCAACAGCCAACCATTTTGCAAAAGTTAGATATATCCTATGAATTCACTCATTTCAGTGATTTTAGTAGCTCGCATGAAAATATTTCTTCTGCTGATTCCTTCCTTTTATCCAGAATATATGTGTGATAAAAATGACGTTTTGCACCCACGAAATGGGAAAAGAATTGGAAACGATTTCACGATAGGCAGTGAAATAAAATTTAGATGTTCCTCTTTGTATACTTTAATTGGATCAAATGTTATCACTTGTCTTTTCAATGGAACTTGGTCAAATAAAGCACCGAAATGCAAACGTGAGTAAAGAAAATCAATCCTGTGATTAAGATGAGATTTTGTCACTATTTGTGAACTAGTTTTCCTTACCAAACGCCATTTTTCTTGCTTTTCCTGCAGACCGTTGTCAACAAAAACAATGTGATATTGGCATGATCTGCAAGATCAGAAATCATCAAGCAGTGTGTTTATGTCGTCAAGACCATGAATGCTCTTCAATATGGAGTCCTGTTTGTGGTAATGATGGAAAAACATATAACAACAAGTGCTTAATGAAAGCAAGTGGCTGTAGATCTGGTAGACAACTTCGCGTCGTAGCTAACACTGGCTGTTTACCTGGTATTAAATGATTATTACTTGACGAGCAAATATGATATGTATGTTTCCTTTATTTTCTGATATAAAACTCGATTAATTAGGTGACAGATGTAATATTATTCCTGTAAGCAACTGTCGAGCAGCATTTGACGTCTTCTATTACAACGTAAAAACTGGAAATTGTCAAAACATGATTGCCGGAGGTTGTCATCCCAGTGGATGGAATGGATTCAATCATAAAACCGATTGTACGAATTATTGCAAAAAAGGTGATTATAAAGCAATTAAAAAATGAGAGCTTCTGACATTTAAATGTTGGCAAACTTATACAGATGATCAATGTTCATGTTTATAGATGTTTGCGCACTCCCTCCCGACCGTGGACCCTGTGATGGAAACATAAAGCGATTGTATTTTGACTCAGAAAAAAAGTCTTGTCAAATTTTTGAGTATGGTGGTTGTTTTGGAAATGCAAATAATTTCCAATCTTTCCAGGACTGTAAGAAAAGATGTGCTTGAAACAAGATAATCTTTATTAGTATTTTAATAATTTTTCACACTGTTTTTAACTATGCATAGATTAAATGAATATACTCTGAAGATTATGAAGGTCATTTAAAACAAAAATAAGACTATATTTCTATGTGATGAAACACTATGGTAGTCAGTTAGTTGTGACGTCATAACGTATCACCGAACCTTGTTTATGGATGGATTATAAAGAGCTGTGGATGTTTGTGGATTAATACTGGATTAGATTTTGTATCACATATAGGTGGGTACAAATAATTATATATTGATGAATATATATTTTCCTAAAAAACTATTCGTACATTGAGATGATATGTAGACAAATACACCATATTCGACCTTTCCCCTATAATCAGATCTAAACCCCCCCCGGTACTACATTTATTGACGTAAAATGGAGGATGACAATACAAGTGCAAGAATTCCTATCGTAGATTTTTCTTCATGCAACACTTTCGATTTCTCTAATATTCATGAAACGAACACGGAAATTAAAAATATTGCTCAAGAAATTATCGATGCATTTACTGAAATCGGTTTTGTCTACATCAAGAATCATGGAATACCTCAAAGTCAGGTTTGTCATCATTTACGCGCGCGTTTGTGAAGTTTTTTTGTAGAATATTAACCTTCGATCTCTAGTTCTTTCCCTTGTGTCGATGATTTGGAAACATATGTTTGTTTATTGAACAGATATCAAAGTTGTTTGGAGTTGCGAAAGATTTTTTCACACTTAGTCATGAAGAGAAAAGCAAGTTTAGTCGTGACGCAAAAGTTTCAAATCATGGTTACGTAGGCCTCGGAGTTGAAACGTAAGAGTTAATTTGTAAAGGGAAACCATAGACTATACTATTATTTATTTCAACTTCTCTCGCTCCATTCATTTATAAACGTCCTTTTTTCCTCCAGAATTGATCCAAGTAAACCAGGAGATTTGAAAGAAGCATTTAACATTTCAGAACTGTGGAATGATGAAATTTCTTGGCCTGACGGAAGTTGCTCCAATTTTAGACCCACTGTAAATGAATTTACTTCTGCATGCACTGAGTTAGCTTTAAAAATCTTGGATTTAGTGGCAATTGGACTTGATCTTAAGGTAATGTATTATCAACTTTTAAAGGTTTATTGCCATTTAATATTGTGTGACTTTTATTTTTAACAGGATAAAACATTGATGCGTCAAACACATAAGTTTATAGGAACCAAACATAACCAATCAACCTTAAGAATTCTTTATTATCCTGTGCTAAAGACATTGTCAAAAGGTGAAGTTCGTTTAGGGGCACATAGTGACTATGGTAGTATCACATTGTTATTCCAGGATGAAGTAGGTGGTTTGGAGGTAAAATATAACCAATTTTTTATTGTGTTGCGTCTTTAAATAATAAATGTAAAAATATTGACTTTAGGTGTTAGATAAAAATGGCAAATTCAAACCTGTTCAACCGATTGAAGGAACAATTGTAGTGAACATTGCTGATTTGCTTCAACGCTGGAGTAATGATAAATTAGTTTCTACTGTAAGTCTTTAAAGAGTTGTTTTACGTATCTTTACATTCTAAAATGATTGAATTTTCTTTTAGAAACACAGAGTTGTTGTTCCCAATGAGGAAAACCTTCTGTATGTATCTCGCCAATCAGCTGCTTTCTTTGTTCATCCTGATAATGATGTCATCATTGAATGTCTTGATGGTTCAAGAAATTATCCCCCAATATCCTCATTTGACTATCTCAAGTATCGACTTAATGAAACATATTTAAAATAGATTTTTATGGCGAAATATTCTTCAAATTTTTTAAAGATATTTGTTTTAAGTGAAAATGAAATGAAAGAAAGCAAATATGCGTCAAATATTAAAATTATTGTCCAGGATCGGTGTTAAATTAACTTCCGGTTTTCATTTTTTAAATTTCTAACTATGGAAGAGAAGTAAAAGAAACCAAGATGGCGGGTCGTAAGGTCTCTCAATCAAATCAAGAACTATGGCTTATGGCAAAGAATTGGCTTGCGAGTACTAATATTCTTCCTCCTGGTCATAAATGTTACGATCAACATCCATCTGTTTTCGAACTTGCGCACTCGCTGAGAGATGGAGTTGCTTTATGTCAAGTTGCTAACTGTTTACGTCCATTTTCAGTTCGTGATATAAATCTTAAACCTCAATTGTCACCGGTAAATTTTCCTTCATATTTTGGTTGAAGTGTAATGATATAATATGTATGATGTATATTTTATTCTTGTTGTAAATTTTTGAGAGTTGGTTACCTAAATAGTTAACTTCTTGATGTTGATCAAATTGTAACATCTCTCGACACTCGACTTTCCTTTATTTTAACACCTCTTGTCTTGTGAAAAGTACGTAGTTAAGGCAAAGTCTTTATGTGTTTTGATTGATGAAGATTGATTTTAAATTGTGTTTATGAGTTGAAAATGCAGTTACATTTACAATCGCATTGGGTTTTTTTTAACAGGAAGTGATTGATTGTATTTTTATTTTCTTCTTTAGTTTCTTTGTTTAAAGAATATTAGAGCTTTTCTTCACGCTTGTGTGAATCATTTTGGACTAAAAGAAAGCATACTTTTTGATGCTCATGATTTGTATGATGTTTCTGACTTTGGAAAGGTAATACATAATGATTATATATAGAAATTCATGTTTCACCATCAATAATAAAAACATCGCTTTTGTTATGTCATACTGTGGAAATATAAATTTTTCCATTCAATCATTTTCACAAATTTCATGTTTTTTAGGTTGTAATGACTTTGAGTAATTTATCAAAATGCAAAGATGCAATTAATGCTGGATTAACGTAAGCATCATTGTCATTTATTGGAAAATTTCTTCATTGATTGAATTCCCCTATAGTTTGTTTCATTGAACTACATTACATACTTTACCAATGATATTCATTCAACATTTTTAAATATTTTTAGCCCATTTCCAAATGACAAAGCATCATTCTTTAATAACCATTACACAGATGAAGATATTTACGGCAATCTTGAAGAAATAGCTCTGTAAGTGGTATAATTTTCTACAGTGGGAATCTTCCAAACAGATAATCTCAAGACTGTAAAAGTTGTTTCAATAAATGAGTGTAGTAAAATTATGTCTTTGTTTAATCAATTCTTCTTATTGTTGTATGATGAAATTAGGACAAAGGATGTTGCTGAGGAAAATGTTTATGATGCTGTAACAATTGATGATGAATCTAAAATATATGAAGACATTGTATCAATAAAGAAAAGCTTAGGTCGACATCAGGTATGAAAATGCATATTGTCTCATTCTATTCTACATTTTGCACCATACCGTTTAAGGTGAACAGTTATATATCTTACATCATTTTACAACTTGCACAAACTATATGTTCTAGTTTGGTTCTTATTAGTAAGTAATCTGTCAAGTTAATGCTACGAAAAACAGTACTTTATGAATTCTTTGCTTGCCATTACTTACCTTTAAGCCTTACTTTCAGAGTAAGTCAAAAGCTGATGAGAAAAGGTCGTATGTTATTGATGAATTGCTTGGTACAGAAAAAAATTATGTTGAAGCTTTGACATCAATGAAAGATGTATGTTTTTCTATTAATAATGTTAACATATTGGAATATTGATCTGCAGTAATAAGTTAAGACTATTGCTTAGAGTATTTTATTTTTGCTTCAATAAGTAAATTGTTGATCTGCTAATATTTATTTTTCAATTGTAGAACTTTATTGTACCACTATCGGATGTTTTATCTCCAGAAGATTTGAAAAAAATATTCATAAATATATTGGTCAGTTTTTGTGTACGTCAAGAAGTATTCATCTTCTTGAGTTCACAAAAGAAATATTGTGATTTAATTATATAGGATCTCTTAGCGATGCATCTATTATTTTTGGACAAGCTCAAGAAGGCTTGTGCTGTTGTTGAAAATGTTGGCAGTACCATTAGTAACTGTTTTCTTGTAGATGTAAGTAGAAATAATGTTTGTGTATCTGTTAAACATCTTCATTAGTTTTTTTTTCATTTAGAAAGATAATTTTTTGGAGTATGGCAAATATTGTAGACAAATGCAAGCTGCACAAAACCATGTAAGTATTGTGAAAATGATCAAATCCAAGATGTCTATATCCTTTAGCACTCACTACTGTCCACATATGATCTTCACCGTTCCTCCTCTACATTTTTTCACTTCACTAGCACCACCTCTACCTTGTTTCTCAGTATATCGTTGTCTGTGTTACATATTTTTATTCAATTACTTTTTCAGGTGGACAAACTCAGTGAAACAGATTCAGTTATGAGAGAACGTTTTCAAGTAAGGTTAAACATTATGTAGTCAAGTTTAATTTGCAATTTCATATTACAACATCACTACAAACGTCGTTTGTTTTCTGCAGTTGACATACGAAGAAATTAAAATCATCATTTTCTTTCATGCAAATGTTAAAACTTAATTATAATTTATTGATTACCCTTATCATTTTTCTTTCTTTAGCAATGTTGTAATAACGCAAATGGAGGAAAGTTTACTCTCAGATCTCTTCTTGTCGTTCCCATGCAAAGAGTTTTGAAATATCCTCTTTTGCTTCGAGTAAAAACATTTTTCACTAACTTTTCCTGTGTTTTATCAATAACCAAAAACCTGTGTGAAACAATCTTTCGTAGGAATTGATCAAACAATCCAAAGCGCACAACCGTGATAAGTCTTCCCTTGAGAAAGCACTTGCTGCTATGCAAGTAAATAAAATTTGATTTTAACATCTTGTATATACGTACTTCACAGATAATTCTGAATGGTTTTTGTAGGACGTCGCTCACTACATCAACGCTGTTAAACGTGACGATGAAAGCACAAATGCTGTGACACAGATTCAATCTTCGTGAGTCGTATCATAAGAAATTATTTCATTTAACTTGCATTTTTAATGAAAATCTTTTTTAATTTCTCTAGCTTGATTTGTGTAAGTATTGTGACTTTTCTTAGTTTTGGTTTCAGATTGTTTTTAAAATGAAAACAATTCCAAAAATCTCTATGTATTTGTTTTGACAGGACAAAGATGCTCCTTTAAATTTAATCGACTTTGGACTGCGTGTGAAAGATGGAGATATGCAAATCAAAACCAATGAAGATCGAAACCTAAAGAAAAGGTAAAAGAAAATCTCAACTGTTTTTACTTACATAGGAAAGCTCGTCATTTTGAAAGTCTTGTTCTTGTTATTTTAGATACGCATTTTTGTTTGATCGTGTTCTTTTGTTGTGTAAAGTCAGGGTAAGACTGTTTAAAATGTTGCGGATGTATTTTAGAAGTTTTCTTCATGATTTCATTTATTTAGGGCGAGCAGTATGATCACAAAGAAACATTATATCTTAATCATTACAATGTTAGCGTATCAGTAACAAGTACTGGTCGAGGAAAGGTAAAAACTGTTTGTTTAAAAAATGCGAAGCATAATGGAGTTTATTCTTCTTCATCTTTGCAATTGAGCCTTTAAAAACATAGAAGTTTCATGTTTTCATTTCATTAATAACCATTTCTAGTGAATTTAAGCTTTATTCGATGTCATCTTCCTATTCTCACGGTGTTTTTTGTTGTAGTTTGTCCATGGTTGGACGATGAACGGAAATTCACCAGAAGCTGGTAGAGGATTTTATGAAATGTTTACGAAAACAGAAGATATGAAGAACAAATGGGTTGAAGATATTCAAAGAACAATGTTAGTTGGCATAATGGAAATAAAATTAAAGTGCCAGAATCGTTGAAAGAAGGCTGACAACTAAACCAAATTTTCTCCATTTTGCAGAAGCAATCTGACGCTTGCTGACTATAATCTTGGTATGAAATGCCGTCAGCTTTTGAAGCAAAGTTTCAAAAATGCAAAGAAAACGAACGCAAGTTTTATCACTCATGATTTTCATTCATCTAGTATATTATTCTCATTGCAGGAAATCATCGATTTGAACTAACAACGTTTGCTCTACCTACGTATTGTTCTGTCTGTAAGAATCTTCTTTGGTAAGGTCGATTTTAGATGAAAATATTGTACTTTGTTTAAGCTGGAAATTATTTGGTATAAAATTTTCTGTAGGGGTCTCATCAACCAAGGTTACACTTGCAAACGTACGTCTTCTATATAGATTTGTATTCATAACTTTTGTCCTACTATGACCTCTATACACCCTGCTTTTACCGTATATCCTTCTGTTCCCTCTCCTGTCTTATTGTTCATGTCTTATTTCATCATTGTCCTACTATGACCTCTATACACCCTGCTTTTACCGTATATCCTTCTGTTCCCTCTCCTGTCTTATTGTTCATGTCTTATTTCATCATTGTCCTACTATGACCTCTATACACCCTGCTTTTACCGTATATCCTTCTGTTCCCTCTCCTGTCTTATTGTTCATGTCTTATTTCATCATTGTCCTACTATGACCTCTATACACCCTGCTTTTACCGTATATCCTTCTGTTCCCTCTCCTGTCTTATTGTTCATGTCTTATTTCATCATTGTCCTACTATGACCTCTATACTCCTGCTGTCTTACCGTGATATCCTTCTGTCCTTCTGTTCCCTCTCCTGTCTTATTGTTCATGTCTTATTTCATCATATTTTAGTATGCAACCTTGTATGTCATAAAGATTGTATTGAAAAAGCTCCTCTCTGTACACATTTTAAACATCAGAGAGGTAGTTTAAGGAAACAAACGTCAGAACTTATTCACCCAAGCAGTCCTCCACTTCCACCCAGACCAAGAAATAACACTGATGCACCTGTACCCTCTTGTGAGTTTATTTTATATTTTTATAATTGCCAAACAACATAATCACCTCGTCATTATATCACGTGATTTAGGGAGTCCATCGACAGTTATATCTATCACGAGGTATAGTTATTAATTTTTATTTTTTTACTGCACTGAACTTTTGCCTTGTGCTCACAAGTGCTAGCTCGCTGCTAGGTTTAACGGTTGGGCACCCCCCGGGAAACAGGAGACTTTGAACTTTGAAGCAGGAGAGGAAATCGATGTTTTAACGACGAATGATCCTGAATGGTGGGAGGGTAGGTCGAAGAAGACTGGAAAAGTAGGATATTTCCCAAGAAATCACGTTAAATTACTTGAATCTCGTAAAATAGCTCAGGTATGACGTTAACTTTGTGAAGTCTTGTCACGTGATCTTTTATCATTCGTCTCCAATCTCTTCATACGTTAAACAATTAATGAATTTTTATGGATATAAAGAAGAAAGTCTAAATTTTTTATGAGTATCATCAATAATTACTTAAAAATCAAATCTTTAATTATGACACCGTAATCATCAATGTCAAAACTTTAAAGATTGATTTCTTCGGTATGATAAATTATTTTAGGAATCTGAAGTCTTCTTCATACGTAATAAGAAACGTCATACGTTGTCGCTGTCCAGTATTAAGGAGGTCAAGGGCTCTTTTGAGCTATCGAAGCATTTAACTGTCCATAAAAACGATGAGCATAACGTTTTCGTAAGTTTTAAACTAATTTAAATTTTAAAAAAAGTAACGCAAAAATAAATTCATCGATTATTAAAACTTTAGTTAAATAAACATAATTTTCAACTGTTTTAAAAGATATTTCTTAAAAACATTAATTATGAAACTAAAATTTTTTTAGTTTATTTTAATTAAAATCACTAAATCCCAAAGGGAGAGTTGGAAAAATGGACGATATGTTTCTAGTTAACTATGCATAAAAATTGAAACTGATAATGTTTTCTTGATTTATATTCTCAGAAAGATGTCACGAAGTATGAAAATACTCCAACCTCGTAAGTTTTGCAGAAAAATGAATTACAGATAGCGGAAACTCTGATTAAAATATTCGTTAAATATAATTATTTGATGACGTTTTATTTTCAGAAATGGTGGAAACGCTATTATTGATGCCGACGATGATTTGATAACTTATAAATGGTTTGTTTATTATTGATTTTAAAACAAAAAACACACCAGTAAAATAATATCATTAATGGTTCTAGGTTTGTCGGGAAAAAGGGCAGAGATGAAGCTAACGGATTATTGGAAAGAACAATTGATGGTAGTTTTTTAGTTCGGGAAAGTACTAATGATCGTGGACAATATGCATTGAGTTTAAAGTAAGATTTACTTTTCTTAAAGCAAATTTATGACTTGCTTTAACTTAACACTTGTTATGTTATCTTTTGTTAGTTATAGATCCAGCATAAAGCACATCAAGATTGTTGTTGCTAATGGAATGTTCTGTCTTACTGGACTTAAACTATTTTCTTCAATACCAGTAAGTCTAGTTATCTCGCATAATGGTGTTATTGTAAAGAAAAAGAATCTTTTGTTATACCATCCATAAAATACTGGTATACGAGGACACTGACATATAATTCTAGTATTTTGATATTCAACAACAACCTTCAATAAAACATCATTAATTCTCCAGAGTTTAGTGGACTACTATCGGAACAATACCCTTGGTGTCAGTTTTCCTGGTTTAGACACGTGTTTAACACGTGGCGTGAATGAAGGAAGGAGAGAATCCAACAGACACAGTAAGCATTTGGTTTAGGTGAAGTGTATTGTGAGTGTGGAGGGAGAGGTGTGTACACTTTGGTGCTATCTTGTTAAGTTGATATTATTTATACATGCATATATTGTTTGTGACGATGTTATTAGATATATTTGATAGTAATCGTATTGTATTTTGTAGTTATTGATGTTGCTATAGCAAAATATGGTTACAATGCAAAGGATCCCAGGGAAATTTCTTTGAAAGTGAGAGAGAAAATGTTAAAAATGTTTTTAATACTTCATAGTTGTTGTTTAGACATCTTTTGTAGTTTGTGTTGTGCTTGTCTTGCCTCAATAGTTTTTCGTTTCTTTATAAAGAAACACAGTCGTGTTTCGATCATTAACAAGGATGGTGATTGGTGGAAAGGCATGAACGAAGATGGTCAGGTTAGTTTGAAGAGTGAATGATGTTTCTCACAATATTTTTTTTTTTAAAACATTATAGGTGATATATTTTCTTTATAGGTTGGATATTTTCCTTCAAATTTCATTGAATCAACAAAAACCTGACATAGAACGAAATTACTCACGAGTCTCAAGATAACGCGAAACCAAACTACAGAGAACGAACGACCATGTTCGTCCTAAAGCTCTCGTATAAATATCTCAAATAAATCCAGTTTTTATGCATTGTATTTATAGAATGGCTAGTTTTTATGAAGTTAAAATTGTTTTTAATGCTTTAACGTCGAAGTTGTCGAGAGCAAAGATCATTGGCAATTCAATGATCCTCGACATTCATGATTTAATCCTGTATAAAACTTAGTGATCGCACTTGTTTGCCATGGATAATATAGACAATAATGGATATTCATATTTGACTCTGCACAAAAAGTACTAAATGATTATTTGTTTGCTGGTGCTAGAATTTTAATGATTGAAATAGAATATGATGTTTGTAAATAGATAAATTTCACTTCAGACTACAAAGAAACATAAATATTTCCTGACGCCATTACATAAGTACAACGTCTAAAAAAGTCCCTCGGTACCGGAAGTTGATAAAACTGCGTGGCGTTTCTTTTAATAAATGCGTCAGCTGAATATCCATCGAAGAAATTACACCCTTTTCTCTTTTCGATATGGATCAATCAGTTTTGAAAAAGGTGAAAAAGTTTTTACGAGGAAAACCGGAGAAAGAAGTGGGATTTACTGCGTTTTGGGAAGGTACAAAGTCATTTTATCCAACCGACTTATCGAAAACAAAAGTTAAGGAATGGTTGAAGGAGCATTCAGATTGTTTTCAAATTATAAAAGCTCCGAATGGAAATCCATTTGGTAAAGTAAAACTTATAGAGAAAGATAAAGGCTTAGAGGTAGAACTACCAAGTCTTAATGCGAACGAAGACTTTCAAATCAAGGAGAAATTGATTGCATCAATTGATAACGAGGAAGAGAAAGGCCATTTGTTTGCCATCATTTGTAGAGATAAAGCAAGCATTTTCCCTGCTAAGTTACAAGACAAAAAGCTTATCAGAAAATGGTTGATTACGCATGATGACTGGTTTAAATTAGTCTATGATGAAAATGGAGGTCTTTTCTCTGTGAAAGTTTTAAATAAAGCAAGGAAAAATAAGCGAGGTGGGCGTGGACTATCAAAAACAACTTCACCTAATGATGCTCAAACTAAACAAAATAATGTTTCGTGTATTACAAAGAAACTTAATGCTCTTGGAGGTACAATGTTGTTGGAACTTTTATTTAAGGATCTAGCTACTGGAAATATTGTTAAAGAAAAGTCTGAACTGATGACTATACTTACTGATTTTCCTTCCACTTTTGAAATATTTGATTTGGGGGAGAATGGTAAATGGGTCCTTCTTAAAGAAAGTTTTGCTGAGCCAAACCAAAGCGAAAAAGTACCACAGTCTTGTGATCATCTTAATAAAGATCATGTCAGCCAGATTATTCAATTCATTTTTCAAAATGATGGTACTGTCTCGTACAACAAAACACTGGAATACATAAAAAACCTTATCAGTGGTTTGCCTTCCAGCGATGATGATATTTTACAATTGTTAATGTTAACCACCAAATTTGAAATCATTGAAAAACCAGAAATTCCTGGTAAACCATGGATGGTTAAAGTGAAGTTTTATAGCCAACCAAGACTCTGCCAGACCTATGTTGTTAATGGCCAATGTTCAAGGAAAAATTGCCCATTCTTGCACATCTGTAAAGCATTTATTTGTCAACAACCGCATAACGCTGAGCAATGCCAACTCTCTCATGACTTTCATGATGAACACAACAAAATTATTATGGAAAAAATGGGTGAGATAAGCAAGGAAAGCAACAAGACCATTGCCAATGTTTTATTTAAGAGTTATTTTCCTCGAGTTTGCATGGAATACAACAAAAATGGAAACTGTCCTCGGAAAGATAAATGCCACTTTCTTCATGTTTGTGGTGATTATGTCTTAAATCAATGTTCAAAATCACCATGTTCATTAAATCATAACATTAATGGGGACATGCACAATATCAATTTGTTAAAGAAATATGCACTTCTTCCATCAAAACAATTACCTATTGAAATTGTCAAGGCTAATATTGCCTATGCACAAGTTGGTAATATTAACACAAAGTTAAACATACCGCCATCTCCCATGAATGTTTTACCCCAGGGACAAGCATTTAATATGCCACAGAGACATATTCCACAAATGCCTCAATTTTTTCCATCACATCACCAACGCCCCCTTGCACCCATATTCCAGCATCAAATTCATTTTCAAAATAACCTTCCTCACCAAATTCCTATTCCACCTTTGGTGCAACAGATGAACCCTTCATTTATGCAAAGGCCACCCCCTCTAATGGAGGTCCCTACCTATCTTGGTAATGGTGCAAGAAAAGAAAGAGCAAAGAAGAATACGCCTGAAATAAAATCATCAACTTTGGGAGAGGAAAAGAAACATAAGCGTAATAGGGGAGCACGTCGTAGAAAAATGAAAGGTACAACAACTACATCTAGTAGTGTTGATGATTCAGGTATGGTTGATGATGATATTTCTGATGAAGAATCTGAGGAATTCCTACATGAAGATAAAGAATCTTCTATGCTGAGTTGGGAAAACCTTGAAAATAGTCATCTCTCTAATAAAATGTCAGGTTTTCAGAAAGTCGAGAATTGGATGGGAAATTCAGTTGAAAGTACGATGAATAAAGTTTGCAATGAAAAAGATGAAAGTGATTCTTCGTCTAGTTCTGAGATCTCTACATTCAGCAGTATTCCAAGCTCTGCCGCCCTCTCACAGCAGTCACAATGGAAAGGCGAATTACAAAAGAAGGTGTTTCTTACAATTCTAGAGAAATTCAACGGTAATGGATCATTCAAGAAGATCTTAAAAGAGAAAGACTTATTTCCTGAAAACATTAGAAATATTGAAGAGTGGTTCAGCAAATATCCCCGAATGTTTATTTTGCATCGCAATGGTCGGGGAAACGTCGACACTGTCACTGTTTTCTCAACAAAAGCTCGTATATGCCTTGATTATAATGGCAAGAAAGGTGGCTGCTATAAAACAAATTGTGAGTATGTACATATATGTCGCAATTATTTTGAAGGTCGCTGCAATGGTTGCAATTTGAACCATGATTTTGCCTCAAGTGAAGTTGATCTGGTGAAGAAACGTATGGGTTTTGAAGATCTCACATCTGAGCAATTCTCAACTTTAGTCGCCATGTCCGTTCCTTCTGTTTGTCATTATCATAATCAAGGAAACTGTAATCGTGGAAAATTTTGTCCCAATTTACACGTTTGCAAAAAGTTTATCCAAAGACGGAGGTACTGTCGAGAGAAGTTGTGTAAATTTGGTCACGAATCTTCTCTTACTGATGATCATGCCATGCGTATTCTTAAAATGTATCATATGTTTAAGGATCAACCTAACATAAAGTATTTGAAAAAAATGATCTTTGTTTTTGAACGAGAAAGAAAGATAACAAATGTTTTCAAGAACCGAGAAGATAATAACGTCCTTGAAGATAACAATGCAGACCAAGATAATGAAGTAAAGAGAGGTTGTTAAAAAAATCTTTTTCATAATGTAATGTATGTACTGTTTACATATAATATTAAAATATATATTATGTTTTTAGAAAAAACAGCAAAAGTATCCAAGAAAACATCAAACCAGATGAAAGTGGAGGATGAAGTTATCAGCAATAATGAATCAAGGTATGGAAAATTTAAATGAGAAATCATTAAATAATATTGTTCTGTTATTGTAAAATCATTATCTTTCTTTTAAAGTAGAACATCAACAGATGGGGCTGACGTTTCTCTTCAAACGTTATCTTCTCAGTCTTCAACATCACAGGCCGTAAAGACACCTTATAAACGACCATAGAACCAGATACCCAAGTCTATCGTAAGGTTGTGAAACTCTTGAGTCATTCATCTTCATTTCAAATAAATCATATTGAGAAGATTGTTAATGAGAATTTATGGCAGCAGTATACCAGGTTAAAGATGTATTTTTACTGTTTTATAATCCGTGAATTTTAACCATATGATTTCTATAGATGTTACTGTGTTGTGTTTTTCTTTTGCTAGGAAAAAGAAAGCAATGTCTGATGTTCTTCAACCTGGGGAGAATTTGAACGAACGAGAAGTATTTGTACCGTTTCTCTATGAAGATGTTGATAATATCATGAACGAAAACATTTCAGCCAGTAGAATGATGACAACAACACCTCAACCCTTGGGTCGTGGGTATTATTTCACTAGTGACGTCACTAAGTCTTTACAATGGTGTTTTGATAATCTTGGTGATACAAGATCTAAAATTAATCTTCTCGTATGTCAAGTTTTGCTTGGAGAATCAACAAAAGGACACCGTTATTTAACAGAGTTTCCTCGCCGTGAAGATGGGAGATTTTTCGATTCTTTAGTTGATAACAAAGAAAATCCATCATTGTTTGTCATATCCAACATTGAACAGTGTTATCCCTTGTATGTAATTGACTTTACATTCCCTCAAAGTTCTTCAGCACATTTAGGTAAGATTAAAATCATTTTCACAAACGTCAACCAATAATTGGCATGACTAATTTTCATATTGAAATTATTAATCAGGTTCTCCTGTTCAAAATGCAAGTTATATTGTCGGAAATAATGCCCCTGATGTACAACAAACATCCCTCCCATATCAACAACCACCACCTGCCTATGAGGAAGTCCCTAGTTTGTCCACATATTCAATTGCTCCACAGGTACAAACATCTTTAGAAAATGGAGAATGGGCCAAAGTTGTTCCATCAAATCCATCTAGAAATTCAACACATCCCGAACCTCCACCTCAATACTCTTTACATCCTCAGTCATCCTCAGGACAGCAAAATTGTAACGATGAAAGTGTTGCTTCTACTCTTCCATTAGTAACTCGTAGAGACAAAAAGGAAAAAGATTGTATCGTCATGTAAATCGAACTGATTTGTTTTATTGATAATTAGTATTGGTGGATATTAGAAAGTATTAAAATTATTGCTTGTAAATGTGGTTGAGATTTTTAAGAAACATTTAGAATGTGTTAAAATTAGGTAATTCTATTTAATAATGACGAATATGCATGAAGTAGCATTGTGAAGTTCATGAACTTGTTCCCATTTTCCTATATTATACACGACATAGTACGTAATGATGATGTAATAAGAAAGAAGACGTCAGACGTCACTTCCGTCTTCAAGAAAGCCAAGGACATTCTTTGCATCACTTTACGTTTACATACTTTCAAAGGTTGTCTATATTCAACACGCACGATCAATACAGTCGCTTACAAATTTGGTAAGTCTTGATATTGGTAAATTGTAGTTTTCATTTTGGTTATGCCCTGAACGTTATTGAGAATATTAAACACTATATTGCAGACCGCTATGTTAGAATATAAATTTAGATGAGCTCAGCATAATTTATATCACATCTATGGATATTTGGTTTCTTAAAAGATAGCTAAAAATGTTGTTTTATATTTTAATGATGCAAAACTTTATCATTTTTAAACAACCAAGGACGGTGAATATGAACAAGTCGAGTGTTTGAAAAGCAATGGAGTTGTCGCCTTATTAAAGGCAAACGTCAAATATGTCAAGAAAGAAAGAACTGCATGTTAAAATGCAGACTTAGATTCATGACTATCCTCAAAGCAAACGTTTTGCATGAAGTATTTCTTCGTTAAATGTAAAATTTATAGTTTTTGAGGGAAAGCATTTGGGGAATTTTGCGCTTTATAACGTCAATACTGTAGTTAATGACGTCAATACAAGTTTTACTCGGCATGTTACCAAGATATGTGGTATTGTAAAAATGATCAACTGTGATAGACTTGCACTCCAAAAGACACCCACACACATACACAATTTATTTAAAAAGTCTTGTTGAATTGTGATAAATTGTCTTGTTTAGTTCATTATAAAGGATGGCCTCTCGTTTTCCATTGTTCATTATGTTCATCACAACTAGTTTTTCACAGTCAAAGTAAGTTATCTTTGATAAAATTAACATGACTTTTTCCCTTTTTTTGATACCATCTTTGTATAATTATTGCAGAATTGCATTCCCGTTCCTATAAAAGGTGCTTGCGGTGCAGGGCATGTAGTGATAATCGATGATGCGGGCTCCATCATACGTTGTCATAAATGTTATGATTGTGGAGTGGGACGAGGTCTAACCATACCTTGTCATGGCCAAAATGTAACATTAAATAGTCATATTGCATGTGTGCCTTGTGTTCCTGGCTCAAACTATTCTACTGGTCATCATATGCAATGTCAACCATGTTTGAAAAAAGTTTGCAAATCAGGAGAATACGTGGAGGGTATTTGTGGTCCAGTCAAAGATGACAGACAATGCAAAGGTTGCCCCAATCATTCATACTACCATAAAACTGTTAAAACTTGTTTACCCTGCTCATGTGAAAATATGACTCAACAAATCATGGATAATTGCTCCAATGTTGGTTTTAATGTGACCTTGTGTGAAAATGCCATTATAAAAAAAGGAAAGAAAAGCAAGAACCTGTCTGTCTTCAGCATTATAATAATTGTTGCTGTTTCAGTTTTAATTCTGATTGTTTTCGCTGTTATCTTTGTCTGTTTGTGTAAAAGCACATTGCAAAATATGCTGGAATCATGGTGTTACATTTGGAGAATGTGTTCAGAAAATACTGCACCAAGTGAAACACTGAACTATTCTCAAGCAAATGTTGTTGATGAAATGGAAGAGGGTGAGTTTATATGAATTATGCATGTGTAAATGACTCAAATGCTTAAGAACAGTATTTATAGATATCATATATCTTTTAGTGACTGAAGAAGATAATAAAAAAAATAACGAGCCTTGTTTTGATGGTAATGACCTTAAAGGTAAATGAATATGAAACTCATGTTTTATTACAGTCAAGTCATAAATCTCCAGATATAACCTGAGATAACTTTGTTCGTATCATTAAACACATATTACATTACAAAAAAAAAAGTTTACATCGTCAACATTCCTGCCCTGTTACTGAAAATGAAAAATCAAGTGAGTATATTGTGTAGTGAGAGGTCTGGGGAGTAAAGTTAAGGGATCTTTGTGATTTTGATATAAATTTTTCTCAATGTTTATTTTAGCTGTTCCAAAAACAGAGAAATTTGAACTTTTGGATCAAAAGGATAAAGGTAAAGGTCACATGATGCCACAATTTGGTGCTATATGTCTTATCTTAATAAATTTTCATTATTTGTTAACAGAGTGCTTGCAAAGAAAGCTAAAATTCCTTGATATGAACACAGCTACCTGCAGTCGCATTTTTAAAAAAATGATGCATAATAATGATGTTGGTATGGGATATAGCACTTTGGCAGGGAAAATGAACTTTTCTCATGGTGACATGAAAGATTTTGAAAGGACATCAAACCCTTGTGAGGAAATAATCAGTTGCTGGAGTAACAAAGATGAAAAACACAATGTCATCGAATTGTTGAAGATGATTGAGGATATGAAAAGAGAAGATGTTGCTGACTTGTTGAGACAGGAGTTAATTCAGAAAAAAAATGAATGTGGTTGTGAAAAGTGTATTGATTTTATGACTATAAAGAAAAATGAAGGTCAGTAGAGTAGTCAACCGTATTTTGCTTTACTAATGTACTTTTGTGAGTGATTTTTGAGTTGTATATTGATGTATTTGTGTGAATTTCATGTTGCAAGTTGAAGTTGAAGCAACACAAGACTTTAAGTTTTAAGACCATCATTGTTTACTCTGTCTGATACATTATATATTTTTTTCATTAATGAAAAAGTTACTAAAAAATGTGAATTTCATGTTGCAAGTTAAAGTTGAAGCAACACAAGACTTTAAGTTTTAAGACCATCATTGTTTACTCTGTCTGATACATTATATATTTTTTTCATTAATGAAAAAGTTACTAAAAAATGTGAATTTCATGTTGCAAGTTGAAGTTGAAGCAACACAAGACTTTAAGTTTTAAGACCATCATTGTTTACTCTGTCTGATACATTATATATTTTTTTCATTAATGAAAAAGTTACTAAAAAATGTGAATTTCATGTTGCAAGTTGAAGTTGAAGCAACACAAGACTTTAAGTTTTAAGACCATCATTGTTTACTCTGTCTGATACATTATATATTTTTTCATTAATGAAAAGTTACTAAAAATGTGAATTTCATGTTGCAAGTTAAAGTTGAAGCAACACAAGACTTTAAGTTTTAAGACCATCATTGTTTACTCTGTCTGATACATTATATATTTTTTTCATTAATGAAAAAGTTACTAAAAAATGTGAATTTCATGTTGCAAGTTGAAGTTGAAGCAACAGAAGACTTTAAGTTTTATATTTTTTTCATTAATGAAAAAGTTACTAAAAAATGTGAATTAAAAATTTAGTTTAATGCATGTTATCTATATAAGATTGAACAGTCTTTACAAAAAAAATTTTTATTGAAATCTTTGGGACAAGATTTCAAAGAGCTTGAAGAATGTTATTTTTAGTAAACAAAGTAAACATTTTATTCAAATGACATTTTTTATATAGAATAAAATGTTTACTTTGTTGGAGTGTCAACTGTTTTTTGTTTTACTAAATACTTTTTGGCAGTTGTAAATATCATTTTCGATATATATTTTTGCAGCATATTGTCAGTTTTTAACGTTTTATATGAAATTGGATATTTTGGAATGTTTATTTTTGATTTAACAAATGCAAAAAAAAAAACTTGCATGAAGATAAGAATTTTGTAATTAGATTATGTACTTCACCAAGATTACCATGAGATCCAGCTCTTGTTCAAAATGGTTTCTTGTACTGTTGTTTATAATGACCTTATTTTGAAACAAAGCATGCAGGAAATATTTAGACCTCTTGGGAAACATTTATTTAACACTTGAACTCTCAGGTGCAACACTCAGGATTATGGTTACATTTTAAATAAGAGCTGGCTCTCAGTAATTTGTGAATTTTTATAGATTTGTGTATAAAATTGATAAAATTTTTATTTGCTTCTTTAAACTATTTCAAATAATAAAAAAACAAATTCCGAAGAGGGACATCTCGTTTTCTTGATATTCAAGATATTACAAGAGTTTGAAACAAAAGATGGTGTAATATTTCATCTTTATTCCAAAGACATCATCAGACTTATGTCTTTGGAATAAAGACGAAATATTACACCATCTTTTGTTTCAAACTCTTGTAATATCTTGAATATCAAGAAAACGAGATGTCCCTCTTCGGAATTTGTTTTATTTTGTATTATTTGAAATTGTCTGCTTGTCCTGGTTATTGGTTTAAACTATTGTCACTCATGTTGAATGTAAATTATAGTTTGGTGAAACAAATTTACGAAATTGTGCATGAATTGTATGCGCAACAGATTTTTACTTTGTATTTATTTATGTAATGTAATGAAAATAGTTGTTTTTTCTTTTATTTATAATAAAAATTGACAAAGATGTAATAAATAGATAAATAATATTATTTATTTATGTATTTATAATAAAAAAATTTAACATGAAGTATTGATTTGTTCTAACGTTTGTTGTCATAGCCGCCATGCCTTAACGTGTTAAATTACCTTTTAAAAGAAATATCTACTGTTGTTTTCTGATAAAATTGAAGTACAAAACCATTTTTATTGATGGTTTCAATGGCAGAAGATTTGAACTTCGAAGAAAGTTATATAAGTGTAGGATGTAACAGGAATCCTTTTAGTGTTGATTGGGGAATCGACGATACTCTTGCCTATTCAGCCTGTAATTCCATTGCTTTAGTAAAATTTCCCAAGGTTTGTAAAGTATTAAATATTTCGTCAATTCAATGAAGTGCTCAAGTTTTCAATATTTTATAATTACGCGTTTACTCAACGTTTGCTGCATTTTTTAACAATTTTTGTCAACATTTATTATAGATGTTTATATTAAATTGAGCCCAGCATTTTGTATTTAGTGACGACCACTTAGCCATGACCAATGAGTTAGTTTTATGCTTATATATTAAATTGGTATAATGTAGAGTTCTTTTATGTAGAATCTTTGCAAAGTGTAATGCTTGTTTTAGAGTTGTAACCAATATACTGGGGAAATATTCTGTTTGCTAACTGGTCATAAGAAAAATATCAGTTGTATTAAATGGATTGTCCATGAAGACAAAGGTACGAAAAGAGAGACTGGCTTAGGCCTGAAGTGTGCATATTTTATTAAATGATTTATTTCATTAGGTTTAAAGAATGAACTAATATCTGGTGATATTGATGGTACTGTTATATTGTGGACACAGAATGGAGATAAGGTTACAACAATGTAATCTTAAAGTTTCTATTTTTAATTTCAATTTGTGATTATTCAGTATGCCAATTGTTTTTATAATTTGCATTCATTGCATTGTAGTGGTTGAAAGGTTTACTAATGGGTCACACTGCAACCATAATTAATGTTTTTGGATTATCCTATGACTACAGAACTCTGTTTGCCACCTCTTCTGCTGATTCAACTATCAAAGTTTGGAGTAGAGATGCACTAGAAGGTGATGATATAGCATTTGGTTTATTTTCTCACACATGCATGAAGGTTTATTTGACTTTTGTTGGGATTAATTCCATTTTACAATAAATGATATTTGATACTGATTTGTTTGCTGAATATTATGATTATTAATAGAGGTGAATTGTATTGAAACTATAAGTTTGGATGGTGGATTTGCATTTTCAATATCTCTTGTGGTTTCTTCAAATGGTATGTTAATGTTTTGTCTTTACAAAAACAATTCTTTTCATGAAAAAATTTTCAATTGTTTTTCATTATGAATATTTTAGTCCCTATACTTGCATGTGGTCGGGAAAACTGCATCATATCTCTTTATTATGAACATGATTCAAAGGTACGTACATATGCGAGTCTAATTATTTTGTAAAACACACATTAAATATTCATGGTGAGGTTTACTACATGACATCAATTGTTTAGTTCATTCTCACTTTAAATCTTTATGGGCATGAAGATTGGATACGAGATTTAAACTTTACGCATTTGGGTATGAGACATGACTTTTTGATTTAAGATCATTTAGAATACAAGTCTACTGCATTTAATGTTTTTTTAGATAATAATGACATAATGTTAGCAAGTTGTTCACAAGATCATTTTATCAGAGTTTGGCGCATTAGTCATGGCAGTGATGATTACATGAAATCTGACGAAAATAAAAATGAAGATAATATGGAACCATTGGAGTTGACCTCAAGTAAAATGACAATAATTGACAATGGTATGTGCTTGTTCAATTTTCAGGCATTTTTCTTTGACTATCTTGGAGGAATGATAAAATGAAGTAAATTTTATTCTTCTTTGGTATTTTTTGTTTCTTGAAGGAGTGTCTTTAAGTTATTTTGTTGTTTTGGAAACAATCTTATCTGGTCATGAAGGATGGGTATACAGTGCCCGCTGGCATCCTAAAATATCTCAAAGTATGAACAAGTAATCTCTCACAATATTTCTTCATTTCCTTTCATGTGAAATGTTAATTTTTTGAAGATGGTAAGGACCATCAACCATTGTGTTTATTGTCATCTTCCATGGATAAAACTATGGTTATATGGACTTTTGATGATGAACTTGGTGTATGGATGGATGATGTAAGTTCATATTTACAGTTCTTTTATGAAACTGTCGAGATTTATCTTAGTTATTTTGATAGGTTCATGTTGGTGAAGTTGGAGGTAATACTCTTGGTTTTTATGGTGGGGTATTTAACCCCTATGGTGATGTGATCCTTGCTCACAGTTACCAAGGATCCCTTCACATGTGGAGGAAAGAATTGGTATTTCAAACATACATATTTTTCATCTTTAAATGATTCAAATGATTTTGAGAATCTGTATGACATTTTCATGTTCAGGAGTCAGGTTGTTGGCAAGCTATTGCAACCAAGAGCGGTCACTTTGCTCCAGTTCAGGTTTTTTGCTCATAAACAAAATTAGTTTGCTTTTAGTCGATCATGTTATATTAACTATGGCTAATCTCAAAGGATATTGACTGGGAACCAGAAAATGGAGAATTTCTTGTCTCAGTCAGTACAGATCAAACAACAAGAATACATGCTCCAAGACAGAGGTCTGGTTCAGAGGTAAATTCTTTAACGTAACATTAATGTACTTATACTTTAGTTAGCTAATGTTACATAACTTCATCATAGGCAACATGGCATGAAGTTGCTCGTCCTCAGATTCATGGTTATAACATGAAATGTCTGACTGTGATCTCAAAATATTGTTTTGTATCTGGAGCTGATGAAAAGGTAGAGGTGTAGTTTAACGATTACTTTTTAACGTTGTGGCGTCATGGCTATTTTCACATTTGATGTTTTCGTTCTTTCGTATCAAGGTAATTCGCGTCTTTCAAGCTCCCAAAAGTTTTATCAACATGTTCAGTGGTGTTTGTACAGAGGCTGATGAAAATGTAAGAAATGACAAAGGTGTTGAACAGACTTCGAGATTACGTTGTTGAACTGCTTTGTAGAACAATACACAATAAAGGTTACTCTTCTGCAGACCATTTCATCGCTCATTTTTTGACATTTATGAAAACCCTTGACGTTATTACAAAGTAAAATTGACTAAAATATTCAATCATGAATAATACTCCATTTTACATTTTGTAGAATGTGGACAATAAAGCTTTGGGAGCCACTGTCCCTGTATTGGGTTTATCAAACAAAGCTGTTTTTGATGGTTGGAGATTGAATGTACGGATTGCTTCGAGTAAATTATGAAAAACGATTTTTTGGTTTGGGTTTTTTTCATTAGATGAGCTAAAAAATTTAAAGAGTGATCTTGAAGACCTAAAACGACCAATGAAGGCATCTGTATTTGCAAGTGAAGAACCATCATCGTTTTGTCCATATTTATCTTCAGGTTAGCTGTCATTTTATTTTACTCTTATTCAGATATATATTTACGTATGCTATGTAAAATTGCATTTTCATTCAAGAACTTCCTACAGAAACCACTTTAATGAAAAGCACTCTATGGCCGGAAACTCAAAAACTGTAAGTGATAAAGAACATTTTAATTTAAGGATGGATTAATTGAAGGTGTGTGTGTGTGTGGGGAGAGGAGAAGGTAACCTTAATTAATTACGTATTTTTAAAATGTCTTTATTATAGATATGGTCATGGCTATGAAATTTTCTGTGTTTCTTATGACCCTCATTCTAAACATTTAGCATCAGCCTGTAAGGTAGTTATGTCTAAGAAAACTTTAATCTTTTGTTTTATTACTTTGTAACCTTCGAATCAAGTATTTTTGTTTGTTTCTAGGCTTCAAAAGCTGAACACGCTAACATAATTATTTGGGATACTTTAACATGGAAACAATTGTGTTGTCTCCCTGGTCATACTTTAACTGTAACACAAATGGAATTCTCACATAGTGGACGTTTTTTACTGTCTGTATCGCGTGATAGAACGTGGTGTTTATTTGAAAGATTTGATAAATTAAGTAGGAACTGCATCATCTATGTATAACCAATATAACATTGGTTTTATATTTACGTTTTTTCTGTATCATCAGAGACCTACAAATTGTCAGCTAAATACGACAAGAAATGCAAAATAATAAGTCGAGTTATATGGTCATGTTCGTGGACACCAGATGATATTTTTTTCATGACTGCATCAAGGGACAAGCAGGTTTGACTTGCACTATGGTTGCTATATAACTGTTTGCATTCTTAATTTAAGGTTTCCTTAATCAGGTTGTTGTGTGGGTGAGAAAGAGTGAAGAAAACTGGACACCAGTTGGTTCATCGCTTGATGCTGGCGAGCCTGTAACAGCGGTTGCTGTTTCTCCTAATACTTCATGGTCGGTAAACCATTTTTTAATTATCTTCCTAAAATGTATAGATCGAATAAAAATGCGTTATTTTTCTCCAGTTACCTTGTGGCAATTGGACTAGAGTCGGGAAAGATTCAAATGTACAAATGGAGCATTGTAAATGGTTGGAAAATGATGAATAATAATTCTACCTTATCTCATACTGGAACTGTTACACGATTAAAATGGCGACCTTCATACACTAGCAATGTTCTGTATCTTGCTAGCTGTGCTGCTGATAACTCCGTAAAAATACATAAAATTTTAATGACATGAAATCATTCTTATGTTTAAAAATTTTTTTTAAAAAAGCAAATACCATCGTGAATGGTTAAAATAATAACGCAAAAATTCTTAAAAGAACATTTCAAAAGCGGAACACTAACCCTACAATTCTAAAATAACTGTTTTCAAACAGCTCTTTGAAGAACTATTGCGTTATTATTTTGAACATTCACTATGGTATTTGCTCTTTTTAAAACAATTTTTAAATTTGTCACCACGACAAAGTCTCTACTCTTATGTTTTATCGTATATTTTACATGGAAAGTTATTAAACGAACGAACATGTATATGAAACATCTGGGTTTTTCTTATTTTGTTGTTTTGCGTTCCTACTTCTTTGCCAAATTTACGTTGGCTCTATAATTTATCTCTACACTTTGTGTTAAGGTACCTTACTCATATATAAGTCTTTTTCATCTCAATCGAAACGAAACAGTGAGGCTGAGAAAGAAAAAAAGTTACCGTGTGCATTTATTTTAATGATGGCTGTTATCTTTACTTCGTCAACTGCTCATGTCTGATTTCCTTGAGAAAGATTGATTTGTAAATAATTTTTAGTACTCAAGTTTATGTTTAAAATAATCTCTTTGTACAGGTCTTTCAAATCAAAATATAATTAAAATTGCCAAATCATTTGTATCACTGCTGGTGCATAAGTAATGTGTACTGTATAGGTATGTACTATATAAATATATCACTGAAATGTATCTTCAGATTAAAGAAAAAATTTTTGTCTGATTTTGAGACTTGAAAATATAAGAATCAAAGTCACGTAAAACTCACACAACCACGTGGATTCCACGAATGGGTCATTGAGGAAGATCAACATGGCGGCCGAATGGTCGCGTATTGTTGAAGTAATTCTATCATTTTCGACGGATTGTACCCGAGAAAGTTTGTCTGAATTGTGCAAACATTTGAATAAACTGTATGTAGTGTTAGTTCGTTGGCTTTTTTTCTTTCTTAATGCTGTATTTTTGACATTCACTTATGACAGAAAGAAAGTATTTACTTTCATTTTAGTTTTGTTGTTTATCAATTCTTCTATTTTTCTTAGGAGTTTAGAGATTCTCGACGATGAAACTAATTGCCAGGAGTTTTTATTTGCTTTGGTAACGTTATCAGCTCACATTCTTGGTCTCAATGTCTTATGCTGTAAGTTTACAAGTAATTGTACAGAAATGTTCAAATAAATAATTTAATGTCTTATGAAATATGAATTGGATAATTCTTGCATTCAGGTTCGGAATTCTTGCATCAGACTATAACTTCATGTAAAACTCTACTAAAATTTTGCTTGAAAACAATTGGCAAAGAAAAAGATGACTTTATAACCAAGGTAATGTTATATAAACGTTTATACATCATTTTACATATAATAATAATTTCATTGTATTTCATAGAAATTGATGGTGTCAGTTATTGAGGGGTTATGTAAGGGTCATGGCTGTCTTGAGCAACCAGAGTTTGAAAAATTACTTGAGACAATGAAACATGCAAAACATCCTGCTTCTGATGAATCATCGAAAATATTAAACCTTTCAGAAAAATTTTATGGCAGATTTAGTCAGGATAGTTTGGTAAACACAAGGCGATCTATCATAAGGTATTGATAATCAGTTGTTTGTTGTTGCAATATTTTAAGCCAATCAAACAACATTTAATTTATTTCTACTAGGTCACCATTTCAACTTGACAGTCCACAAGAAGACAGTGTTATGGACGTGAAGATGCATTTATCAAATGCCAATGTATCTTTTATAAGAGAATTACATGGAGGAGCAGTGTTACTTGATCTTTGTTTTGCCCTTCCAACTTTGTCAGACTTTAGGTCTTTACGTGGTATTTGTGATGGCAAACCTTCAATAACTATGATAGATGGAATCTCACTTGAATCGATGTTAAAATTTCGAATTAAAAGGTTAGTATGGATAGCTCATATTGAAGGTTAAAAGGTATATTTGAACTGATATTTTGTTGAATTTATTTAGAGTTGATGCTTTACTTGATGAAATGAAAATTGTGCAAAGCGTCCTTTCTATTCCTGTTCTGGAGCCTTTAAACAGTTCACGTTTAAATAAAATAGTCTTGTTGGTATTATCTTGTCTTGATATTGCAATGTATTCATCATCTGGTTATCTTGCATCTTCATGTGTGGGTTAGTAACTTGTTTTTCTTTTTAAAAACCAAAACTTGTTGAGTTTTTTTTAAATTTTTGTTATCATAGATGATATTGATGATAATGCCAAGAACTTAGTTCATACTGCAGTAAGTATTAAAGTTTCACTTAGGCAAAAATGATAGAATGAAAATTGTAACTGTTTTTGATTTTTCAATTATATTTTAGCTGTGTATTTTGGATTCTGTGCTACATACTTTATCAATATCCCATCGTGCTGGAGGAAACCTTGCACAAAATTTCAATCTTCTAGTGTGCCATTGCATAATAAAGTCTTTAGAATTGTCACACTTGAAAGATAGGGAAAATGATCAAAGATCAAGTGAAACAAGGTTGTTCATTTTGTTACAATTTTTTTTATTGTCTTAAATAATATTTCATTGCTTTTTATTTCATAATAGATGGGAAGGATTGAATATATTGCGTGTTCAAGTATGTACTAGGCTAGTTGCAGTTGTCACATCACTTTTGGAGGATCTGAAATTGGAGGAAATTGATGATGATGTTGAATTAACAAAAGAAGAAATGAATATTGAAGCTCACGTATCATCGTGGTTTAGAATAAAACTTTTGTTTAATCATGTTGAAATTTTACCATGGTTAACAAAACTTTTTATTTGTTCTTATAAAAAGGTTTGTATAAATATTTAATTTATGTATTTATGTGATGTTTCTGTATTGTTTTGTTCATCATTTTGTGTTTTTTCACAAAGGCCAATTTCCTTAGTGAAACTGCTCAAACTTCTGTAAGAAATGATCAAACAAAAACTGGACACGTTGAATCTGAAAGTGAAGGTTTCTCAATTTCTATTGTAGTAGAATACTAAAACTACAGTAAAATTATCTCATATTTCTTGTTCTTTGCTAGATCCAAATGAAATGGAGACATTGTTTGGTGGTTTATTTGAAGCTCAGGTTGCAGATTTGGATGGAAATGTTGAAAAGAATGAACGTAAATCGTCAAGAAATGAAGAAAAGTTGGCTGTTGCTGAATCAGTGAGTTTAACAATCTCAAATAAGTTGTGTGATTTTTACAAACTCATGTATGTCAATCCATTCATCGTAATAATTTATGTCATTTCATTGTATGTATGTTGTGTAATTTTTACCGTAACGTGGCATTTCATTGTATGTATGTTGTGTAATTTTTACCGTAACGTGGCATTTCATTGTATGTATGTTGTGTAATTTTTACCGTAACGTGGCATTTCATTGTATGTATGTTGTGTAATTTTTACCGTAACGTGGCATTTCATTGTATGTATGTTGTGTAATTTTTTCTATTCCTGATCATTTTATATCCTTCTTTAGTATTTAGATCTATCAAAGTCTATACTTGCCTTGATAACGGAACATATGTTAACAAACGCCAGTCAAAGATTAATCACCAATGTTCAGCAAACCTTGCCTGAAAATCATCTTACTGATCTTGCTTTTCTTGTTTTGGAACTGGATGGAGTTAAAAGTGACGTCAATTGTCTCTCTTCATATAATATGTTCAATCAATATCTTGACCGATATCTTCATAGTTTATTGTCTTTGAAAGTTCTCACAGATAAACAGCAGGTACGTAGATATTTGCAACTTTAAATTGTAGAAGAATGACAATAGAAGAAGCGTCAAATGTTACAGTAGATCGTACAGATAGAACTTTATCAAATGTTACAGTAGATCGTACTGATGGAACTTTATCAAATGTTACAGTAGATCGTACAGATGGAGCTTTATCAAATGTTACAGTAGATCGTACAGATAGAACTTTTTCAAATGTTACAGTAGGTCGTACAGATAGAACTTTATCAAATGTTACAGTAGATCGTACAGATGGAGCTTTATCAAATGTTACAGTAGATCGTACAGATGGAGCTTTATCAAATGTTACAGTAGATCGTACAGATAGAACTTTTCAAATGTTACAGTAGATCGTACAGATAGAACTTTATCAAATGTTACAGTAGATCGTACAGATGGAGCTTTATCAAATGTTACAGTAGATCGTACAGATGGAACTTTATCAAATGTTACAGTAGATCGTACAGGTGGAGCTTTATCAAATGTTTCAGTAGATCGTACAGATGGAGCTTTATCAAATGTTACAGTAGATCGTACAGATAGAACTTTTTCAAATGTTTCAGTAGATCGTACTGATGGAACTTTATCAAATGTTACAGTAGATCGTACAGATGGAGCTTTATCAAATGTTACAGTAGATCGTACAGATTTTTGTCTCTTTCTTCATTTTTATCGCATTTTTTAATTTTAGGAGATAGTTTTGGAGAAATTATGTGTATCACCATACGCGTTAGAAACATGGCCACTCTTTATAGCTCCTCGTACTCTCTGTGTTGGCGCTAATCTTGTTGGGTAGACAGGAAAGTTGTCGTGGTTCTGGGGACGAGTGTGATGATACAAGTTGTGTTATAATCTGGCAGAAATTATTGCGAGCGTTACGAGAGATGTCTTTAACGGAGAAGTGTCTTCCAGGTGACACGATCTATTTTACATTTTATGTATAATTTTTTGTTCCATTAATTGTTTATTTCTTTCATAGATTTAAACATCGAACATATACAGTTACTCTTAATGGTTTGGCATAACTTTACTGAAAAACAACGAAATAAGATTATTGTGTTGTGTGTTGATAATTTATGTAAGATATCTGACGATGTTGATCTTTATGATAAACCACCGTTGTACTTAATGCGAATTTTGGCGATATTGGATTACATGTTGTTTCAATATAACGATCCTCCAGTCGAGTTGCTAACTCAGGTAAATTTATTGATGAAGAACATTGCTTGGTTTTTTTGTCAATAAATTGATCATAGAACTTTCTTATATAGGTGAAGAACAATCTTTTTAAGACAAAGTACCGTCATCGAATGACTGTCATTGAAGATGAATTTATTGATGAACCAAGATTGATATTCTTTGCAACAGCTGATGGAGAAGATCGAGATTATTATAAAACGACATGGGAAACTTCGGGAAGGTCTTTGGAAAGAAAGACACCCAGGTTCTACGGCTTGCGTAGTGGGGAAATAACGAAATTATCCAGTGCTACAGTTAGTTATCCATCGTTTTACATCACTGTTGTCATCCATCGTCTTAAAAGCGTTCTTTTTGCAGTTCAACACGTTCCTTTCTTTACTGGAGAACGAAGGCATTCTGTATTCTCATTTCCATGAAAGTCTTGTGACTTTGCTTGCTGCTGGATCAAGATGCGATGTATTAAAGAGAGAGAAGTCAATTTCAATTTTTTTTAATTTAACCGATTCTAAGATAGTCCGTTGTTCATTTGGCTTGTGTTGGCGCCTTCTCACCAGTCTCCCACCTGCACCTCTAACTCTTGCGATGATTCAAGATGAACAACCAGTACGTTATGAGGTAGAAAATCATCTTCATTTCTTTTATATGATTGATTATCAAGCCATTTATTCATTTATATCTTTTCTACTCTGTTTTATGTAGAATACTCGAGATGTTTGTTCTATTCTTTATATTTTATCATTAACTTGTAAACTATCTGATCCCCGATGAGGATGTCAAGGTAAGAAGGAATATTTTAGCTTACTTTATTGACGATCTCGATCTCATATTTATATTCAAGAACAGTTCTTCTGGCTCAGATGCATTAAATGCATATAATATATTTTTCTTTACTATAGAGCTTAATGGTTCATCTCAAACTCAGCGATGATAACATCTCTCAATTGACGAAACCTTGGGATGTTATTTTCGCATTAAAATATCATACGAAGATTTTACAAGAGGTGCGTTCTTGTTTTGAGTATTGAAAATCGATAGTTGTGAATAAATGAATAATTTATGTCAACATGTGAATGAATGAATAATTTATGTCAATTATTGAGCAGTAATTTTACTTAAATTCACATTTATTTATTTTTCAGATGTTGGAGCAAACGATATCGAGTCAAAAAGAAATCAATGTTGAAAGTGAACTACCAAATCTCTTTGCAATAATCGCTCTTGATTCTATTGTCACAAGAACAAGTTTTCTTCTGAATAAAGATGTTGAAGTCATCACAGATGATTTAAAAATGGTTTTGGAGAAATTACTTTGCATTGTTTTACAGTTGATCGAGGTTTATCAAAGTTTTGCCAGGTATGTAACATTTTTATTATATTGAATGAATTACTATTGATAATATGGATTAAATATTGATAATATGGATTAAATATTGATAATATGGATTAAATATTGATAATATGGATTAAATAATGATAATATGGATTAAATAATGATAATATGGATTGAATAATGTGCATCAATGTTGACTTTTTTCTTTGTAGATTTAGCTTACTGTGTCATCAAAATCTCAAAGTTTGTCAAAAAGAGATCACAATTTACTCCAAAGTCATTAAATTATCATCATCAGTACTTGCTAAGAATACAATCTTTCCAGACCCTGTTATAACAGGTATTTTGGTGATGTTTTAACAGATTTTTTACTATTAGTGTCCTATTTGAGGATTTAATTTATTTAACATTGCTCAATGCTCTAAGTTTCTGGGATTTTTATATTTTAGAGTTTTTTTGTTCATATTGAATATAAAATATTTTAATCATTGACCATAACCATGCTAGATGTGTTTTTTGTTCGTATTGAATATAAAATATTTTAATCATTGACCATAACCATGCTAGATGTGTTTTTTGTTCATATTGAATATAAAATATTTGAATCATTGACCATAACCATGTTAGATGTTATAATTAGTAAATATCTCCTTTGTAAAGGTCTTTCTCTCCCTGCTGAAGAGGTAAAGAATTGGAATAGATTGGGTTCCATTGAATTTAACCCTTCATTTGCTCGTGAAGAAGTAATCAACGACAATGTCACCACTGGCTACGAAATGATAAATTCATTAATTGCTTCTCATCTTAAACACATGTCTTTCCGTTTTCCCTTCAATCTTGATGCATCCATTAGACATGTCATGAAATCTCTTGTTCAACTCATATCTACTTTAGTCACGTGAGTATATATTTATCTCGATGTAATTGGTTAATTTTTAGTCACGTGAGTATATACTTACCTCGGTGTAATTGGTTCATTTTTAGTCACGTGAGTATATACTTATCTCGGTGTAATTGGTTCATTGGAAAACTAGTCAGTAACACCATATTATTATCGTTAACAGGAAAGCAAAAGCTCGCTGCCTACCACTTATGAAAATGAAATATCGAAGGCCATTATTCCTCTGCTGGTTGATGCCTCGATGGAATATATCTTTGATGAAACTGAAAGTATCTTAGAAGTCTGTTTTGGATCTATGGATAATGAAAAATGCTCAGAAAAAATACAAAGATATCTTTTAGAAAATTGTTATGATCTTATGATTGAAAACATTTCTTCACAAGAGTAAGTTCATCATGTCTATTTATTTCTGTTTATGTTTTGTTTTGTTTTTAGATTAAATAAATGAATATATATACTTCATTGTCAGGTCAGTTTTGAATGAAGACATCTTTGTTGATTGTGAAAGATTCATGGAAGGTCTACTGGAGCGTCCTGAAGGAAGGAATACTTTGAAAATTTTCTTTGAAGATAACGATAAATTTGTTCGCCTTCTTTTGTTATCTGCAAACCAGAATTTTTCTCTTTCATTTGTCTACCGAATGTTAAAGTTTGTGTCACGTACACTGGAAACTTGTGAGTTTATGTTAAATAACAATTGTATCGTACTGTTTATTTTTTCTTCATTACAAAGTTTATTCTTTAGATGATAAAAATCCAAATGATCCAACAGCTCTAGCGTTAGTCCAGTCCATATCGAAGATCAGTGATTGTTCAACGTTGCTGACGATATGGTTAAATAGAATTATTGTCGGTGGACCTGCTGATAAAGAAATGACAGGGAAAATGGCAGACAATCGTCTATTGCTTCAGTCGATTGTTTCATCGTTTGTTAAAGAAGATAGGTATTTATTGATTAAATATTATGACCATTTGAACATTTTATCATCGCATGTTTTAACTCTCGACTTTTTGTGACTTCATTTATATTTTTAATTCATTCAGTCCTGTAAGCAGCTCTGCGATTGATACATTACTTGATGCAATCATTCCTTTGGGAACGTGGTTACTAGACATGGCAACTGATTCATCTGTTGTTATTGGTTCAAAGTTCATTGATTTTCTTTCTGTATCTTCAACCCTTGCTGGATATGGTGATGGTAAAGGTCATGTGAAATTAATGGAGGCTGTGGTTGTCTGGTTACAATTTTGGTACCTCGTAGCATCTATCTTGTTCAAATTATCGTGTGTAGTATGCAACATAAACATCTATTGTTTATTTTTTTTATTTAGTAAAATCTGTATTGGTCAGGAGAAGGAACACACGAACAGTCTTATTGAGTGCACAAATGTTTTGCTGGCTCATGTTGCCGATGTTATGGTGGTATTGAAGCATATGGATGATGATGCAATCTGTAATGGTTGTCAAGGTGATGATAGTTCCAGTGACATAGAGTCAGATGGCATTGATGATGATGATGAATCTGGAGCAGAAGAATCTGTAAGTGAGATGGAGACAACTTTTTAAAATACGGTCAGATTGAAGCCTCTGTCACTGGTTTATATTCTGCGATGTGAAATGTTGAAGGATCATATTTTTTATATAGGAAGAAGATATTGAGGGAAATCAACTGTGGAATAAGTTGTGTACATTCAGTACAACAAAAAAAGAATTTGCAAATCAACATTGGTACCATTGTCATACATGTGGTATGAATGACGGTGTTGGTGTGTGTACCATCTGTGCAAAAGTCTGCCATAAAAATTGTGATGTAACATACGCTAAATATGGATCTTTCTTCTGTGACTGTGGAGCAAAAGAAGATGACAGTTGTAGGGTACGAGCGGTGATAAATTGATAGTTTAACTTTTGTTTAATCATCTGTGTTTTAAACTCAGGCAATGAAGAAAAGAAATCCTCATGATGTGTCAGACATTGATAGTCCTGGTGGTAAACATGTTCACAGTAGTTATCGTCCATTACAACGAACTGAAACTGTTCTTACTGTAAACAATGAATCAAATTTTGATCAACATTTAAAAGAGAAATCAACGTATGAGTTTGGACAACCGATATTTCGACGTAATTTAAGGAAAACAGTCGAGGTGAAAGCTGTTTATCACTACCTCATTTTAACTTATTGCAATATTCAGACAAAAAATATTTTTTATCGAGAATTTTTTAATTGTATCTCTGTTGTCATTCTAGGTCAACAAGAAATTTTTACTAAATGTTATTAAAGACAACCATACTTGTTCTGCTCTTCTTGCTTTATTGCAAACCTTTTCCCACGTGACGAGTCCTATCAACACGCATGCGCAAGCTGTAGGTGGAACAAGACAAAGAATTGATGAAGCTTTGGATAATCTTCATTCCATTGAAAAATCAGTGGATAATAATGAACAACTAGTGGTAAATATAGACGATGTTTGATATATAAGATACAACTTTTGATTTTAACATAACGAATGTTACATAGACGGTTTCATCGAGTCCTCAAGAAGGAAATTTTGAGAATGTGAAGTTAGTTTGCAGTGGTGAACATGGTCAAACTATTCGACAGTTGTTGGCTTCTCATGTTTTACGTCGTATCTCTATATGTTGTCTTACATCAAGTTACGGACGTCGTCAACATCTTGCTGTTAGCCACGATAAAGGAAAAGTACGTAAATTTTTTTTTTCTCTATGAACGGTAAACTATATTTATATGTCTTCCTTCTTTCAGATAACCATTGTTCAACTTTCTTCTTTGCTCAAACAAACTGACTCGAGTCGTCGTAAATTGAACATTAATCGATTGGCGACAACGCAAGTTCCTTCACAATTTTATCTTTAACTGGAAACATCTGTAACGAAAGCTTCCTTGCTGTCGCTGGCCTCAAAGACTGTCATGTTCTCACTTTAAGTAGCGCGGGCTCAACTCTCAATCATCTTGTTCTTCATTTTCAGTTGGACAGCGGCAATTTCATTATCAAAACAATATGGCTTCCTGGATCTCAAACAGAACTTGCTATCGTAACTGCCGACTTTGTTCAGGTACTAAATGGCTGCTTACGTTAACCAGAAATAGCAATGAAAAAGTGTCCTCTAATATGTCATTTTTCATTTTTTGTTTCATAATTATCTAGATTTACGACTTATCAAAAGATGCGCTCAGTCCTGTATATTATTTTGTGTTACCTTCTGGCAAGATACGTGATGTAACATTTGTGTTTCAATCATCATTACGTGTGATGTGTTTGATATCCTCCGATGGACTCATATATTCTCAACAACTGGATGAATCAAGTTCAGCAAAATCAGGACCTTTTTATTTAACAAATATAATACCTATAGTTCATCCTGATATAAATGATAATAATGGTGAAATATGCGGTGGAGGTGTATCTCTTTATTATTCACATCGATTACAAATTATATTCTTCAGTTATGTTCAAGGTATGTTTATATGATGGTAATTATTTCTTTTCATTTCTTATTGTTAATTATTTTATCGATTTGTTTTAGGTAAAACCTTCCTTGGAACCTTTGGCGAGAATCTGTCAAAAATCACCAACATATTTCCAATCAACGTGAAATTGTCTAATGCCAATAAAACTGCTCTTATCAGCTTATGTCAATGGTCTGAAGTTCTTCAACATCCAGGTGTTTTGCTTTGTTCAACTCATACAACAGGTCTTCCTGTTGTTCTCATGGTTAAGCCTGATTGTATCTTGGTAAGTTGTTGTTTTAAAGAACCCCCCCGCACCTCTCATTATAACTATTGACTCCCCCCTGTAGTCACCATCGAAATTTTCTGTTGTGTCGCAAATATAACCTTCTGTATTAGAAAACGTTTCTTTATCGCCTTTTCTTCGTTGTTCACTTCTCCTTTCATTCTGATCTTTAATATTTTTTTCATTCCGTTTTCCCCCGTCTTTCTCAGTCATGAAAAGTTTTTCCGCCTAGATAAGAATAATTCTAAATCAATTGTCCTGTTAGTAATATGTGAAAGTAACTTAGTTTTAACAGAGATTTTGTCGTTGTGTCGTTTAGTACCAAGAAATCAAGGCATGTCATCAAAAGCAAAAATTCAGGATATACTTGCTGTTCGTCATAATCTTTCAAATTCTGAGCAATCAAGAACATCATTAATCATTCTTGGTGAAGATGGTAGTCTCAAAGTTAACACTATAAATCAAGAACACACAAACTTTTGGATGTCTTCGTCATTTCGATCGATCAGGTATTTTTTATATTGACTTGTTTCATAAACATTTGTGTCTTGAAATGATGAAATATTTATTGAGAAATGATAACGATTGGTATATTTTTGCAGTGCCGTTGCTTCGCTTAAGCCATTCAAGACAAGAAAGTCAAAGAAACATATTGACATTAGATCATCAAGCTCTCCTCATTTTCCTATTGATTTCTTTGAAAGTTGTCAAGTATTGAACGATGTAGAGTTTGGTGGTCGAGATATTTTACATGTGTATAACATTCAACAAGTGAAACAACGACTTATGACTGCAGGAATGTATATTGCATGTACAAAGGTAAGATAAATATGCATGTGTCGTCACTTGTCAAGTGTTTGTAAAAATGGTGTTTTTCTTTAGTTGAACAGTTTTTCTATGACAATAACAAATTGTAACCCTGGTGTTGTTATTGTTGGTGTTCGAGTTCTTGTTGGATGTCAAGCCATAGATAAAGCTCCGAGTTTTATTGAAGTCTTTGGTCGCGCAATTGACATTGAACTCAAAAGAAATCGATGGTTTGATATTCCATTCACACGCGAGGAGGTCCTTTCCACTGACCGCACAATAACAATTACATGTATGAATGTGAATTTATCACCATCCTTCAAAATCATCCTTCGTGATATATCGACTGCACTTATAAATGATATGATTGTGTTTCTGTGTAGTTGGTCAATCGCATGATGTTAGCAATGTTACTATGGTCGACTCCATTAAAGTTTACTGCAAAAACAAGGAGGTTTTTGGTTGGCCTGATGACTTACAGTATGACGGTATACCCTCAGCAACCCCTACATCCTCCTCAGTAACTCTCAATCCATTCACTCAGCCATCGGAGGTAATATCTAACGCTGCTGCGCCACTATCACTGAAGGAAATGTAAGTTTTAATGATTGGAATAATGTTATCACATCTATTTCACACATTTACAGTCACTGAAACTTTAAGGAACACTTTATAAAGTAGAACTTTAGTAAAAAATTCATGTTATTTAAATTTGAGCAACGACTAACTCTACTACGTAACCTGTTTTTCTGTAGTATCACTGCTAATTGTTTGAGAGCTTTGGATGGTCTGGTTACTTTGGTATCAAATGACGACGAGAGTCACCAGGAAATCGTCACTATAGCAACGTCAATGTTGTCTTCACCTCTTCCTCAGCAAGTGCAAGAGCAAGCAAAAATGTTGTTAGCTTCCTTGCATCCTACCAAGATGACTTATAATAATCATAAAGTTTGTGTGACGTTGTTTAAATGTATTCTTTATCTTACGTCATCTCTGAAGCTGATGTCATCATTCATTTTGACGTGATTTTCTTACATTTAGGATCTAGCACAGTTAAAGTACGTTGTCAACACTCTGTATGATAATAACTTGGAGGACATTGATCCTGAAATATTTGAAAGAATCGTTGTAATGGCTCGAGCTGTTGCTGTCCATCGGCCAGAGAATATCGTCAAATTCACATCGGAACTAACTGAAAATTTCAGCACACCATTTGCAAAACAAATAATTACAGCATTTTGGAGTTTCTATCGTTACCAACCGAGTAATTCTTCTTGTATCTCTTGCTCGCTCTGGGACACAGTTTACTGAAATGGTTGTCTTTGCTTTGGTGGAAATACTTCATGCTTTTGTCATCACTGATGTCATACATGTTCCCATGGTTACACAACTTTATATTGACCTGTTACTATGTGAGGTGGGAACGTTTTCTTTACGTATGTGATGATGATGATATTACATTGATGGACACATTCAACTTTATATAGACACGTTTACAACGTAAGCTAAAGCTGGTTGTCGCGATGTATTAAGTTGATATGTATACTATATATGTGTTTTATGTATCTTTTCTAATGAAATTGTCAACAGTGCATTAATATAAATGTTGTCATTCATTTTTTATCATTTATTTTAGGACCATCGTGTAAGCTTTGCGTGTAAACATTCTCTAGCATTTGTCCTCAGGCCCCGAACACGACGTTCTTCACCTAAGAATGAACAAAATAAGGCAAATATTGATACCGAGGAAAATTCACAAAATGATGAAGTCGATGGAACCAGAAATGTCTCCGCTACTGAAAATGTTGGTCCTGGAGAAGCTAATGGTGCTGACTCTAGTGCGCATGTCACGCAGAGTGATAACGATAATATGAATCGGTTGTGGTCAAGTGAGGTAAGGATAAATATTTGGATTCAAGCTGCGGTAACAAAACAACCTTACATAATAGAATAATGAATTTAATCAGGATGTACGTAACGACCGTCAACCTGAATCTGGACCATCATCAGGAGGGAGTGGACCTTCATTAGAAAGCAGTGGACCATCATCAGGAGGAAGTGGACCTTCATTAGAAAGCAGTGGACCATCAGCGTCATCAAGTAATCAACTTGGGGTTTTATTAAATTCTAGCTTCCCTGCTGTGTATGAGCTCCCCCCAGATGCTGATGATGAAGCGATGATGGAGCTTGCTATAGCTCTAAGTTTACAAGATCAAGGAGAAGAATCTGCGATGGGATTACATCATCTTCTTGGAGAAGCAATAGAAAATGGTGCTCCTATAGATGAAACAGAAGGTTCCTCATCTTCGGCATCTGGTAAAACATAAAAAATGATTTTGGTCAACTCCTGCTACCCCCCTCCCCCTGCTATACATATTATTGTGTTATCATTTATAGGTCATGCAAGCGAAGATGATCTTGAACCAACCACTGGATCTTTGGATTTAGTTCCAATTCAACCTGCAACTGATGCACAACAATCCAGTCAAGACCTGGGTTCAGTTAGTGAAGGAAGTGCTGAGTCAATATCCGGTGAAAGTCCTGTGGATGAACAGGAGCAACAGGAGGATGCAATGGGTTCGGCTTCATTGATTGAGATTGTTTGTTATGTTCATTTATTTATTTTGCCAGTTTTTCATTTTGTTGTAGAAGTTGAGAGTGGAGTGGCAGCCAATCCAAAACCTGATGACATATCACGTGACAAATATGATGAGGATTTCCGTGAAAAACTCAACAATCTGAACTTGGTCATGCTTCGCTCTTTTATTGATCATTTCCATCGACTGACTGCTACTACTGGCCTTCAAGCGATACCATTCATGCAGGTACACAATACCATGATGTTTTGATCACGTTTTGTAAGGATGTCATTAGTTTCATTATCACATGTTGTAATGATGTCATTATTTTCATCATCACATGTTGTAATGACGTCATCATTTTCATCATCACATGTTGTAATGACGTCATCATTTTCATCATCACATGTTGTAATGACGTCATCATTTTCATCATCACATGTTGTAATGATGTCATGTCGTCATGATATTTACTTTAGTATTTTATTTTCAGTCAATTATTTATGCCACAGGTGCTGCTTATGTTGTGTTTTGATGTTGATAACAGCGATACAGAGAAAAAAGAACAACTTCATCGTATCCTGTTTTCAAAATGTCTTCACGAACTACATTTAAATTCATCAGATATATCGAACATAGCTTCTCGTACCAGTCCTCGTGAAGTGCAACTCATCATCATGCGTTTTCTTAGTGTTCTTATGTCGAGATCAAGATCATCAAATAATTCTTCTGAAGAGGTCATCATGTATTATTGATATTTGTCATAACTTGATGAAATTTCATTCAAATTATTTTATTCACTATAGGATACGTCATCACTATCCAATCAGGTGGCGACTTTACTTTTCGATAACAACATTATGCGACATTGTCTTACCGTTTTGCAACATTTAACTGACCACTGGCAAAGCCGAATTAAATCTAGTGAAGATGAAGAAACAATTGTCAGCTTACTAAAACCACAACCCAGGCACTCTCCACCTGATATGTCGCCGTTTTTCTTAAAGCAATATGTTAAGGTAATCATGGTTTATGCATCAGTATTTTAACTGTATTTATATGAAATGTTTATGTATGTTTATTTTGCAGAGTCATGCAAGTGATGTGTTCGAAGCTTATCCTTTGCTTGTTACTGAAATGGTTTTACGTTTAACTTATCAAGTTAAGAAAATTGTACATGACAGTGAAAAGAGTGAATTATCTGAAGAGTGGTTCACATGTCTTTTTGAGGTTGTAGAAAATAATTTCTATTTATACTCACTATATTTGTTTTGCTAATTTCCTTGTCGTTGTTAGTATATGATGCTTCAACAAACTTCATTTGTAAAAATCAAGAGACAAGTTCGTAAACTATTACTGTTTCTTTGTGGATCAAAAGAAAATTATCGAGAACAGAGAGACTCTCATGCTCTTAATCTCCACTTTAGAATTGTCAGGTATAAATACATGCAATGGTCTGATTTCGAAAATAATGTTATATATTTTCATATTTAGTATTCTTCCGTTGAATTTAACATGGAAATAATTGCAGAGCCATATCTGAAGCTGGCGGATTTAGTGAAAATCAGGAAACATCAATGAACGTAGAATATGATACTTTACTTGAGCTTATTGAACACCTTAAATCTACAGCTGATATTTCCACCAATAGAACAAAGAATTGGAAAACTTACTGCATTAAGAATACAAGTAAGTTAGAAAAGTACAATCTATATTTTTAGTTTGTAATAAATACATAATACTTATCAATAAATTTTCTCTCTTTAGGAACTCTTTCATTCTTATTTAAAGTTAGCTATGTTATCAACGAAGGAGTAACGAGTACTATTTTACACTTACTTACTTCTGCTCTTTGTATAAACAATGAGAGCGAGAAGAACTCAGAAAATGAAGAAGCATCCTGTCAGCTTCTTGTTAAACAGTTCATTGAAAATATTGATGTTGAAGACATCAAACAATTTGTTCGTTGTTTCTTGCTACAATCCAACTCAACAAACATTCGTTGGCAAGCCCATTCTCTTATTTACTCTACTCATAAGTAAGTTCATACACTATTAATCAAATTATAATTTGTATTATGTACATACCTTCATATGAAATAAATCACAAGTTTCTTAGACAAATCTCGTATGCACATGAACAAGAATTCCTTTACTAATACACAAAATATTTTAGAAACGGTTAAGCACGATATTTCATCAAGAATGCTCTCATTTTTATGGACATATACTTAGTGCTAGTTTTTGTCTTCAAAAAAGTTTCGATTTCTTAATTTTTTCTGTAGAAATTGTGGTGTAGACTACCAAGAGAAGTTGTCTGAGATGATGTGGAGTCTATGGCCTGAGTTACCTGTCTTTGGACGAAAAGCTGCCCAGTTTGTAGACCTTCTTGGTTATTTCACGATAAAATCTTCCCTATCGGATCATAAAGCCGCAGAGTTTTCTGAGAAAGCCATGCTTTTGTTAAGGAAACAGAATCAAATTCTACGAAATCATGCGAATTCAAACGTTTACAGGTGAAATATCTGTTTTTGTATTATTTTTCTTACAATCATCATGTCAATTATTTTTTTAAAGAATGTCTTTCTGACTTGTTTACAGGTTACTTTCGGGCCTTGTGGATTTTGATGGATTCTATTTAGAAAGTGATCCCTGTTTAGTGTGCAACAATCCCGAAGTTCCTTACAGTAATAGTAAACTTTCAGCCATTAAGTCTGATGCAAGATTTACCACGACAAAACATATGGTAAAGTTGATTGGCAGTCACAACATCTCTAAGGTTACCATTCGTGTGAGTGACGTTAAAAGACAAAAGATGGTACGTTTTACATGTTATGAATCTACTTGTTTAACTTAGAGCATCATAAATAAAACATCCTTATTTTGTGTTCCATCGACGTATATGGAGCTTAAAAATTGCAAAATATCGCAGCAGCAGATTGCCTTATGCTAGCATTTAAATGTGTTTGGTTTTACTGCAGGTGAAGACAATCAACTTGTACTACAATAATCGTTCCGTTCAATCTGTCGTTGAACTGAAGAACAAGAACGATCTTTGGCAAAAAGCAAAGAGATGTTCCTTAATGCAAGGTCAAACTGAACTGAAGATCGAATTTCCTTTGCCTATAGTTGCTTGTAACCTCATGATTGAGTATGCTGACTTCTTTGAAAACCTTCAAGCGTCCTCTGAGACTCTTCAATGTCCTCGATGTAGTGCACCTGTTCCGGCTAATCCTGGAGTTTGTGGAAACTGTGGAGAGAATGTCTATCAATGTCATAAATGCCGGTAAATTACATTATTTTACAATATTTGTTACAAATCCTTATTTAGGGACGGAGTTATGAGAGCGATACGGCAGGGGTTCACCGATTTCCCTACAAAATTCTATTGCACCAAACAATTTTAAAAATTTCCCAATCTTTATAAGAAAGGTAACAGAATTCAACAAAAAAGTTTGGAAATGGTACGGCAACAAGTAGCGAGCGAAATCCAGACTAGAACCCTGCCCTCACACAGCCTTAAACATGGTACGGCAACAAGTAGCGAGCGAAATCCAGACTAGAACCCTTCCCCCACACAGCCTTAAACATGGTACGGCAACAAGTAGCGAGCGAAATCCAGACTAGAACCCTTACAGCCTTAAACATGGTACGGCAACAAGTAGCGAGCGAAATCCAGACTAGAACCCTTCACAGCCTTAAACATGGTACGGCAACAAGTAGCGAGCGAAATCCAGACTAGAACCCTTCCCCACAGCCTTAAACATGGTACGGCAACAAGTAGCGAGCGAAATCCAGACTAGAACCCTTCCCCACACAGCCTTAAACATGGTAAGGCAACAAGTAGCGAGCGAAATCCAGACTAGAACCCCTTCCCCCACACAGCCTTAAGCATGTTTGTACATTTTTAGCTACGTAGTTTACACTGTAATTCTCTCATTTACTGTTCGTACATGATGAACGAAAGCATCCATTAAGTAGAAACTCGTGATGATGTTTAGGTCGATTAATTATGACGAGAAGGATCCATTTTTGTGCAATGCTTGTGGCTTTTGTAAATACGCGAAGTTTGACATCAGTCTCACGGCAAAGCCATGTTGTGCTGTTGATCCTATAGAGAATGAAGAAGACAGAAAGAAGGTTAATGTGATACTGTATTCTTATTTTTACCTCATGTCATGAGCTCTTTTATTATCTTACATAAACTTTTTATTAGAGTGATGTCGTTACTATTTTTACATATCACGTGATATCGTGACGTTTTATTATATGACGTCAATTTTCATCGAAGGGACTGCATCATTGCATCGTGTTTTTTCTGTAGGCTGTTGCAAGTATTAACAACTTGTTGGATCGTGCAGACAAAATATATCGTCAATTGGTCGCTCAACGTCAACCATTGGATTCGCTGTTGATGAAAATTTCTGAACAAGGAGACAACGAGTTGGTCAAGGTATCAAACATGTCTTTGCGTTGTCTTATCTTGCGTTGTCAAACATATCTTTGCGTTGTCAAACATGTCTTTGCGTTGTCAAACATATCTTGCGTTGTCAAACATTTCTTTGCGTTGTCTTATCTTGCGTTGTCAAACATATCTTTGCGTTGTCAAACATGTCTTTGCGTTGTCGAACTTTGATGTATTATACTTAATGTAATACTAATGTCGTATTGCAGAATGAAGCTGGCCAGATTGTTACTACAACTACTAGTTCTGGCAGTCAAACAGCTGGCAGTCATGCTGTTAATAAGAATATTCAGGCTGTAGCTCAGAGATATTGTGTTGATTGTAAAGGAAACTTTGATGAGCTAAGTAAAATTATGCAGGTACGATAATTTATTTTAAGTAGTTACGGCAAGTTTAGTTTTGTAACTTACATTTATTAATTAATAATTTATCGTAGAACGTCCTAGCTTCACGTAAAGAATTAATTGAATATGATAGAAAAGAACGCGACGAAAGATCAAATAAAGAAAATGTGATAAATAATTCATACGCAAACAGTCAGTCTGTTCCTGGTCGTTGCTATGGTTGTTCGTCAGCTGCTACTGATCATTGTGTAACTTTATTAAAAGCTTTAGCTATGAAGGCATCCACTAGAAATACACTCATAAAAGAGGTAATATATTGTATATTTGTTAGAATAAGAATGACCTCTAATACTTATGATGGTGATGATAATCTGTGGAAATATCTTTTCTTTCTTGTTTTTAGGGTCTTATTGTGGAGTTAGTAAATTTTACATTGTATCAAGGAACATCGTCCATTAGACGAAACGTTCGAGATTTGCTTTGTCTGTTGATAAGAAATAATCCTGAAGCAACAGAGGAACTTGATAAAATATTAATGAGTCGTGTGAGTCAAGGTATCGCAGTACAGAATATAAATCCATCAGTGGTAAGTCTGATGTAACTCCTATTCTTCTTGAGAAAACATTATTAACACATTTGTTGTGTGTGGGGTTTTTTTCAGTCATCCTCCATTAGTCGAGATATGAAACTTCTTACAACTGTTGTTCAGTTGGAAGATAAATGTTGGGAACAAAGATTACGTTGTGGTAAAATAAAATCTTTGATATTCAATGAATCATTTTTGTAAATTAAAAATTTCTTTAATATTTATATTTTTGTTTAGTAACTCAACTTTTTCTACAATCAGTTCAACATGTGAGCCCCATTGTTGTTCAAACTGTAACTTTACCATGTCTGAATATTCTTGCACAATTTGTAAAACCTAAACAAACTGTTAACAAGACCACGGGGGTAGGTATTAAATGATTTTTCTCTCATATTTGACTACTTGCATTTATGGTAATCGATTTCTTTGTCATTTTACCTCAGCAAAAGAGTGTAAGTGAAGTGGCGACGTTTAAAGTAAGACCAACAATCAATGTTAACATGAAAGACTGGATCGACGCAAAACCAGAAGCATGTTTTGAAGAATGGAAGAACAGCAAGCTGTTGAAAACAAGCGAAAATGATGAGAATCGTCAAGATTCAGTAAATGAATCATCATATCTTAGTGGTGAATGGTTAAGAAATGTTATCTTTGCTCCTTCTTGTGGAACGTTAAGGCAGGTCGCTTGTAGCATAGTGGAAACTATTTGTCAGGTAAGAAATTTATTGTTTGTAACCTTCATGCAATCATCATTGTTCATGTTTATTTCTACCTTTTAGATTCCAAACAGAAAATGTCATATTTTAAATATACTTACAAGGTACTAAATACATGACTATTTTAAGGTCTAAAGATGAAAATTATTTTACTCGTTTTCAAATTTCATGAAGTTACCTTCAAGATGTCGGTAATGTCGGGGAGAATGCAGCGGAATTTTTCAATTTATACACGGACTTAATGAAACCTGCCAGTTGGAAAGAATATCTTGCCTCATGTGGAGCATTGTTGATTATTCGAGATCTTATCATCAAGGTTCTTTTAAATATTCATTGTGTTTATTTGAATTAAAATAACTTGAATCAATATTGAAAGTTTATTCTTTAGGAAATTGAACAGTTGACTGTTTTAGAAGAAACATCTTTATGTTCAGATTTATCCCAAGGTTACTCACTCAAAAGATTAACAGGTTTTATGCATCGTTTCTTATTGTTGTTTTCTATACTAATAACACGAGAACAATCTTAGTATTATAACACTTTGTTCACAGAACTCATGGCCTTGTTCATTGAAGAGAAGAAAATCAAACAAAACTTTAAAGTAAAACTAGTGGGAACAGTACTTAATGGATATCTGTCATTAAGACGGTACTGTATCATCTTCTTCATCGAGATTTGAACATTATAAATGAAGTTATTCTCTTTGATTTTCCTTCCAGACTTGTTGTCCAACGAACCAAGCTGGTCGATCAGAGTCAGGAAATACTATTAAATCTTCTTGGTGAGTTAACTTCAGGAACAGAATCTGAGACGAGAGAGTTCATGGCAATTTGTGTAAACACTTTAAATAGGTAAGTCCTTATAAACTGTAGAAAAGTCTTTATTTTCTACAAAATTTTCTAAAATTTGGTTTTTGTACCTAGATATGAACTTGAAGACATACGCACTCCTGTTTTCATATTTGAACGACTTTGTAACATTATATTCCCTGTAAGTACGTTAATGTAGTGTCCAGGACATTGCACGAACCTCTTAACTTATACGTCATTTAATTTGGCTTGAAAATTTATCACTTTGATTTTGTAGGAAGAGAACGATACGAGCGAGTTTCTGTTGATTTTGGAAAAAGATCCTCAACAAGAAGATTTCCTTCAAGGAAGAATGCAAGGAAATCCATATAAGTTAGTCAATATTATTGTTAAACTTTCGTCCTTATTAGTTAATGATAATTACATGTTTGTAAATGTAGATCGTCCAGGTTGGTATAGTCCTGAGAAGGACTGTTTTGTTGTTGTTGACTGACGTTTCGACAACCTTAGCGGTAGTCATCTTCAGAGTCAAAATGATCATTATTGCTCCTATTCTCTTTTAGATCTACTGATAGTGGTTTAGGCCTTTAATGAGAGATGTTAAGAACAAGATATGTACGGATTGTGATCTTATTGCTTTATTGGAAGATGACACTGGCATGGAGGTTCATTTTGACAATTTCTGTATTCTTTAACACGTAGCGCGAAATTTCTTATTGATGATTTTGTTTTAAGCTTCTTGTAAACTCAAAGATCATTAGTTTGGATTTACCAGTTAAAGATGTGTATAAGAAGATATGGTGTCCGCAAGGAGAGGTTTTATACGTTCAATCTTGTGTTTCTACACTCCGCCATGTTCATACATGTAGTTACTAATGTTTTTACAATGCTTAGGGCGAAGCAATGAAAGTAGTCTACCGTATGAGAGGTAATCTGATGATGAATGTTTTTTTAAAGAGAATTTTATATTTTAAATTCTGTTATTATTTCAGGTTTACTTGGCGATGCAACTGAAGACATTGTTGAACAACTCGATAAGAACAATCGTATGTGAACATTTACTGTCAATAAAAAATGTTAAAGTAAAAAAATGTCAACATTTCTTTGTTATTCAGAAGAAGGTGTTGATGATGAAGTAGTGTATAAAATGGCTAATGTAATGAGTGAATGTGGAGGTCTAGAGGCCATTTTAAAAAGGTTTGCTTTTCCTTTACGACGTAGATTTTTTTAGCTTTCTCAACCACTATTTTTACACCCTTTCGCAGGTTGTCTGGTCTTCGTAACTTGACACGAGGTCGACATCTACTTGAAGTTCTTCTTAAACTTCTCGGGTTTTGTGTCAAAGTAAAGGTAAGTGGATGGACAGTTTGTGATATATCTTTACAAAAGATCTTTTTATTTATTTTTCAATCTGGATTGCTTCTTTGGAATCAGGCAAATCGTGAATATTTGGCCAAACCTTCGCTGAAAACCTTGAAGATTTTATTGGACCGTTTGAATCAGGTGCGAGCCTCTAGCTCTTAGACATTTTCATTTATGTTTGTGTATGTGCTTAAAGTCCTTGAAAAATCTTCAAATTGAAAAATGAATTTTAGGGCACTTGAAATGTTCTTAAAAACTCAATATCCAATAAAGTTCTTGAGCTTAATAAACACACAAATTTGAAATGCAATTAACTCTTAGTTGAGCCTAATTAACTCCTATCTCAAACACCTATCTCAACAAAAGGAATGACGATACACATTAAATTTGATTCAAACAAAATTTTTCGTTGTTATTTTTAAAAAGTCTTAAAATATATTTTTTACTCGTGTACTACACGAACCATCATCATTAATTTGAACTTAATGCTTTTGTGCCTTTAGATCCTACTCGTTGAGCAAACTTCGCCAATTGGTATCAATAAAATGTCGGAACAGATTCTTGCTATCATTGAAGTATTATTACAAGCTGGAGGTGCTAATATTAAGCACATGCAAGTTAAAACTCCTGAAAATGAAGAGTTGCAGTTGCAAATGTTATTGGACATCATTAAAACACCTTACGTTGTATGTTCAATTCATCAATGTATGTAGTGATGTATGTAAGCATATAAATTATCATTATTGTTTTTTGTTTTAAAAGCGATCGAACAAGAACATTTTGTTATCACTGATGCGTATTCTTCCGTTTCTGACATTTGGAGATGAGAAAAGCATGAACGCTTTGGTTGATTATTTTGAACCGTATCTTGATTTTGAAAAGTGAGTTCTGTTCACGCTAGTAGTTTCTTCGTCCTCTGTATTCTGGTTCATTTTATTTTTCTCTTTTTTTTTCAGATTCGATCAATCGCATACTGACGATGAAACATTGTTTTTGGAATGTTTCTGTAACATTGCTGAGGGTATTGAGGTAAGAAATTTTATTTTTACTCAATTATTGTTTCCAAATTGATTATTTTTATGTTTTAGAATGACGAGAATGGCAATGAGTTAAAGAATATCATAATCAAAAGAAATCTACTTCAAAAAGCCGTCAATTATCTAGAAAACTATACTCCAACTCAATCATTCAGGTGATAATTGTTCATCATCAACCTAAAAATGATCATTTTTATGAAAGTTTTGTTTTTCTTCAGTACATCAAATTTAAGTGAAACTGACGCATGGAGAGAATTTCTTGCACGCTCTTCGCTTCCTTTTATCCTCAAGTTTCTGTCAGGAATGTGCAAGAATCATGAGCAATCACAGGTATTTTCAAGTCTGCTGCCATTTTTGTGGAATGACTTCTCATCGCTTACAACGTTTCGTTAGTTGTCTGTGTCTAAAAGCGCTGTACCATGTATACATCGTCTTGAACAAGTCTCCTCTGAAGAAAAAGTTGGTTCATTGGCAGAAAACCTGATGGAGGCTTTAAAAGATCACCCTGAAGTTAAAACCAAGGTAAGGTGGATTTTTTATCTGTTATTCTGAAGCATTAAACTGCATTCACTGTGGCTGTATTTTCTGTTATTCTGAAGCATTAAACTGCATTCACTGTGGTTGTATTTTAGGTGAATGCCGTTCGACGTCAAACACGACTTGAAAAAAAGAAATTGGCTATGGCAATGCGTCATAAACAACTGGGAGATCTGGGGATGAGTGTAACTATTGATTATCATTTACAAAATTACAGCAAACGATGCAACTCAAGCTTTAATTTGTATTTTTATTCAGGCAACTGAAAGTGGGAAAATCATCTCAAAGCCCTCAGCTGTTATTCAGGGGTTTGAAGAAATTTCTAATGAAACAGGATTAACATGTTGTATCTGTCGTGAAGGTTATAAATATCATCCAAATAAGGTGAGTTTTTGGCTTTCTTATGAATAGAGAAGATGAGATTTCATAATTATCAATTTTATGTAAAAAAAAACGTGTTGTTGCAGGTTCTTGGTGTTTATACGTTTACAAAAAGATGCCTTTTAGACAGCTTTGAACTAAAACAAAGAAAAACTCAGGCAAGTCTGAAGATTTGAGGGTTTTGATGAAAGATACACAAGAAGCTATTAGATTTATGTAAAATAATGATTGTTTCATTTGTAATAACTAGGGCTACACGACTGTGAGTCATTTTACTATTGTACATTATGAATGTCATGTTGCTGCTATAAGGTAATTCATTTTCTCACAATTGATCTTATGATTATTGTAACATTTTAAAGCCTCGCTTATAACAAATTAATGAATTAGCATTATAGATAAAACATAGAGAAAAAATTATTCACATTTTATTACGATCATTTATAATTCAATCTAATTAAACTGAAGATGTCGAAATATTACGACGTATTGAGAAAAATTCTGTTCTCTTTGTTTTACATATATAATGGCGATTTTATTTATTTCTTATAAGCTTTGCATTGATTTTTTAGTAAGGTTACGTTTCTCGTCTGAAATTTGCCATTTTCACTATCAAGTATTTCTACTATGTATTTTGATTAATTCTCTTTTAAGATTGGCTCGAGGTCGAGATGAATGGGAAAGTGCTGCCCTTCAGAATTCTAACACGAAGTGTAACGGTCTCTTACCACTTTGGGGACCCCAGGTTTAGTGTGAAAAAATATATCGTCATTTTTAACCAGCGATGTTAGATCTATATCTTGTTTATAGGTTCCAGAGTCATCATTTGCTAGCTGCTTGGCAAGGTGAACAGGATTTGTCATTACAAATGAAATATTTTCACTGGTTATTGTAGCAATAAGTTTAGGTTCTATCTTTGTGGCAATTATCCTAGGTTTATTTTATAGATTGATTAGAGGATGAAGTAGTTTTCTTATTTCGATGTTTGTTTTAAACTCATGTTTCTCTTTATTTCAAGACACAATAACTACATTCAAGAAGCAACAAGTCACATAGAGCCGACGTTTCAAAACACTCTTCATGATATAAAGTTACTACTTGTCAGATTTGCTTTTGAGAAATCTTTCAACGAGGATTCAGGAGGTGGAGGACGTCAGAGTAACTTCAACATCATACCATACATGATACATATGGCTTTATATATCATGAACACGTAAGCTCCACTGTATGTTATATCTATTTTTTCTCTACAATATATGTTCATGTCTGCCTACTGTGTACGATGTTCATTGTTATTTTTCATTAATTTAGAGCACGTATTAGAAGTTTAGAGAAATCAATGACGACGTTTATAGAAGAAACGCTTTCTTCTTGGGTACAGTCTTCGTTCGAGGTTAGTCTACGTATCTTTAGTCATTCGACTTTCGGTAATGTTTTTAACATTTATTTAAATGGTTAAAAAGGTAAGTTGGTTTTAACGATGATTTTGCTGTCTCGCATGAAATTCTTTCTTAATGTTTAGCGTTGCTAATAGTCCATGAATTATAATTTGAGAGTAATTTGGGTAACTTTTTAACCCTTTATTACCTGCTGAAATATCACCAATGGACTATACTCTTACACTTTGGACATATGATTTCTATTAATGAAGTAAACTTTGATTTATTTTTGTTATTCTAAGGTGAATGGTCCCATGTTCATGATTGTTCTTTCACTATTTACACATCATCTTGACGAATGGAAAAAATTACGTTTGATTTTTCTTCGAAGACTGATCATTTTAGCACATGTTCGTCACGTGTCTCCCAAGGGTACATCCAAGTGAGTTCGCTTTTGATGAATTTATGGAATGTAGTGCCTTCAAAGAACTAATTTTTTATGTTTTAAAAAACTCAGTCCTCTTTGCTTGATTGTTATGTGTTGACAATCGTGTTGTATTTTATTTTTCTGTCATGTAGACTTACTGACTGTGAAGTAAAACCATATAATGTTTATCGACCAATACTTATATACTTCGCTCTTCTCGATAAACTGCAACACGTTCTCAAGGTATGAAGGTTTCGTGTGTTTTTATTACCCAATTCATGTTCTTAAAATTAGTTTCTTTTACTCAGGCGAACGTTTTGTCAACAGCAACGTGGTCCCAAGATCTCGCTTTTTTTATTCGAAATAACGATGAAAAAGTGTTAAAGTTCTGTGAAGAGGTGATGTTTGTAGTTTGTATGGTTTATTATTTTTGTGTTAAAGTATGTATTTTTATTCTTTATTATCATTTTACAGATTGTCCGTTACTACCAAGATGATCTTCTTCCTGCTTCATCGTTTCCTGAGATATGTGACGTCACAGGTATGTCTTTATTGGCTGAACAGTTTTTTCTTGCTGAGTTTTTTAATTCTAGGAAGTTTTTTTGAAAATTACAACAGTTTTCAAAAGTTCATCAGTTCTCACGTACGACTATCAGTTTAAATCTTTTCATTGATCACAATAGATAGAACAGTCGTAAATTGACATTTTATTACGGAGAGGGGGGGGGGTAATAACTGTATGTGGCCAAAAATAATATTGGTTTTTATGTTAGGTATACTTACGGATGTTGGTGATTCACAAAAGTTTATTTCTGATCTTCTAAATTCCATACCGTCGTAAGTATGACAGGAAAAATATGGGAAATCATGAAATGATTATTTTAAATAGAATTTATTTTCTTTTTATAGATAAATAAAGACAAGTTTTTTCCTATTGTTTATGTTTTTTATAGAATGTAATTGTAAAATTTATATACGTAAATAACAATGATGTTGATGTGTTGTGCGTATTTACTGTTGAAAACTTGTCTATTCAATGCAGGTTATGCACTCTACACATGCTATTCACACTACATTGAACTCTCGTAGTTTAACAAAAAGATTGTATGGACATTATATGTCCGATTTTTCCATAATCTATTTCCATGAACGTGTATATGAACTTTACATGAAGTAGTTGTAGTTAAATCTCTATGGATTTAAAAATGGCGAGTGATGTGAAATATCGGTCGGTTATTGAAAGATATTACAAAAAGTTTTTTAAAACTAGTAAGTAGCTATTTTTAAATGAAAGTAAAGACAATATTCTTTTATAAATAATAAATAGTATATTTTTTGTTTTGAAAAATTTACTTTCTCTTTATTAACTCCATTAAATAGACATTAACAAGACTCCTGGTGCAGATCAATGTGTGCTTCTTCATTCAAACAAGTACGTTGTCGGAAACTTATATTTGCGTAAAGTTGCTTCTTGTGAAACTAAAGCCTTTTTTAGAATATGTGTGGTAACTGTGGCTAAGAGGCATCCAGTGTTAAATTCTGGGGATGTCATTAAAGTTGATTTTCAAGTGAGCAAAAAAGTTAATCGTTTGGATAACAAAGTTAGTGGAAAGCGAAAAAAAGGTGGACAGTATTTGTTGCCATATTCGCCTTTATGTGAAGTGACATGTTCTTCTGGAGAGAAATTCTCATTATTTAGGTGAGAAAAATTGACATTTTTATCAATTTTAACTGTGAAATTACAAAAAATAAAAGTCATGTATGTCTAGATTGAGTCGAGAATGAATGACCTTAGTCTAAAAATTATATGAAACGTATTTTTTATATGTATAATAGCATTAAGTACAGGCAGTTTACAATGGAATGTCTTCATTGAATCATTATATATGATTTCCTAGAAAAAAATCCTCTTCATTTCTGCAGTCCTCTTTTTAAAATTGAAAAAATTCAAATTTATATGACATTGAAAGTGTGCAATATTTCAAAGTGATTGTATATTTTATAATTGCTTGTAACTTTAAACTGTTAACAATACTGGTATGCAAATTGATTTGTAAAAATACAAAATAGTTTGAGTAAAACATATGAACAATTTCATTATGTATATAATATTTCTGTAATGATTATTAGTTGCATCCAAGGTAAACTTGTTGAAGTAAATCAGACATTGGAGAAATTTCCTGGACTTATAAAAGAAAAGGTTTACTATATTCATTGCTGTTTATCCATTTACATTGTATGTTGTTGTTATATTGGTGAGTTTTAACTCATTTTTGTTTGCAGCCATTGACAGAAGGTTATATTGCTGTCATTCTACCAAAGCTTGATGAAATTGATCAGAATTTGGCACAGCTTATTTGTGAGAAGGACTACAATGGTTTATTGAGTGGCAATGGCTGCTGCGATGAACAAAGTTAATTGTGTATTTATTTGGATGAAGGAATTGTTGCCTTATGAAATGTGAGTAAATTTTATTTAATCTGTTATAAACTTGCATCTTTTTGTTGGCAAAGTTAGTATGTTTTCTTCATTGTTTCAAACTGACAGTTAACCATTCTGTAAGTACTAACATGTCTCTGTTACCACTAAATTATTGATGATTTTACATCTTTGATCATCTTTTTCATCCTTAATCAACTACATATGTTGATATCCTGTAAAGATCTCTGTAAGCTTGTCAAGTCAGCAATCTCTTTTTTATTTTTCCTATTCTTTGCTTCATTTCATTTAGCATTAAAGTTCTTCTTTCTTTTGTTTCTGTAAGTTTGTTTAACTCTTTTCTCAGCTGTTGAAACAGGGCTGAATGATTATCAATTTGGGTTTGATGTGTTCCATCTAAAACTTTCTTATTTATCTTTTTAAGTTCTTCATTTTGATTTTTCATTTTTTCTTTTACCCGCATTACGTAATCATTTATTTTATTTGTTACAACTTGCTTGCCAACACTTCTTACCCATCTTTTATTTGCGTTCACGTTTGCATCACGTGCCTCACGACGTAAACACGTGCGAAGTAATGTTTCCAAGACGCGTGCACGTGCAGTGATGTTAATATGAGAATTGTTGGAATGGCGTGAGCAAAGCGACTTTTGGTGATTTTCTTGAAGTGTTTTACTGTTGTTGTAGATGCTCGTTGAATTCTGTTTGATTCAAACAAAGAAGTTAGTATGTTATTGTACTGAAAAGTGACACAAAACGTACTTTCTTACCTGATGTTCTTGTGAGGATAAAGTTTTAGCTTCTTCGGCGAACTTAATTCCGTCTTGTGTATATTTTAATCCTTCTTGACTAACTTACTGACGGTCGTTATTTCATGAATTGATTTGTTACTTTCTTTCTTCACTTTGTTGATTTGCCTTAAGGAGTTACTCGCCATCGCAACAGCATTCTGGGAAATATTTTGAAAGTTCTGTAAAACTTCCAAAGTTTCTAAAGCCCTTTGTAGAGTCGTTGCTGCAGAATGATTTGCTCTTGTTACGTTTTCTTTTATCGTATTTGCTTGCTTCAATAATGAAATAGTTTTGTTCAAAGATAATTCTGCTTCATGGCGAGTAGATTTTGAGTCTTGCAAAGAGATTGTTGTATTTTCGATGATGGCTTCAACGTCTAATTCTATTTTCTTGATTGACGTATTCAACATCTTATTCAGATTTCTGTTCATTTCAGTTGATTTGAGTAAATCCATTACTGTGGCGAGCATGTCAATAGATTTTGTCAATGCCTTCTCTGTTTTATTGAAGAAATTTCTTGAAGTATTCAATACAATTCGTCCATATTGTAAAGTGGCTTCAGAAATACTCTTTAATGAGGAAATGTTCTCTGTAATGTTCTTAAAGTTGATAATGTCAAATGTTTTTGCTCGTGAAAGTTCCAGAAAAATGTCGTTTAATTGTGACACTTTGGTGAGATTTTCGATAACGCTGATATTATCTCAACAAGATCACTCATCATGTCTCTTGCCTTCTGTAAATCATAAACATAACTTGTTATGTTGTCCTTTATTTTGATAATCCTTTTTCTTGAAGTATTTGCATTTTCAAGGGATCTGTAGCCGTCTTTCACCCAACTTATCGTCATGTTTATGGACAACGAAAGTTTTTCTTTGCTAGTCTTAAACATTTCAACTTGTTCTTGAATTATTCTCACTTCACTTGTTAAGTCATTCAGCATGGCTGATGTGACATTGAGACGAGTCAACTCAACTCCATTTGTGATATTTGTCTTACTGAAAATTTCATTCACCGTCAGAGTGGCATTTGAAAGTCTTACAGCGAATTCGTTGTTTTTTATTGCATCAAATCTTCTCTCCAGATGCTCGGCTGTTTTGTCAACTTTGATTATAAGTTCTCGCAAATTATGCAAAAAGCTTTTCATCATTCCATAGCAAATTGGACATTCTATAAAAAAGGTTTTTCTTAATGAAAAACACTGTAGGTTCTTGTCATTTATTAGAAAAGAAAATGTTTACTACCTCTGCATCCATGAGATGTGTTATAATAATTCTCTGCACATCGTTCACATTGCAATCCTCCGACGTAACTCTTACATGAACATTGACCTGTTGTTGCGTTACATATACTGCTGTTGTGGTAAATTGTATTGTTTAGTACACAGCTGCACGCTGAAAACGAAAGGTAATTGTTTAGCATAGATGTAATATGGCATTATTTAAATTGAAAGATTACTTCGACAAGCTTTTTCTTCGTTAGCAATATCTGGATGCCAATATGTCGGCAGACACTGTGAACATCCTGTTGATATATCTACACCAAAGCCGCAAATCTCACAATGATCACCCAGAGACAATCTGCAGCCTTTACATACACCTGATTCACCATCGCATTCACGTGATCGATTGTTGCAAGAACACGTGACACAGTCAACGAATGCGTTTGAATTCGGCACCTCACGTGTATAACCTGTGAACAGATTTTAAGTTGAAGGTATTAGTTCATCGTTGTTGGGTAAAAAAGAAATATTCGGTGATTACCTTCTCTACAATTTTGACATGACATGTCTTCGTATGGTGTAGGACATAAACATTTTTCTACATGACCTGCAACTTTGCCATGTCGACCCTGAATGGCTGTTCCCATTGAAACCCCAACACTGGTTGCATTCTTCAAGCCATTAATTGTAAGAAAGGCGTATTTTATATCTGAAAGAACTGATTGCATTTGATTGGCAGTGAGCCGTTCATTGCTGTTTTCCTCGTGTAGAAGAACACAATAGTTATTTTGCTCCATTGATAGACAATCTTCGTTTCCCAGTTTCAAGGTTGCGTTATGACCTACTCCTAGTATCTTAAGTTCTACTCCAGAAACATTGACTGTTTGCGTGAAGTTCACTTGAAAAATTCTAACGTATGAATTCAAGTGAAAACCTTTAAACTTTCTTGGTATTTCCACCTTACCATTCAAAGGAATGGTGAGATTAGATTTTGTTATTTGTTTAAGAACATAACCATCGGCTGAAGAGCAAAGTTTACTTCGATTGAAACAAAAACATGGAAGACAACCAGTTGGGTTGAACTTTTCGAGCGAAAACGTTCCATTGACACACGCGGAACATTTTTTCCTGTTGTATGTAGTTTACATGCACATTCTCCTGACTTATTGTGACATTGTAATGATCTTGAGCCAGCGATGCTGCAATTACATGCTCTAAAAGTTGACGATATTTCTTTGTTAGTTTTAGTGTACATCATGCGGAGATAATACTCTGAACAAAAATGTTTTTACTTACTGACATCCATCTTTGGTGAAATTGAAATAATTTTCTTGGCATCTTTCACATTTATCAGTTTTTATGCTCTCTACCCCCGGTTTACAGTGACATTTTCCCGTCGTGTCATCACATGTAAGATTGACGGATCCTGTGTTGTCACAGTCGCATGGTGAACATCCAAGACCGGTATGAACACCATAGTAATGCTGTCTGCAATGATCGCAGGCTCGTCCTTCAACATGAAGTTTGCACAAACATTGTCCTGTTGTAGGATGACAGACGAAATTCTCCGAACCCATTTTATTGCAGTTGCAAGCTACAACAAGTGATAATTATGATTTGTCGTATTATGTTTAAACTCACTGCAATGTAACAAACTTACGTGTACATCCAGCAGCACTAAAATTATAATATCCAGGTTGGCATTTGTCACATGAGCTTCCCATAACACCTTGCTTGCATGAACACTGTCCGCCATATTCATCACACGTGTTGTTGTTTGACCCAGTCTTTGAACATTCACACTCTAAACATATAAAATGGTTGTGATTGACGAATAATTACATTATCTACAATAACATATACTTACGTAAGGAACCATTGAGAAGTTCAATCATTGTGGAAAATGTAACGTTCTTACATTTTGATAAGGAATTCAAACTTCCGGTTATCGTAGTTGAGTTCCTCTGGCATATATCAATTAATGATGAGCTGTTTTGTGACATTCTGTAACTCCGAAGTTGTGTTAGATCTGGCATCAACAACAACGAGTCAATCTTGATTGAGGTGTTTGATTCGCTGTTCAGAAATATTGTATAGTTAACATCATGACAAAGCATAATCTTGTTAGTAGATACCCATGATGCACCAGGAGTGCCAAACTTTAATCCATGGACTGATATATTTCTCTCTACTCCAGGGCATTTCAACGTTTTATTTCCTTGAATTATAATATTTATTCCACCTGTAGCATCAGAATAACGCATGGCAATCGTGAAATTGTTGCGAACAGGAACTTTGACGTGAAATCTTATAAATTCATCAGCTTGTATTGATGCGTATCCTCGTCCAGTAAAATATTGATTGTAATGTGTTATATTGGAAGAGATGTTATAAAGCCCTGACTGTTGCTCAGCTTCGTAAAGAAAGAAATCATATTTAGGAAAAAATCTTCCTTCTGAGACTTGAGAACATCGTTCGTTTGTTACACCATATCTGCATAAACATTTTCCTAAAAACGCCAAAAATTTTTGAGATTGAACATGATTGAGGATGTAGAAAATAGAAAAACGTCATTAAGAAAACAGACACCAAAAAAAAACATACCTTGATGTTTCTCACATATTTCTGATGTTGCTCCACCGTAATCACAATCACATTGTACACAATCATGAGAAATATTGTCAGGAAATCGATAGAATCCTAATTTACAACGAGAACATGTTCTTTGATCTATGTTATCTTTACACAAACATTTTCCTGTTTTGTCATCGCAGTTCAAACTTCCATTTATCGTTCCATTAACGTTACATAGACACGCTGTAATGAATGATGTTTCGAAATTTTATCCGTTGGCTATAATGCATTTACAAAGATCAAATCTTACCTTGACAATTCCCTAAAGGTTTATTACTGTAACCATAATATTCATCTTTACATTTGTCACAGCGACGTCCTGTAACATTCTTCTTACATAAACATTGGCCAATCGTTGCATTATCTTGAGAACATGATCCATTATTCAAAATTCCTTCCATTGAGCAATTACATTCTATTAATAAGAGAAAACGTGCGTAGTTTTTACAGTTGCGTTGATTTTGACAAATATTCGTTAACATGATATTTTACCTAAACAAACCAATGGATCATCCAAGCTTTTTGAGAGATTTCTGTAGTATTTATTTTGACACTGTTCACAAAAATATCCTTCAGTGTTATGTTCACAATTATAGCAAACTCCATGATCCAGAGTGTTGTTGTAAAAGCATCTAGATGCATGTTTGTAACACTCGCATTCTGTAAAAGAGAAGAAAAATCTTTGCAAATATTCACTCCAAATGTTTCTATGATCAATCATACATACTTTGACATTTATTTGGTTTTGTATTTGAAGATGATGGCATCCATGCTTTATTGTTATACAATGGTTGGCATTTCTCACAATTTACTCCTTCTGTGTTATGTTTACAAATGCATTGTGGTATATTTATGAAACCATCTTTCTCTGTATTTTCAGGAAACTTGCAGTTTTCTCCGTGACCATGGCATTGACAGCGACCAAACACCTGGATATCAGATATGGCGTAAAAGTATCCTTGAAGGTTGATTCTGTTTTGGCTTCCTTCGAATCCGTCTGTTGCAGGATATTCGAGCTTCAATCGTATGTCTGTTGCTTGTGTGATGTTCTGTATATGTGATTCCCAAAATGAGTCTTCCGTGTAACAATTTAGAAAACTAAAATAAACTGATCCTTCATTTTGGTCACTGTATTTCTCAGTGCATAAGACTTGATTTAAAGAACAATTCAAAGTACTTGGTTCCATCTTAAATCTTCGCCTGCAATCATCAGCGAAAAATTGCAAAGGTTGCCAACTTTCTCCAAAATCCATTGACTTTTCTATCACCATTTGTGCGGGTTTCGTAAATTTAAATGTTACTTTAATATTACCAGTTATTACGTACGATTTATTGAAGGAAACAGTAATATTGACTGGTAAAAATTGTGTATTGTGCTGTTGTAACCATTCCCACGAATTTTGTGACTGCCACCATGTTTCAAAGTTTGATGTACTATAACGATTTTTGCGATCTATCATGAGACTTGCTGGATGACTAAACTCTTCTGAACTACTGTTACACCCAAAACATGATTCTGTTCCTTCACGAAAAGGACAGTATGAATCGTATATTGGACTACCACAGGTGTTATCAGCATATATTGAGCGTGGTGGGACAGCTATGTCTTCGGCGCCTGGTAGACAAACATCATAAGGATTGCAACGATGTCCGTTGCTATCGAGTTTATCTTCTTGTGATTTTGCTGAAACACTTATAAACATACCAATTAACAGTAAGACGGTCTTTCCTGAAGTGGACATTTGTGTTATATTGCTTGAACAGTTACACAGAGTAGCAACATCAGAATATTTTTCAAAAGTAAATGAAAATTGAATTTATCTTGTCGTTTGTGTTACGAAACGTTTGAAAATATAAAGCTTAGCAACCATTTGTCATTGACAACAAAAGAATTAGTAACATGACACGATTTTTAAAAGAAATATTGAACTTTAATTACATCATCACCTCTGAGGTTGCCTTGTTTCGATCATTTACATAATAACCTTAGCAACCAAAGCATGTGAAGTTTATATTATGGTTCTATCAACATAGAACGTTGGAAAAAATAATGGACAACTATAAAGTAAGGAATTATTATATAACATTGTGATATGTATTTGTAAAGATGATAAAACTACTATGGACTATGAAACTCATATTTACATTAAATATTTTAATATCTTCAAATACGACATATTACAAACTTGAACTTGTAGTTTGCCTCACTAATGCACCGATGGTTAATATTATTGTAATCTGTACTTGGCGATCTGTATCATGTTTATGATGTGAAAAATAAATATTTTCTTTCAAATTTATTTTACATCGTGTGTCATATTTATAAATCATAACGCTCTACGTTCGCTTTTTAGTTGAAACAAAGGCTGGGAAAAGGCGCTCAAGGTTCTGTTTATTTGGTGGAAAATAAAGTAGATGGAAAAGAATATGTTTTAAAAAAGGTGAGATGAGAAAATGTGTCGTTAATGATTGTGTTTTGCGTGTTTGTGTTTAATTAACTGAGGGAAAGTTGTTTAAACATGTTATACCGTTAAAAATTTCGTATATATTTGAAATTTTACTGGTTTTTGTATGTTGATGTGTGTGGAAATTTTTTGCTGATATCAGGTTGAATGTAACGATGAAAGTGAAGCAAACAAAGCTTTTCAAGAGGTACTGTATAAATCCTTTCTTTATATTGATGTTTGTTCTGCTAATGACAAATGTCATGTGAAATATTCTTTCAGGCCATGGCTTTGCAGGATTTACAACATCCATTTATTTGTGGTTACAGAGAATTTTTCGTTACATGGGATAAACAGGTATAACTGGGTATAACCAATAAAATTACCTCCTCTTTACGCCATGAATGATAAGTTCAACTGCAAAATTTTTATCACAGGAGTCGGCCATGTGTGTCTGCATTGTTATGGAATACTACAAATTAGGTTAGTTTGGATAATATTGCAAATATAATTTTAAAAACGCGTGATTGAAGAGCGAGTGACTAAATGATCTCGTTATATTGTAGGTGATCTGGAGAGAGTGTTGAAAAAAAGACGATCAAAGCAGGAATTTATTGAAGAAATGGTAGACTTGTAAATCACTCGCTGATAAAGATTATTCATGTCTTTATTTCAAAAATTCTTTTATATTAGGTTGTAAAGAAATGGCTTGGTCAGATTGTCCAAGCTCTTGCGTTTGTTCACAGACACAACGTAATTCACAGGTATTTCATTTAAAATTAAGATTTTATTCTGCATCAAATTTCAATTTGACTTTTCTTTCTAGAGATCTCAAGCCAAGTAACATTTTTGTTACCGAAGGATTAAACATTAAGATTGGTGTGTCGTGTCTATTTTTTATTGATCTTGACTATAGTTATAATTAAGCTTCCTTGTTCTGTATGATTTAGGAGATTTTGGTGTTTCTACTATCATGGACGATGCACGTACAAGAACAAGAACAACAGTAGGTACAATGAACTGGATGGCACCAGAGGTCTTGAGAGACCGTATCCTTAACGAGAATGTTAAATAAATTTACTTAATGAAAAGGATCGTTTTCATTTTGTGCATCATACTTAATGTTGTTGAGATATGACGAACGAAGTGACGTTTGGTCTTTGGGATGTATTTTACTAGAGTTAGCTACAGCTGGATTTCTAGATGTAAGAAAACTAGTTTTGTTTATTGTCGTCTTCTTTCCTTTTTGTATAACTGAGTGTATTTTTATTTAGAGTGCTCAAGCATCGAGTGTTTTATTTGAAGTCAAACAATCTCCTCGCGTGTTGGAAGATATTTTACTCAAAGTATCCAAGGTAAACAATCGAACTTTATGTACCAAGATGCTGTAAAATTATTGTAAATTTTTTAGAATGGCGTTCATTGTTTACAATTTCAGTATTATGACTGCGGCAAAGAACTATGTCAGACTATTCAAATTTTGCTGCGTCGAAATTTTCAACAAAGACCTACAGCTTTGTATGTCGAAGTTCAACATAGCCGTATTGTGTTTTCATTTCTTAATGAATTTATATATTATTGTAGTGAACTTTGTGATTTACCTTTTGTGAAAGAATGTTTTACCTTAAGTGGAAAGGTGTCTTTAAAATTAAGACCAGGTAACTGACATATTCTTGTTAAAACTGTCTTCTATGACACTTCATGAAATTTCTCTTTTATTTTAATTAAAGAAGAAAATGACAAAGGTTCGTCATATTAAATATGAAAGTTGCTTAATTTTCACTATGTGAACAATATTGATATCTTCATACTCTTTAATCCAGCCAAACCAGTTCCAAAAGACAAAGGAATCGCTGGTGTTATTTGTGAGTATCGTGGATGATTTATACATACTTGATGATTATTGCCAGTATTAATTGAAGTATAATTTTAAAGATTATATGAAAGAGAACAAGCTCTCTTCAGCGTGTCAGGTACGACTTTTTACGGGAATAGTCTTGGAAAGATACGAAAATTTCCGCGACAATTAGCTAATAAAAAAATGTAACCAACGATTCTAGATTGAAGCCTTAAATTTTCTCGTCATTTTAACTGGAAAAGAAGGTAATATGTTCATTTAAAAGAAGAAATACTATCGTCCGGTGTATGTTGAAACTTTTTATTTCATATTCGTATTGTAGATGTCACTCTCAATACTCCAGTAAAGAAAGAGATCTGTGTGACGATGAAAAATCATATGAATGTTGCAGCAGTTCAAATAAAGGCTTTTCAAGTGATGATTAATGTTTTACCCAGAGGTTTTTAATTTTCTTACTTTTACATAACTTAATGTCTTTCTATGACACTTTTTTTCGTTATCTTTTCAGTTGATGAGAAAGATGTCATTTACACAACCACAATGATATTGCCAACTCTAATGGCAATGAGGGTTAGTTCTACTTTGTGTTACATTCACAATTAAAAGGTTTTTAATAAATGCGTCAATTTTAGTCACATGGTGGATCACGTGACCTGCAGAAAGCCGGATGTCAATTGTTGATGGGAATTTCTGCTGATGGTTGGTGTTGTAGCCATTAGAAATGTTATCGATTTCATATTTTTAATACTTTAACTTTTTCAACTAGAAACTGCTGCTGAATTGATTGGGAAATCAGGTGGAGTTCAAGATATTCTCGCGGCTTTACGGCTGTTTCCGAACGACAGCGATGTAGCAACGTCCGCTTGTGCTGCCATCTGGAGTCTCGCCGTCAATGGTAACATTTTAAATCAATTACGTCATTTAGCGTATAGTTTGCTTCAAGTGAATGCTTGTCTTTATCAGAAAGCAACTGTAAGATTGTGACAGAAGAACGAGGTCTTCAAGATATTTGTGCGGCAATGAAGTCACATAACTTGAATGTTGATTTAATCGAATCTGCTTGTTCGGCCCTGTGGTCTTTATCCATGGAGGGTGAGGCTATTGTTGTCCTCTTCGTCTGTTTTCTTTTTTTTACTTATCACAGAAGATGTTATAATATTTTTAATGAAGATGAGAACATTGAAGTAATGGAAGACAATAACACGGTCAGTTTATTAGTTGAAGTCATCAAGACCCACGTAAGGTAAAAAGAAAATCACCTTCATTTACGGTGTTTATTTTACTCAATATTTGTGAAACTCAACAGGTTGCTGATGTTGTGAAAAATGCGTGTATGGCTTTGGCCAGTATTGTGGAAGCTGACGGTTTGTGAGCAAAGTTTTTTTCTGAAACATGGTTTTATTGTAAATGTTGGTGGTTTTTTGTAGAGTCTTGTGCATATCAACTTTTAAATAGTGGGGGAGAGTACGGAGGAGTAACTATAATAGTTCAAGCTGCAAAGTAAGATTGATAAATCGTATTTTTTTTCATCCTTAAGTTTTATTCGCACTCTTGATCTTTTTCTCTTTGTAGAATTCATAATGAAAACGAAAATGTGATGGAAAATATTTGCACTTTATTTTCTGAACTCTCCGAGTATGGTAAGCAAATAATGTCACGATGTTGTTATACATAGAAATTTTATATTTTTGTATTTCTCTTTTAGATGATGTTATTACAGAACTAAACTCGTTAAATGTAATGAAAATATTACATGAAGCAAAAAGGAAATTCCAACACAACGAAGTAAGTATTCATTGACAACCATATTCTTATATTGAACTATGGTAAGTTCAGCATGTTTCCTAGGATATGGTCGTTTCTGTCCTGAATTCTTTAACAAGACTGGAAGGTGGTCAACATTCTGGTAAACGAACTGGCTCAGCAAGATCTAAGACTCCATCACTAAAAAAGTAATAAAGCCTCTGGAAAAGTCCAATAAACTCAATAAACTGTAAATAATTGTTGTACTACTGTTTAAATTGTAAAATGACTCAATTGCTGTTTCACAAATTGCTTCATCACACAATTATATGATAATTACGCCACTTGATAAACAATGACGCTGACCGTATAGCATGCAGGCGTTGAAATTCAAGTCAATAGTTGTTTAAAGGAAATTTGTTGATTATTTATCTTATTTTACATCTTTTTCCTGTTTTTTTGACATTGAAAAAAGTAATGCTGGCAGATTCCATTTTAATATTATGTATATCTGTATTTACTGCTCTTCTTTCCGAAGGTAATGTTGCATTTTTGTTTTTACAACATTTTTGTAACACTTTAACTTCCTTGTAACTTATAACTTCTACACACGAATAATGAATCAACATTCAATAAATGCCGTTCGTATTTTCTACAGGAATAACATATATATTAGTCTACAGAACAGACAAATACAAAAAATTAAAATCTGAGGTAGAGAAGCACAGTAAGAAATGTAAGAAAAATACATTAATAATATTAATCTAAAACAACTTGTTAAAATTTCTCAATTTCTTTCTGTGGTGTTTAGTAGAAAGGAAGAAAGACAGTACTTCAGGGGATATGTCTGGAGGACAAAAGAAGAAAATTGGTGGGAATGGCTTTTAGTATATTGAGGGAATTATCCTTTTGACATTATTTTATTTATGTTTGTTGAAATTAGAACGAGTTGAAGAGAAATTGAAGAGCAACAACCGAGATTTGTCAATGGTTTGTTCTGATTGAATACTTGATTTGTTCATTTGATCCAAATTTTAAAATGTCATATTAAATAGGTGAAGATGAAATCTATGTTTGCTATTGGTTTCACTTTTACTGCTTTAATGGGAATGTTCAACTCCATGTAAGGATTTAGAACAGTGAATTTACAGACAATTCATGTATATATTAATCACAATCTTTTGGTTCCATAGATTTGATGGAAGAGTTGTAGCAAAGCTTCCATTTGTACCTATATCATGGTTTCAAGGTTTATCACATCGTAATCTTCATGGTTCAGACTACACTGATTGTTCTTTTATATTTCTGTATATTTTATGCACAATGTCCATCAGACAGGTATGTTTTTAAATATTTTGTATTGTAATTACAAAAATATTTATTTATTTTATGTTTGTTTATTAGAATATTCAAAAGATTCTTGGTTTTGCACCATCAAGAGCAGCGACAAAAGCACCTGGATTTTTGAACCCTGTTCCCTCTAGTAAATAAATGATTAACTTTACCATTGAATTAAAGTTATTTACAGTTATCTTTCAACCAAAAATCTTATAAAATAGACAAAATGTTTGCTTTTTTCTCTTACTCTCCATTAACATGATACTTTTCAATATATATGTAAATCATTCAAGGTAATTTGTCAACTGTGCATGCTAACTCTTTTTTATGAAGTTGGCAACTTCATGTAATATTTATATATCAGGTCAATTTCATCGTCAAAGGTGAAAGTTCAACATTGAAATTTAGTGAGAAATTTTGATTGTGAAAAGTCTGAAAACTAAAATGTCTGAACTCAAACGAAAAACCAAAAAATGCAGAAACAAAAAGTATATGATGGGTGCAGACGTTACCCAGTATAATTGCCTAACATTTGGTCAGTCATTACGAGGCTTACCGTCCGATGACAGCGATTGCGAAGAGTATGAACAATTTTCTGGAAATGATAAAAGAAAAAAAGGTTTTGTGCTATTTTGATTTGATGAATTACCTTTTGTAAGTTGAGGCGTATATTGTATTTTTTAAAATTCTTTTTCTTTAAATACATCTTCTAGGCTCAAAATATCCATTGGCAAAAAAGAAATTTAAAAGTGATTGCAGTCACAAGCTTTCTGATTTGGAATCATCTTTGAATTGGTCTCATTTGATACCAAATGAAATACTTTACAAAATCTTTTTACTTGCTGTGTCCTCTGGTTCTTGTGTGCCTCTTTTGGCCAGGTAGATATAATATTATCTTTTGGTACAGACTGGTACTGATATAAGTGTGAGTTAAAAAATTTTTAATGTGTTCTTAGATTATCAAGAGTATGCCACAAATGGCGGGACGTTGCATCACATTCTTCACTTTGGTGTTCAATAGATCTTTCTTTCATGTCAAATTCATCTAAAGCATGCGATGAAACAATATATTTTATGAAGGCTAAAAAAATGCTCAACAATATAAAAGATTTAAGTTTAAAAGGATGGACAAAGCTTACAAACTCTGGGTTGCAAGTAAATATAGAGTAAACATAATAAAAAGCATTATTAAGAACTTAAATTTTGTTTACATTTATCTAGGAAATTTCAGAGCATTGCAAGGAACTTGTCACCCTTGATTTATCAAGATGTGAGAAAATTGGTTCAAATACCATCTTAGATGTTGCAAAGTCATGCAGAAATTTGACCTCAGTCGATTTATCTGCCACTAATGTAATTGCATGACCATCATCAATGAAGATTCTAAATATTTTCAATGGTTCACATGCTTTAGTTCATTTCAGGTGAATGGAGCAACTATTAAAAAAATATTATGTGACAATGGATCTCAACTGGAGAAACTTGTCTTGGCTAATAACTTAATTGGCTCATCTGTATTATTGGCTATAGAGGTTAGTGTGTTTCTTTCAATTTTACTCTTGGGTTTCTGTATTCAGATCATTGTGTATACATGTATTTGCAATCTTTAGTGCCATTGCAATCAGATAAAAATTTTGGATCTTTCATCCACATCCATCTCAACATTTTCTGTTGAAAGGTTACAGGTACTTACTGCAATTTTTGGGCAAAAAAGGTTTTTATTGCCAATCTTAATGAATACTAGCTGTTGTATTCATCAGGTAGCTTGTCCAAATATTCAGGAATTACGTCTATCCCAGTTATCATTAATGCCATCAATTGTGTCAAACAAAGAAATTGTGAGTACTGAAGGCAACAAAGACAAAATCCAACCTACTTAAATATATAAATTCATGTTTGTGAATCACTTCTAGGTGGCATCTTCAGGGTTTCCTCAATTGGAACTCTTGAGTTTAGCAACTCTCAATAAAGGAGATGGCATAAATGACAATCTATTGCTGAGGTTTTAATTTTTTTATAGAATGTTATGAAATATTGACATTTTCAATACAAAACAAGAAATATTATGTTTCCTTTTAGATTACTGAAAAGCTCATGCAAGTTAAGACAACTTGACTTAAGAGGATGTGAAAAAATAACTCATATGGTGTTTGCTGTACGTTAAGTATAAATTATGATATGTCTGGAAGGACACCTAACTTTACTGTATTGTTTTTAGAGTTTACCAGTGGTTGCATTGGAACAGTTACTATTATCACGATGCAAGATGTCATGGACTGATCTCTTTAAAATAATCAATTCTAAGGTTACCAGACCTATAGTTACTACTAGATAGAACTAATGTTACTAGAGCTACAGTTAACACTTCATTCTCTACATAAAATTTATTCATGTATAAATTTTCATATTTAAGTGGCAAGAAAGTCTTAAAGAGTTAGATGTTTCATGGTGTAAAAATTTAAGTGATGCTTCATTGCAATATCTACTCACTGGTGCCCAGAATAAAGTTTTTGCCAAACTGGATTTCTCTGGCACTGCAATATCAGCAAATGGACTAAGGTAACATCTTAGTTTATATACAAAAAATTAAGGACCACGGTTTTACAAATGAAAAATTTTCTTTCTTGAGAATTATTCTCAAGAAATGCCATAGTCTAAGTGAGCTCAACTTGACATCATGTCGTGGAATAAATCGTGGTCAGAAACAACTTCATCATGAAGATGACATAAAAGAAATGAAGAGAAATCTCAAAACTGCTTCATGAGGTCCTTATACTTAAGGTATTTTCTCAAACATTATATTACATTATTTTCCATTACCAAGTCATTGTTTTCAAATCTTTCAAATGAAAAGCGAGAAAGATCAAGTGTTGTAAAATGTCCATCAAGTATAAGTTCACTAATTGCTCGACCTGCAGCAGGGCTCTGCTGCAAACCATGGCCACTAAAGCCATTGCAAAAGTAAAAATTGTCAATTTCTGGATGTGCTGAAATAATACCATTTTGATCTAGAATGTTGTAATCATAATATCCAACCCAAGCATTAGATACCTATAAATGGAAAGAAACATTGTTTACAATGAAAAAAATATATTATAGATAATAGTTAAGTACCTTGAGTTTCTCAAATACAGGGATTCTATAGGCTAACTTTGGCCAAATGTTTGTTTGAAAATATTCAAAGTCAACATCAAAATTTAGATTGGCATCATAATACTCTTCCTATCAAACATGTAACATATAAGACATTGTCAGTCATACTCAATATTGTCATATGTATATACACCATACCTTTTCTGGGTGAGATGCTACAATGTAGTGTTTACTACACTCTGGTCGAATATAAAAATTCTGAGTTGTATCAAACAACAATACTGGATCATTGAACCCATCGGGACAATGAACAACGTAGGTGACTCGTTTTGACGCTCTTACTGGAAGATCAACATTAACCATATGTGATAAAGAGTTTGCCCAGGCACCTGTTGCATTTACCAAATGACCACAATTAAGTTTTATTATTTCATTGTTGGGTTTTTTCAACTAGAACAATTCAGAGGCACATATTCATTAAACAGGGCATTGATTAATCAATTTTGTAAAAAAAACATGTCTTACCACAGCATCACTTATTTTATAACCTTCCATGTTCAAACTGATGATGTCCCCTTCAATTATGTGGACTCCCATAGAACAAATCTTGTTCTTGAGATGAGTAAGCAATAACCAAGGATCAAACCAACCTTCTCCTATGTCCACTATTCATCATGAATAATATACATCATATCTATAACATTAGTTTATAGAAAGAAAAGAAAACACAAGTAACTTAAGGAAACTTCATACCATTAGTTGCAATGGCAATTCCCTCAGTGTTCAACCATGAATATTTTTCAAATAATTTTTCTTTTGACAAGGATGATATATTAACGTTTTCTGTCCTAGAAAAGTGACAATATATTTAGTCACAATGATATATTTGCAATGTATTGCACGCGAACACCTTTGTATTTCAATGTTTTCTTCTAATACGGCTTTTCCACTTTCAGATGCAAGAAAACAGTACGTTCCATATTTAAGTTGAACGTCTACAAAATCTTCGCTTTCACTACCAAGATAACAGTTCAAATTTTTTAGAAAATCAAATCCAAATTGAGACATTTGAATGTTTTCAGGAATCGAGAATTGATGACGAATGGATCCCCAAGATCTTACGGACGAATTTTGCTTGAACTGGCCCAAAATAAAGTGTACGTGTTAAAAAAAGACATCAGAAAATGATCATGAACAAAGATTATGTAAAATACCTGAAGATCACGCTCTACCACGCAAACACTAGAAGGAGTAATTCTCCTTGCTAAGAAATACGCAACACTTAAACCCATCAAACCTCCTCCCGCTATAACAACATCGTAAGATTTTTCATTGTCGACAGAAAAGCTTCGTTTAATTAATGAAAAAAATAATCCAAATCGCAGTTTTCGTATTTTCATGGTTAAAAGGAGTCATTTGACATGGACAATCGTTTTTGAGAACAACAAAAGACTGAATCAAGGTTTATATAAAAGTAATATGATGCATAAATTACAACAATAAAAGGAAATAAGATAAATTAATGGGGAGCGTCCGAGCGTATTATAAACTAGTTTTATAAATAGTTTTAATACGCTCGGACGCTCCCCATTAATTTAATTTCCTTTTTATTGTTGTAATTTATGTATCATATTACTTTTATATAAACCTTGTATCACTTATTATTTCACTCATACTGAAGATGGCATCATGAGATGTCGAAACATGTCTATTTTGAAAAAACTTGTCGTTTATATTAAATGCGCATTAGCAATAGTGCTTTTACGAAATTATGAAAAGACTGAATAGTCACGACAATGTATAAAGTGTCACGTTCATTTTACCAACACTTCCTATGCCCTGAACACTACCCTTGATTCTGCTGCAATGCAACTTCATCTATTTTGCGCTGTGTTTGAATTTATTCTCGAGACATCCACATGGTTCATCAGAAGAAAATGGATAATGATTCCTGAAATAACACATCGGTAAAATATTGTATATTGTTTTGTACAATTGCTGCATATTGACTTGTTATGTACCAGCTGCAACAGACACATTTAAAGAATCCAGGTGCTGCATTTTATTGCTCTGATTACAAATAGTCAGGTACTTTGTGCATAATTTCAAGATTTCAGGTGATAATCCTTTGCCTTCATTACCTTAAGAAATATTTTTGTCAGTTATGTCTCTCACCTACAAGCAAAAGCTCTGAATAATCTAACTAACCCAGTACTAGCAAAGATGGTTTTTCAAGTTTCAACTGTTGATTGACTTGAACCATGGAGCAGTTTGGATCTTGTGGAGTAAAATTTGGAGGAACTGTTGCATAAACTTCACATTTGACTCTGCTCAGCTATTTTGAAATCATTCAAGGACACCTGCTGAAGGTTAGAGATACTTTTTCAATAACCAAATGGACTTGACTAACCTCAAGTAGTTGAACAATGTTTGTTGAATAGACTTGTAGCATTTCCATACATCCTGCACTTGCTTTGCTAACAACTGGTGTCAAAGCACAACTAAATCAATAAATTTGGACATTACCATAATGTAACTTGGTAAGTGTTGCAAAAAAATAATTTACCTATTATATCTACCAGCAATGACTTTGTCCACTCCAAGAAAACATGCTGTTCTTAATATGGCTCCCATATTCATAGGATCCTATAAGAAATCTGGTAGATTACCTTGTAAACATACAAAAACTCATTTATGAAAATTTATTTAACTTGTTGTGTCATAGATTACAAATGAAACCTTTAAAACTGTGTGCATGATATGGGTTGTACTCTTATTAATCAAATACATGCTTATCAAACATGTTCAACTGATAGGAGTGTTACAATTGAGGTTGATATGGAGATAGAAGATTTCAAGCTACATTGTGGATACTATAATATTGTTACCTTGGTTTTATAAAATATGCAACACTTTGTTTCACTAATAAACTACCTGTATTCCATCCAGAACCAGCCAAATCTCAGCTCTTCCCTTTTTCGTGTTCATTCTTGGTAGGAAATCACTATATATGTGCATAATCAGTTTCCAAAACCAAGCACTATCATGCAAAAAGTTGTTCCTCCAAATGACAATTCTAATCAATGGAATGCATGCAGTAAAGATGTCAACTTTAACCTCACCCGGTATTTTGTAAATCAATATATGAAAGGTTGCTAGCTTTAATGATAACATTCTGTTAAAGTGAATGAGAAATAATTAAAACGTGATTTCCCATTTTGATATACATTTGTGATACCTGATGTGGTCTATTTCCTGCAAGTTCATCCATTCTTTTTCTGGAGACTGTTTTTAAGGTAATATTTCTTTTCTTGGCCAATGCTTTGATCATTTTATACTCAAGTCTAAATTATAATTATGTTGTAATTGGTGTGGTGCAGTAAATGCATCTTAATTTAATATCAAATGAACCTTGAGTTTGTATCCATTACATCTTCGTTACAGTAAACAATATGAAATTTTCTTCGATTAGCCTGCAAAGCAGTTAAACATGGAGATATTCCATAAAGAAATTCTTTAGTTAATGATTGTTTGGTCTTTAAAATTCTTGCTGTTTTCACGACAGAACGATATCTTTCTGGTATCAACGTATTATTGTTGGAAAATTTGCGATTTATTTTGTAACAGCATAATCTTGTCAACGTCAATAAATTACAAAACATGCCAAGATTCGATAAATACTTTCGCCAATATTAAACATATAATTACTGTGTTGGTAAAGAAAACCATCAATTGGTCTTTGGTGAAAGTCGGTGCGCTTTGAGTACATAATTGTTGTTGTGACAATTATTTGACTTTAACTAACTTTTATCGAAGTTTGGTTCTTTAACATTTTTTACTGTTGTAAACACGACTGATTCTTTTACGATAAACTACGATAAAAACATTGTAAATATTAAATACTCATAACAATTAACAAGCCAATTCACACATTCCAATTATGGATAAAGCTATTAAACCTTAGTTTGACTAATTTTATCTAGTTTCATGGGAATTAAATCGACCATTTCTCTACAAGCAATGAGTTCATCGTGAAATACGGTTGCAGCCTCAACATTATGATCACAATAATCAACAACATATTTATACAAATCCAGTGCAGCCTGTTGCATCTTTAAGGTTTCTTCTGTCGTAGCATAAATTTGCTTTGTGTATGCACGGGCAAGATGTACATGAGCCAATAAAATGACTCGAAGTACATTGCTTTCAAACTTATCTGGTAATCTCCCATTTTGCTTGAATGAATGAATAAAGTTTGCAAAATACTTTGCGCAATTTTCATGAAGGGAGTTAATTTTGTGTATTTGGTGAAGTGATGGTTTATTACCATGGAATGTTTTTACAATCTCCATCTTTAAATCTGCCATATCATCATAGATAGAAGCAATCTCATACATCAACTGTCGACAAATCAATAAGTAATGTTGGGGGTTTAATTCAGTATATACTTGAGCAAGCATGTCAATTCTTCTTTTGTACATCTTACATTTCCTTTCTAAATCATCCTCAAATGCAGACAAGTATTTGAACAGTTGACTGTGGTCTTGTATTATTTCAACATATTTGACAACATAACCATCCAGTTTGTAAAACTGTTTTGCCAAGTTCAGATACTGTTGACCAGCAAGAAACAAAAGACGAGCCTGGAAAATAAGTGAAGTATGATGCAATATGAGATGATCTATGAGTAGTCATAACAACCTTACCTGTTCAAAAGCATTCACTGCTTCAAAAGGCACTTCATTTTCTATTGTAGACAACTGAACACCTTCAAATTGCATGATATTCTTGTTGTTGTTTATCTCAGATTGATCTTCAAAAACAAGACAACAATGTATAGCTTTCCTGGATTGAACAGAGTCACAAAACTGTGAATGATACTTCAAATTGCAAGTAAAATTTCAACATATACAACCCTCTCACATTTTTCATTCATCCTTACTTTCTGCTGAGAGTCGTAACAAATTCAAACAATATTTATTCCAGCAAAGATGAATGTTTGCTTTAGTTTCACAAAATTTTTCCTTCTTCTCTTCACTATATACTGAGACATCACATTCATTTATAATTTGGTTTGCTGCAGCTAAACAGTCAACAAGATTAATTGCTTTAGTACTATCACAAGACTTTAATATCACAAGACTTTCAAACTTGACATTTGTTAACATACGTACCTAAACAATGTCTAGCACTGACATAATCATCTTGTACGATATGATATTGAGATAATGTTGCAGCATGGAGTGCCCAGTCTTCAGGAACATATTGCTTTGTAGACAGTTGTCGTTGTAATGTCTTATGACTGTACTCAGCGGACTTCCTATATTCGTTATTGTTCTTGAATAATTGTGTCAAGTAAAACAGCGTGTAAGTATGCAAGTTTTCAAATTCAATGGCAATATCTTGGCTGCTATCTTTGCCTTGAAACAGCCTATTCAAAATAAAACAATATTATGGTATAAACAGGGAACATGAACTGCTAAATAAAGATAGAATAAAGCTTACATTTCTGCACTAAGTGGTAAATTGACTTCCATTTCTTTATACTTATTATAAAAAATTTCAGCTTTATTGAAATTAAGTAAACTTTTATCAAAGTCTCCTCGTTCATTCCATATCATACCAAGTTGTTGTAAACATTTCAACATTACCACTCCAAAATCTGGGTTGAATTTGCATTCTTCTATATCCTTCATAATAGTATTGATATAATCTTCTCCAGTGCTGATTTCGTCAGTCTCTATGTGGTTTAATGCAAGCTCATACATAACGACACTTCGAAGGGAACGAATTTTCAAATCAACATCACCAAATGAATCCAATTTATCTTTTAGATCTAACAAGACTTCTCTTGCAGCGTACTTAGATTTGTGAGGCTCGTTGTCTGGATCACTTTTTGCACACTCATTTGACAAATTCATTGCTTCTACGAAACGTGTGCGTCCTTCGTTTTCCAACCAATTTCTCAACTCCTCGCTGACATTTGATTCAGCAGCCATTTTTTTCTTGATAAACAAAGTCAAAACAGAAGGGGACCAAGATATAATTTATGAATTGTCTGAACAAGCCAAAAAAATTTTTCTGTTCGGCATTAGCTAATCAGATTTCTTGAATTTTCTGAATGTAAGAAGTTTGCTTTAATGATTATTCTACTTTTAAAATGCAAGTAACTAACAAACAAACTCCATCATGTGTCGTTTTACATCATAACCGTCACCCCCCGGCAGTCAAGATTAGAAAAATGGTTAGAAATTCCCGTTTCAGGTCTCTCCCAGTGAACTGTAATAAACTGTGTTTATATTACAGTTCACTGGTCTCTCCTCCCCCAAAAATTAATAATCCGGGGGGTGCTGAGTTCCCAATGGGGGATGTCGGATGTACTTAGTTACATGATAATCATGGAATGCATTAATGATGACTAAAGGACAGGTACTCGGAGATGAACAAAAAGCTTAAAGACAAACAGTTCTTTTAGAAAAAACTCATGAAAAATTCAGTTGAGAACTTCAAATCTGTATCCTGAAGCCTTTGTTCAAATTGGAGGTTAGGTTGTGAATTGTGAGCACTGCGTGACTGCAACATGTTTAGTACATAGACGTGGCGTTCTTCTTGAAAATAATATGATCCAAAAGATATAAAGTTGTTAAGAATGCTTCATCAATGATAGTTTTAAATTTTACTTGTTGATTTATTATGGTGAACTTCTCTACAGTGATAAATGTTTCGTACATTGAAAATATGTTACATAGCAAAGTACATACGTAAACATTGCTGTTTTTACTGTAGTCGGCTGATATGGAAGAAGACCAGGATATTTACGTGGCCCAACTTCGCGAGGTATTTGATAGCTGTGATGTGCAAGGGAATGGTTTCTTGAATGAACAAGGTTTGATCAATTTGTGTGAAAAATTGCAACTTCAAGATCAAATCCCACAACTTTTGTCTCAGTTGCTGGGCAACAAAAAGGATAGAGAGGTTTGTGAAATGAACTTTTTTTCTGCGAAAACAATTAATTTTGTTTTGAAATGAATGTAGAACTGATGATTTTTCCTACTGCTACAAAAGTATTTCATTTAATAAATGAAGATTCTTATAATAAATATTAAAGCCAAACAAAGTGCTTTAAAAGAGCCATTAAATACAAGAATATATGTATGAATGAAGAAATATTTATTGAATAGTATATTAAACTTAAAATATTAAGTTACAAGTATTTAATGACTCTTTTCAAAGCACTCTGGTGGGCTTTAATATTTACCAGAAGAATTTGCTTCCCTGGTATATCCCTGGTCACTATTCTAATAAATCCAGCATTAAGAAATTAATGAAAATTTTAATGCATGCCAAATAACTTGATGTCTATGATTTGTAAAAAATTAGAATTATAACAAATTGTTCAATTTTTATTAATTGAATGTTTTTTGCAGCACAATATGATTTTTGTTATGTTTAATTTCTTTGGTAGGTGAACTTTGCAGATTTTAAAGAGGGTTTTGTTGTGGTTCTGTCTCATGTTATCGATGATCTTGATATTTCTAGTAGTGAGGAAGGACCTGCACAAGGTATCATGTGCAAAGTTAAAATGAAGAGAATTAGTTATTTATGAGTTCAAATTTTATTTGAAGAAAGTGAAGTTCCACCAAAGATTGTTGTAAATGAGAAGAGATATGGAAGAAGATCTCGACCAGTTGACTTACAGTGTCATGATGAAGATTTAACACAAGATGAAGCTGATGTTGAAAGCATCACTTGTAGTCAGCCAAAAAGTCCAAACATAAAACCAAGTGTGGAAAAGCATCGAAAACTTGAAAATAACCACCAAAGTAACAAACAGCATCGTAGTCATGCAGACAATCAGAAGCTACAAAAAAGAAAGTCCCCCAAAAATGTAGAGTCAATCAATAGTAGACAGGATTCAGTAAGTAGTAAAAGATTTGTAGCTTCATCAAATGAAGGGATTGTTGAAGGAAGTGATGAAATTAGTAACAATATGAAACAATGGACCAATGAACATTCAAGTAAGAATATAAAACTTTACCAATGGTTGTTGTTAATTATGTATGGATATTTTGTAGCATTTAAATTATCATTCCTGATAGACTTTGCAGCACCAAATGAAGAGCAGCAACTTAAGCAAATATGGAGTGATGTTAATGTAGGAGCAAATGGATTTCTTGACAAGAATGAGCTTTCTGTTGTTTGTGAACACATTGGAATGGAAAACATGGAGGAAGAAGTAGATATTAACTTTAAAACTTTGACAATAGATAATTTTATTTAATGTATATAAATTTTGTAGGAGCTATCTCTTCTGTTTGATGAACTTGATGAAAATCGTGATGGTCAAGTTAGTTTTGAAGAGTTTCTTCATGGTTTGTTTATAGCAAGAGACAAGAGTCATGAATCTGATCCAAGTTATTCCGAGGGATTAATTCATAGTTTTGATGTAAGTTTTCTGATGTGTGTATATCATGTTTAAAAAAAACTTTTCACAAGTTTCTTATTTTAGCCTTATACCCTCTCATTTACAAGCTCTTACACCAATAGCCATTTTAGCTGTTTTAGATGAAAAATTTAATACCTCACACCTGTCTTAATCACCACCAATACATACAAACATCATCACCAAGAATATTATGAACAAATCTGAAAATTCTAATTTACTCTAGAGTTTTTCTACAGTTATGTCATCAGATTTATATGATGGAGTGTCATATTTTAGGATAGCAATGTTGCTTTACAACCTGGAGATTTACCATTAACGTCAACTTTATCAAAACCATTGCAGCCTGTTGGAGGAAGTAAGATAGAATTTTTTCGTGATATTTTGTGTTTAGATATTGGCTAAGCAATAAATTAATGTTTTACAGGCTTGTTTAGCCTTCTTGATCCACTGAATACTGGGTAAGAACACTTTGATACATATACAGTAGTTCCATACGACTGTCGTCATTTGCTTTATCGTACAAAGGTAGTACTTATAAATAATAGTGTAGAAAGTGTAGAAAAACCAACATTGTTCGTTCTCTCACAAGCTTTTTGTTCATATTGATTTATTATATTTACGATTTAGATTCGCGAAAGTTGAAAATGTTCGTGAACTGTGGATTTCTCAAGAAAACACAGAGGCTTTGCACATATTAGAGGTTGACTTTCATTTAACCAATTTTAGTATACAACAATTGAAGCTAGTTTTTTGTCACATAATGCTCATGACGTATACGATAGTCATTAAAAAATTTTCACACAAAATGCTGTTCAAATTAAGCTCTTCAAGCCAAATTAGGCTCGTTGAAGCCTAAAATATCGTTTATCTACTAAGAGCTTAAAAATTAACTACTACTCTCCCTTTCTTTTAGAACATGGAAATTGACAGTGAAGAAAAAGTTAATTTGTTGCAGCTAGCGGCCAATCTGGAGTCTGTTGTAGTCAACAAAAGTGATTGTAAGGAAATTGGATTGTTAAACTTTATTGAATTTGTTTGATAAACTATATTTTGATTTCTTTGTAGCTGTTTGCCAAGCTATTATTAGTATTTTTAAACATGAACTTTCTTATCTGAGGTAAGGTAGTGTGAGAAGGCGTTACTTGAGTTACTTGATCATAAAACATCAAAAACCCGTTTAATATGACGTTGAATAGAAACCAAGAGGAAGCTTCGAAGATTGAAAAAGACAAATTACTAGAAAATTGTAGAAATCTGGCAAATGAAAAATCGTCTTTGATTCGAGAAAGCGAGGAAAACACACGTCAATTGGAGATGCAGTTTGCTCTTAAAATCAAGTGAGATTCTAATCAGTCAAGTATTGTTAGAAATAGCGCAAAATTTTCATATTGTTAAGCAACATGAAATGAATTAGCTAGCTGACATGTTTCAACTCATGCAATTTTTTCTTAAAGAGAACAAGAAGAGGCTACTAAAGAAAAAATACAACAATTCCAGCAAAAGACTAGCGATGAGCATGAGAAAGCTGTTACCATTTATTCCAAAAAAATTCTAGAGTTGGAAGGGGAACTAAAGCAGTATAAATCTTTTGAGTCACGTGTAAAACAAGAGATTGGAGAAAAAGTAGAAGAAATTGGTCGACTAAACAGCACCCTTAATGAAACACAGGATATCGTAGAAGAAAACGAGCGTATACGCTCAAGATTAGAGAAAGAAATTGAAAAATCCTCGGGTCTGACAAAGAAGGTTCTCTTAAAATGTTGTAAATTATTTCCAAAACAAATATTGCGTCGATATTTTTCTCACCCTCATCATGATTTTTAAATACAGCTTGCGGAGGTGGTGAACGAACGAGACAATTTGAAAGTGCTACAAAGTCAGAATGCTAGTAGAGGAATAGAAGAGATAGAAGCCATAAATAGAGTAAGAAGACTGTTTATTGAGGTAACTTTTGTCATATTATACATTGTTATAATTTGGCGCGAATTTTCATTCAGCAACTGCGAGACGAGAACGATGAACTTAAGAATGAGGTCGAAATATTGAAATCTCAGGCAAAATCAAATGTGAAGCGCAACCGAAGTCATCGTAGACGGACCACTGACCGGATTACTCGCGTGGGCTCAGTTCTCTCCGACTACACGAAACCTCTTATAATAAAACGAAACAAGGATGGATTGACTTCATCGGATGAATCTGACGTAATTGATGGCAAGTCGTCTGTCGTAAGGGTCAGCGGTGATGGAGGGTCAAACGGAGAGGGTAAGCGGCTACATTGTAGCGCAATAATTTTGATGTTTTTGCATTTAATTTTCATTTTCTTTGTAGAGCAAAATGCTGCTGTTGATAGCGAGCACAAAAGTAAGTCTTTAATTATAGAATTTTTTAATTTGCAGAGGGTTGCTGAGCATTGTCAATTGCAACTGTTTTATACATTCCTAGAAACGATTGAAGAACTTGGCCAGCAATTAAATGAAAGCGAGAGAAAATTAAAAAATATTGAGACTACTGTAATACTTCAGGAACAAAACATCAAGTCAAAAGATGGATTAATTACAAAACAAAAAACGTCAATTGAAAAGCTGAAGAATGATTTGCAAGAAAAAAATTCGGTTTTGCTTGAGAAATCTGAACTGATAGGGAAATTACAAAAAGATGTGGAACATTTTACGGTAAGTTTTTCTGTCTTTATTTTTTCACATCACATTCATTGATTATTTGGTTGGATTGAGCAGAGACAACGCGACGAAGAAGTAAATCTACGTGAAGATTTAGAACAAAAAAATATTTCTACGGCACGTGATTATGAAAGGACAATCGCAAATTTAAAACTTGAGATCGAATCAATGCAACGTGTTAATAACTCTGAAAACAATGACATGAAGGAAAGATTTGACAAAGAACTAGGAAACTTGACGTCACAGTTTACCATTGAAATGGATCAATTACAGCAAAGGTAAAGTCATCCTTTAGCAAATGTTGAGAGCTTGTTATGTTTTTTGTTAATTATAATTTGTTTAGATTGAGTCGTGAAAAAGATGAGTTGGAGCTTGATTTAACAACGAAGTATAAGGCTCTAGAGGAACAGTATGAGGGAGCGCTCGAGACAATCAAGGATAATAAGGATACTTTTCATCATGAAAAACAACAATTGCTTCAAACAGCAGAAAAAGAGAAAAATGATATCAAAGTAGAATGTGAAAAAAAAGCTGAAATGCTAACAAAGAATTACAAAAATGAACAACAGAAAGTGAAACAACAACAACATGAGGAAATAAAGAATCTCAAAGATGTTATAAATACATTACATCATGATAAACAACAGTTGGAATCTTTCTTTAAAAACGAGAAGAATGAGATTGAAAAACGGTTTGCTGCTGAAAAAGATGAAATTGTACAGGTATACAAATACTTATTAGCTATCTGTCAGGTTTTCTTAGATATATTTAATTTAGGCTACTATGCATGAACTATTGCAGGAAAAATGCAAATTAGAAAAGCGACATGTTACTGAAATAGAGCAACTGTCTGGTATAAGTAGTGCTTACGAAGAACAACTTAATCAGAAATTGTTACGTGAAAAAATGGAGCTTCAAGAACATTTTTTAAGCGAAAAGTTGGCACTTAAAAAAGTGATTGGAGATTTATACGTGGCATTAAACGCAGAAGAAAATGGCGTGAAGAGAAAGCTTCAAGATGATTTTTGTCGTCATACGTCGTATTTTCAAACGTTTATGGATGAAAATGAGCTCAATGATGACAAAATGAAGACGAGCAACAAGGACGATCCTCAACAAGTATTCAATTTGCAAAGCGAAATAATAAAAATACGTACACTCCACGAATTTGCTGCATCAAAGCTTTTGAAAACGTACGTGCTAAGTTGGGCTGTTCTGTTGAGCTTTAAAAATGCGATTTTTTAAAAATTAGTCGTGGTTTCTTTAAGGTGGAATGAAAAAGATTTGTTGCTCAGTGAAGTGAATAAAAAAGACGATGATATTGAATGTTTGCGTCTGCAAATAATTTCATTAAAAGATGAAGTTACAAACCTGACGAACGATAAGAAAGTCGACACGGAAGAAGACTCGGTACGAGAATATTTTAAAGAAACTATAAAGCAACTGCGTCTTGAAAATCAGGAAATGCTTCATAAGAAAGTGGGTCTTGATAGACGTGTGGAACAACTGGAACTAGAGATTGAAACGTTGAAAACGCTTGAAAATGACAACCTTACAACAAAATTAAATAACATGAAAAATGAAAAGCAAAAAATCGTTTACAGAGCAGGATCCTTGTCACATAGAGAGCTGGTGAGAGAAAATTGGAATTTGAAGAGTGAGTTGAATGAAGTACGAGACACATTATATAAAAAATATAAGAAAATGCAACTCACAGAAAAGGTTTGTGGAAAGATAGTGAAACGTTTGTTTCATTGAGAAAATATGTTAATAAACTGCATATAACCAAAATTTAAAAATATGTCATATTGAGTAATAAATGTTATAATTGTTATTTTAGACAAAGTAATAAAATTTACGTAATTCTCGTTGAAAAGTCAAATAAACTATAAACTTTTAATATATCTCCTTTGTTGATTTTCATTTAAAATAATCCAATTTAATTAATTAACAGACCTTATAATCACACATTACCAAACCAAAGTTTTTGTGAATACAACTATGTTTTTATATATCTTAATTATAAATAACAAACATGAAAATGTTTATAAATCGCGGAATTCGAAGCGAAGTAAGATGATGATGAATGAAGAAAATTTTTTTGTTAGATAGATGTAATTATTTTGACACAAGTTATGTGACATGAAGGGCTACTTATGTGACATCAAGGGTAACGTATGGGACATCTGGGGGACTTATGTGACATCAGGGGAACGTATGGGACATCTGGGGGACTTATGTGACATCAGGGGGGACGTATGAGACATCTGGGGGACGTATGGGACATCTGGGGAATTGATGTTACATTAAGGGAAACTTAAGTAGCATGTGCAAAAGAGTGATGTTCACGAGATTATTAGTTTAAACTAAAATTGCTGTTGAGGGTTGTAACAGCATTTCCTTTAACTCTTCTATAAATTTTCATTTCAGGCTAGACAAGAACTTTACTCACTCGAGTCAACTGTCGAAGAAATGGAAAAAGAAAAAAAGTCTTTAGAAAACTCTTTATACCAATTAAACATAAAAAATACAAATTTACAAGATGAAATTTTGGATCTTAGGCGTAGAAATGACAACGACAAAAAAGAACTGAAAGAACAGAAAGAGCAGGTTTTAAAATCAATAAAGTTGGCTTTTCATTTATTACTTACACTTAACGTGTAATTATTTACAGGTCAAACTTGTTCGTATTGAAATGAGCACTTTGCAATCTGCATGTAATCGAGATGTTGCTGAACTTAAGGAGCAGTTGAATGGAGTATTGCGTAATAACGAACTTGATCGAACTATGAGAGAGAAAGTACTAAATGATGCAAAAGTTGAAGTACTTGCGTTGAACGAAAAGGTAGGTGGACATGTTTCATTACGCAAATTGCCACAGGTTATGAAACGATTTCCATTTTCCTAGCTTGAAGAGAAAGCAAAGAAATGTCGAGATCTGGAAGACATGAGAATTTCCATGGAAGAAAAAGTCCGAAATATGGATCGTTATAAACGAGACATTGAACTTCGACTGAAGAAAGCACAGAATTCTGTAGATGAACATGTGATTGAACTCAATAAACAAGTCAGAGCAAAATATACTGGTGTAGTTTCTTTACCTAATACTTGTTGAATTTATGAATTGATCTTTTTTTGTTTTTAGTTGGATGAACATCGTTTGCAAAGTTTAAGAAGAGACAATTTAATCCAGGAGCTTTACGTTGAGAATGCAAAATTGACAAAAACGTTGCAGGAAAGCGAAGCCATGCAGAAGAAAGCAGAGAAAAGTAATAGACAACTTACGGAACAGAAACGTGCATTACAGAGAATTATTTCCAAACTTTGTGGTGCAAATGCTCTTGCTTGATCAACGATTGTATAACATTTAAGATATGTTGCCATGCAGGAATATTTGATACTGGAGTAACGTAATCTTTTACTCACGGCATATGTCAAATGCCCATTAGAACATACACGACATTCAATAGTTTCCAGGCTTTCTTGCTGTGGAATTCCATTTATTGCATTCCATTCAAATGAACACAACAGATAAGTAGTGTACTCTATAAATTGGGGTTGAAATATAACGACATCATCATCCCCTAAGCCAAGGTTCTTGTTGTATGTATGGCAATGACAATGATTTTGTGTCTTTGTATATGTTGTGTAGTATAAATCTTATATAAATCTTACGTATAAATCTTATGTATAATATAAATCGTATAATAAACAGAAGAGCAAACCTGAGCAGTTGTACAAATTTTGCGTTGTTCATAATGCATAAACGAACATACTTGACTTGCAATTCAGCCATGTTGGTGGTGTGATACAAAAGAATATTTCATAACTAACGAACTAACGAACTAAAAGAACTAACGAGTGAAGTCTTAAGAACTAACGAGTGAAGTCTTAAGAACTTAAGAACTAACGAGTGAAGTCTTAAGAACTTAAGAACTAACGAGTGAAGTCTTAAGAACTTAAGAACTAACGAGTGAAGTCTTAAGAACTTAAGAACTAAAGAGTGAAGTCTTAAGAACTTAAGAACTAACGAGTGAAGTCTTAAGAACTTAAGAACTAACGAGTGAAGTCTTAAGAACTTAAGAACTAACGAGTGAAGTCTTAAGAACTTAAGAACTAAAGAGTGAAGTCTTAAGAACTTAAGAACTAACGAGTGAAGTCTTAAGAACTTAAGAACTAACGAGTGAAGTCTTAAGAACTTAAGAACTAACGAGTGAAGTCTTAAGAACTTAAGAACTAACGAGTGAAGTCTTAAGAACTTAAGAACTAACGAGTGAAGTCTTAAGAACTTAAAAACTAACGAGTGAAGTCTTAAGAACTTAAGAACTAACGAGTGAAGTCTTAAGAACTTAAGAACTAACGAGTGAAGTCATTACTGCATAGAAGAGAGTTGATGACAAACATAGCACAATCAAACAGTATGAATGTTTTATGCAGTGCGGTGTTTGAAATTAAATGAAGATATGATCTTCGCACTTTGCTGGACAATTTAAGCAATCGTCTCAGGACCTGAAAAAATCAGGTGACTCAACGGGATTCGAACCCATGACCTCTGCGGTGCCGGTGCAGTGCTCTGACCAACTGAGCTATGAAGTCACACAGTGGTTGACCTGCTCACCCAGGTATGACCTGCTCACCCTGCTCACCCAGGTTTTGCAAACATAACTCTATATTTAGGCAATGTTACAATTCGTTCGTTGAAGTTTGGTGAAGAAGTCATTATCTTTAAAGCGATGTGGTAAGTTTATGTCATGTTTGTATATCTTTAGATAATTCTTGGCTCGATATTTTTAATCAATCGTATTTAGCAGACAGATATAATCAACAACAACTCGATTTTCACGTTTGGCAGAGTCAGGAATACGTCTAAAACGAAATATTGTGATGAAAGTCATCTCGTAAAAATCTATTGTATTTAATTATGGGTGGAACATTTTCTTCGACATTTCTACCAGGTGCTGTTTCAGTTCATTGAAAGTTTTGTTTATTTAAAACCATTTGAAATATGCGACAAGGAGAAATACTCTGCGGTGCGTTTCGCATCAATATTCATTCAATTGCTTCAAGGTAGTAAGAATAATCGCGATTATTTAAGCGTCAATAGATTTATAGAGTAATAATATGTACATTAAAAGAAGAAATTCTCGTTGTAGTTTTGTCACAGCCACAAACGAAGAATAATGTTTACGAAGCTCAAAGCCACATGTTGTAAGTACTTTGTTCATTACTACTCATTTATTAGCGGAAAGCTAAGCTGTTGTGAATAACGCAACTTACATGATGCTCTATAATAACGAGAAAAATATAAATTTTTGAACTGAAACTGAATGTGATCTTTAGAAAAGTGTAAAGATGTTTATAGATAGTCACAAAGATGTCATCATTGAATGCGGCTTTCATGGCTTAAAATATAATCAGAAACTGGTTTCAAACACATTCTTTTTCTTTAAAAGATTGTTGAGCAGTAAAAAAAAATGTATTTACTGATTGAGAAAGAAGATCTGTAAGGCTACTAACTAATAACTTGCGGTTTCTCTGGCATAAAAAGGAATGAACAATTACAATTTTACGAGTTTCGGTTTTCACACACGGTTTTTTTTATTGTGAAATATTCTGTCTAATGCGAAATGTTGTCCATCTACAACAAAATTCCCGGTAAAAGAGACTAAGCACTTATCAATGCTTTACAAAAAGTCAACTTGGAAGAAAGATTAAAGAAAAGCCGTTGTTGGGGCGTGGTACGGATTGAATATTTTCAATTTTATATGATGAATCTAAACTTGTGCAAATTGGACGTTGCACTTTTGCAGCAACCTTACGGTGGCTGTAAGTTTGTTTGGACTATGATTTCAAAGTAAACTGTGAATTTGATAATTTTTGCAAAGTATTGGTATTGGTTTTCATGTGACAATTATGATTGTTTGTCTGATGAGATGAAGGCAAAGAAGAGCAACTTTAAGGAGAACTGACATTTCTCGTTTTGCTTCCTTTAGAAGAAGAAGCCATTATCTATAAAGTTGAAAGCGATGTGCTAACAACTTGATTTTCACGTTTGCCAGCGTCAGGAATACTTTCAAAGAAGGTATTCTGATGAAAATCACCTCGTATAAATCGTATTGTATTTAATTATTGGTGGAAGATTTTCTTCGACATTTCCGACGTTTATTCAAAACCATTTGAAATATGCAACAATGGACAAATACTCAGCAGCCCCTTGCTCCATCCTCAAAAAATAGATTTATAGAGCAATATACATTAAAAGAAGAAATTCTCGTTTTAGTTATGACACCGCCATACACGAAGTATAATGTTTACGAAGCGCAAAGCCACATGTTGTAAGTAGTTTGCTCATTGTTACTCCTTTATTAGCAGAAAGCCAAACCGTTATAAATAGCGCAACTTACACAATGCTTTATATTTACGAAAGAAATTTGTATTTTGAAAGTGAAAGTGAATGTGATCTTTTGAAAAGTGTAAAGATGTTTATAGATAGATAGTCACAAAGATTTCATCATCAAACGCGGCTTTCATGACTTTAATTAAAACTGGTGTTTTCGGCACACATTGTTTGTATGAAATGATGATTTTAGTTAGATTTTTTTCTGTGTTTGAACTTATAAAGAGCAAAACGAAGGCTTTTAAGAATATGTTGTCTTGTAATAAAAATACACACATATTAAAACAGTTACTGTTGTTGGTCATTAGTTGATTGTTAATAATGAAACATATCATTTAATACTATTTCGCTTTTTAATTCCTGTTATTTTGATTATTGTTTCAGGTGACAAGCTGATGAAAAAGCTTGAGTATCTGTTCAAGGATTATCGACGGTGGGAATAATTATTAAAATGTTTTTTTTTCTAATTCCTTTTTTTTTTGCTTTAGATGATCATCATGTGGTACAAGGCCTGCTCCTTTTCCCTCCCTTTAGCTAGGTGCGCTGAGAGAAGGTCCCTGACAAAGGACGGGTTGCGTGTTCTTCGGAGCTCGCTTTAACGTAACGTGGTCATGTCGGACTAGAGCGCCCCATTAGGCTCCCGCAATGAAATTTTCTGATAAAGATACATTCTTAGATAATTAAGTCAAGCAGTTAAGTTAAGAAAATTTTCTTTGTTTGTCTGAGGGAGCAAGATAAAAGGGTCTATGTTATTGTGTGTAGTTGGTGTCATTGTAAGGTTTAAGCTGGTGAGTTTAGCCTTGAAGGTCAATACGGGGACATGTATCTTTGCCAAGACGTCAACAAATCCATTAAGCCCACTTCCATCTCAGCAACAATGAAAGAAACTTGCGTTGCTGAGGTAAGTTTGCTTGTTTGCAGTTCTGTATTAATCATCGTTAATTGTATGTTGTTGTTTTTCAGCTCTGCTGGCTGGGTGGCGTCACCGCACATTGACCCAGCTACCCAATGACTTCCTGAATTTTCATTATGTGAAAACTGAAAAAAGAATGATTGTGCATGCATGAAGGAGTATTGGTACCAACCAAGTAAGGAGCATTACAACTTGTTACTACTTGTACCAAAATGACAAAAGATTTATTAACAATTGTGATTTTTCTGAACAACGATGAAAGTGCATGTCAACTTCTTTAACAGAAGGGAGTTAAAAGCCGGTCAAATTGCAACTAAGCATTTGTGGGGAGTGCTTAGTTAACAATTTCAATTTCTGATTTTGCCATTGTATGTATTATTTTGTTTTTGCTTGTGATTAGTAACAAATTGTAATACTCAAGGTTAGGTAGGAAATTCTTCATTGACAAAAAAAATTCTCAACAATGTTAAAAAAATTTAATGTTAAAATTTTTTTGATTACATATTTCGACAATGTTTCACTTCTGACCATATAATTCCAAAATGTTTCATTTTTTAACACATGTTTCGAAAGTATATCATAAAAACATAAGGCGCATGCGGGCCACGACGAGCGGGGAGGTGGTACTGTCACACGCCGGACTATGGATATACCTCTCTCGATCCCGATCTTAGTTAGGTTACGGAATAGGCTCCTTGTCGTGCAGGCCGAGAAGATAGAGAAGAATAAAAGGGAAGTTGTTATTTCTGTATTTCAATTATATGACTGTTTTGATTTCTTCCTAATTGTATTTTGTCTCTTTAAGCACTTTTTGTTTAAGCTCATGCAAAATGAAGAAGGTGATGGATTTCGTTTGTGTGTGACTCCCATAAAAGAAAGAAGAACATGCTGCAATAAATGAAAGGAGTTGTAACGTCAAAAACTGGTTGGTTGTTGTAATTGTTTATATGAGTTTATTTACATTCATGAATAATATACTTGAGATGATATTTCTTTTTCTGTGCTTAATCATTTCAGATATGAAAGCAACTAAAGCTGTGATGCAAATCAATAGTGGAGCTAAATGACAATGAGGGGTAAATTACTCTGACAAAAGCGTACAAAGATTTCTTAGTTTGTTGTAATATTATGGAAAATTTCCAGAGAATTTATTTCAGTGATATTTTTTTCGTGTAGAAATTATTAGCAGCTTATGTACTGTTTGAAGAAAGAATTATTTCATTTCAACATGTTTTTTAAAAACATTTCTAACTTTTGAAAAATTCCCAGGAATTTTTATAAATTGGTCCGAAAATATGTGTTTTATGACTGTAATGTTTGTTGAATTTTGGTGATTTTCACCAAAAGTACGATAATCTGGAGTAATTTACCCGCGTTGATGACAAGAAGCCAATAGACTCAAAACAGTGAATTCGTTTCGACCATCTAAGCAATGGAGTTAAAGAAAAATATGTTGTGAACATCTCAGCAGTTGGACTAAATTACTATTTCAATGAAATGTTGATGTTATTGGGGAAGAAACTGGGCTAAGTCTTTAGAGATTATGGACTATAGATGAAAAACAGAATTGGTATGTTTTGTTATTGTCTCTTCAGATGTTTTTTAAGTACGACAGTCGCTGCCATGATTGACGTTTTCGCTTCTTGGTTATGTTTTGATGCCTGTTTTTGAGAAAAGAAGAATTTCTTCCTAAGTGTTTTATGCGATTTTAAACCAAGAATTGAACTTCTGTTTAAGTTTCCCTCGCACAGGTTATTGAAGCGTTGTTGCGAATGGTTTTAATTCGCAGATATTGCTTTGAGATGACTCATCGTCAAAGATTTGTAAGCAGTGGAGTTCAATGTAATGAACATTGGTGCGCTACAAATGCAAAAGAAGTGTGTTAGAAAGAAGTAAAATCAATGGACTCTGGCTGCAAATGGAGTAATTGGGAAAAAATTGCACGTTATGTCAGCAGATAATGGACAACAAACATGGTATGTTTTGTTAATTGATATGCGTTTAACGGCACACTCGTTTGAGATGATTTTAAAATTCTGTGTCGTTTTATCAATTCTGCGTCGATTTTTGCTGCTTCGTTATGTTTTCCATCTAAAATTTCGTTGCAGTTTTTGCCTTACGATGCTTGTTTTTGATGACAATGCGGCTTCTGCGGAACTCTTCAAACCATGAGTTGACTTTGTTGTGTCAATTATTGAAGCGTTGTGTTGTAAATGGTTGTAATTTGCAGATATTGCTTTTGAGATGACTCATCTTCAAAGATTATACATTCTTTTAGTAACATTCTTTTTTGCCATAATTTGAAAACCGACGATGAGCAATTTGTTGTATATGTTACAACCCAATTTAAACATGAAAAATCTTCATTTTTTTTACTTCATCAAAATGAAATATGTTTAATATATGTTTTTGTGTTTAAAATATATTGGAAACACATTCTATTTTCAGATGGCGATACAAGTGAAATTGAAGTGAAACGATGATAATAATGCTGTTAATGGTAATTGTTCAAGGAAAACCAGCCCAGAATTGATGTTCAGTGAATTTGCTTATGGTAATATAGTTAAGATTATAGTTTGGCTCCACTATAAGTATAATTGTCAATCTAAATAAAGTTGGAAGTTCCCCTTCCTTCCTACTTTATTTAGATGAAGTTTAAGTTAAATGCTTTGTCTGTCAAAATTGCCCCACACAATTTTGATAGATAAATGCGATAAAATAATATTGTAAATTGTCTTTTTGTCAATAGTTTAAAGTAATTATAATACTCCTGTAATGATCATAATGAACCCGAATAAGTTTGAAGTAATATGAATAATTTAAATATTTACTGAATAATTTGTATAATTTGATGAATATGGTGACCTATAATATCTGCAGTATAAAGTAAGTCAAGGGGGGCCCAAGACAGTACAGGGAAAGCAGTAAGTCAGGGGGGCGAAGGCAGTACAGGGAAAGCGGCAAGCAAGGAAGGGGTTTGAAGCATTAATAAACGTGTAAGTCGGGGGGGGGTGGATGAAATGGATGTCAAATAAATAGATGGCGGCCATCTTGATGTGTGACTGCATTTGATAATGGCTCGGTAGGTGTAATTTGAGGCTAAATTGCGTTGATATTATGAAAAATTCGCAATATTACTTCAGTCGTGAAGTGTGCATCTGAGAGTTATAAGCAGAAGCGAAACTATGATTTAAAATGACTACGACGAGAGGAGAAAAGGTAACGCCGCCATGTTTCACATTGTTTCTTTCTCAGTTGTTTGCTTTGTTTACACCTGTCAGAAAAAGTCGTCGGTGTGTGTTTGTTAGTAAATAAAACAAGTGAAAGTTTCAATGAACATATTTCACAGGTTTATAGTATAAAATGTATAAAAAGTCAAGAAATTGAAGAAAACACTAAGATTTATATTACAGTGTACTTTCCATTTCTCTTAATTAGCAGCCTATAATTTAAAAACTGCACGGTAGAATTTTTTGAAACTTGGCCAGAATATATAGATAATTATATGTTGTAGAAAATCATCAACAAAGTCGGATGACACGAATACGCTTAATATGATCTTATATAATTAACTATAGCTATTTGTCGAGAGTGGTGCCAACTTCACAGTTTATACCAGAGTACATTCTCAAGGAGTATTATTCCTTTTAAATTTTTGTGCGCTCTCCAGATTTTGGATATATTTTAGACAATATGAATATCTATAATATGGCCAAGTTTAAAAAATTCTACTGTGTAGTTTTTTTTCTGTTCTGTTAGGAATGAAAGAGGATGGATGAAAGAGGAAGAAAATCAAGGCAGGATTTGTTAGTTTTCTTCCCAAGTATTTATTGGCTTTAAATTAGAACAGTTTTGTCTCAATAAGAGTCAGACTTCCCAATAAAGTATCCCAGTTTCGTCTCAACAAGACACAAACCTCTCAATTAAGCATCCCTGTTTAAGCACAGCAAGAATAGAATAAAATCTTACACTAAAAGGGTAACCCTAAGGGTAACACTTAAATCTTTCGAACTTCATCATTTTCATTTAAATGTTTCTTTTTAGGAATGAAAGAGGATGGATGAAAGAGGAAGAAAATCAAGGCAGGATTTGTTAGTTTTTTTCCCTGAATATTAATTTGCTTTAAGTTAGAACAGTTTTTTCTCTATAAGAGCCGAACTTCATAATTAAGAATCCCTGTTTTCGTCTCTGTACGATTCGAATATCCCCAATACCCATGTCATTCTAAAGATGGTGTAATATTTCGTTTTTATTCCAAAGACATCATCAGACTTATTCGACTCATAAGTCTGATGATGTCTTTGGAACAAAGACGAAATATTACATCATATGTCATTATAAGTTCTTAACTAGCACTTAAAACGTTCAAACTTGATTGTTTTCATTTAAATAAATGTTTCTTTTTAGGAATGAAAGAAGATTAAACAGTAAGAAAAACATGTATGTTTATTTGCTTTAAATTAGAACAGTTTTGTCTCAATAAGAGTCGTCGTCGGACTTCCCACTAAAGCATTCCTGTTTCATCTCTGTAAGATCTCTATTAAACATCCCTCTTTTGTCTTACTAGGACTCGAAAATCCCTAATACCCATGTTCATGTAAGCTTTTAAAATAGCACTTAAACCCTTCAAACTTGATTATTTTCATTTAAATAAATGTTGTTTTTTTTTAGGAATGAAAGATGATGGACTAAAGAGGAAGAAAAAAAGGGAGGTTTTGTTAGTTTTTCACAAAATATTTATTGGCTTTAAATTAGAAAATTTTACCTTAATAAGAATCAAACTTCCCAATTAAGCATCCGTGTTTCGTCTCACTTAAGATTCGAATATCTAAACTTTACATTACTATTTTCATCTCCATAAACTTCGAATAACCCTAATAAACATCCATATTTCGTCTCATCAGGAGTCGAATATCCCTAATCTTTGGAAGATCTTTCTGATGGAATATCTTTTTCTTTGGTTTCATTTCTTTTGGGCAATTTCAGAATCAAGCTTTTAACGTCACCATCTGTAAGCGTGGATAGACGGTTCTTTGTTCGGCAAAGCCACTGTCAGTTTATGTATGGACGAAATCGGTTATTCAAGCCTGGTCTTTGTTAGATAGATAGCAATTTTACTCGCAATTTATATACTTGTAATATTCTGATATTTATTAAACAACTTTCAATTGTGTAAGTGAATTAAATTTGAATTAAGTTGCGTAAATTAAATATGCAATATTGGTTCAGAAATCAGGAATGTCAATTTATGACATTACATCAACATGACAATTTCTAGTGAGTCGTAACTATCATCAATTTGGCTATTTCCTTTATTATGGAGTCAGTTTAGTTCACTGATATGTATATTACACTGGATAAAGCACCACGATAAAATATAGTAAGATAATTGAAGCCAGAAGTTGGCTAATCTGATTATGACCTTCGTGGGGGGTATCAGTCCCACTTTACTATACTTTTGTAATACAAAATCACAGTTTTTGCATTTTTATTCGTTCTATCAACATTTGATTCTAGCAAAATTTTTGTGAAAGGGACAGAACAACCGGCAAAACCTTTTGATGAACATTAGTAAGTTGAAAACGGTGTCATCAAACTCTATGAGAAGATGTAAATCATCAAAATTTGCGAATTAAAGTACCTCTGTTGTCACATAAAGTGAAGCAAAGTTTTCAACAAGTTCCTATATGAACAACTTCAATATCATGTTTCTAAATGTAGATCGTCCAGGTTGGTACAATCCTGAGAAGGACTGTTTTGTTGTTGACTGATGTTTGGCAACCTTAGCAGTAGTCGTCTTCAGACTCATATGAGGAGTAAACATCAGGTTAGCCACATTTACTATCTGGTTCTTACGTCATTGTATTGTGTGTATTAGGTAGGTAGGATGTGTGGATGTCAATGTGTGGGTGTCAAGTGTGTATTGTGCATTACTTACAATTACCAGCACCTTAAAAGACTTATTCACAATACAAACAAACGATCAACTAAAACATTATACTTCATACTAATTCACAATAACAATACACAATTAACACCCACTCATTTAACTCCTCATATTACTATACAAACCTGAACGATCTACATTTACAAACATGTAACGATACTCCCGGGTTCATACCATTTACTTTAATATTGATTTTGTCGTGTGGTAAATTCTTCCATTGGTGATTTATGGCGATGATAACTATCAAGAACTTTTCAACTTTTTATCATCAACCTTTCACTCTTTCACTAACAATCATGTAACTACGCGAAGCTCTTAAATTCTTTAATAATGAATATTTTTGAAGATTTGTTGAGAAAAGTAGAGTTGCCATATTGAATAATTCCGACGAGCTCACGATCGGAAATTATCGTCGTGACGTCCAAATTCTTTCTCAAACACGAGATAATTTTCCCGCGTCGTTCAAGTTAAAATGGGAACTTCTTCACATCATCTCTGCAAAGAAACGACGATTTCAGGGTTGAAATATATGTCGTTTGTGTCTCATTTCATTTTAAATACGGTTCTACTACTTAACGTACCAAAACGTTTCTGTTTAGTTGTTCCCTTAAAGCAAGCCGAAAAGCTGAATTCGGAAGCCGACAAAGAGGGTATGCGTTTGACAAAGACGAAAGCAAGAGGTGAATAGCTTATTTTTCTTTACACTTGTCAAAAGTAAGTTTTAGCCTACTATGTTTAAGGCTATTTTGTACTTCGAGAAACGACATTCTTGCGTTAAAATCTAAGTGGAAGATTGTTTTGTCCAAGACAAGAACGCCCAAAACGTATGACAGCACTCGTTTGCATACCTTTCTAAGATTAACAATGAACTGTATGCACGAACAACCCTATGCGGATATTAACAATGAAACATCACTTGTGCAAAGAATAAAACTGTTTTGTTTGTTAAAAGGAACAATTGTCAATGTAAGGCACACTTAGGCTGCGTTTACACTATAACGGAGTAAAAGCTTATCAAGCTGATAGATAGGTTTAGTCTATTTGAACAGTTTCTGACCTTGAACAGTTTCACTGTCTTTTAATACAAAGAATATTCATCTCTAAAACGTTCATACGTATGTTTGCCTAACAGTTCAGTCATAAGCTATTCACTTATTCTGGATAGCTTTTGGAACTAAACGCTGTGTTCATCTTGCACTTCTACCACCTCTCGAAGGGTCATTTTCGTTTGATTCCCTCTCGATGTCTATATGTCTTTTACCGCTTAATTTTACTCGCAATTGTTCCGACACCAGATCAGCCATGAATTGGTCTTGCATCATTTTATCAGCATACTCGTGGTATTAACATTGCGCTCCTTCTAACATTGCGATCATCCGGTTGTTCATTTTGCAGTAGTCTGTAGTTCAAGAAGACAATGAAATAGTTAAGTACTTATGTTAGCGTGCTTATGTTTGTGTATTGTGCTTGTGTTGCTGTACATAAGATTGATAAATAAAACCATTTATCTAACAACATTTGAGAAAATCAACCTTCCACTCCTCTTCCTTGTAAACGAGACAATTCTACTAAAAAGCAGAGAGCCTTATACGCTACAAGTCCCGGGCTTGTGACCGGTATAGCAGAGTTAAAAGGTGAAAGGTTTATCAAAGATTAATCAACTGAATATTCCTGCTCATTTTTGTTTGGAAGCATGTTGAACAGTTCATATGGACAAAGCATCCCGCTTTCCACTGGAAAAGAATGAATCTAATAATATCGACGTTAAACATAGATTGTTACAAGCATCCCGCTTGCCGATATGTATAAGTATAATCACAAGGTTAAATAGTTGGAATGTTATTAAACAAAAAGAATGCTATCATTGTATAACGTAATGTTATAAGCAACAACTACAAACAATAACGATCTTATCTAACAACATTTGAGAAGATTAACTTTCCACTTAACATTTTCCCTTTGGAAGAGATTTTAACAGATAGCCAAAATAAAAGTGTGAGAAACCTCTTACATAACAAGTCTGAAAGTGGAAACGGAAAATGAATGATTTACTAAGTTTGCTAGAGGAGAACAAATGAGTGAATGAAACCTTGAATCAATAAGAAATGTATGTACTCGACGAGCAAATGGAAGCATTTCAATTGCAACAACAGCCAAGCAATACTTTTTTCATGGCTTTAAACACAAAGACTCAGATCTTCATCCTTACAAACCTCGCGAAGAAACCGTTGCTCGTGTATGGAAAAAATCTGATTATATTTCCTTTGTATTTTCTATTTGTTTGGACCACGCAGACGGGGCGTTGCAGATTTGTAAAAACTTCATTAAAGATGAAAGTCTCAGAAGCATCTTACCAAGCGAAACGAGCAGGTCGAACATTTGTCTTGGACATTTCATTTGTGTGGTGGACTTATCGATAGATTAAAAAGGCTTCATCAAGGAAAATTTCAAATCATTGATAAAGAATGCTAATGCATCAGAGTAGCAAGACTTTGACAACATGATATTGGCCATGGACCGTTCTCTCATTTCTTTGAGCCCACCAAAGATGCAACAAATTTCGATTTCAATGAGTCAAACTGCAATAAGGTTAGCTAGCCTTTTATTTGGTTTTGACTTTTCAAATTCTAACTATGTGTTTCGCGTATCTTTCAAGGCTTGCAGACTTCTGCTTTAATATCTCAAATACTTAACTCTTATATACTTGACAGTAATTAACATTAAATGGATTATTATAATAATGGTACTTAACATATACAAACTATTCATTAATTATCATGCTAATACTAAACGTGTAAAGTAATTGGACTGTGAGATAATGACGTCCGACACGTCTCGTATTGCTTCCTTGGAAGATTAGAAAAAGCTGTTAAGGCGTGGCACGGATGAAAAATTTTAAATTTTTTTATGAATTTAAACTAATGTAATGAATATGAATGGTGATTTGATTGGTTTTGCAATAAATTTAAATTGACGTCTCTACAGTTCTCATCATATGTATGTAAATTAAAGTGAATTTGGACTGTGAGATAATGACCTCCCGTTTTCAAACTAAACTGTGAATTGGTTAATTTATGGAAATATTAATTTGTGGATGCCCTTTCTTTGTTTGTTATTCCTTAAGACACACATAAAACCAAGAATTGCTGTTTTCAAAATTATTATTAATGTTGGCCTGTAGAGATGAAGACAAGAAAGAGCGACAAGCAGCTTTGGCTGAAAACCATGAAAGGTAAATTTTGAATGTGAGATATATTGACGTTGGACACTTCTCGTTTTGCTTCTTTTGCAACATTACTCTTTTTACATATAGATAGGCAAGGTCACAATTCGTTTGTTGAAGTTTGCTGAAGAAGCCATTGTCAATGAAGTTGAAAGCGATGTGGTAAGGTTATGTTATGTTTCTATATCTTTAAATGGTTCTTGGCTGGTTATTTTCTTCAATCACAGGAATACGTCTAAAAAGAGATATTGTGATGAAAGTCATGTCGTAAAAATCTATTATATTTAATTATTAGTGGAAGATTTTCTCCGACATTTCCACCAGCTGCTGGTTCAGTTCAAGGACAAATACTCTTCAGCAAGGAGCCGCAAGTCTCTCATCAATGTTCATTCAATTGCTTCAGGGCAGTAGAATCATCGCGATTATTTGAATAGATTTATAGAGTAATAACATGTACTTTTAAAGAAGAAATTCTCGTTGTAGTTTTGTCACCGCCACAAACGAAGAACAATGTTTACGAAGCTCAAAGCCACATGTTGTATGTACTTTGCTCATCATTACTTATTTTTACCGAGAGATTAGCTAGCTGTCGTGAATAGCGCAACTACAATTTTAAAAGTATAGTTTTTCACAGACGGTTTTTTATTGTGAAATATTCTGTCTAATACAACAAAATACGCGAGATTAACCACATATCAATGCTTTACAAAAAGTAAACTTGGAAGATTAGTAGAGAATTAAGAGAAAGCTGTTATAAGGCGTGGCACGGATTGAAACTTAAAATTTTTTTTTATGAATTTAAACTAGTGTAATCAATTTGATTTGTTTTGCAATAAATTTAAATTGACGTTGCATTTATGCAGCAACCCATGGTGGCTGTTTCTTTTGTCTATATTATCATGTCTCATTTTGCTTTCTTTGAACATAACACTTTTTACATTTAGTTTGATGAAGCAGCCATTGGCAATGAACTTTTAACATGCAATTGGCATAGAAGAAAGCGATCCGTTTTGAAAGTGTTGCTGTTTTCAAAATTATTATTAATGTTGGCCTGATGAGATGAAGACAAGAAAGAGCAACACGCAGCTTTGGCTGAAGAACATGAAAAGTAAATTTAAATAGAATGTGAGAATCAATTCGTTCGTTGAAGTTTGGTGAAGAAGCCATTATCGATGAAGTTCAAAGCGATGTTTTTCTTCAATCAAATGTAGCAGATATAAGCTAGCGTCAGGAATACGTTTAAAAAAGGTATTGTGATGAACGTCATCTCGTATAAATGTATTGTATTTAATTATTGGTACTTAGATGTGTGAAATGCAAGCTAATTGTGTGACTTATAGTGTTTATGAGTTAAATGCAAGAAGTATAGTAGAAGTATAGTGTTAGTGAGTTAGGTGGATTCATTATAATATTTGTGATTTAGGGGCTTAGACTATAACAGTTTTTGGGAGTCAATGTAATATAATATGAAAGAAATGCATATCATTATTTCATGTTTTCTTGTATTGTAGATCCAACATGGATGTAGTAGAGTTGTGAAAGTCCCTTTGCCACCTGTGTCCTTTGCTTCAATTACTCTCACTAGTTTTTCATTACGAATGTGTCATGGTGATTCATGGCCAAGATTGTTTATGTGTAGTTTTGATTCATTCTTGATGTCAGTTGTTTGTTCATATAATGATGATGGGCCCCATTGTTGTATGAGCCCACCTAACGGTGGTCAGCTGATAAAGATGATCAACTCTGCACTAAGCCATCTTTAAGTGATGATATAACTGGGGTATTGAAGTCCCTTTTCCTTTCCTCAAAGTTGTGTATATAAATGTTACGATATTCTTTCAACATGAAAACAAATGAGTGGAAAAGTAGCTACAAAAGAAGATGGAAAAAGTTTTGTTATATGCTACTTGATTTATTTCTGTTGTTCTTGTGAAAATCTCAATGGTTTTTATTGGTGGTACTGATTTTTGGTTTGTTTATCGAATGGCACATTTATTCAGGTAATTGCATAGAGGTACAGTTTTCTCAGATTGTGCTGTAGACCTGCAATAAATGAGAGCTGTATATAGTTTCTTTTTTCCTTAGCTAAAGGTTTACTTATTGTCTTTGTGAAAGGTGTCGTGATGTCAATTATTGAAATGTTAACAATTGCAAGAGTCACTTTAATGTTGTACAAAGAAAGGTAAATATTGTGTTTTTATCGAAGAAGAAGTGTAATTAGTAAAGCTTTTACTGTAAAAGGCTTTAACTACAAATTTAATCCTTTGATCCTTTGAAAGTTCTTGTTCGATTGTTTAGTTTTTAAACTCAATTGACCTATTCGTGATATATATGTTGTTATATAGTGAACTAATTTTGCAGATGCATTGTTACTTTGCATATCATTATTTCATGTATTCTTGTATTGTAGATCCAACCAACATGGATGTAGTAGAGTTGTGAAAGTCCCTTTGCCACCTGTGTCCTTTGCTTCAATTACTCTCACTAGTTTTTCATTACGAATGTGTCATGGTGATTCATGGCCAAGATTGTTTATGTGTAGTTTTGATTCATTCTTGATGTCAGTTGTTTGTTCATATAATGATGATGGGCCCCATTGTTGTATGAGCCCACCTAACGGTGGTCAGCTGATAAAGATGATCAACTCTGCACTAAGCCATCTTTAAGTGATGATATAACTGGGGTATTGAAGTCCCTTTTCCTTTCCTCAAAGTTGTGTATATAAATGTTACGATATTCTTTCAACATGAAAACAAATGAGTGGAAAAAGTAGCTACAAAAGAAGATGGAAAAGTTTTGTTATATGCTACTTGATTTATTTCTGTTGTTCTTGTGAAAATCTCAATGGTTTTATTGGTGGTACTGATTTTGGTTTGTTTATCGAATGGCACATTTATTCAGGTAATTGCATAGAGGTACAGTTTTCTCAGATTGTGCTGTAGACCTGCAATAAATGAGAGCTGTATATAGTTTTTTTTCCTTAGCTAAAGGTTTACTTATTGTCTTTGTGAAAGGTGTCGATGTCAATTATTGAAATGTTAACAATTGCAAGAGTCACTTTAATGTTGTACAAAGAAAGGTAAATATTGTGTTTTTATCGAAGAAGAAGTGTAATTAGTAAAGCTTTTACTGTAAAAGGCTTTAACTACAAATTTAATCCTTTGATCCTTTGAAAGTTCTTGTTCGATTGTTTAGTTTTTAAACTCAATTGACCTATGATATATATGTTGTTATATAGTGAACTAATTTTGCAGATGCATTGTTACTTTGCATATCATTATTTCATGTATTCTTGTATTGTAGATCCAACCAACATGGATGTAGTAGAGTTGTGAAAGTCCCTTTGCCACCTGTGTCCTTTGCTTCAATTACTCTCACTAGTTTTTCATTACGAATGTGTCATGGTGATTCATGGCCAAGATTGTTTATGTGTAGTTTTGATTCATTCTTGATGTCAGTTGTTTGTTCATATAATGATGATGGGCCCCATTGTTGTATGAGCTCACCTAACGGTGGTCAGCTGATAAAGATGATCAACTCTGCACTAAGCCATCTTTAAGTGATGATATAACTGGGGTATTGAAGTCCCTTTTCCTTTCCTCAAAGTTGTGTATATAAATGTTACGATATTCTTTCAACATGAAAACAAATGAGTGGAAAAAGTAGCTACAAAAGAAGATGGAAAAAGTTTTGTTATATGCTACTTGATTTATTTCTGTTGTTCTTGTGAAAATCTCAATGGTTTTTATTGGTGGTACTGATTTTTGGTTTGTTTATCGAATGGCACATTTATTCAGGTAATTGCATAGAGGTACAGTTTTCTCAGATTGTGCTGTAGACCTGCAATAAATGAGAGCTGTATATAGTTTCTTTTTTCCTTAGCTAAAGGTTTACTTATTGTCTTTGTGAAAGGTGTCGTGATGTCAATTATTGAAATGTTAACAATTGCAAGAGTCACTTTAATGTTGTACAAAGAAAGGTAAATATTGTGTTTTTATCGAAGAAGAAGTGTAATTAGTAAAGCTTTTACTGTAAAAGGCTTTAACTACAAATTTAATCCTTTGATCCTTTGAAAGTTCTTGTTCGATTGTTTAGTTTTTAAACTCAATTGACCTATTCGTGATATATATGTTGTTATATAGTGAACTAATTTTGCAGATGCATTGTTACTTTGCATATCATTATTTCATGTATTCTTGTATTGTAGATCCAACCAACATGGATGTAGTAGAGTTGTGAAAGTCCCTTTGCCACCTGTGTCCTTTGCTTCAATTACTCTCACTAGTTTTTCATTACGAATGTGTCATGGTGATTCATGGCCAAGATTGTTTATGTGTAGTTTTGATTCATTCTTGATGTCAGTTGTTTGTTCATATAATGATGATGGGCCCCATTGTTGTATGAGCCCACCTAACGGTGGTCAGCTGATAATCAAAGATGATCAACTCTGCACTAAGCCATCTTTAAGTGATGATATAACTGGGGTATTGAAGTCCCTTTTCCTTTCCTCGAAGTTGTGTATATAATATATCTGCTTTCAAGTTCATATCAACTTAAACTGCACTCATATCATGATAAAAATATATGGATATTAGTAGATATTGTCTATAGTTGATTCATTATTTGTGTTATTAATTATATTATCAATCATATTATTAATTATATTATTAATTATATTATTTCTTTGAAAGTATTGTATTGAATGTGTAATTAGTTTTGATTATTCCGACACAAGTAACATTGAATTGCTTCTTTGATCTTCATATTATGTACTTATGATTGATAAGCCATTTATTATGATTGTAAATTGTACAATAAATGAATAGATTCTACTTTGGACAAATGCCAAAATAAAATTAATGTAATATGAATAAATTATGTTACTGAATGATATTTTAAAATTTGATACAGACTGATCTATAAAAGTTTTAACACTTTATGTCATTTTATTACATGACAGAACATCAAATTGAAAGGCATATCCTTATCAATATTTGGAGTTAAATAGGCCATTATAACAACTTGATTTTCACGTTTGCCAGCGTCAGGAATACGTTTAAAAAAGGTATTGTGATGAAAGTCATCTCGTCGTATTCAAAACCATTTGAAATATGAAACAATGGACAAATACGCAGCAGCCCCTTGCTGCATCGTTGTAGTTTTCATCATCCAACGCGGCTTTCATGAATATGTAAAATACACACACTTTAAAACAGTTACTGCTGTTGGTCATTAATTGATTGTTAATAATGAAACATATCATTTAATACTAGCAGCTATTTCGCTTTTTAATTCCTGTTATTATCGACCGTGGGAGTAATTATTAAAATGTTTTTCTCTTTTCCTGCTCCTTTTCCTTTGAGAGAAGGTCATCTAGGAGGACCAGAGCGCCTATTTTTGCTTGTTTGCAGTGTATTAATTGTCGTTAATTGTATGTTGTATAGAATGATTGTGCATGCGTGAAGGAACCAAAATGACAAAAGATTTATTAACAATTGTGATTTTTCTGAACAATGGTGAAAGTGCATGTCAACTTCTTCAGAATGAAATTCTTCATTGACAAAGAAAATAAAAGGGAAGTTGTTATTTCTGTATTTCAATTAATACGACTGTTTTGATATGTTACTAATTGTATTTTGTATCTTTAAGCACTTTTTGTTCAAGCTCATGCAAAAGGAAGAAGGTGATGGATTTCGTTTGTGTGTGGGACTCCCTTATAAGAAAGAAGAACATGCTGCAATAAATGAAAGGAGTTGTAACGTCAAAAACTGGTTGGTTGTGTTGTAATTGTTTATATGAGTTTATTTACATTCATGAGTAATATACTTTCTAGGAGGTTGTATTGCTGATTTCCTAGGTTGTTGTAATATTAAGAAAAATTTCCAGAAATTTTTTGAGTGATATTTTTTCTTGTATAAATTATTAGCAGCTTATGTACTGTTTGAAGAAGGAATTATTTTGTGTTTAATGAGTGTAAATGACTATTTCAATGAAATGTTGATGTTATTGGGGAAGATAATGGACTATAGATAAAAAACAGAATTGGTATGTTTTGTTATTGTCTCTCTTCCTAAGTGTTTTATTGAAGCGTTTTGCGAATGGTTTTAATTTGCAGATATTGCTTTTGAGATGACACATCGTCAAAGATTGTGAGCAGTGGAGTTCAATGTAATGAACATTGGTGCGCTACAAATGCAAAAGAAGTGTGTTAGAAAGAAGTAAAAGTCAATGGACTCTGGCTGCAAATGGAGTAATTGGGAGAAAATTGCACGTTGTGTCAGCAGATAATGGACAACAAACATGGTATGTTATGTTTATGTTTTCCATCTAAAATTTCGTCGCATTTTTTCCCTTACGATGCTTGTTTTTGATGATAATTCGCAGATATTGCTTTTGAGATGACTCATCTTCAAAGATTATACATTCTTTTAGTAACATTCGAAATTTGTTGTATAATGTTACAACCCAATTTAAACATAAAAATCTTCATTTTTTTTTTTTTTTACTTCATCAAAATGAAATATGTTTAATATGTGTTTTTGTGTTTAAAAATCTATTGGAAACACATTCTATTTTTAGATGGCGATACAAGTGAAATTGAAGGGAAACGATGATAATAATGCTGCGTTAATGGTAATATTGCTTATGGTAATAGATTCTAGTTTGGCTCCACTATAAGTATAATTGGCAATGTAAATAAAGTTGGAAGTTCCCCTTCCTTCCTACTTTATTTAGATGAAGTTTAAGTTAAATGCTTTAATGTACAATAAAATAATATTGTACATTGTCTTTTTGTCAATAGTTTAAAGTAATTATAATACTCCTGTAATGATCATAATGAATTGATAGACTGTACATAAAAAACCGGAATAAGAATTGAAGTAGTATGAATAATTAAATGATTTACTAAATAATTTGTATAGTTTGATGAATATCGATCGTGACCTGTAATATAATCTGCAGTATTAAGTAAGTCAAGGGGCCGAAGACACTACAGGAAAGCAGTAAGTCGGGGGCGGCGAAGGCAGTACAGTTCGGCAAGCAAGGAAGGGGCTTGGAAGTCATCTGAATAGATGGCGGCCATCTTGTTGTGTGACAACATTTGATAATGGCTCGGTGGGTTTAATTTGATGCTGAATTGCGTTGACGTTATGATTAAAAAGTGTGCAGCAGATAGATTTATAAGCAGAAGTGAACTTTATGATTTAAAATGACTACGAGGAGATGACAAAAGGTAACGCCATTATGTTTCAAAAAGATTTCTTGCTCAAAGAGTTTAAATGGCTGAGCAGTACATGATCATTTTTGAATTTGAAAGTTTCAATGAACATATTTCATAACAAGATATATATAATTTTTTTCCATTTCTCTTAACGTGTATCCAATGGGAATCTTTCTTACCAACATTTTGGGGAGGAAAACATTTTGAAAACATGATGAGCCTGCATTATCACACGACAGAGAATCAAATCGATATCCCAAAGTAAAAGGAGATCTTTGTCAAAATGAGAACTCCTAACGGGTACGTCAAGAGAGAGGACACTCAACAACTCAGGTTCTTTGTTTGTTCCATCCAGCTGACCGAAAAAAGCAGGTGTGTGGTGTTATTTTGTTATATTTATACCAAAAGGTGATTGGTTTTGTTGTAAACTTTTTACCATAAACATGTTTTTGCAAACTTACATTAAGTCATTCATCTTTAACTTTTATTAACTAATATGTATCATGTACAATGTATCCTCCTATATTATAAATTTGACATTGTAAACAAGTCGAAACATGTTTATCGTAAAATTGGTGGGTTGATCGTTGTTTCAAAATGAAAATCCAAAAAGCAACAACAATACAGAACTTCATTTTCATTTTTTAAAAATTTTTTAATTACTACTGCTTTATCTTTTCATATTTAACATAATAATGATTGATTGTTGTTTATATATCAATTAGAAGATGAGGATGAGGAATGTCAAGCCATTAAAACTATATATTTTAAATCACAGCCATCCTAAAGTTCAAGAAATTAGAAAAGAAGAACAGTCAGGCTTTTCACATTAAAGTTTAATGGGGAACATGGTGCTACAGTTACATCATGTCAGTGGTTACGTAATATTGTTTGGGTATGTATTTAACTATACATTTACTCATCTACATCTACTCACCTTAACTTTTAAAGCACTCCCTTTTACACCACTCCCCCTTACTTTTACACCACTCACCCTTCCTTATAGATGACTCACACTTACTTTTAGATGCCCCACCTTTACTTTTAGAAGGCACACCCTTACTTTCAGATGACAAATCAATACTTTTAGATGACTATACCTTTACTCTTACACAACCCACCCTTACTTTTACACCACTCATGCTTACTTTTAGAAGAAACACTCTTACTTTTAGAACACTCACCTTTACTTTTACAAGATGCACCCTTAATTTTAGAAAGACTCACTCTTAATTTTAGATGACTCACCCTTACTTTTAGATGACAAACTATTACTTTTAGATGACTATACCCTTACTCTTACACCACTCACCCTTACTTTTACACCACTCATGCTTACTTTTAGAAGAAACACTCTTACTTATAGAACACTCACCTTTACTTTTACAAGATGCACCCTTAATTTTAGAAAGACTCACTCTTAATTTTAGATGACTCACCCTTACTTTTAGATGACAAACTATTACTTTTAGATGACTATACCCTTACTCTTACACCACTCACCCTTACTTTTACACCACTCATGCTTACTTTTAGAAGAAACACTCTTACTTTTACACTCACCTTTACTTTTACAAGATGCACCCTTAATTTTAGAACGACTCACTCTTACTTTTAGATGACTCACCCTTACTTTTAAATGACAAACCATTACTTTTAGATGACTATACCCTTACTCTTACATCACAAACCCTTACTTTTACACCACTCATGATTACTTTTAGAAGAAACACTCTTACTTATAGAACACTCACCTTTACTTTTACAAGATGCACCCTTAATTTTAGAAAGAGTCACTCTTACTTTAAGATGACTCACCCTTACTTTTAGAAGACTCACCCTTACTTTTAGAAGCCTCACCTTTACTTTTAGATGACACACCCTTACTTTTAGATGACTCACCCTTACTTTTAGAAGGCACACCCAAACTTTTAGAAGACTCACCCTTACTTTTAGAAGGCACTCCCAAACTTTTAGAAGAGTCACCCTTACTTTTAGATGACTCACCTTTATGTTTAGAAGACTCACCTTTACTTTTAAAGGACACACCCTAACTTTTACAAGACTCACCATTACTTTTATAAGGCACACCCTAACTTTTAGAAGACCCAACCTTATTTCAGATCACACACCTTTACTTTTAGATGATACGCTATTACTTTTAGAAGACACACCCTTACTTTTAGATGACTCACCCTTATGTTTAGAAGACTCACCTTTACTTTTAAAGGACACACCCTAACTTTTACAAGACTCAACCTTACTTTCAGATGACACACCTTTACTTTTAGATGACAGACTGTTACATTTAGAAGACTCACCGCTACTTTTAGATGACTCACCCTTACTTTTAAAAGACACACCCTTACTGTTAGAAGACTCACCCTTACTTTTGGAAACCTCATCCTTACTTTTCGATGACACACCCTTACGTTAAGAAGACTCACCCTTACTTTTAGAAGACTCCCCTTACTTTTAGATGACTCACCCTTACTTTCAGATGACTCACCCTTACTTTTAGAAGACACACCCTTACTGTTAAAAGACTCACCCTTAATTTTAGAAGACTCACCCTTACTTTTAGAAGAATCACCCTTACTTTTAGAAGACTCACCCTTACTTTTAGAAGGCACTCCTAAACTTTTAGAAGAGTCACCCTTACTTTTAGATGACTCACCCTTATGTTTAGAAGACTCACCTTTATTTTTAAAGGACACACCTTAACTTTTACAAGACTCAGCCTTACTTTTATAAGGCACACCCTAACTTTTAGAAGACTCATCCTTACTTTCAGATGATACACCTTTACTTTTAGATGACACGCTACTACTTTTAGAAGACACACCCTTACTTTTAGATGACTCACCCTTACTTTTAGAAGACTCACCCTTACTTTTAGAAGACTCACCCTTACTTTTAGAAGACACACCCTTACTTTTAGAAGACACACCCTTACTTTTAGAAGACACACCCTTACTGATAGAAGACTCACCCTTACTTTTAGAACACTTACCCTTACTTTTAGGAGGCACACCCAAATTATTAGAAGACTCACCCTTACTTTTAGAAGGCACACCCAAACTTTTAGAAGACTCACCCTTACTTTTAGAAGGCACTCCCAAACTTTTAGAAGAGTCACCCTTACTTTTAGATGACTCACCTTATGTTTAGAAGACTCACCTTACTTTTAAAGGACACACCCTAACTTTTACAAGACTCACCATTACTTTTATAAGGCACACCCTAACTTTTAGAAGACCCAACCTTATTTCAGATCACACACCTTTACTTTTAGATGATACTATTACTTTTAGAAGACACCCTTACTTTTAGATGACTCACCCTTATGTTTAGAAGACTCACCTTTACTTTTAAAGGACACACCCTAACTTTTACAAGACTCAACCTTACTTTCAGATGACACACCTTTACTTTTAGATGACACGCTATTACTTTTAGAAGACACAGCCTTACTTTTAGACGACTCACCCTTACTTTTAGATGACTCACCCTTACTTTTAGAAGACACACCCTTACTTTTAGAGGACTCACACTTACTTTTAGAAGACACACTGTTACATTTAGAAGACTCACCGCTACTTTTAGATGACTCACCCTTACTTTTAAAAGACACACCCTTACTGTTAGAAGACTCAGCCTTACTTTTAGAAGAATCACCCTTATTGTTAGAAGACTCACCCTTTCTTTTAAAAACTCACCCTTACTTTTCGATGACACACCCCTACCTTTAGAAGACTCACTTTACTTACTCACCCTTACTTTTAGATGACTCACCTTACTTTTAGAAGACTCACCCTTACTTTTTAAGGCACACCCTAACTTTTAGAAGACTCAACCTTACTTTCAGATGATACACCTTACTTTTAGATATTACTTTTAGAAGACACACCCTTACTTTTAGATGACTGACTCTTACTTTTAGATGACTCCTTACTTTTTGACTCACCCTTACTTTTAGAAGAATCACCCTTATTAGAAGACTCACCCTTTCTTTTAAAAAACTCACCCTTACTTTTCGATGACACACCCCTACCTTTAGAAGACTCACCTTTACTTAATCACCCTTACTTTTAGATGACTCACCCTTACTTTTAGAAGACTCACCCTTACTTTTAGAAGGCACTCCCAAACTTTTAGAAGAGTCACCCTTACTTTTAGATGACTCACCTTTATGTTTAGAAGACTCACCTTTACTTTTAAAGGACACACCCTAACTTTTACAAGACTCACCATTACTTTTATAAGGCACACCCTAACTTTTAGAAGACTCAACCTTACTTTCAGATGACACACCTTTACTTTTAGATGACACGCTATTACTTTAAGATAACACACCCTTACTTTTAGATGACTCACCCTTACTTTTAAATGACTCACCCTTACTTTTAGAAGACACACCCTTACTTTTAGAGGACTCACACTTACTTTTAAAAGACTCACCCTTATGTTTAGATGACTCACCTTTACTTTTAAAGGACACACCCTAACTTTTACAAGACTCAGCCTTACTTTTATAAGGCACACCCTAACTTTTAGGAGACTCAACCTTACTTTCAGATGATTCACCTTTACTTTTAGATGACACGCTATTACTTTTAGAAAACACACCC